AATGATTCGTAGTCCAATGTGTTCATACCTTCTTTAATTCAAACATACAAAAACAAGAGCTTATAGTCCAACAGTTCAATTCTTGAATTGGCCAATTCATCACCAAGGACTTCATATACATACATATATATATATATATATATATATATATTGTCAACCTAATTATATATGAAGCTGCTGCAGATATAAATATATGAAAAAAAATGCCGGCCTTACAGCTTATGATGAGCCTGCAGCACCTGCAGGCCTTACATTACATTAATCAAACTATATATAGCATACTAATTAATAAAATAATTTTAGTTATCTCTTAATAATTATATTAATTTGTTTGGACAGCTGATGCACATGGCAGCTTGGAAATTAAGTACTTCGGGTTTTCTCAGCAGCAGTCGCAGCCATGTTCAAAGTCATAACTCACCGCCAATGTAAATGATCTAGAAGATGCAGCACATGCATGTTTTGATGAATAATGTGCATGAAATCGAGTTAAGCCAAGGTATATTTCTGCTGTGGAATTTCAGAATCTTCATTAATGGAAACATGAGTGAAGAACAAAAACATATTTGGAAATTAAGGACCAACTTGCTCATCACATGCAATGGCTGACATAATTCATAGTACGATTTTCGATAATATTCTGATCCCATTTGTTTAAGAGATGGCATATATACTATTGGCATCTACAATTCTTAAAGGCTAAGGCTTTTGAAGATTAACAAAAAAAAACAAAAAAAAAAAACAGATTAATGTGCTTAGCCAAGGTAGCTAGAGCCGATTTGTTTCATGCTACTTTGCATCCAAGGTAGCTAGAGCCGATTAAATTGAAAGTAGAATATTACTTGTATAAAAAAACACACTCACATTAATTTGAATTAATTTGCTGATAATGTTGATAAATTTATTTTTCTCTGGCTATGGCAAGTGGTTTTAGCATAATAAGGGAGTTTGTATTCCATATATAGAGTAGCATGCCTAGCTACACCTGGCTCTGTTAATCTATTTAATCCAGATTTCTAAAATTAATGATCACATGTGGAAGTAAACTACCATCATGTCTTTATGCTCTAACTCTTTCCAAATTTGTTGATAGAATATGGTTTGATGTGATAATATGATAGGTAAAGGAAAATAATAATGGAGATTTGGGCATTGCATTTTCATTGGGCCTGAAAATTGCCCAAGCTTATCTGAATGTATGAATTCTAGGCCTTATAGAATTTGCAGGCCTCAAATGGCTCAACATTTATATTTTATTTTATCTTTTAAATCTTTGTTTTGGTAGCCTCCTATTTTACATCAACAGCAAACTGCTTCTTGGTGGGCTTGCAGCTTTTTTCAAAGGGACTTTTCTGCGAGCGCACAACTTAAACAGACAGTCTTATTTCTTTTGGTGTTTGTGTTATTATGACTCTTTTGTAATCTAATGCATGAGTGACACTCTTTTTCCTACCCCAGGGTTTTGTCCAACATGGTTTTTCCTAGAAAGGGTTTTAATGAGGCTGCGTTCCTACATGCGGGTTCCTTTGTAATGTTTTCTCTGATGATTCTAATGATATACCCCTTTGTTTAAAAAAAAAAAAAAAAAAAAACAGAGTTTTCTGTTTCATGCATCAGAGAAATGTGTATTTGTTGTACCTCAGTGCATTGCTCAACTGGTGACTTGAAGCATACCAGTTATCATGCGCATTTCTATCCATATATAACTCTTTGGTTAATGGATCTTAAAGATCATGGATACTTTTGTTTTCTGCTGATCAAATGTTTTTCAACAATTTTTACTTGATTTATACTTCTTAATACAAACACAACTTGTGTCTCCAATTTCACAATAACTATTTTGAGCTATATAGCTTGATTTTTCCAACAAAAAAAGAAAAGAAAAAAAAGGGGTGGAAATAATTAACCAAGTAAATGTTTGTCACTAGGCAGCAGCTCCCACAGGCACTGCTCCCTTGAGCCTGGAGGATCCGTATAGAGTTTCTTCGAAGCGGATAACCTCGTTCTTGGATCCGTAAGCAACTTGAGTCCGATCGTCAAGATTAACGATCACCTTGTCTAGCACAGACTGGTGGCCATCACTACTGAAACCTCCAGCATTTTCAACCAACAAGCCTAATGGAGCTACCTCAAACAACAGTCTTAGCTTAGCCTTGGTAGTTGGGGATATCACATTGGTGAAGATACCCTTCTCTTTTACAATAATCTGCAAACCCATAATTTTGTGTCATTTTAGATGCATTGTTTTGCTTAATGACTAGAAATTAACTAAACTCAGGCATGTCAAATGGTGTTAATAAATTAAGATAAGTAAAGACCTGGTTAACATCTGGAACCATTCCTCCAGTGTATCTCAGTGTGTACTTCTCTTTCACATAGTAGTCAATCAGCTGTTAAATAAAAATTCAAGAAATTACACCATGAGTAAAAAAATAAAAGAAAATAGCATGTCTTCTAAAAACACATCAATAAAATAAAATTTAGGAAAGCAGAGTTGACCTTGCTGTAGTCAGGGTTGTCAAATGTGGCTCTCAAATTTCCAGGGGAGAATAGCTTTCCTTCACCAATTTCTGTTGTCTCCTTAACATGTTGCCATTTTCCTAACCAATGCATTTTGTAGAGAAAATTAAGGGAAGCCATGTATTAAGTTTGAAATTTATCATAGAAGTGAGCTGATCAAATCATTGTTGGGTGAGAACGTTATATGAGATTTAATTTTGCGATATGAAAGCAAACCTTCATCAAGAAGAAGGAACTCATGGGTGCCAGGGAAGCCTTTAACAGCAAGAACATATGTTGTTCGAGGCCCGTAAATCCCCATGGCTGCAGCAACTTGACCTCTTCCTGTTACCCCAGTTAACTTATCTCCTGGCCACACCCCAAAAATTGTCCCTACAGTGAAATTTGTGTCGACGATACTGGAGCCATCAAGTGGATCAAAGGCAACACTGAATCCACCTGTTTATGTTATGATTAACTAGTGAGTAAATGTTCAAATATATATTGAGTGCTCATATGAATACATGAATTTCCATATAAGATTAGCAGACCTTCAGCTGGGCCTCCCATGTCTTGGAGCTCAGGAACTTCTTCAGAACAAGCATATTTGCAAACGTGTGAGTAAGTTAAGGCCTAGATGTTGAAAGACAGAAATCAGTTTTGACAATATTCTGAAGACCAGAGTTTACAATCAAGTATGGTTTAGGTAACTTCTGATTGTAACATGCATTGAAAAAAGTATATTTCTTCTGCAAAATTCGAACTATCTCATTTGTGCAATATGCATATATAGATTAAGTCTGACCTCAAAAAGAAGCTTATCAGCAAGCATATCCACAGCAAGCTGCTCATCTCCAAAAGAATTGACACATGCTGTTCCTCCACAAGAAGCTGTCCTCACTTTAAATCCAATGGTCCTTAATGCTTCCCCCATTGATATCAACAATGTGATCAGTTTCTTATCTGGGGTTGCCTTTGTTAGGAATTCTTCCTACAATCACAAATTAATTGTTTAAAAACAAAAAACAAAAAAAACTTGTATTTAAGCTCCATAAAGACCCTTTTGCCTATACTGGTTGTGCAGCTCTTTTTGTAAGCCAGTTTTAACTTTTAGGAAATAACATGAGGTTTCGTTTTGTATCTCACCAAGCTATCACCAAGTGCACATTTGGGTACACTGGAACTGTTCTTTGACTTTAAAACTCTCAGGGATGATTTTGGCACCATACGCAATGATTCCCCAAATAGAGAGCTTGTTCTCAAAACCTGCCATGCATACAAAAATCTTTTAACATGTATATTTCATTCATCCACCATTTTCATTAGAGCACCATTGGGGTCGTATCGAAAGAAGAAGTCCATTATATTGGTATATATTCTCAAGCAGCAATTTGTTCTAACTTGGCCAAAATATGTGCATGCATATGTCTGAAAGTGAAAACTCCATGTGTTAATACCTTAGAATTGAAAGATGAAGAGATGGAAGCAGGAGAGACTAGGGAGCTTGAATGCTGAGATGAAACATTACGCACTGGAAAAGCTCCTCTGGCGTAGCATGCAACACTGGTCTCCATATTTGACAGTTAGCTTCAAATTAAGCAAAACCAGTTTTTGCAAGAGGTAGCTGTGCTGTGCTTTCAATCTATTTTCCTTGGGCATGGAAACTTGGAATGAGTAAGGATTGTAGATATATAACCAGCTAATAGTGTTTTGCCACGTGGCACATGCTAAGTTTATAAGCTGAAAAGGTGGAGTGGGCTGAAGTTAATTAGCATCACTCAAATATCTGTGGCTCTGCTCTGGTCCCATGAAGAGATATGGTTTAGTTGAGACCCCACTTATATGGCTATGTATGTCACATTTCTGAACAAGAAATGCAACTGGGAGCTCCACTGGTCATTTGTTTTGTGCTTTGCTAGTAGTTAGTTAATAGGATCTGTCAGCAATTTTTTTATTTTTTTTTCCAAGCAATATTGAGAAAAGGAGGAATCAAACCTATAACCTCGGGTGCAGGGTAATAAAACCACCAAGTGCTTGTTTTCCCTTACAAACCATCATTCAGAATATCTGCAGAGCATAACAGGGCCTAAAAACCATAACTCCAGAGCACACTAAATATAAGCCAAGAATGTGACGCATCCAATGGGCCAGGTATGGAGTCTGGATTATTTAAGCTTTGATATCTGTTGCTTTACGAATAGATTTAGGAGCTAAATGATGGGCTAGACACAAATTTAACATGTGATACAAAGATGCACGCATTATCCAAGAAATCATGAAAATTAGTATTCTTTAGAATAAGCAAAATAGTACAGCTGAATCCGAAATGGAAGGCTGATAGAGATCACTGTTACAATCAAAATTTCTCCTGACCCGTTTCACATTTCCCTCTTCAATTTTTCATGTTTCTTTTTTCTTTTTCTTTGAGGGTCTAAGAGAGAGTCAGGTTCAACTGAACAAATTCACTAAACTTTTCTACGGAACTTGCAAGACCAAGAATGTTACTTGACAGTCAACAAAGTTCTACTTTTCTTCGTTTTCGGCTTTTTAGCCTTTTTCTTTTGCTGCTTATACTCTTCATATAGTTGTATGGATGAAGTAGTGCCATCTAGCTCAGCCCTTAATCTCTGATTCTCCTTAATGTCACGAAGAAGCATGAAATGAGCAGAAAGCTTCTTTCTCACATCATCTTCGTCGATTGAAGTTGTATCTGCAGAAGGTTCTATCACAGCTGATACAGAAGGGTCACTTCCTCTTTTCCTTTTGTTATCTGATTTTTTAATGTCACTCGGTGGCTTGAAAGACTCTGGCCTCTCCAAGGAAAAGTCTGTGAAAGCTTGTTGAGGAGATATGGTTGAGAGATAAACCTGGTTATGAGCAGTGTTCATGCTAGATATACTTGAAGCCATACTTGAGACAGCTGGATGATAATGCTGGGTTAGAAGATTGAGTTCCCAAAGGACTGAAGCAAGAGCACCACTTAATTGGGGTCCGAAGCATATGGGTGATATTTCTGTGCATCAGGAGAGAGAGAAAAGAGAGCGAGGGGAACGGGTGTTAGATTCAGCATTATAATGAGCGTAAGCACGTAATGATGCCAAATGCACCAAACCAAAATCACATATAAACTAAAAAATAATTATATAAAATCACTTTATTTAAGATTACTTGCTGAATGAACATGCATGATAGACATTTCTCATTTTTATATTACATAGCATTCTGCACAGAGTGAACAATGCACAAGCATCATTTGAACTATTGTATACGTTTGTGCAAGTTTAGGTGTAAGGTCTTTCTTCCTTTTTCTCTTTGTTTTTTTTCTTTTCCCCTCCTGCTTGACAAATTAACTAGTGCATTCAACTGGATGAGTCTTTTATACTACATTTATAGATGGACTTCAGATTCTGAAGAGAGGACCATTGTGAGAAACATAAGCGTGCAGAGAGGAAAGCAACGAAAAATTTATTTGTCTAACTTCCATATGGGAGACTAAAGGCCACACAGACAAAGTGAGTAAAACTTTATCAGTGGTATCATGGGTTCATGGGGAATTATTGAGGCATCCTTGGGGGAAATTAAAGGACTCCAGCATGCAAAATGATAGTTTTGGCCTCTCTACCGTGGATTAGAATTTAGATAAAAGATAATTCTACAGTTTTGGCATCCAGAGCTGTAGATCAGAATTTAAATAAAGCTAATTCCTTCACATGATAATCAAAATGAAAAGAACTTGTGTTTTTGGAAATTTATTTTCAGAAATACAAGCTGGCCGCAGGCTCCAATTCATTAAATATCAAGAAGCAGATGTTAGCATGAGAACTTACAGCAACAGAACCTGACACTGAGCCACCTCCAGCATCATTTTCTAACAGATTTCGGCACTTGACATTCTTCAGAAGAAGATGCTTTAAAGTAACCAAAGCTGCAAAAGATTCAAATGGGGAACAGGAATAAGAAATCCATAACAAGATATTGATAACTTTGTTTCTAAACAAGAACATACCAGCCATGGACTCTGCCGATCCGGAACATAATGAGAAAGTCGCCAAACGCTTTACAAATGCAGCAGCCTTCTGCATGTCATGTTGTCTATCTTCACACAGCATTATCTTCAAAGCTTCAGCTAATACTTCGCCCTGATCTCTGTTCCATGAACACAACCAGTAGGTAAATCTTTTTAGGTAAGTCATTAGTTGAACCAGCCTAGAAAGCATGCACTTATACTAGTCTCTAAGGTGACAGGAAAAATCAATACACCCATTGCAGGAAATAAGCTTTTCACAACGAATATTCTTAATAGAAAGATGCAAATTAAGTTCCAGAAATCCAGTAAATATGGGTATAGGAATTTGAGGTTATTTACTTCATAAAATGCACAAAGATACCAACTAGATGCCATAGAAGGTAGAGAAATGTTTTAACACCAAATTTTGGCATTAAAAAGTTTAGTGCAAACCTTCCAGGCCTATATTCAAGTATAATATTGTAAAGCTGAACAAAGAAGTCCTGCAGATCAACATTTAAGGCATCAAGATTGCTCTTCATCACTTTAAATGCAACAATGCAGCAACGGAGGCGCTCAGATACAGTCAAACATTTTGAAGTATTCTCAGAATCGCTACCACCAGAAGCAAGCTTTTTCAGATAGTTTATAAGATCCCCCATGAAATCCATGTCAATTAGATGCGAGAATTTTCCTAATCCTTTCAGACACGGAGCAAGTAAAGGATGGGGCTCAGATGCACCAGTAGATAAACTAGCATTTGCTTCGGATCTGAATGGAGAATCACAGGAAATTATTCAATACATTTGAAATCTGAAATAAAAGGGAATTGCAAATCCATAAACTACCCAAAGAACAAATTATAAATGCTTTCCACTTCCAATCAAGCATATCTATGACAGACTTCAAAACTGAATATATCTCCCATTTCAATCATCACTCTCAAAGTAGCCATTTACTGCTTTTGGATACCTAGTTCCTCGAAGCAAAGCGCATGCATATTCATAAACAAGCTTATCTGAGCTTATGCCATTTAAAATATCACTCAGAAGATCATTCATGTTTATGAATTTATCAACATTATGAATGAACTGTCAAAATATCAAAAGGTAAAAGACAGAAAATTATAGAAATATGGTTGAACAATATGAAAATTACACGAAAAAAGAACTGTTTCACAATACAGCTATATTTAATGACAACGTAGCTTAAGTGAATTTTATAAAGGACAGAATCAGATACCTACGTTCTTTATGGGCTTATTTGAGCACTTAAGGTACATTCTCTTTAGCGTGATCTGATTGGGAAGGAGGTTTGAGCTAAATTTAAATTATTTCTCGTTAAGCACTTGTAGTTTTTTATGCCAAGATGGACATATTCTCCATCTTTTTTCTTGTACTTAATAGAAGCTAATTTCCAATCAGAAAATTTACAAATCCTTTTGGTCTTCAATGATACAAAATGTGAAAATTCACTTCTACAAGGAGTTTCTTCCACAATGCTCCATTTACCATTACACACGCTGTATTTACAGAAAAAGTAAACATGAGTGCCCCATAGTGCCCATGACAGAGAAGCCAGTTTTTCCTGATACCATGTGATCAGTCGTCTCTCAAGTCTTAAAACTCATGTATGCTAATGTATATGCTTAGTTTACAAACTTGTAAATATTCTCTTTAAAAAATTAAAATTATTTGTACAGACTACACATAGTGAGCAATCTGCTCCTTGCTCTGGTTTGTCTTTTAAGCTAAAGCAAATTCATAGGATATCACAGATCCAAAGTTATCAGAATCATGATGCGCAAACAAACCTGGAAGCTGATGACTGCATTGTATGTTTCAATATGCGAAAATATGTTTCAAATACAGCAGAAAGTGCCTCTGTCTGCATTCCTCTCCGCTCCATAACATCTGGGGTCAAAGCAACAGCCTTGTAATCAGCAGCAACCTGTGTATAGCATTACAAAATTCAATAGGTTGAGAGAAAAAACCACTGAAACAAGCAAGATCAAGAAGTCAATGGATTTTGCAAAACAGAAAAACACCTCCTCTCTTGTCTTCATCAATAATTCTTGCCTACTCCTTTTTTTGTCATTTTCCTTCAATTGACGTGCCTCCTCATAATGCTTTTTCTTCTTACTTTTCTTGCTTTGGGGTTTATGTTTCTCATCATTTCTTGCAGCCCTCCCAAGATCCTCATCGAATGACAGTGACAAGAAAACCTGCAGAAGTACTAACAGTAATAAGCATGGAGGAAAAACAAAATCCACAAGAGTTCTTACTATACAATATGATTCCAACACGAAATTCATCTTCCCACTACTTGTAGATTACTAGGCAGAAAAGCAACAATTTCCTATCAACAATCATTTGTTTATGTGAACCTGTGTATGACACAAGTTACGGTAACATATGTACGTTCAACTGACCAAATGCATTATGTATTGCTGCAAAATTACCAGAGAAAAAGCTATATCCATATACATTTCTGTACCGTAAAACAGTAAAGCTCCTTTTAAACAAAACTCAAGAAATATGCCATCTAGTTGGCTGAGCATGGAGTCCAACGGTAGATGACGGCCATAAGTAAGGAAATAACAACTTTATCTTAACTCAATATAACCCTGATTGTATCCCTATAAAACTACAGCATTTGATCAATAATTTTCTTTTGGCAGAGGAATATAGAGAACTGGTCTTATTTTCTCCTAGTATATGGTGGGCAAGATGGTCCAGTATTGAGTTGATCGGCACAAAAATTGGTTAAAACAACATAAATAACAAATAGATAAGTAATCTCATGCCTCCACAGAGTCAGGGTGTAATTGGCAATTATGAGCTTTCACATGATCTGCAATTAATCGAACAGCCTCCACAGTTGCTTCACCACCGTGTTTTCCCTCGTTTGTAAACAGTGACTGATGGAAGAACAGCACAGTTTCCTGTTAGAAGTAGTTCATAGTTAGATGGATGAAATAGTAAAGAAAACATTGGCTATGATCATGGACACAATTATCTTGTGAATAAACCGAGAAAAGTGACATGTACCGACACAGACATGAGAGACGTGTTACACATGGTACATGGACATGAATGTGTCATGTCAACTTCATCCCAAAAACGATGACACATCAATACATCTGCAGTTTTTTATATTTATATATATATATATATATCTGTTCACATTCAAACAAATCTTTATATGAGAACATTATTCTTAAAAATAATTATGAAAATAATAACCACGTCTAATTTTTTTGACAAAAAAGGTCAACACCTTGGCAATTTTGAACTGTTTCTAGGCAAAAGAAGGTGTTTTAACACCCATGCAGTCTGCAGCCAGAAACATCATCAGTCCTTAACCAAGTTTAGAATATTTTTCCTTTGTCAGATAAATTTTAAATTGAGACTCTAAACAAAGAACAATATTTCCAGTTGAATGTTTTGCTCAATCCTAAAGTATAATAAATGCTGGCTAATGCTCATATTTAGAGTTAAACTGTGTATTCCAACTTGAAGATGCAATCATTTTCCAAATTCTTGCGTCAATCCTGACCTTCAAAGACACCTTGTAAGACTACTTACCAAAAGGATAAATTAGGGAACAAAAACTAAAGATAGAGCAAAACCTTACAACATCATCTGGGGAGCCTATGTTTCTGATGACAACACCTAACAAGCTCTCCCGGTAGTTGAAGTGGGGTGCTGCATCAAGCAATGTACAGATACAGCGAAATGCCACATGCTGAAATGAGGACTGCTTTTCTAATGCTGCCAACTTCTGCAGGTATGCCTGAGAATGTGCATAAAAGAAAATTTTAACAATATTTATAAGGACAACCACACAAGTTAACTCAAAATTTTATCTACCACTCTTCAAAACAAAATTGTTCTTCAAATTTACATAAATCAACAACGTTTTACAGGTCTTTAGGTCTTTTTTAAACAATGAACAAACCTGGTGTAGGTTCAGTGATTGGTACAATGACCCAAACAAACTTTACATCCCCAAAATCTAAACAATACAATATCATCCATCAAAATGACCACTAAGAAAAAGAAACAAATTTACAAATGGCAATTGGCATGATTCAAAATCCACTAGCTTAATAAAACTAACTAATAATTTATTTTGTTCAAGGTGTAGCAGATCCATCAGAAATCAGAAGTAAGAAACAAAAACCATAACAAGTAACCAAGCATAGAAAATATTGCCAACCTTGTATACAGATAGCAGTGTTGATTCATAAAGCCGCATTTTCTTAACATCCTTTGAGACCTTCATTTCTAGCTCCTTCTCAGTAGGAAGCCTAATCCGATATCTGCAATACATTCATATAAGAGTTATAGTCCAATACTGGAATGCAGACAGAAAAACAATGTTGATCATGAGTAAACATGCACAATGGTTTGTGGGCAAGGACACAAGTTTCATGTGTCAACACAGACACAGGGCGTCCAACACCTCAATAGCCAAAATTATATAAAACCAATGTTTATTCTTAATTTGAAACATTTAGCACATATTTACATGTACTCGGTGTATATTCTTCCAGTGAGAATTAATAATAAAAATAGACACGAACATGATAATTGGAAATATTAACGCTGTAAAGTTTCTCCAAAAAATCAAACCACCATAACTCTCCTTTATTTTGAGAGGCTTTTTCCTCCCAAGGATCCAAAGGTGTTGACAGAAATGGGTAGGCACATGTCCTAAGGCGTTTGTACACCGCATTTCATACTAAAGAAGAGTTCTACAAATCATAAAAGATCAATGTACATCACGGAACAGAACTGTGGTCTTACCCAGGAATAAGGTCTTTAAAAACAGCCAACAGAGATAGGAGTCCAAGTTTGACAATGGCATGATTGTTATCTTTACAGATCTGTAATATCTCCTTCAGAGATTTATATTAGAAGCTGGATCAGCAAGCAGCCCTATTCCCAGCTCTGCAAGTTTTGTTCTTCTTACTTTCAAGGCTTCTTCAGTTGTAAGATCTTCTTTAATCTCAGCCTAACCAAATAAATAAATAAATAAGTATTTTTTATGTGATACACAGATAATACAGTATACTAAATGTAAAACTCAGAAGCAAAACAGAAGAATAACTAGTCCAATCAGATGATACCAGCACTGCTTCTTGTGGAGTTTGTTGGACTTCAGGTTCAGCCTCCTTTCCTTGTTTCTTAGCCTCTTTCTTACTTTTCTTAAGCTTTGCCCTCCTTTCAGCCTTTGTCAGCTTTACTATGCTTTTATCTGCAGCACCACTGGCTTCCTCTTCAGTGGGATCGTTTTCAGATGCTTTTGATGCCTTCGTTGCTGCATCATCACAAGAATATAAAACATGCACACTCAGTGTACGTCCAAAGACCTTCCAAAGACAACTCCCCCAATTACCATTATCCAAACTAGAAAAAATAAAATAAAAATGAGGAACCTGTTCGATAGTAGAGTTGTCCATCTAAGGTTTTAACAGGAAGAGCATCTACACGATCAACTTGAATCCCAGGATCCTCTTTTTCTTTGTGCAAGGATTTCCTTTTTAAGCGCTTTTCATACAAAGCTTCCAAAGCATCCTCCTTTACATCAGCAACGCGGGTAACATGCCTTTGTTTAAACATAAATGTAGATTAGATGAAAATTCAGAGGTATGTAAGTATTAAATTTGAAAGGAAATTAAGGTTCAAAAGCACGAAATAAGAGAAAAGGAACAACTTGGTGATGGACTGGGTGTCTAAGGTGGAGAGAAAGCCAGCGTATTCTCGGTTCTGATCGACAAAGTCCCTGTCCTCGTCCGAGACTTCGATTTCGTCCTCTGAGACCTCCGGTGGGAGCTCGGGAGGTAGAATGATCCTCTGCTTTTGCTTCCTCTTCGCCACCATTCTGTACCTAAAATCCTAGCTGCTTGTTAGTAGGGTTTTAGACAGAGAGAGAGAGAAGCTGAAGATGAGTCTCAGCTAGTTAAACTTTCGACCTGCTGACAAATAAAAACACTTTGGGCCCACTTCAGTACGCTTCGGCCCATATTTTTTTGCTCGAGCCCACTAAAAGTTTCATGAGTTATCAGTCTCTGAGTCCCTAATTTCTCGTTGTGGATTTGATTTGAACACATGAATTTAAAATTTCGGAAAAAAGAAACTGGGGAAGGAAGAAGAAAAGAGAAAGGAGGGAAGAGGAAGAGAGGAAAAAAGATACGTATCCAATACGCCACTTGGCATATCGTAGACTTTTTCAGGATGTTGACTTTACGAGACGGCTCCGATACTCCATCGATACGGTCCCGATATGTCAAGGGGTAAAAGTGAAAAGATTTTGAAAATTTTGTGGTGACTTTGACGGCAACAATCAAAAAAGAAGAAGAACGAGGAGGAAGAAGGAAGAATGAAGAAGAAAAGAACTTACTTGCGCTTGCAACTGTTGCGAATCTTCAGCCTTCAGTTGCAGAAGATGATGTTAGGCGCCCTAATTACAATACGCACCGTTTTAGGGGCATGATAGGGGGCTTATGTTTTTATTTGGTCTGAAGTTGGCCTACGTTAAAAATAAGTGTTTTATACCTTTTTCATGTTTGAGTTTGATGCATTCATTTGGGCCCAAGCCCAAGAACTGAAACAAGTATATAGCCTAGAAACACATAAGTAACCAGAAATTTAAAATTTAGGAAAAAAGAACAAAAAGAACTTCATTCTCCTCGTAGTTAAGATTATCGCTTGTATTAGAAAAATTAATAATAATAATAATTGACAAGCATCCTCTTTTCATTTTGTTGAGTAAGCAGATTAAACTGAGTTTAATTTTACCATTTGTCTAATGATTTGGTGGCTTAAATTTGAAATCCCATAAGATTTAAACTCAAATATTCTTTGCAATTTGCATGTAATTTAGTAGCACACCATATGTATTTTCTGATGTTCTTGTGCTTCTCAGCTGCAATACCACTGTGCACATAGTTTTAAACCTTTGACCTGCCGATTTCTTTTCACACACACACACGTGCAAATATTTCCACAAACAAAAAAGCGATAAAACACTACACATTAATATTATACATTACAATACATGATGAGACCATAGGAAAGAAAATCTGGTGGTCCATTTCTCATTTACTGCTGCTGCTTTTGACATTTCAACCCCTACTCTCCTTCAATAGATTAGGACCCTATTTTCCAAGTGTGACATTAATGTGGAAGGTTTATTTAGTTGAACCAATCCAATAAAGATGACGCTGACAAACTAAGCATTGACAATGGGCTACCTGCTTCTTTAAGGTTTGATTGGGGCTAAGCTTTGGATGGGGAATGAGAATGTATATACTAATTCACACTCTGCTTTTGTTGTATGGGATCCAATAATTTATGGATCACAAAATGACTAATTATTCACTCATCAAAGAGGTTAATTGAATTCAAAGTTAATTAGGACTTTTTTAGATAAGCATTATGAACCATAACACTTCAACCATTCATTAAGAATGAAAGTCTTTTATTTTTCGTGCAGTTTGTCATATCATATTATGTTCTTAGAAACGTGTGCTTCAGGGTAAAACCTAATTCTTGCTCTATGAGAAAACTCTAAAGAAAAATCCCTACTTGCCGCCCTCTTTAGAGTCGGCAGCCACCCTTCCTACTCCTTTCCCTATCTTCTCCTCCCATCCCCTTTCCTCTCCTTCCCTTCATTTTCCCTCTCAGGTCAAAAACAAAAACAAAACAAAAGATGACATGTGTGATGGAGTTTGGTTATTGTACGTATGACTTGTCCCTTGATTCTTACGTAAGTTGGTTTGTAGTTCAAAATTAATGTTCTCGCTCACAAAACGTTGACATTTCAAAGAAAATAAAAAGGGATAGTTGCCGTGTTATTGTTCTACTAGGAACATGTAAACACAGTAACAAACAATCATAAAATTAGAGTGCATGTGCTATTTTGCAATAGTACGTGAGAAAAAATTCTCCTGTGGGGTACTAAAATTTCATCAAGCGAGCAATTCGCTCGTGTTATAATATGTCGTTCACTCTTATTACACGTAAACTAGTAACATCACATAGAGCCGTTTATATTGAAAACTTTTGCTTACCTCTCCCCCATGCACCCGTGCGTCTTCTTTCAATGTCCGCGTTCACTAAACCCAGACCTCCTGCATGAAACTTAGGTAAGTGACCAACTGGTCCCGTTCATCATTTATTGCTAGTTCAACTTCATTCATTTATTTGATGATTGTTACTTCAACTTCTTTGGACATTTCCTTTCTTTTTGAGTGAATAGCGGTTGTATTATTTGAATGAGAAAAGATTACAACGAGTCTTCAAACAAGGCATCATGAATGAGAGGAGGGGGACATTTCCTTTCGTTCACTTTGGACCTTTCATTTTGCATTAACGCGTTTTCTGGTAATTAATTTAGTTGAAATGGTTTTTTTTTCTGGTGATGTTGAAGATGGTCATGGTGGCCGAGTAATGCATTGAGATGGCCTTTATATATTGGTTGATTCCTGACAAAAGCGCACGTACATGGGGACCAATGTATGCTTGATATATGATTAGAGATATTTAGTCATATACTCATTCTTAGCATTAATAATATAGATAAACCTTACATAATTTAATTTCTATAAACATACCCAAAAAAAAAAACACTTGCATTACCTAATAGTGAATCTCCCATATAACTTGGACTCGTATATTTGGTATAATAGTGAATCTCCCACATAATTACTTGCGTTACCTAAGTTCAGGAGTTCAATCAAAGTATATATACAACCATATCACGGATCTAAAGATACTTGTATTTTGTGGTAATTAGCCTCTATTTTATACCCTACATGAGCCCTATTTTATTTTAAAATGTCCGGGATAATTTTAAACAAATCATACTTTTTTTATTTTATAAATCCACGTGGCATTAATATTCTTCCACTTGAGAAAAAAAAATATGTGTCAATTTAACATGTATCTTAACCATCATATCAATGATGAGTACATAACGATGAAAATGAAGTAAACCGTGGCATAATAAAATTAAATCAACCCAACAATTTATGCGCAAAGTTAATTATATGTATACAATCACTTTCTATTGATGGATCTCTCAAATAAATATTTGAGGAACTCTTTAAGGTCTCTGACGAATTTTTTTCAACAATCCAAACCGTCTATTTTGTCAAGTCAATAAGCAAATACCTTTGTGGCTGACAAATTCAGGGAATATGTTCCAATTTTTCTTTTTACCTAGCTAGGCCATATATGGTGAAGAAGCAAATACCTTTGTGGCTGACATTGAAACCTCAAAAGTGTCCAAGGGCAGGGGTAGGCCTAACTAAGCCCACCTACAAAAAATATGAGCCATGTGTGTATATAAAAGCCAAGGATATAATAAAAGAGGAGTTAGGGTTCAATATTAATTTTGTTGTTGAAATTATACAGGGAAAATATTTTGGCCTGAGAAAATAAAAAGAAATAAACTCTCAGAAGAAAGTAGGTAGGCAAAACTTTAAAGGAGTATGATGAAATTAAATTCTCCATTAATGTTCGTTAGGTATATTAATGAATTGGTCTACTAAATGCCCATAATTAGCTCCACGCAGGAGCCATTAAACCACATCAGTTTGACAATTTGTAGTTGAATGCTGTTTTCAAACATTTATACGACACAACCATATTTTTAGACATCACTATCTCTTATTTATAATTGCACACCACCAAACCCAAAAAGATTGTTGTACAGATGAAGAAAAACCCCTATATTCATGTGAGTTAATGCCAGAGGACGGCCAAAATGTTGAATCACTTCAAGGGTTCAAAATGCATGGATACAAGTCGCAATCTGAGATTAATGAGTTTTCCTTAATTAGCCTGGTCCTCCTTGCAACATTTCATACGTGATATAGACACATAAACACGTAGAGGAACGGTCAAACGCTACCTAGGTACTGAATTAATACGGTACTAATCAGTCGTATGGGCTCGCTCCAAAATGTCATCTCATGATAAGTATAGGTTAGGTAGCACTAATCAAGGGCTACCTAGATACATATACGGATGTGGATAATGTATATGGTATGTTATACAGTATATGATACACAACACGATATATATATATATATATATATATATATATATGACTACAGGACAGTCAGGAAGAGGGTGAGTATTAATATGGCATGAATGCTACCATGAGCATTTATGGACCTAACCTGAATACGTGTACCTCTTACCCCTTAGTTAATCAGGAGCAGAGTTTCCTCCAGCTTTACTTCTAGATTATGATGTTCTGCATCAAATTAAGAAGGGACGCCATAGTAGGTGAGAAACTAATGGTTATCTGCTTCCAAACACAACACAACACAACAAAACAAACAATTAATTAATTAATTAAAAATATGTTGGTTAAATTGATTGACAAAACATGTGTAGATTGTGGTGGAAAACTTAGCCTTCAAATTTAGTGTTGTGTCTAATTGAGATGGCCGGCAACAGACAGTGATGATGTCAAAATTTGAACCACTTCCCCCAAGAAAAAAACTCAACTAGATTTTAGATAGGAAAAAAAAATTGCAAAAAAATAGGTAAGGGTAGGTGGAAGTGAGGTATTTTCTTTTCTTCTGGTAGTGGCAACTGTAAAGCAACTCAGTTGGATTTTAATTCTTCAGAAATTGAAGTGCATTTACTACAGCTGATTATGACATTAGAATAGCACTGATTTTCTAATCTAGGTGCTTCAGGATAAAGTTCTAGATTGGTAGGTTGATGCTTCAATTGGAAAGCATTTCTTAATAAATTAATGGCATATGAATGCAGAGCAAAGGAAAAAAAAGAAGAAGATAATGATTAATAATATTGAGATGAGCTTCAACTTACTGCAGAAAGAAAATGATTAATAATATTGGCAGAATAAATAAATAAGTTGCTGAATCAATTCTACCAATGCTAGGATCTATAAAAGTTTCTGCAGAACCTCTGCCATGTTTATAAGACATACAAGTTCCTTAGTATACCCCAGTGGTCCATTTGGCATGCATATAATGCTGCCAATAACTTGCCACAGAAGCAACAACTTAATTCAGAAACTGAATTTCATACACTTTAGTACTTTACAATCCTTACAATTCTTTTTTTTTTTTTTTTTTTGTTTTTTTTCTCTATTTACTATTCCTTTAATTCAAGATAAAAAAAATTAGCCAAGTTTGGCTAGAGCAGACAGTGCGTGTGCTCCCCCACTCTACAACCCGTCATAAATTGATACATCCATTTATGCCACAAACTGAAAGAGCACAATGAATGGTATTTGCTACACGAGACCAGGGAACAAAATTTCCATAACACAGAAGCAGATCAGAATGTGGAAGAAGAATGAACAAGGCATAAACCAATAAAAGTCTCATAAATTATGCTAGAAAAAAGCAAACAACCTTTTGAATGTACATATTACTCTTCTATAAGAACTAACAGATCTACTCTTCGAGAAAAAGACTACTTGTAGAATATCATATACAAAAATCATATGAAGAAGAACCATAAGCAATGTTCTTCCTCTCAAGTTGATCTGTTGAGATCAAGCCGAGGTTTCTTCATCATTGGCAATGGGACAACAGAATTGCACCTAGGACATTTCGGGTTATTTCTCATTATCAGTACATAAGATAAGCAACCAGGACACCCTGCTGCAAATGGTGATGCAAATAGTTTTTCCTCACTCTCTTCCTCCTGAGTTTCTTTGATGGATGACGAAGACGATGAGTACGATGGTGATGATGACAACGATGACTTCCACATCGACGAAGATCGCCTCTTGATCGGTTCTTTCTCTGCCCTTTCGAGGGCTGATTTTACTTTATCCAAAGTGCATAGGCTCTGGTAATTGCGTGAGGGTGGTGATGAGGGAACTAATTTTAATTCCAGGCTGGTGCTTGTGTCATCAAAGAGACTTAATGGGATTTTTGAGGAGGATGATGGAGGGAAATTTAAATCTTGCATCTTTGGAACTGTTGGATTGGTTTGGTTCTTCTGATCTGAGATTGAAAGTGAATTTGGAGCACTGCACCTTTGAAGATACACTTTCCCAGACTGCAGCAATCAATATGCAATATGTTAATTACAGAAATAAAATAAAATAAACGAATTGCTCACAATTAATTTACTCATGACATAAAAGATAGTTTTAAAGAATCTACAATGGGATTAGAACTTGCAGAGCATTGAAGAACATCACCAAAATAATTGACAGAATACACAAATATATCCTTTTGCTATTAATTACAGTTTGTTTTTTAAATATTATATTTTTCAAGCAATAGCAATAAACTATTAGAAAAAGATTGTTCATCTTGAGGATATTCATAAACATCAAAAGGCTCTGTTCGACTGCAGGGGAAACTCAAGTCAGGAATGAAAAGAAGAAGAAAAATACTGTTATATTGAATTTCAAAAGCTATAATGGACCGCAGGAAAAAAGAAGAAGAAAACATTGATAATGGAAAAACAATATTATGATAAATTGAAAATCTTATGAGAATTAAAGAAATGGACCGCAGAAAGCTACAAGATTTCCTATACTCCAATACTATCTGTTTCTCGGCAACCAAACACACAGCTAAAGATAACAGAAAATTCCAAAACAAGGAATTAGATTGAGAAAATACAAATAAAATACAGCCAATTGCAGTCAAACCATGAATGAAACAGAACATGTCATGAAATCAGAATTCAAAGCAACCAAATCAAAAACAAGAACACAACCATACAGCAACACGAAAATCAAGTTCCCAAGAAATGTCAAATCTTTCCCAGGAAAATTAGGACAGCAAACTGTTCCATTAATTCCCAGGAAACAAACAGACCCATTTGAGAAAATAGACCAACCTTCAAGTCCAAGCGCTTTTCCCAGCCATTAGGGACCTGCAAGTCGAGGTCCAGTTCCTGGGACTCGTTAGCAAGCTTGGAAGAAGACCCACCACCAAGCAAGTCTCGTGTAATCAAAGCCGTTGATTTCTCCCCACTAGAATCACTCCCCAAACTCAGATGTTGATCGTCGCTGTACCCATTTAGAACCCGAAACAGAGAGCTCACGTCAGCAGCCATTACTGGGACTTCACACACCTTCTTTTCTGAGAGAGAGAGAGAGAGAGAGAGAGAGAGGGAGACCGAGGGGTTCTTGGGAGTATATAGAGCTGAACTATATATGGTAGTAAATATAGCCCGTTATGTAATATTTGCAATTAAATTAAAATAATAATAATATTATTATTTATTGATTGCCTTCGATATTTTCTAGTATTAAAATTAGTTTGAATTTGAATTAAGCTAATAATAAAGCTTATTAAATTTGATTAATTGATTCATTTAATGTTTGTGTTATTAATTGATGGGGCTGTGGGAGGAGGGGGTGGGAAGAGAATTCAAGGAAAGGAGGCACCTAAAGTTATGGTGGCATTCAATGCTTTTGGAAAACTAATAGCCTCTCCTTTGGCTTTAATTCAATGTTTTTTTACTTTTTTTACAATAACTTTTAAAATTATTTCTTTATACGTGGATATTATAAATAAATAATATATTTTTAATTTGGAGATTTCTTATAGGTTTCTGATTTCCTTCTAATAAGCTCTTAAATGAAGTGGAAATGGCTCGTTTGAGAGTGCTTCTGAAAATACTAAAAGCGTTTTCTGACAATCGAAAGTGCTTTTGACGGCGTTTGATAGAAAAGTTTAGAAGAGCTTTTAGGTCATAAAAGAGCTTTTTGGAAAAGCACTTGCCATGTGCTTCTTTAGGAAGCACTTTGATTTGTTATGAAATTTTCAACAACTTTATAATAAAAACACTTTTGTTAGAAGCACTTATGAGTAGAAGTGCTTCCTAGAGAAGCAGTCCCAAACGAGCCCGCAAATTGTTTAGAAAGTGCTTTTGACATTTTCAAGATGAGTGAACAAGATTTTGACACGTTTGCAAATATAATGATATTGCTGTGTTTGGAAATTAATCTTTAAATTCAAGAACAGGATTGATATAGAACTCTCGCTGAATAGGGGTAATCTAGGTCCCAGATCTCCAATAGAATTAATTAATATTTATTTTTTAAAATATTTAAACTCTAATAATATATTTAGCTGAAAAGAAAATACCACGTGACATGATAGAGGCTTCAAGTGTGCCACAAAATGCAAACTTTTAAGCCTAGTTTTGGCTTGATAGAGATAGATAGAGTAGTTGAATGATATATATATATGAAGAAATAACTATGTAGTTTTTGTTTTGTTTTGGTTTTTTTTTGAGAAAAAAGGTAGATTTCATTTCAATAGAAAGTGGAAACATTGTGCATGTTTCGCATGGCCTCGTTAAAACCTTATAAAAAACACCACATAAAAAAAACTCCAAGAGTAAAAAAAAAAGTACCACAAGAGTACGTATCTAAAGCTTTAGGAACTCTGTTGGGTCTGTAACCCATTCCTCCACTTCCCGGAAGTACATAGCATAGCGAGCCAAACGAGTTGCCACCTCATTAGCAGTCATCTCCGTGTGACTCAATAAGGTACTCTCCTGTCTAGCCAATAGTGTTTTACAATCCTCAATTAAGCATCCTAGGTGGGACATATCAGCTTGGCCTAGTTCATGTATAGTTGAATATTTTTTATTTTTTTTAAATACAATCGATAGTTTAAATTATAAAGGGAAATAAGGTTTTTCACACACGCACTATAAGGGTGCCATTGAAGTTTGAATGTGAAATCACTAGTGTACAAGTCAATGTCATTTTCTATTGAGCTATATCCATCGGCTATAGTGAACTTTTTGAATTGGTCCTGCTTCTTTAATATTGAAATATATATATATATTAGAAAAAAAAAAGTATTTTTTAAAGAGTAGAAAATATAACATAGATTGATACGAAAAAGGTTGTTATGTGCTTCATTTATTAGTATTAATATGGAATTAACGACTCTTAATAGGTGCCGTATAAGCATTAATCTCATATTTTATGAACAATGTTAGTGAAAATTAAATGAACATTGAATTGGTTACAGAGAGGATTGCATGCATGAAGCAGCTAGCATCAATTCAAAAGGTTCATTTCATAGTGTATTGATTTAATTAATTAATTTATATTCCATAGTATTTAGCATTGGGTTTGTATTTATATTAGGAGGATATTATTACTATATACTTTTTAGGCAGATAAATAAAGTCGCACAAGTATTAAAGATGAACCCTTTATTGAAAAAGGCCATAATCATTTATTAAATTTAATTAGAAAGATTCAAGATGGAAGCTTGAAGCTTGAAGGTGCATGTATGCAGAGTGAAGAGAGTCTAACTAGGGTCGTCACACATGCAAACAAATCTCAACCGTTTATTAATGAGCGAGTGACGCGAATGAAATTCACATACATGAATAGCCGAGATTAAAAGGGGAACTGTAATCTCATTTCTTCTAGTCCCAACTGCTGATTTCCTTGTGGCCATACATATGATATCTTCGAACCACGAAGCTTCTGAGTTTTTGGGCTTGATGGTGTTGTGTTGATCATGACCTGTAATTAAGTTGTGGATGGATATTAGTTGGTTGATAAGTTCTAGGCTTGTAATTAAGTGTGATTAGCTACAGGTTGATTGTTTCATTAAATGCTCACTTATTTAATGAGTTAGGGGAGAATTCAAAGAATAGAGGGCATGCAAGTTATGATGGCATTAAATGCAAAAAAATACTGGTAGATATATATTGGCCTCTTTAATTGGAGAAACACTTATGTGCAACGGGGATATCACTGTTTTGTTATTCCCGCCCAATCACGTTATGTCACGCGTGATAATTTTTTCACTTAATAGAATATGATTGGTCGGAAGTAGCAAAACAGTGTTATCCCCGTTTCATATACGTTTTTTCTACGTCAACTGGGCATAACTTCTTTTTTGTCCCTTTTTACTTGAGAAGTTGAATAATATTATGTTAAATATCATTTGTTGGCCATAAATCCTTTGTTGAAATGTAATAGTATAAAATTCATTTTTTTAATATATAATTTAATCCTTTATAAAAAATACTAGAAAATATTAAACTAATTTCAATGTATTTATTTATGCTTGTTACTTCATAAATATCTAATGCTTAGCTAGGTGCATGCAGAGTTCGTTATGTACGAAGCTTGTTTTTAATTATATATATAATTATATTTTAAATAGATGATAGTCTTGAAATAAATTTAGAGTACTAATTTGATAACCTAACATTATAATAAAGAAATTGTCAAACTTTCTTCTGAAAAAATTGTCAAACTTTGTACGGACATGATAATAACGAAAGAAGCCATGTAGTAATGAGCCTTGCGTGCAGGAAGATAAGAGGTACACAATTGAATTGAATACTTTTGAGTTTTTGCATTTGAAGAAAATATTTATAGCCTAAAAGTATAAGAAAAAAATAAGTAGGCATTTATCTTTGTCGATGCATTTAGGCTAAGGAAGGTACATTATTTAATATGCATTTCAATGCTACAATTAATATTGCAAAAGACCAGTTGGATGACGGATTCATGACGTTTAGAGCACCTCCACTCCAAAAAGTAAGAGCAAGATTTGTTATTATTTATGTGAATAGTAGCAACCCTTGCCTTTTTGTTTCCACCCCAAAGAGCAAGGGCAATTACTATTCAAATGAGATATGAAGAGATGAATTTGTATAAATTTTTTATGTGGAAAGTAAATAATATGACTAGATATTTATAAATAAATAAATAAATAATTCCGGATTTTTTTTTTTTTTTTTTTTTTTTTTTTATGTTCATGATGACGTCAGCATTGTATCATTTTGCCCAGGCAGCAGCTCAAGCTAAATTTGCCCGTGAGCTTGCCTGGGCTCGTGGGACCCAACCCTTACCTGGGCTAGACTTGTTGTGCTGGAGCTGCAACTTGGCCTGGGCTCCCTCATACCCAGGCAAGTCATAAGTGGTGGAGGCATTGGCAGATCCACAGAGGCGCAAGGAGGTGCAACTGCACCTCCCCTAGCCGAAAGCTTCTTTTGGGATGCCGGAATTTGCCCCTTTGTCAGTGACCACCAATTGTTCGACTAAATGCCTCAAATACGTTGTTTTGTTTGCTGCTAAGTGAGACCCTGAATATTTACCTTAGATTGTTGGGCTCGATCTCATGAGCATGTAGGAGAAAACGGTTCATCAATCGGAGCTCCACAACCAAAGTTATGAATTTTCTAAGTTTTTATAGAATATGTGAAGTTAAGTTGCAGAGCCACAGTTCGAGGAAGAAGAAGACTCTGTCAACACTTCTCTTTTTTTTAAAAAAAAAATGGTCCAATAGCAAGTTGAAATATGTCTATTTCTAATTGGCCTAACTTAAAAAATTCATTAAAAACTCATATGCGTTCCGAAAAATTCACCGAAAATTACCTCGAACTTTTAATCACGTGTACTTTTATCTCGTGACCTCCAAATCACATGTGCTTTTGGTTAGATTAATTGGCATTGATTTTGGTTAGATTAATTGGTATTGACTTTTGTTAGATTAATTATGTAATTGATATGGATTTTGTTCATATTTGATATGAATTTTGGTAAACTAATTGTGTCACTGACAAGGATTTTGTTCATATTAATTGATATTCCATATAGACTATAATCAATTAGTTATAGATGTAAAACTCTTATTGTTTTAATTATGAATGACATTAGGTTTGTTTAAATTCTAAGGGCATTTGGTTGTCTAAATTAGTTTTTGAATTTTTAGCCTTTTTTTTTTTTTATAATTATTTTTTTTTTATAACACACTACACGGATGTTAGTACTTCAATCCAGGACCTTGCTTGAGTCCTTTGCGAATTTTTAGCCCTTCAAATATTGCACCTCCCCTGAAAAATTCCTGGATCCGCCATTGGGTGGAGATGCTCTTAGTCAGGATATTCTGCCTCTAGTTGTTTTGCCATGAAATTATGTGTTGAGGCCCAATGAACTCCACTTTTTTAATATTAATAAAATACATGCCAAGAGGGTGCCATGTGTTGAGGCCCAAAAAATCTTAAGAGGAGCCCAAGTGTATTTCAAGCTCAATGCGGTGTCTTATTATAAAGGAGGCTCGTTTAGGGTATATAGAAACTCGTCAAACATGGCTATAAGGTGCTTACACAAGCTTTGATACTCGTGTCATGCCGTAAAAATATAACTATACACATGGGGTGGTCACAACGAGCCCACAAGAATGCACCGGTTCCATAAACCCAAGCTTATTACTTCAACAAGTATGACCTAACATGGCTTTAAGCCATTGCAATCCAACGAACCTTGAGCACAAACACAATCATGCGAGTAATAGGAAAAGCCTAGCAATCCCCCTATTTAGTGACAAACTACTAGACAAGCTTAAGTGGGTATAAGCCACATAAATGATTGGGGCTTGTTGAGCATGTTGTGATGTGGATTGGTACAAGAGTCCAGAAAGCCTACTAAGGGTCCAAAAGGTGGATGTTTTGGGCTGCTTGGGGGCACCAAAACCCAAGCCCATTTTCTTGAGCCCCACTACCTAAGTAAGTAGAGAGAGATTCCAACACTTTTTTGTTAATCACTTCTCCATATAATCACGTTAAGTGGTTTTAAAGAGAAGCAAGAAGAACGTTGGAGTTGATTCTCATCATAAGTGATTCTAGCCCTTCTAGGAACCCAGTGGAAAAAGACATTGACTTGCAAGCCAGTGGTCTTATGTTCAAATTCCCATAATGTTGGTAATGTATGTGTGAGAAATCTCATTTCCTTATTATAGATTATCAATTGCATTAAAAAAAAAATTGATAATTGGGTAATAATTTAGGGGCATCGGTGGAGAAAGTCGATTATATATATAAAATATATTAGTAGAATAGAAACCAACCACAGCACGCTGGTCATCCACAGCACGCTGTTTTAGATATCCCAAAACTCTCTCTCTCTCAGACAGAAACCAAAAAAATGCAGATTTTCGTGAAAACCCTAACTGGAAAGACCATCACTCTTGAGGTTGAGAGCAGTGACACCATCGACAATGTCAAAGCCAAGATCCAGGTACTGTTTCTCTCTTCCTCTTTCTCTTTCTCATTCCTTGTTGTAGATTTTCATCTTATTTATTTGTTTTTGTTGGAGGAAAATCTATAATTTGTGGAAAGATTTGTGCAAAATATAATTATGGTTAAAGTTTATAGAAAGATTGAGTTGCTGTATTAGGATTTTGTAATTCGCTTTAATATTAGAATTATTAGTCTTAGTTGTTATGAGAGCATATACATCATAGACCATTCAATGGTCTTATAACAAAAGGAAGGCTTATTTAGTAACAGGGAAAGATATAAAAGAAATTATATTTTGTAGAAGATGCTTTGTATTAGAGAAACTTGAAAGATGGCAATTCATGTGGCTGACAAAATTTGACTAGGACAAAAATAAGGATGATTGATTGTGATCTTGCTGATGAAGATATGTTTAGTATTTAAATGTTTTTGGTTGGAGAGAAAAAAAGACTGAAAATTTGATTTTGAATATAATGATTTAGGTTCTTCTTTGATAGGGATCAGTGCCAAGTGCTTATCTTTTGGTCTTGTGACAAGACACATTGAATTTTCTTGGTGTATGATGATAATGTGTTAATTTATAGACTAGAGGAGTAAATGCTACATTAGAGTTGTGGAGATAAGTTATACAATCAAAACTTTTTAAGACAAGTAGATCTAGGATTCAATATATGGAAGAAAAATGAAGAACCACAAGCAGGGAGGCGGTGAAAATTGATGGTTAGGAGACTACGAAAAGGTGAAGAGTTTTTCTATCTAGGCTCAATTGTTCATAGAGAGGGATTGATTGGAACTGACGTGGCTCCTATAACCAAAGCATGATGTGTGAAATGGAGGAGTGTGTCGAGCATATTATGTGATCATCATATACCTGTAGAATTGAAAGGTAGGTTTTGTAGGAAAACTATCAGACTAACCATGCTATGTGGGATAAAATATTGAGCAGTTAAAAAATAATATGTTCATATAATGAGTGTGGAAGATAGGATGGATGTATGAGAAGGCAAGGATAGGAGTCAAAATGTTAAACTAGCACTAGCTGGAAAAAGGAGAGAGAGTTGTGTATGGTGATTTGGATATGTTCAGTTACCACCAACAGATGCACCGATTAATGCTAGTGGAAGAGGAAGACGTAACATGGGTAGAGTAGAGGCGATTAAAGAAAATATACGATAGCATGCGACTTACATGAAAAGGCCTTAGGATAGGATGGAATGGAGGACCATGGTTCATGTAGCCGACCCAAATAGTTGGAACAAGGTTCTGTTGTATTTGACATTGAAGGTTGTAATTTGCGTTTGATACACATTCAATCCTTTGGTTCACTGAATTTTATCGTTTAAAATTGAGTTTTTATTTTTATTTTTATTTTTAACAAGTGAAATAGAAAAGATTTAGTGCGATTAAGAGTGATTAAGAATGATAGATGCAGGGTTTTTGTTTTGGTATTTTCTTTTTACTATAGGTGCATATGGTGTTAGCAACTTGACCTTATATTCAGAATGGAGAAGGAATTAGTTTGTGTTGTGGGCATTATTATTTTAGGGTTCCTGTTGATACCGAAATTTCAAAATCAAATTTTTGCTATTTATGTATAGCTAGCCTATTCTGTCAGTGGTTTAGGGAAAGTAAGAGATACCCTATTTGAAGTGGCAGACTGGCAATCAATGGCCTTGCTTCCATCCAATTGCTTGAGGAGTTCTTATTGTTTAGTTTAGGGGTTAGGGGTCTAATGTCTTTGGTATCTGAATGTCCATTGGGTATATAAAAGAAAAAACATCATGACTAGAACAGGCAAATAGCATTTATAGGAGAAAATATATTAATCATCGAGACAGATTAGTAGAAATTTTTTTGGTGAGTTGTGATTAGATTAAGATGATCGTTTGCTCCTTAACATGTAGTTTTTTTGAGCGATTTTTCTTACATTCCCTTTATTTTTATTCATCCAGGGGAGTTCTTTTTGTTGTATGGGATTGCTTGATAACACATATATGTTTGTGTTCAGGATAAGGAAGGCATCCCTCCTGACCAACAAAGATTGATTTTTGCTGGTAAGCAATTGGAAGATGGTCGAACTCTTGCAGATTATAACATCCAAAAGGAGTCAACGCTTCACTTGGTTTTGAGGCTGAGGGGAGGAACTATGATTAAGGTGAAGACTCTTACTGGGAAAGAAATTGAGATTGACATTGAACCAAATGATACCATTGACCGGATCAAGGAAAGGGTTGAGGAGAAAGAGGGAATCCCCCCTGTGCAACAAAGGTATGCTTCTTTATATTCAATGTAACAACAATAACATATGATAAATTAACTAAACAATTGAGAACTCAAAAGTAATTTCTGGTTTACAAACCAGCCATTCTACGCCGGTGTCCAATATCAAGTGATTGTTGTCTGTCGTCATTTCATTTACGTGTGGCAAAGATCTTGTTGGCTTCACAACTGTTTTTGTAGGCTTATTTATGCTGGGAAGCAGCTTGGAGATGACAAAACAGCTAAGGACTACAACATTGAAGGTGGCTCTGTCCTTCATCTGGTGCTTGCTCTAAGGGGTGGCAATCTTTAAGTATATTTATCGGTTTCAAGCTCAGAGCTGCCTTTTGAGCAAAGGCCCAAGGGGCGATGGTTTCAAATCCGGGGAGGGCCTAAAAATATTTTATTTGTATTTGTGGAAAATATTAGAAAAGCCCAAAAAGGTATGTTTGTGAGTGTAAAGAGGCCCAAAAAGTTAAAAGGTCAAATATAATCAAGCTCAGATTCATCTGTTCCGACTTCAATCGTCCAGCTCTGTGGTTTCTTTCTTCTATTGATGTCTTCAAAGTTTAAACTTTTTATACTCAAAGATTGTCACCATGTTGAACTCTGGCGCATTACCTCGAATGTGTTTTTGATATATCTATCTAATGATAAGAATAAAAGAATATAAGCCAATGGATATATTGAACCGAGAGTTATGTTTAGTAAATCATCAAGTTTTTATTACAATGGAGGGATCGAATCGAACCCACGATCCATTAAAATCAAATTAACAAGTTAGCATTGAGTGGTCTCTCTAAACCCTAGCCTCCCTTCTATCTATCAAACCTCTTTTGCCGTGTTTCGGGGTGGGGGAAGGAGGTCACTCCTCTACTCTATCTTTCTTTCTTTTTTCCTTACCTCCCCACTTATTTTCCCTTTCCCCATCTACTGAATTTGGGATTTTAATTGTGGGGAGGTTACTTGTGTCTAGATCTGCTTGAATTTGTGATTTTGTTGGTTGGTGTTTTAGTTGTAAAGTGACTGGCTGCAATCTCAGTGGTGTTCTCTGTCTCCAAGACGACGACGACGTTTGTAGTGGTGGTGGCAACAACGGCTCTAGTGGCTTTGTTGGTTTTTGGTTGTTTGTTTGCAATTTTCTTATCTTGTAATAATTGCATTAACTCCTTTTGAGTTGGGTGTTTGATTGTTTTCTAGTCTCTACTTGTATTTTGTACTTGTGAGAGTTAAAAGTTGTAGTTGTATTGGTAGATTTGGATGTTGTGTTCATGTCTTGTTTGTTCAAGCATGCGGCTTTTATCTCGAAATTTCTCTGGTCTTTTGTGGCCTGTATTTGAATTAACCCTATGTGGTGACTATGCTTTTATATATGTATTTCCCATTTATGGGCATTTGTATTTGCCCTTGTGGATGATGGTCTTTGGCAGGGACGGACCAGCATTTCAAAATGAGGGGGGCTAGATTTACCTTACTGGACTGTTAGATTTTAGGCTCGACAAAACCCTTAAGGGAGGCAGATAGAATTGATCATAAATATATATAAATTTAATATGAGAACATATCATTTTTATTTTATTTGTTTAAAAGGCCTATTTTACACCAACAATGCTAGCAACTTTTCATTATATATGCTTAAACATTAACACTAACTATAAGAAAAGAGAAAAAACCAACCTGGGCTATAGCCTAGGTTGTACATGGCATGAGTCCGTCCCTAGTCTTTGTGACTAATTTATGAATACAATTTTTGCTTTCCTCTCCAAAAAAAGGGGAAAAAAAAGTCAATTGAGGTATATTTCAGTTGGTTGAGCTCTTCCACATCCACCCATATAAGTAAAGGTTCGAAACCCACAGACACCCAATAAATATTTATGTAAACCCTCCTCCCCAAATTACTTGTACTAAAAAACAAATTTTTTGAAAGAATATAAAATGTCTCACAAAATAATATTTCATTGAAATGAAAAAGGAAAAAAAATGGTCATTGGTTCTGTTCTAACTAACTCCTCCAACGGTTGGAATATGAAAAATGAAAGAAAATTATTTGAATCTCCATGATTTTGGAAACCCATTGCAATGAAAGAAAATACTTTGAATCTTGTGTTTTCCAACTCACTCATTTTCATTTACTATCTATGTAAATTATATACATATGGTTGGTTCCACAACTAATGTCCAAAAAAGACAATGCATTGTTATGCAAATTACCATATAAAACGATGTACCTTATATACTCATATTGTTTTCTTTTTTGGTATATGCCCACATTAATCTTACCATATTCCATTTAATTATGTCCAAATTCATTGGCAAACTGAAATCCAAAAGGTATTTTCTACAACATAATTTTATATTCATCTCGAGTTTTCTTGTCTTTTATAGTTCTTGAATAATAATGCTCTCCGATTTAATTAGGAATGAAGACGAAGGATGACAATTATAATACTTAAAACTGTTGATAAAAAATAAAAAAAAAATTAAGGAAGAGTGATGTAAATTTTAAATATATGTTTATGGGTTTGATAAATATATATAGAGCGTTATCTACAACATGGTACTAATATATATTCTTTAATTTTTTTTTATTAAATGAAAGCCTTCTCCATCTTTTTGGCAATTTATAGTGGCCTCAAATTAATTAGGATTTTAGTGAGCCATTATTTGTCTACGGTCAATGACCAATGACCAATCAAATTGTGTATGAAAAATTCAAAGTGATAGTATATTGTTTAATGGGCTAAATGTATCACTGAATGAGCTATGATGACTCGACGAATAAGGTATTTTCTGGGGTTTATACTAAATACGAGTTCGTTTTGTAACCGAACTCTGAAATGAAAGCCTTGTCTTGTGCAACTTATTCATTTCTATTTACTTGATATGTGAAGGTATATGATTTTTGTGTGTGAAGGTATATGATTTCTTTGTCTATAAATTTCAAACTTTTCTGCTACGATTTACAATGAAAAATCAGGAATTACATTAGGCCATGCACCATGCTGCCCCCTTTGAACAATGATGAACATATATACAATTGTCTGACTTCTCTTAAACATATGTCACACTTAAGTTTAATTAATCCACTTTTGAATGGATAATGTAGATTATAATGAATTTATTTTGAGTGACGATGTACCAATGTCAACAATACATCCCACCCAACTCAAGAATGTTTTAGTAATTTCATTTGAAAAATAAACGGCATGCAATATTAAGTCTCCCATTCTGAACTAAAATGACCAAAGTGAGTGTGACATAGATTATTTTTGTAAAAAACAAATAGGGTTTTGACATTTGTCAAATTCCGAACTCTTTTCAGACACAAACTCTTATAACAAATTTCTGCCCTCAAATTTCAAGCTCACTAAAAAAACTCACACAGATTTATTAAGGGCATGCCACATGGCGCTTACTCTTTTCCCACATAAGCTACACGTCATGCAAATGATAATATTCTTTCTCTCTCTCTCTCTCCCTCCGACCACTTGTCCATGTCATAGTCATAAAAAGTCTTAGTGGTTAGTAGATTCTACTAACCAAACAGAAAGATGTCAATATTAGGTACCAAATGGTAAAAGCCATATAATGTTAGTTTCCCTAACAAGAGACTTAAAGAGTTAATATTTAATGTTATTTTAGGGTCTTTTTCAAATGGTTAGACTTTCTTAGACCGCTCAATGTAGATTGCATGGGGCAGGGTTTTGGCATAAGAAATTATATTAAAATATCACTTGTCAATTTATTTAAATACTATATTCAAAGGCACTAAACTTGGGCGGGTGACCTAATCATATATATATGCCAAGGTTTTGTCACCATGGCGTTTCATGATCATATGCACACAGTGTTTAACTCCACTTGCTATATTGTATATGATAAAATTTGGTAGATTAATCAAACAAGGGAGTAGGTCATTTGATTGACACGAGGGAAGTACATAGTTTTGTGACTTGATGGGACTTGGTCAAATTTTTTGCCATTTTTAATTGATAATTTCAGTTACGGAAGAAATGTGATCAGTAAATGTGTTACAAATAATTTCATTTGTGCTCGAACTCGTATTGCATGTATTCCTACAAATTAATTATGTATGGTGCTTATTTACGTATAACCGACACATGATTGATAATATGAAATTGGCATTTGAATTGTTTATGTTTCTGACTTTTCTTGCGTTTACTAGCATGCGTATTGGAATCATTTCAATTCATGACTTCCCATGCATTCGGGGATCCCATACCCATTTATTCTCTCACTTATTCATGACTTTTCCTACTTATAACTTCATTCATTCCAAACAAGTAAACATATGACATGTCACGATACATTTCATTTTTCAACTGCTTTTAACGTGACCATTTTAATTTTCTAGCATCGATGTGCTTCAAAAGCTTGAACCTCTCTTGATATTGTAAGATAATGTACTTAAGTCGTCCTTTTAAATTGATAAAATGATGGTGATGACTTTAATTTTCAAGTTACGGGTAAAATTTGGTGAGTTACATTGCGTAAAGTTGTAAGACTTTCGTACAAAGTTCTTTGCTTCATTACACGACTTGATTTAAAAACGAGCATAGCACTGTAGCATATGCAATAAAACGAACCAGTCAAACATGAAAGCAAATTGGGCAGGTCTCATACCTACACTTGGAAAAGCTGATTGGTGCCAAAATTTCCCTTCCAGATGTTGTCTTATTAATTAACTGTCTGAATCCAAACTTAATTCAAATCGATGGCTGACTTGCGTGCGATGACTGTAAAGTTAGAGATGACATCTGGCATAGTGGAATCTAGGTCTTGAGTTCACATCTTAATTGACAAGAGGCCTTCATGCCCTCTCAAATTAAAAAAAACTTACCTATACCAGAGATACCACTGTGGCGCTATTTTAAACTAATCATTTATTGTTATGCATTTTATTTTTCTAACATGACAATATAATTTTCCGACATGATACGTGATAGGTTTGGAATATGACCGCGATGACATCCCTGTTACATGTAGTTTTTCTCCCTCTCAAACAGATGAAATGAGAACGAACCATCAACCATGCAAGCATGAGTTTTGCTTCTAATGAAGAAACATTCATTTTTTAAAAATCTCATCATTTTTTGAATAAAATGGAGAGCCTACATTGCACATCAAATCAAATGCTACACATACAAAAAATAGAAAGAAAGAAGAAGACAAAAACATGATATATATATTGAGCAGAGAATCCCATCCAGCCGATGTGGAGCAAAGAAGAAAAAAGTTTGTGATATTCTCATGCAAAATGTTAAATATCTAAAATCTTTTGGGTGTCACATCATTTGCTCTACAAAGACATGGTATAATATTGGGTGTATTTTGTCCAAAGGAAAAAAAAACTTATGCTATTTATTTTGGAAATTATTAACTTGCCATGTGTACCATTGGCCCAGTAGGATATGCTATTAATTTTTTATTACTCGAAATGGAAAAATATCCTGCAGTCTAGAATCTGGATTATACCAAAAGGGCCACAATAATAAATTTCAATTTATTGAGGAAAAAAGGCATCACAAGCCTAACATCAAAGAAAACTATTTACACTATCTCAACTGACCCTCAAACATATTATCTTCTTAATTATAAAGGTGAGAGCACTCTCGTAGTGAATCTCACATCGATAGGTTTTACTTGTATTAGAGAGATGATTTTATTTTTATTAGTTTTATCTATATTAGAGACATTATACATTGTATACGGTAAAAGTTTCAACTCAAAATCAAAGCACCCAAAAGTCTTGGATATTTGATTATAATTGTGGAAAATGATGTTTTTTTGGCTGAAGTGGATTGCTATGTGTGAATACAGTAAATTAATTAACTATTATATCATCATTGTTTGAGATTACATTTTCATCAGTGTGAGATATTCTTAGAATTTTAGGCTCAAGCATTACCAGTACTACATAACAGATAGTGAGCAATAAATTAAAAAGGAATAAAATTATAGATATTTAGTAATCATCCTGGATCTCCTATTTATTATACAGCATAGAGTTCCCCACTCTGAGTCTGAGGCATGAACCTTGTGGCCTTGCCCTATATAAACATTCCTGGACACATCTATCACTATCACTCCCTCCCTATATATACGATGAAGAGAGTGATACATAAGTGAATTTCTCATATGTGCACAAGAAAGAAAAAACATCATAAGTGAGAGAGTAGTGCGAGAGTCTAAGAGAAACATTAGAGAGAGAGAGAGAGAGAAAGAGAAAGAGAGATGGGAAAGGGAAGAACACCATGTTGTGATAAGAACAAAGTGAAGAGGGGTCCTTGGAGCCCTGCTGAGGACTTGAGGCTTATAACTTTCATTCAGAAGAATGGCCATGATAACTGGAGGGCTCTCCCTAAGCAAGCAGGTAATAATAATCTCAATCAATTATTGAGTTTCTCTCTCTCTAATTTCTCTGATCTCTCTCTCTCTCTCTCTCTCTCTCTCTCTCTCTCTCTCATTGGTGATATGATGATGGTCATAGATATGCCATGGATAAGAAAATCACATGGTGTTCATAACAAGTTTTCAAATTCTTGATAAAGAATTCCCAGAAGAATTGAATATCGATTCATTCATTTCATATGTGGACCCTGTAATTTTGGAATCTCATTGAACGTCCCTTTCATAACAATGATCCCCAATTCCTTTTGTTAATCATCTGTTTACAACTTAAGATGGCATTCCCTTCAATTTTGTTTATTTTTTCCATATGCATTGCATTCTTGCTTATATTTTAGCTGGGGTTTCTTACTTTTGAATGATAACGGCGATATCAAGTTTAGTTTAATGATAGAGTACTCATCTTACGCCAGCTCAAAGTTTGAATTTTAACACTCTCCTTTTCAAGCATTACATTTTCTAAACAATTCCCAAATTTTGAATTTAGAACAATGAGTTTGGCGTTACTTAATTTGCTTTTACTCCTATGGCATAAAATGACCGGATGCCACTTTTTAGACATTGGGTTGACTTGGATTTTTCTAGTCGCCTAAAAAGCAGAAAACAAGGCAAGTTTGAAAGTTTTTAACGTGTTTTTCCTGTTTATTCCACCTTTAAATATAACTTTTATTACGGATATAACTTTTTGTTTTGGTGGAAGGGGATACAAAATTAGTGATTACCATATTTATACAACTAATCGTTGGTATTGCATATCTCCCTAACTCATGATGACCATGCCAGCTTTGGAGAATTCTATTCGAATTTATCAAATTTTCATATATTTCAATGTACCTAATTTTACGAAAATACTAATAAACAAACTTTCCCTTTGACCTAACTTATTTTCTTGAAAATTATGAATTTCTTTCAAATTTTACTTACGATAAATTAGTTAGTAATACTAATACCCCATAAGGTATGTAACGGTGTTACGATGACGAGTGAAAAATTCTCGCATAGTTATGATAAATTGTGAGTGCATACTTAGTATGGTAAACGTTGGTCCTAATGTTGAATTGTCATGATAGGGAGAGGTTTCCTAACTTATATAAAATTGTCACATCTGGGTTTATGCTGTGGTTGGAAAATCTTACCAATTACCAAGAAATGTCAAGTTAGGAATTGAGAACAAGTGCCTGGCGATTTACAGTCACATCAGATTTCCTCTAAGTCTTTGCATGGCTATTAGATGAATGTCCCTTTCTCCTCTTTTTCTTTCCCACCAACATTAAATATATGTTTAATATTTGAATAATCATTAAAAACAATACTTTTTATGTTTTGAAGGTTTGCTGAGATGTGGGAAAAGTTGCCGTTTGAGATGGATTAATTACCTCAGGCCTGATCTCAAGCGAGGGAACTTCACTAGAGAGGAAGAGGACTCCATAATTAGGCTGCATGAAGCCTGGGGAAACAAGTAAGGTTCTAATAAATCTTAAAAATGTAATTAGTAAGTTAGTTTAATCACTTACTTATACACGGGTTAATGCTATTTGTTACCAAGATTGGAAGATATCCCAAGATCGAATTCTCTCTCTCGTCGATTAAAAATTTTAATTATATTGTGCAGGTGGTCAAAATTGCCTCTCAGTTTCCAGGAAGAACAGATAATGAGATTAAGAATGTGTGGAACACCATCTGAAGAAAAAATTGGGTTTCAAGAACTCTGAATTTTGTGGAGATGAATCAAAGGAGTTATCTTCTATAACTCCTCTTCCTCATCATCTTCCTCTAGTGCTTCATTTTTGTCTGGTGGAAAACCAAGTGTTGCAGGAGAGCTTGAGCATCAATCAGCTGACCAAGAAAACTAGCATGGCCAACAACAACCCTCATCATGATCCATGCATTTTGACAATTCCAGAGGAGCTTGATCTGGATTCTCCATGGAATTAATAAATCAATTTAGGCCTGATCCCAAGGACTTGAAAGAGTTGACCAGCTCTTCTGTTTCCTCCAATGAATCAAATGGCTCAAGTTCCAGCCAACTTGATATTTCAAGGCCATCAGAAGAGCAAATGGATTTTCTGTTTGACTTTTCAGACCTAATTATGATATTCCATTGGAGCCTGACTCAGACTTTTGGAACACGTTTGATGGGTTTGTGCCATTGCAGTCAAATGAAGTCCAATTAAATCAGGCTGAGGCTTGCAAGAGTTCAAAACTATGGACAACATGAAAATGAGAAGTGGCTTAGTTACTTGGAAAGTGAGCTTGGACTGGATCAGCCAACTGCAGATAGTACTGGCGAGGAGTTTTTAGCACAGGTCACAACTGGACAATTACTCCCAGAGACCTTTCAGTGTGACAAAATGCCAAACCCTGCTGCAGAGTTTGACCAGAGCTTGGATTACTTTCAAATGTGGCCTTCTTTGCCCACACAACAATTCCTCCATTTAATTTAGTAATGTTACTGATACTTAGTTGAGTCCTCCTAACTACAGATCAAAATTTCAAATAGGGTTTTGCTTATGTTTTGATGGAATTTTTTAGATGATTTTCCTGATTTATCTTAGAACACAGTGTAGGTTGAACAAACATATCATTTTTCGGTGAATAATATTCGCTCAGTTATTATAATATTTTCTAATTATATATGCGTAAGTGTCGTCATTATATCGTTACATATAGTGTTCTGAGAGAAAAAATTTTTTTTTTTTTTTTTTTTTTTTTTTTTTTTTTTTTTTTTTTTTTTTTTTTTTTTTTTTTTTTTTTTTTTTTTTTTTTTTTTTTTTTTTTTTTTTTTTTTTTTTTTTTTTTTTTTTTTTTTTTTTTTTTTTTTTTTTTTTTTTTTTTTTTTTTTTTTTTTTTTTTTTTTTTTTTTTTTTTTTTTTTTTTTTTTTTTTTTTTTTTTTTTTTTTTTTTTTTTTTTTTTTTTTTTTTTTTTTTTTTTTTTTTTTTTTTTTTTTTTTTTTTTTTTTTTTTTTTTTTTTTTTTTTTTTTTTTTTTTTTTTTTTTTTTTTTTTTTTTTTTTTTTTTTTTTTTTTTTTTTTTTTTTTTTTTTTTTTTTTTTTTTTTTTTTTTTTTTTTTTTTTTTTTCTCTCTCCTCCTCTTTCTCTCTCTATCTCGTCTCTCCGCTCCTCTCTCTCTCTCTCTCTTCTCTCTCTCTAATTGGTGAATGATGATGTCTTAGATATCCCAGGATAAGAAAATCACATGGTGTTCATAACAAGTTTTCAAATTCTTGATAAAGAATTCCCAGAAGAATGAATATCGATTCATTCATTTCATATGTGGACCCTGTAATTTTGGAATCTCATTGAACGTCCCTTTCATAACAATGATCCCCAATTCCTTTTGTTAATCATCTGTTTACAACTTAAGATGGCATTCCCTTCAATTTTGTTTATTTTTTCCATATGCATTGCATTCTTGCTTATATTTTAGCTGGGGTTTCTTACTTTTGAATGATAACGGCGATATCAAGTTTAGTTTTAATGATAGAGTACTCATCTTACGCCAGCTCAAAGTTTGAATTTTAACACTCTCCTTTTCAAGCATTACATTTTCTAAACAATTCCCAAATTTTGAATTTAGAACAATGAGTTTGGCGTTACTTAATTTGCTTTTACTCCTATGGCATAAAATGACCGGATGCCACTTTTTAGACATTGGGGTTGACTTGGATTTTTCTAGTCGCCTAAAAAGCAGAAAACAAGGCAAGTTTGAAAGTTTTTAACGTGTTTTTCCTGTTTATTCCACCTTTAAATATAACTTTTATTACGGATATAACTTTTTGTTTTGGTGGAAGGGGATACAAAATTAGTGATTACCATATTTATACAACTAATCGTTGGTATTGCATATCTCCCTAACTCATGATGACCATGCCAGCTTTGGAGGAATTCTATTCGAATTTATCAAATTTTCATATATTTCAATGTACCTAATTTACGAAAATACTAATAAACAAACTTTCCCTTTGACCTAACTTATTTTCTTGAAAAATTATGAATTTCTTTCAAATTTTACTTACGATAAATTAGTTAGTAATACTAATACCCCATAAGGTATGTAACGGTGTTACGATGACGAGTGAAAAATTCTCGCATAGTTATGATAAATTGTGAGTGCATACTTAGTATGGTAAACGTTGGTCCTAATGTTGAATTGTCATGATAGGGAGAGGTTTCCTAACTTATATAAAATTGTCACATCTGGGTTTATGCTGTGGTTGGAAAATCTTACCAATTACCAAGAAATGTCAAGTTAGGAATTGAGAACAAGTGCCTGGCGATTTACAGTCACATCAGATTTCCTCTAAGTCTTTGCATGGCTATTAGATGAATGTCCCTTTCTCCTCTTTTTCTTTCCCACCAACATTAAATATATGTATTTAATATTTGATAATCATTAAAAACAATACTTTTTATGTTTTGAAGGTTTGCTGAGATGTGGGAAAAGTTGCCGTTTGAGATGGATTAATTACCTCAGGCCTGATCTCAAGCGAGGGAACTTCACTAGAGAGGAAGAGGACTCCATAATTAGGCTGCATGAAGCCTGGGGAAACAAGTAAGGTTCTAATAAATCTTAAAAAATGTAATTAGTAAGTTAGTTTAATCACTTACTTATACACGGGTTAATGCTATTTGTTACCAAGATTGGAAGATATCCCAAGATCGAATTCTCTCTCTCGTCGATTAAAAATATTTAATTTATATTGTGCAGGTGGTCAAAAATTGCCTCTCAGTTTCCAGGAAGAACAGATAATGAGATTAAGAATGTGTGGAACACTCATCTGAAGAAAAAATTGGGTTTCAAGAACTCTGAATTTTGTGGAGATGAATCAAAGGAGTTATCTTCTATAACCTCCTCTTCCTCATCATCTTCCTCTAGTGCTTCATTTTTGTCTGGTGGAAAACCAAGTGTTGCAGGAGAGCTTGAGCATCAATCAGCTGACCAAGAAACTAGCATGGCCAACAACAACCCTCATCATGATCCATGCATTTTGACAATTCCAGAGGAGCTTGATCTGGATTCTCCAATGGAATTAATAAATCATTTAGGCCTGATCCCAAGGACTTGAAAGAGTTGACCAGCTCTTCTGTTTCCTCCAATGAATCAAATGGCTCAAGTTCCAGCCAACTTGATATTTCAAGGCCATCAGAAGAGCAAATGGATTTTCTGTTTGACTTTTCAGAACCTAATTATGATATTCCATTGGAGCCTGACTCAGACTTTGGAACACGTTTGATGGGTTTGTGCCATTGCAGTCAAATGAAGTCCAATTAAATCAGGCTGAGGCTTGCAAGAGTTCAAACTATGGACAACATGAAAATGAGAAGTGGCTTAGTTACTTGGAAAGTGAGCTTGGACTGGATCAGCCAACTGCAGATAGTACTGGCGAGGAGTTTTTAGCACAGGTCACAACTGGACAATTACTCCCAGAGACCTTTCAGTGTGACAAAATGCCAAACCCTGCTGCAGAGTTTGACCAGAGCTTGGATTACTTTCAAATGTGGCCTTCTTTGCCACACAACAATTCCTCCATTTAATTTAGTAATGTTACTGATACTTAGTTGAGTCCTCCTAACTACAGATCAAAATTTCAAATAGGGTTTTGCTTATGTTTTGATGGGAATTTTTTAGATGATTTTCCTGATTTATCTTAGAACACAGTGTAGGTTGAACAAACATATCATTTTTCGTGAATAATTATTCGCTCAGTTATTATAATATTTTCTAATTATATATGCGTAAGTGTCGTCATTATATCGTTACATATACGTGTTCTGAGAGAAAAAATTATAAATAAAAAATCCTCATTTTTCATGGGATGATTGCCCAACATCTTCGAGTGGGTGGGTGATTGTCCCCACTTACAGCAATTTATTTTGACAATATAATAACTTCAAAGTACAATGTAAGCTTGACAAGTAGCTAGGTAGCAAATTCGCATCCTCCTAGAATCAAGGCAATCGACCTCTTTGATTTGAGCTTTATATGAAATTTCAGTAAAAGAAGACAGGCAACTAATAAAAGCAATTGAACCTCAAGTTGACCGTGAAAAAGATGTGACATACCCAAAAAAACAAAAAAGGCTGAGAGGTATGTAATTGTGCTAGGTAGCCTAGTCAATCATTTGAAGGATATCTTACCAAACTAGAGAATGTGACAATTTTCAATTTAGTGCATTGTTTTACACGGAAAATGACGTATAATTCAAGTCATGTTAACATCTCCATTGACATAGCATGCTAAACTCGCTAAAAACCACAAACAAAAGTGTCGGTTACAGCCAATAGTGTAATAAAGTTACATGATGTAATGTGTACGAAATGATGAGTCATTTATGAATAGGCGTAATCTGACTGTTGATGCATTATGAATCTCGCATGCATGAATTGACATAAATCGTGAGGCTCACCATAACATAACTTGTTTTTAAGTGCACTTACACATGAATTATTTTCCTTTAACTGAATAGATATCACATATACTAAAATGTAACCAATTTTTTTTTCCATTTTATTGGAGAGCAAAGTAATGTTCTCTAATTTTTACATATATATGAATTGTATGACTAACCGTAGCATATCTTGAAACTTATTTTAAAGTGCACTTATGTACTCCCAAAAAAAAGCACTTATGTATTAATTAAATCGATATCACATTTAATAAAATATGTAACCAACTTGTTTCCATGTAATCTTTATGGCCATTTATCTCACACATGCATGAATTGGTTATGCCAATACCTACCTCATGTGTCATTTTACCTCATGGTTTGACTGCATTAAATAGCTTAGCTTGGTCCAATGAACAAGTACTTTCTTACATTGGGGAAAAAAATAGATTTTATTGCTAGAGATTTTCTCTATTTATCATGGAGAATGATATTGTTATTAAATGTGTAGTAAACATGCTGGTATTTGTATGTTTGGCCAAATCCACGAATGGGAGTGAAGGTACATTTATGTACCGCATTGTGTACTACTTCTAATAGACGTAGATCCCATATGATATACAAAGTGATCTCGAAAACATTTCCTAGATTTATTTTTAGTATTTCTAAGAGCCATCACTTGTCGCCAAAAAGAAATTGTCTTATATAATATAAACACCATTGTGTAGGTTGAACAAACCCTTTTTATAGTCAAGATATTGACATTAAATAGATATTTTTTCTTCTTCTTAATTTTCTAATTCTATTGTCCAATTGAATTCAAGTTTGTAGATTCAACAAAAGCACAAGTTAATCATTTATTTATTTATTTTTTCTTTTGTTTCACACATTAATCATCATCTAATTGATGACTAATTAACTTAGTGGGTAGGTGATAATCTCCACTTACTCCCATTAGTGTAACATTTTTCTTTCATGTCCCAACTCATCCAAGGAATTTAGGGCAAACATAACTTGGACAGTATAGTCAAAGCCAAACCACCGAGTTCAAATTTACCTTAGTAAAAAAAATATGTAAAAAACAGAAGAAAAAGAAAGCAAGATAACCACTTAAACCCTTTCACGTATAATTAACTAGATAATTAATTTCTAAACATACTAATTAAGCAGATGGTCCTCTATTGCTGCCATGTGAAAGGTACAATGTATTTGACCATATATGTGGTCTTTATCTTGGCTTTCATAACCTTTGAATTCAGTCCTGAATTACTATTAGACGAAAACTAGTTTTTTTTTTGGGGGTCTCTGCAAGAAGAAAGAGGCGGTCATATGTCGAAGTTAATGTACTATAATCCACTACAATCATTATACATATGATCCAAACATGATTTGTGGTCGGCTTTAGTTAGTCAATCCATTCGTGTGGGATTGTAAGAATTTTCGGAAATCATTGTAGAAATGAGATACAATATGATGATACGTTGATTCAGCACGTGGTTGTTGTTGCATTTCAAATATGCTGACCTTTAATTGTACCATAAAGTCAATAAGAAAAAAATCGGTTAAAAACGAGACATTGAAACATGAAAGAATCAAGTTAAATATAAGAAATCGGAAAATCTGTAAAATATAAGGAGCAAATTAGCGGATAAAATGAAGAAAGATCACCCATTTCAATATAAACCCAGTTAGTAAAATACAATTGTTCACTTTTCTTGTGAACTTGTTTTATCATTCAAAGTGATTTTGTTGTTGTATAGAAAAATTCTAATAAAAAATTTCATTAAACAGAAAAAAGCCTAGACACGTGGCAGCCCACAAGGCCCAACATGAGGTCGAGATGGATCCTTGCTGAGCCCAGGGTTAAGAATAATTGGATAGGTTCCGGGGCCTCCAATGGGTCGGGTTTAACGGCCCGGGAAAACTTGAACCGGACGTTAACCCGTTTTGGGTTATTTTTGCCAAAAAATAGGAACTCCTAGAAACCGTCTTTCAATTTCGCGGTTCTCAAGTCCCCGTCATCGTCTCTCTGCAGTCTGCAATGGTGGAAATCGATGAAATCGTCGGCCCAGCGGAAGAAGAAAGAAGCAGGGTGTTTACTCAGCTAAAAGTCTACTGCTTTGAGCTTCTGGAGCTTCTCCAAAACCCTAAGAAGCATTCCTCTGCTCTCTCTTCTTTGCTTCATTTCCTTCGCCAGTCTCCCTCTCACGCTCTCCAGCCCTTCTTCGAGTAAGCACTGTACTCCTCTGTGAAAATTTTGCTTCTTTGCCTGAAATTTGCAGCCTTTCTATGCTTAAATGCCATCATGAGCAGAAAGCTTTCTAAAAGATGTATCTACATGTTTATAAATATATATACATGTTTGTATATATATCTGCTTCAATGTGCATGTTTTAGTCTTTATATACTTGTATGCATTAGTATGTAACGGTGAGGTGAGATTTTGACTGTTGGATGAATCATCCGTAACTTGATCGAGTTTGTTGCCTTAATAATTTGAAATTAAAGCCTAAATGTGTTTGGTTTTAAGTTTTAGTGATTGGTACAATGTTCGAAGGTTGGGTGAGTTAATGGAGTTGACGGAATTTGGTTGCTGTGTATTGTAGGAAACCAAATTCCTCACCCCAGTTGCACATAACTTTATCTCAGCCTATCCTAGCTATACTCATTGGTTAGAGGGCACAAATTACGTCATTCTTATTCAAATTGTTTTTTAATTTAGTTGAGTGCTATATTGATATGATATGATCTGGGTGGTGGAGGAGCAAAATCTTCACTTTGTCACTAATGGACTTCATGTCTCATTGTTCAATTTCATAATGAATCTCGTTCCTGGTGATCCACACCTGAGGAAACATGGTTTCATCACTTATACTTGTCGTACAAACTTGTAAAAGAATTCAAAATGTGTGTGTATAATTATGTGTAAGCATTATTTTCTTGACATCTTTGTTTACCTTTCAGCTATACTTTGTTTCCCTTGCTGCTTCTATTGGATGCGGCTGTCGACTGTAGAACCTCAAAGAAGCTTGGTTCCAAAGAAGAAGTTGTGAGCTCTAATGTCTCAAAAAGGCCCCAAAAAGTGAGTGATAGTGTTGCTGAAGGTGTGCTTCAGTGCCTGGAGGAACTTCTCAAGAAGTGTCTTTTAGGATCTGCAGATCAGGTAATCCGTTTTGACTGACAATTGCTTGGACCTGTTCCACATTACGTACATGTAGATTTACTAATTACTTAGACAAACTTTAATAGGATGATTGTTGCTATTCTTCATCCAAAATAAATCCATGTACTGATGGACTCTGAAAAATATTGGTGTGTGTGTAAACAAGGTGCTATACCTAACTGAGCTATAGCCCTTGTGATACATATTTTATCATGTAGATAATTTCTTGTCAAGATGAATAATATTACATGATCCAACATTATATCCCTTTGATCTGTTTGATTGGGTTTGCTTATAATTAACATTACATTTGTAATATGTCAATGTTTTAAACCTTCAAATTGGGACGTGTAGAAAAGATTGAGAATTAATTGTAAAGTTCCCCTCCTGCAATTAGCTTATTTGTACTCTTTGCATTGCATGGATGGAGACATTGTGTGTCTTATTCTGTGCCTCCTCACGCTTAATAAAATGTTATATTTCCTATAAAAAAAATGGTATGGTTTTGCTATGAGTTCAAAATTGGCTTATATGTTGTATGAATGCGTTTGTTCATGTGAATTATTGCCCTAGAACTGGTACGTTATACTTGCATCACCTTTTGAACCTGGTCTTTTCATTTGAAGTGCAATAATGTCCTTTTGCAGATGGTTGTAGTGCTGAAAAAATTGACTTATGGGGCTTTGCTTTCTCCATCTGATGCGTCAGAAGAGTTTCGTGAAGGAGTTGTTAAGTGTTTCAAGGCAATGCTTTTGAATTTACTTCCATGCTCTGATGAGTCCTGTGCATGTAAACAAATCTTTGGCATGCCTATGCTTTTAGAAAACAGAGACTTAAAAGATCCTCTCAGTAGATCTTCAAAGTACGATTCAGAACCAGATGAATGTTTACTTGCATTTCTACAATCACAAGCTGCTTCTGCAGCTGTCGGACACTGGGCTGTCTCTTCTTCTCAATGTATGTTAAATTGTTTGTGTAAAAATTGAATATCCTGTATCATTTGAAGTTTTCATATTTTATTTATTTCCTTTGTGTTTTTATGAAAAGGCTGCAGATACTGAGGCTGCACGAGGACATCTAGGCAGTGCAAGGCTTCGTATTGAGGCCTTTATGACTCTGCGTGTGCTTGTTGCTAAGGTAATCTTTTGATTTCATGTAGGTTCTAACTATTTGTAGCTTTGGTTAATTTATAAATTTTGAATTTGTGTTTCCCTGTTTTTGCCCCCTCTTAATTTTACCCTGTGCTCATCCTTTAAAAAAGCTTAAATACTTTGTTTGACACTTTATGAACCAACTGGTGTGCTTAACAAGAAACGAACTATACTTAGCCATGTATTTCATTTTAAATACTTTATTTTCCTGACCTTTTATTTTAGAGTGTGTTTACAACATCGACTTTGAATGGTAAAAATATCACATTTTGTTTCATTTATTTATTTTTGCTAGTCTCAAGCATGACAATCAGTTCTTTATTTTGGTGTGTTATTCGCACATGAACAGACCTTTACAGGTTCTGAAATTTTTTGGGTATGATAAACATCCTTCACTGCAAATTGCAATCCTAAAAGTCAGTACCTTTGGGTTAGTTTGATTCAGAATATTTTTTCCCTACAGGTTGGTACTGCTGATGCATTAGCCTTCTTTTTACCTGGTGTTGTTAGTCAATTTGCCAAAGTTTTGCATGCCTCGAAAACAATGACCAGTGGGGCTGCAGGAAGCGGGGATGCAATTGATCAAGCAGTTAGAGGTTTGGCTGAGTATCTGATGATAGTTCTGCAGGATGATGCTAATTTATCTAGACTTGATATGTCCGTAACGGTTACTTCTGAGTCCAATTTAAAAAACTATGAATCTACACAATCTTTAATGGATGAGCTCCGTAAGTTGCCTGTTAAGGCACATGGTCCAAGTAAAATGGTAATGGAAGATTCAAGTAATAAAGTGATTCCAACTACTTCCCAATCTGAGAAGAAAACTGATTCTGGCAAAGGCGATAGATCTTTGCATGTGGATCGTACGAATGATTGGATTGAGAAAACTTCAATCCATGTGGATAAACTTTTGGGTGCAACTTTTCGACATGTACGTTCTTTCGTTTCAGTTGCTACAAGTTAATTATTGTGCATAGGCAATTTACATCATTTCCAATCTTGCAATGTTTTCTTTCTGAAATTTGAGTGCTTTTATTCAATTAGTAAATCCTTCAATTGTTTGTTAGATTTGCATTCATCCAGCAAAAAAAGTGAGGCAAGGGCTCCTGGCTTCCATACGAGGACTGTTGTCAAAGTGCGTCTATACGCTAAGGCAGAGTAGACAAATGCTTCTGGTTACTGAAAATTATATTTGTGTTTTTGTGCTTATGATTCGTTTTCACTCTCATTGCATATATACTAAAGTTGATGCATTTGCCTTGCATGATATAAATAGAATTGAGTGCATACTTTTTTTTTTCCTTTTCCAGTTACAGAGTGCACTTTTTGACTTGTTTAACTTGTGAACATGTCTGGTGTGTGAGTTGGTTCTTGAGATTCGTATATTTAGTTAAAATTGTGCGAGTTGGTTCTTGAGATTCTTATATTTAGTTAAAATTGTGCAAGTGTTGAGTGTCAGTTTTTGGTCTGAAATGTTGAGTACATCCTTGATTCCTACAACCAGGAAACATATTTCATGCAGTTCTGTTTCTCATAATGTCCATGCTCTGTGCTTGACAAACACCCTGGTTGGACAACTGTCTTGAATTTTGTGTGTGGGATGCATATCCCATCAGGTCCTGATCTGGTACTTCATGCATGCTTGAGGTTTTTTGGTTTTTTTGTTTTTTTTTTTTGGTATTCATTCGTCTTCCACTGCTTCTGTATTCTGGCTGTTCTTGAATCTAATGTGTCTTCAACATGTCTTATCTCCAGCTGAAGCAAAGAAGCTTCCGTTTCTTGTTCTGATCATTCTTTTTACTTATCAGCATGTTCATTGTCCTGAATTAAATCAATTTGCTTTGATTTATAAGGGCTAAACTTGAACTTCCAGTTCAAGCTAACATATGTCTTGCTACTACTCATGCAGGAGTGCTTATGTGCTTTGGTTATTGATGACTCTGAAGAGGTGTCTGCAGGTGCACAAGAATCCCTTCGGAATTTATTCACATTGATTGGAGAAAATCAATTGGGACATGATGTTGCTCAGATTTTTACCAGGTTTGTGCTTCATTTGATATTAGACAAAATATTGGGTGTAGTTGGTCCTGCCCTTTCGAAAGGAAAAAATTCTTACAAGAACTTAATTATGTTACCAGGCTCATTGATAAGCTTCCAAAAGTGGTGCTTGGGAGTGAGGAATCACTTGCACTATCACACGCTCAGCAGTTACTTGTAATAATGTATTATTCTGGTCCTCAGTTTGTGGTGGATCACATCCTTCAGTCTCCAGTATGTGTGTATTTTCTTGGTAACTTTAGCATGTATGTTTTGAGTTACAAGTGAGCTTTATCCAGTTGATATTTCTAATATTGATAATTTATATCTTCATATATAAATATAAAACCACCTCTTAAAAAAAATTTGTAAGATTCTTTGTTTTCCAAGTTCAGCAAAACAAACTTCTTTAACTGCATGCTTGATCGTATATATGTCATGTAATTTGGAGAAAAAAGATAAAAAAAAACTTTAGTTTAAAACAAAAATTACGGACAACCTTTGTGATTGACCTATGTTTTACTATATCATCAGTAATTGACAAAAATTTATACTCGTAGCTATACTTTCATAAAACAAAAAGATGTCTTTTTTTCTTTGTTAAATTATGAATACTTCATGCCTCTGTAAATTATCGTCTAATCTCTGAACTACAGTTTGTTCACATAATAAAATATTTCAAGAGTTTTCAATGTAGAAAGAAAAAGGTCTAGGCCAGGCATAATGTCTGTTATTGTCGTATGTAAATCTGACATGCATTTATTTCTCATAGTCCGTATAGTTTCAGTTTGAAGTTCTTTATTCTTGCTTATGACATTTTTTTCCTTGGGAATGCCTAGGTAACAGCTACTCGTTTCCTGGACATTTTTTCTGTTTGTATGAGTCAGAATTCGGTATTTGCTGGTTCTCTTGATAAGCTTATTAAATCGAGGTCATCCTCAGTAGTTTACCTTGACTCTCTATCTGAGTTGAAGGCTGGAACTAACATTACCAGCGATTGCCTGACAATCATGGCTGCTGTTCCTCAAAATTCAAAGATAAAAGACATCCAGGAGAAAGGTATACCATATGCATCAAATGATGCACAGAAGAATTATGAGCTTCCGCACATGCCTCCTTGGTTTTTTCACATTGGAAGTCGAAAACTATACGAAGCTCTTTCAGGAATTCTTAGACTCATAGGTTTATCCTTGATGGCAGGTAATTTCAGCTCTTTACATTGAATTGTTTGGTTTCAACTTTCAACTTACATCCTCATTGCGCTGTACTGACATCAGGGTTTTCATGTTTCCTTCCTTGCTAGATATAAAAAATGGGCAGCATCTGTCACTCATTACTGAAATTCCACTGGGTTGCTTGCGTAAATTAGTTTCTGAGATTCGTATGAAGGATTATAACAAAGCCAGTTGGCCATCATGGTATAATAGAACTGGTTCAGGACAGTTACTGCGCCAGGCAAGCACTGCTGTATGTATTCTGAATGAGATGATATTTGGTATATCTGATCAAGCCACTGATTTTTTCACAAGGATATTTCCAAACTCAAGAAAAAGAAGGAAAGAGGTTCGGGAATCTGGTGCAGGGTTTGCTGGTGGCCAACCTTTTGAAATCGAATCTTCTGTCCTTTGTGAATCTAGTTGGAAGGTTTTACAAGATGAGGGTTTAAGGAGTCACTTGATTGACTGTATTGGTAGAATTTTACATGAGTATCTATCTCATGAAGTATGGGAACTTCCAACTGAACATAAATCTTCGGGCATACATCCTGACCATGAAGCTGAAGATGTTAGTGTAAACTTCTTTCAGGACACAGCTATGCTACACCAGGTAATATACATTTTTCTCCACCTACTGCGCATAAAATGCAGTGAATCTTGCATCAGTCTTGTTTTGTTCAGTAGATGTACAATAAATCACTGTAGCTTTGTTTTTCTCAAACAGGTTACTATTGAAGGAATAGGCATAATCAGTATCTGCCTTGGAGGAGATTTTGCTTCTAGTGGATTTCTTCATCAATCCCTTTATATGTTGCTTGAGAATCTCGTTTCTTCAAACTATCATGTTAGAAGTGCTTCCGATGCTGTATTACATATCTTGGCTGCTTCATCTGGCTATCCAACAGTGAGTCAGTGCAGCATACACAATCTCATTTTGTTCCAGTTTTTCAGATTCAATTGTCTGGCCTATGACATTTCCATTTTTATTGTCTTGTAGGTTGGACACCTAGTACTAGCGAATGCAGACTATGTGATTGATTCAATATGTCGGCAATTACGCCATTTGGATATTAACCCTCATGTACCAAATGTGCTCGCTGCCATGCTTTCCTATATTGGAGTGGCTTATAAGATTTTGCCTCTATTTGAGGAGCCGGTACACCCATGACCCCTTGATGCTGATAAATGCTAAGGGCACCTTAAATGTTCAATTTTCTGATGCATGTTGATAGGGCAACTGATATGCTCAATTTTCCTTCTGATTATCTTAGAAAATATAGTCCTTCTTAGCATGATCTGTTTTGATATTTTTATTACTTTGAACATGATGTCAAGTCCTCTATTGGTTCACATAGATGTTTTAGCCCCTACTTCTTTCTTTCCCCTTTTTTTCCTTTTATTTGGGGGGCACGTGGTGGTGAAATTGCAGTGCTAAGCTGTGTTCCTATTATGCAGATGCGCTCTGTTTCTGTGGAGCTTGAGATTCTTGGCAGGCATCAGCACCCTGAATTGACCATTCCCTTTTTAAAGGTCATCTTTTTATTGTTTGGTCATTCTATTTATTTGGGTTTTTTATGGTAGTTTTGGTTGCTATTCCAAATTTACCAGGAGCTGTACTAAAGAATGCTACAATCTCTTTTTCTTTTACTTTAAAGATTGTATTTTACAAGAATCCCTTCTCATTCAGCAACTAAAATCATCTCATTGCTTACCTGGTGGTTTGGTAAATTTTTCTGAGTTGGGGAAATGGGCAAGAACTGCATTACTTACCTAAATTATTTTGCTCTGTATTCCTGGGAAAGTGGAGGAAAGAAAAGGATATGGATTATTAAGTATCATAGGCAGGTATTTCAGCTTCAATAATAAGCTAGTTTAAGAAACACAAAGTATCTGTATTAAGTTGAGTTTGGTGAAGTTTTCAATTTCAAAAACACTATTTTTTCATTTCATCCCTTGATTAGAAAGGATAGGTTTCAGAATTATTATTCTTGTTTTATAAATGTATATTTTTAATTGGCATATTAAATTCATGTAAAACAGGATGCTTACATTTTCTTTAGTTGATCAGAAACAGTGGAAATGAATTGCCAAGAAAAATGGAATAGTAACACTGTATTTAGTTTATTTAGTCAGACAGAAATGTTATCGTGTTAATTCTTTTTTCTCTTTAGGCTGTAGCAGAAATTGCCAAGGCATCAAAGCAGGAGGCTTGTTCATTGCCGAGCCAAGCAGAGTCTTATTTGTTGGATGTCAAGGCTAGAATACATGATATGGAAAAGAAAGTTGATGATGACCTTCTTATGTCCCCCGTGGATTCAGGTAAACAGTTTTCTTTTCTGATATCTGCTTATTTTGATTGGGTTGAAAAATGATTTTTTTTTTCTTTTATGGTATTTGATTTGAGGTTTCCAGTCTAAATACTTTTCTTCAATAACTACTTTTTGGTTTTATTTTATGTTGTTGTGAGATTTTAGAGTGTATAATTTCTCAACTCAGCCAGTTATTGGCACGAGTCTCCTTAAGTTAATGTTCAATTCATTTCACACAACTTGTTAGTTTTGACAGAATATGATAATAGAGGTAGCATCTGAAACACAATGATTATAAGCATATTGTCATTGTCTGTACTCTGTATTATATTTGTCTTGGCAGTTAAATCTCTGGATCCTGCAATGTAAGTAATAGCGCTGAACTGTACCTTGTTTAATGAAATGTATTTTGCATGTAGAGCAATGGGAGAGCATTTTGTTTAAGCTGAATGATTCAAAGAGATATAGACGAACAGTTGGAGCTATTGCCAGTTCATGTATTATGGCTGCAACCCCTCTACTAGCTTCAGGAAGGCAAGCAGCTTGTCTGGTGGCCTTGGATATAGTCGAGGTAACTTTCTGCTCCATTTGTTTTCTGTCCCTTTCCGTTCTGTGGGGTTATGCATACAGATGCCAAGTAATTATGTGATAATGTGAACCATGAGAAGATCTTTTACCTTTCTTTTGCCTTCTTTTTTAATTTTATAAGATGCTTTACTCTTTTCTTACCAAGATACGGCTACTATCTTAATTTTGATTGGTAGTAGCTGTGCGTTTTGCTTGTCCATCCAATGATGAATGAACACTTTCTTCCCCACTTCTATATATGAAGGATGGTGTTATGTCATTGGCAAAAGTGGAAGAGGCTTATCGCCATGAGAGAGCTGCTAAGGAAGCAATTGAAGAAGTGATTGAGTCATATTCACTATATTATCTCCAAGATATGTTGGATGCTGCTGATGAAGGGGCTGATGAGAACAGGTTGCTTCCAGCAATGAATAAAATCTGGCCTTTCCTGGTTATTTGTATTCGAAATAGAAATCCAGTGGTGCGTGACCATTCTTTCCCCTTGCTTGTTGTCTTAATCCTGCCTAGGCATTGCAATTTTTACTTGCTCTAGTCCTTTTGTGACTTGGACAAGACTCTTATGTTGATGGCTTTATATGCTTCCTTTTTAGCGGATTGTAACTCTTGTTGCCTATGGGTTTTCAGGCTGTTCGAAGATGTTTATGTGTGGTGAGCAACACAGTGCAAATTTGTGGAGGAGATTTCTTTTCACGACGCTTCCACACTGATGGCTCCCACTTCTGGAAACTTCTGTCTACCTCCCCATTCCATAGAAAGCCCAACTTAAAAGAAAAAATCCCTTTGCAACTTCCTTACAGAAGCACTTCCACTTCTTCGGAGGACTCCTTGGCCGAAACTTCTAATCTCAAAGTCCAGGTTGCAGTGCTCAACATGATTACTGAATTGTCACGAAACAGAAGGAGTGCTTCGGCATTGGAAGTTGTCCTCAAGAAGGTCAGCGGTCTTATGGTAGGGATTGCTTGTAGTGGCGTGGTTGGTCTCCGTGATGCATCTGTAAATGCCCTTCAGGGTCTTGCATCTATGGATCCTGATCTTATTTGGCTTCTTATAGCTGATGTTTACTATTCTATGAAGAAAAAAGACATACCTTCACCCCCAACATCAGACATACCTGAAATCTTCCAAATTCTGCCCCCACCCTCATCTCCAAAAGAGTACCTTTATGTGCAGTACGGAGGGCAGAGTTATGGTTTTGATGTTGACTTTCCTTCTGTGGAAACTGTTTTCAAGAAACTGCATGCACTCTAGTTTTTGTTAACCAAGGTGCAGTTAAAAGACTCTTGTTATCATAGTATATGTACAAATTGCTATTCATACGTTATGGTCGACGACCTCTTGTCTGTTCCCAATGTATAGGTTCGAGTTGCCAACTAATATATCTTAGGATCCGTTTGATAACCTTCTTGTTTTTGTTTTTCAATTTTTATATTTGAGTCATTTAGATATAGGCTCTTGAAGCTCAGGTAGTCTAAGACACAAGGTCATGAGCTTTCACTACTAAATGCGTCCTCAAATGGTTAGTGACCGGCCATACATGCCCTTTGTGTAGGTTCCAGTTGCCAGCCAGATGATCATACATGGATTGTTTAGTTTTTTTATATTTATTATTTCCATCGAATTTCTTAATTATAAGTAGTCTGTATCTAACATTTATTTTGACACTTACCCAGGGTTATTATCCGTATAAAGAATTTAATATTTTTTTCATTTAATACTTGTATATGCATGTATGTATGTATTTTTTAGTAATATTTCTGTTTTTCATATACATCTTAAAGACCCGGTAAAATACACATTTTTTAAGAACCATTTATAATACACATATTGTAGACATATGTATGTATTTTTCATGTTTACTTTTTTCCTTTGTTCTTTTTTGATAAATAGTATAGCCGAACGGCTATACTTGGGCTTTTTAAAAAAAATAGTACAGCTGACCGGCTATACCCTAAAAAAAAAAAAAAAAAAAAAAAAAAAAAAAAAAAAAGACCCCCCGCGATAGGCGGTTCTCTTTTTATTTATTTATTATTTCCTTAATAAAATAAATAGTATAGCCGCGCGGCTATACTATTGATCAAGATTCATATAGAACCAATATCGCAACATCAAAACGAAACGAAACAGAATTAACTGTGTCAAGTATTTTCAACAATTTCCACGATAGAATAACTGTGTCAAGTATAATCGAGTGTCTTTCTGAGATCTGTCAGTCATATATTGAAATATAGCATTAAAAATAAAAATATCCAAATACATGCTTGATTAAATGACAGACACCTCCGTACAAGAAGAAAGGGAATACCTAGCTATAGTAACCAAATGACCAGCAGATTGAACGTCACCCAAGGTAGCTACATTCGAAATTCGGAACAGACCTTCTTAAGTCCTTCTTAGAATATTGCTAGCTATAGTAACCAAATGACCAGCACAAGGCCTCCTCCGCACATCGAATATTGCTAGCTTGGTGAGACACCTTGCTCCAGAATAGGGCTGCTGCTCCACTGATTTTTTTATATATATGAAAAGTTCCAAGGTTTCTACCTCTAATTATATAGACTTAGGAAAGGAAACCGACTTAATCATTGGACTTCTTTCCTTCCTAGGTTTTACGCCCAAAAGTAATTTCTAATATTCAAAAAAGATATTCAAAAAAGACATCCATGATACATATCATACTACGTAGCTTTAAAACTAATGAAAAAAGTTTAGTTTTCATTTGATGATACATGAAGCTACAATCCATAGAATTTTCTATACTACAACAAAATTACTTCGAATGATAAAACAAGTTCACAAGAAAAGTGAACAATTGTATTTTACTAATTGGTTTTATATTGAAATGGGTGATCTTGCTTCATTCTATCCGCTAATTTGCTCCTTATATTTCACAGATTTTTCGATTTCTTATATTTAACTTGATTCTTTCATGTTTCAATATCTTATTTTTAAATGGTGTTTTTAACTTATTGCCTTTGTGGTACAACTAAAGATTAGCATATTTGAAATGCGACAACTAACACCGGTTGAATAAGCGTATCATCATTACCATGAATATTGTATCTCATTTCTACAATGATTTCCCAAAATTCTTACAATCCCGCACGAATGGATTTACTAACTAAAGCTAACCACAAATCATGTTTGGATCATATATATAATGATTGTAGTGGATTATAGTACATTAACTTTGACATATGACTGCCTCGTTCTTCTTGCGGAGACCCAAAAAAAAAAGAAAAAAGTTATCGTTGAATAGTAATTCAACATTGAATTCAGAGGTTTTGAAAGCCAAGTTAAAGACCACATTGTATTGTATACTTTATATCGCTCTTTCATATGGACAATTGGACTTCCAAAACATGGCAGCAAAAGATTACATGGAAACAAGTGCACTTTAAAATACATAAGTGCACTTTTTTTTTGGGAGTACATAAGTGCACTTTAAAATAAGTTTCGAGATATGCTACGGTCAATCACACGATTCATGTCCATGTAAAGATTAGAGAACACTACTTTGCTCTCCAATAAAATGGAAAAAAAATTTGGTTACATTTTATTAAATGTGATATCCATTCAGTTAAAGGAAAATAATTAATGTGCAAGTGCACTTTAAAATAAGTTTCGAGATATGTTACGGTGAGTCTCAAGATTCATGTCGATTCATGCATGCGAAATTCACAATTCATCAATGGTCAGGTTATGCCTACTAGTGAGCTTTTCATAATTTCATATACAATCCACTGTAGTTAATTTGGGTGGCTTAACTTTCAATGATCCCTAGTACCAATGTCTTATTTTCTCCATCATATGATTACAAAGTTGATCAGTGATTGAAAATGCCTACCTTTGTCATGAAAAACACAATATTCATCTCCTCCATGCTTCCTCATGTGGCACCCGAGCATCTTTTCAGAAAAAGAGAAAAGAAATGGAGATTCGTCGTTGAGTTTATGTCAAGATGTTGCCTGACAGTTGGGAATTCAAATGATTGCCGAGTATATATATCCACTGCATGTTTGTAAATGCTGCATTGCTCAGACATTGCCATCAACATTGACTCTATCTATGACGCCTAACTTTCTCCAGTAACTGTTGCATACACTCAGCAGAATGGACCAGATCACCTTCTGGAGTACTCAGCAGGGATGCTTATAAGATTTAAACACAAGCATAAATGCATTGCAAGCAACATCAAAGGGTACATATATGTTACCAGGAGCTAGCATCTTCAAAAGTGCGTGTGTCCCAATGTGATCAAGCGCAGATTTAATCCGATCATGCCCTTCAAGATCGACTTAGTGTGAGACAGCATTCCCCTTGTTCATAAGTTTCCACCAAAACAGCAGGATGCACAAGTGGATGCCAATTGGCAGCTTCCCTTGTCAAATGGGTAACTTGAGACATGATAAAAACTGCGAACTGCTGTACACTCTCATCCAATCTCCACCACTTTAAAGAAAGAATGAAGTTCGAAAGTTTTGCTACCAAAAGAGCACACGATGCACAAGTGGATACAAAGGCTTGGGGAAAGAGACATCCTTCCATACTTTTCCATTTCCTCTAGCAGGAAACGTATATATACTCCCTGTAGAATCTGTATTGGGGAAGACGGAGGCCAACTCTAACAATTGTCCGGTTCTGGACAGCTATGTTTCTCCAGGCTTGTAACAACGGCATTTGCAACTTTGCAAATATCAAGCCAATTAAATTAGCAGAATATATATATATATATATATTCATATTTCAAAAGGAAGAGCACTAACTATAAACAATTAAAGCCGATTGAATCATCAGGAAAAAAAAATAAATTAAAAAAAAACAAAAAACAAAAAAAAACTCGGCCTAGGCGCTAGGCGCCCGCCTAGGCGGCTCTGGGCCATTTTTTTGTTTCTATTTTTTTTTTCTGACTTGAAAGAAAACAAACCTCAGGCTGTTGCCTCATTCACCAAATTCAAGAAAATCAAGCTCTTTAATTACCAGAATATCTGGCTTGGATAAGAACCCATCCAGGTAGTTAATGGCAAGGTATGGTATGAAAGGGTTAAGGTTGCAAGAATATTGTGCCTGATAAATTACGCAAGAAGAGAGGAATTAACTGAAGAAACGAGAGTTTTCTGTGAAGACAATGGCGGTAACAAGAAGAGTAGGCAAGGATAACCCATGGCAGCCCCCGTGGCATCATCGCAATGGCATCAAGAGGCATGAGTGAGAAGCCTAACCGGAGGGGTATGCCATAAGTTCAGCAACAATCATCATAGCTATAGTCTGGGGCAGGATTTGACACTCATTACTACCAGAGCTAATGAGAGGACAGCCTGATTGGTGAGAGCTTATGCTTCAGACGATGGATCAACTTTCCGGGACACACTAACTGTTTAAATATAAACGTACAGCCGCTCGGCTATATTGTTTAATTTTATCGTATAGCCGCCCGGCCATACTGGGGTCCTTTTTTATTTTTGGCCTAGCCGAACGGCTATAATCTTTAAATGTGTGCAGGGATCCTTTTTAAAAAAAATAAATAGTACAGCCGATCGGCTATACACGTCTTTTTTTAAATAATTTTTGATCAATAGTATTGCCGCACGGATATGCTGTGGTGTTTATAAAGTAATAGTATAGCCGCGCGGCTCTACCGTTTTAATATAATAAATTTAAATCAGTAGTATAGCCGATCGGCTATAATCTTTAAAAAAAAAAAAAAAAAAAAAAAAAAAAACACCCACTCTCTCTACGGGTTCCCTTTTTTAAAACAATAAAAATCAATAGTATAGCCGATCGGCTATACCTGGGTCCTTTTTAAATTCTTTTAAATTAGTAGTATATCCGCTCGGCGATACTGGTTTTTTTGTTTTTTTGTTATCTTTTTTAATAAATGTAAAAGAGAATTTTAAAACAAAGAACCCAATATAGCCCTCTTTTATATCTGAAGGAGGGCACAACATTGGGAAGATGGATGCGAGTTCATTCAGTCTAGAGCCTTCACAACTTCAAGGAGACAGGGAATCCAGACCCAACTGTTTCTCCTAGTGTGGAAGTACAGATGAGACAAAAGGTAAGAGGCATAGACCTGTAGAAGATGAGGAAAGGAAGAGCAGAAGGGGTGATAAGGAGAAGTCAAAGGACAAGAAAAGGTCACATAAGCACTCGAAACACCATTCATTTAAAATTATTATGAACAATTTCGAATAAATGTATATCAATTCCATATGAGCATGAGGCGCGTACTTCATCATTTGAAATTATATGACTTTTTGGGTTTAGATTTTTTTTATCAGTTTGAACAATGTTGTATCAGTATATATTCTTCACTAGTTTAGGATGCTAGTACCAATGTCTTATTTTCTCCATCATATGATTACAAAGTTGATCAGTGATTGAAAGTGCCTACCTTTGTCATGAAAAACAGGTGAAGCGAATGGCCCTTTATATTATTAGTTCAGCAATCAAAGTACGTGAGCTTACATGTGCGATGTAAGTGCCACTGCTGGGAAAGACAATATTTATCTCCTCCATGCTTCCTCATGTGGCGCCCGAGCATCTTTTCAGAAAAAGAGAAAAGAAATGGAGATTCTTCGTTAAGTACGTGTCAAGATGTTGCATGACAGTTGGGAATTCAAATGATTGCCGAGTATATATCCACTGCATGTTTGTAAATGCTGCATTGCTCTGACATTGCCATCAACATTGACTCTATGACGCCTAACTTTCTCCAGTTTCTGCTGCATACACTCAGCAGGATGGACAGGATCACCTTCTGCAGTACCCCAGAAAGCAAATGCCTCCTCCACTTCCTGTAAAAAGAAGAAGATTAGAAACTTTGGCCAAATAAAGACTAAATCAAATACAAGGAAATGAAAAAAATCATATTCTATTTGTACTGCATCTGAGATGCAATTTGGCTATTCCCACCCCTCAATTCCCCTAGACTATAATTTTTTGAATTTAGATTAAGGAGGGAAACTTGTAACAGAAGTTTCTTGAGTTCATAATATCATTGCAGAACTGCATTTGTCTACAACCATAACACACACAGAGTGATGAACAAACGAAAAAAAAGGCATGAATGCTACACACACACACACACACACACACACACACACACATATATATATATATCACATATTTCAATTGTGCATGACAAAATTCACGCTTTGAGACAAGAAAGTATTAAACATTCAGGTATATCAACTGGTATAATTCACAAACTTTAAGACACACCAAGATGCTTTATAAGATTTAAACACAATTCAATCAAAATATAGTCCAAAAGCATAAATGCACTGCAAGCAACATCAAAGGTATATATATACATGAGCAAGCGCAGATTCAATCCGATCATGTCCTTCAAGATCATCGACATAGTGTGAGACAACATTCCCCTTGTGCATAAGTTTCCACCAAAACAGCAGGATGCACAAATGGACAACTTGAGACATAATAATAACTGCAAACTGCTGTATACTCTCATCCAATCTCTCCACCACTTTAAGGGAGGAATAGAGATTGATTATAACAAAATCTCTCCTAATCGGTTCGCCAACTCTAACAATTGTCCCATACTTGTCCGCTTCTGGAGAGCTGTGTTTCTCCAGGCTTGTAACAACGGCATTTGCAACTTTGCAAATATAAAGCCAATTAAATTAGCACAATATATATATTCATATTTCAAAAGGAAGAGCACCAACTATAACCAATTAAAGCCGATTGAATCATCGGGAAAAAAATAAAAATAAAAACCAAAAAACCAAAAAACTCGGCCTAGGCGCTAGGCGCCCGCCTAGGCGGCTCTGGGCCATTTTTTTGTGTTTTTTTTTCCTGACTTGAAAGAAAGCTAACCTCGGGCTATCGCCTCCTTCACCAAATTCAAGAAAATCAAGCTCTTTAATTACCAGAATATCTGGCTTGGATAAGAACCGATCCAGGTAGTTAATGGCAAGGTATGGTATGAAAGGGTTAAGGTTGCAAGAATATTGTGCCCGATAAATTACACAAGAAGAGAGAAATTAACTGACGAAACGAGAGTTTTCTGTGAAGACAATGGTAACAAGAAGAGTATGCAAGGATAACCCATGGCAGCCCGCGTGGCATCATCCCAATGGCATCAAGGGGCACGAGTGAGAAGCCTGCCCGGAGGGGTAAGCCATAAGTTCAGCAACTACCATCATAGGTATTGTCTGGGGCAGGATTTGACACTCATTACTACCAGAGCTAATGAGAGGACAGCCTGTTTGGTGAGAGCTTATGCTTCAGACGTTGGATCAACTTTCCGGAGGTCGGCAAGTGCTTAAATATAAAGTATAGCCGATCGGCTATACTCGGGTCAGGTTCAATATTTATTACTGAATGGTATAGCCGCAGGGCTATACTGTTCTATACTCTTAAAAGAATGACTTAATATTGATCTCACCAACACCCCAGTTATTTAAAAATTAGTTTCCATTTTAAAACTAGTATCAAACCAAACATGCATGGATGGATATATCTAAACTTGAAGGAAAGAACATGCATGTTTGTGAGATCAATATTCAAATTTTTAGTGTTACAGCTGTGAAATTCTATTCCCTGATCTTAAAATTCCCAGATAAAAATCTTCAAATTCCAAAGTTCTAAAAACAAGGAAAGAACAACTTGAATTTTCAGATTGAAAAACCCAGTCTCAAGATGCATATAGAAACCAATATCGCAACATCAAAACGAAACGAAACAGAATTAACTGTGTCAAGTATTTTTAGAGCCATCTTCACCTCAAGCATTTCAACAATTTCAAAGTATAATCGAGTGTCTTTCTGAGATCGGTCAGTCATATATTGAAATATAGCATTAAAAATAAAAATATTCAAATACATGCTTGATTATTCAAATACATGCTTGATTAAATGACAGACACCTCCGTACAAGAAGAAAGGGAATATGATTAGAGCCACAAGGCTCAAAGAAATCATAAATAATATCATGCCAGAAGCATATAGTAACCAAATGACTAAATGACATTCATGATGATACATATCATAATCTTGTGCTGGACTTAGTCTCACCTGAAAATGTTAACGAGTGCATCCGGTTGACTGATGAAGTCCATCTGCTTCCAGAAGACATGAAGCAAAAGTTGACAAGCTAGAGGTGAACTTTCAATGATTCTAGTACCAATGTCTTATTTTCTCCATCATATGATTACAAAGCTGATCAGTGATTGAAAGTGCCTACCTTTGTCATGAAAAACAGGTAAAGAGAATGGCCCTTCATAGTATTAGTTCAGCAATCAAAGAAATACGTGAGCTTACATGTGCAATGTAATGTAAGTGCCACTGCTGGGTAAGACAAAATTTATCTCCTCCATGCTTCCTCATGTCATGTGGCACCCGAGCATCTTTTCAGAAAAAGAGAAAAGAAATGGAGATTCTTCGTTTATTACATGTCAAGATGTTGCATGACAGTTGGGAATTCAAATGATTGCCGAGTATATATCGGCTGCATGTTTGTAAATGCTGCATTGCTCAGACATTGCCATCAACATTGACTCTATGACGCCAAACTTTCTCCAGTAACTGCTGCATACACTCAGCAGGATGGACCGGATCACCTTCTGGAGTACTCAGCAGGGATGCTCATAAGATTTAAACACAAGCATAAATGCATTGCAAGCAACATCAAAGGGTATATATATGTTACCAGGAGCTAGCATCTTCAAAAGTGCGTGTGTCCCAATGTGATCAAGCGCAGATTTAATCCGATCATGCCCTTCAAGATCATCAACATAGTGTGAGAGCATTCCCCTTGTTCGTAAGTTTCCACCAAAACAGCAGGATGCACAAGTGGATGCCAATTGGCAGATTCCCTTGTCAAATGGGCAACTTGAGACATGGTAAAAACTGCAAACTGCTGTACACTCTCATCCAATCTCCACCACAATATATATAACCAATTAAAGCCGATTGAATCATCGGGAAAAAATAAAATTCAAAAAACAAAAAACAAAAAAACTCGGCCTAGGCGCTAGGCGCCCGCCTAGGCGGCTCTGGGCCATTTTTTTGTTTGTATTTTTTTTTCTGACTTGGAAGAAAACAAACCTCCGGCTGTCGCCTCCTTCACCAAATTCAAGAAAATCAAGCTCTTTAATTACCAGAATATCTGGCTTGGATAAGAACCGATCCAGGTAGTTAATGGCAAGGTATGGTATGAAAGGGTTAAGGTTGCAAGAATATTGTGACTGATAAATTAAGCAAGAACAGAGAAATTAACTGAAGAAACGGGAGTTTTCTGTGAAGACAATGGTAACAAGAAGAGTATGCAAGGATAACTCATGGCAGCCCCCGTGGCATCATCGCAATGGCATCAAGGGGCATGAGTGAGAAGCCTGCCCGGAGGGGTATGCCATATGTTCAGCAACTATCATCATAGGTATCGTCTGGGGCAGGATTTGACACTCATTACTACCTGAGCTAATGAGAGGACAGCCTGATTGGTGAGAGCTTACGCTTCAAACGATGGATCAACTTTCCGGCGGACAGCAGCTGTTTAAATATAAACGTATAGCCGCCCGGCTATACTGGGGTCCCCATTTTAATTTTTTAGTATAGCCGTGCGGCTATACTCCTTGAATGTAAACTGGGATTCGTTTTTAAATTTTTTTTTCCCCTTGGTCGATACTGTATGAATAATATGAAAGCATAGCCGGTCGGCTGTACCGGGGTCCTTTTTTATTTTGTTTTTTAATCTGTAGTATAGCCGCACGGCTATACGTGTTCATTTGTTTTGTTTTATATCTGAAGGAGGGCACAACATTGGGAAGATTGGATGCGAGTTCATTCAGTCTAGAGCCTTCAAAACTTCGAGGGGACAGGGAATCCAGACCCAACTGTTTCTCCTAGTTTCCTCAATGAGATGAGAGTTTTCTGTGAAGACACTGGTAACAAGAAGAGTAGGCAAGGATAACCCGTGGCATCATCCCAATGGCATCACGGGGCATGAGTGAGTGAGAAGCCTGCACTGCACGGAGGGGGATGCCATACTTTCAGCAACTATCATCATGTGTATCGTCTGGGGCAGGTTTTGACACTCATTACTACCTGAGCTAATGAGAGGACAGCCTGATTGGTGAGAGCTTATGCTTGAGACGATGGATCAACTTTCCGGATGGACTTTGCCCGGGCCATGATGAAGATATGTCTAACCTGAATGTTCTCACTGGATCTTAAGGTCAGGTCCGATTGGAATGCACTCTGCCAGTCTCTAGCTATCTGGTTCTTACCTGACATAATCAGACCGGGGGACATGATGGAGATGGAAGAGAATTTCAATTGAAATATTTGTTCCCTCTGGTTGTAGTAGAGAACTTTTAGCCATGTTAGACCACATTCATTCCTTTAGCCATCTTCCTTCAATAGTCATGTTCATTTGTGAATTGTTAGTACCTCCACATGCGTGGATATATCTAAAATAGATAAAATGTGCGGTAAATACTAACCTAATGATGGCACTCTCCTTAAGAAGTTGATTGGTCTTGTGAACAAAATAACTAAAATAACAAAAAACTATTCATTTGAATAACTCAAAATCATTAATTCGTACCACATGTTTGTTTGTTTGTTTTTTTTTTTTTTTTTTTTTTTTTTTTTTTTGCATTGCATTCCGATGATCATAGTTTGGTTGTTTGTGTTATTCATGATTTTCTTTTGTTGTAGAAATTCATGCTTTTTCCTTTAATAATAATTCTTTCATAATTTTTCAACATTCAAAATCCGAACTTTTTAGTGAACGCAAAACACGTGCATTTTCCTCATCAGAATCACCTTTGATCAAGAAAAACACAATGTAGGCTGTGTAATTATCAGGTTGGCTGGGACTCAAAGTATATATGTGTCCAAAGAAATCGGCAAATAATTCTGTAAATTGCATGTTTATCAAGTGCTCAATAGTCATTTTACCAGAATTTTGAGAAGTAACTATGGATCAATTTCCATGGGTCGGTTTATGATCTGCGGCCCAAACGTCGACCCGACCCGACGGCCTGTGGGTTCGATCCAAACGATTAACGGTTCTGCGACCCGCGTACGCAGGCTTTCTCTTAGGTTGCCTCTCTCTCTCTCTCTCTCTCTCTCTCTCTCGTCTGCAATACATACAAATGGGAAGCGACAGGAAATCCGAAGAGAAGAAGAAGAGTAGGAAAAGGAGCACTTCGTCAGATTCTGAAGGTACTCAAATCTCTCTTCCCTTTTTTGTTTTTCCTCTCTCCAGTTGGTTGCTGAGAAATCAAGCGAAAATCGAGATAGGTAAAGAAACAGATGAAGAAAAAATTCTCTTTTTCATAGCTTTTGTTGTTATGGTTTAATCTCACGTCTCAGTGGAGCCAAATAGATAGCTTTCAGACGTGCGTTACCTGCAGACTTTGTTGAAAATTTTCAATTTTTTATATTTTCCTAATATATTGTCATTAATCAAACAAATTTTTGTGGGTTTCCACTAAATTTGTGTAATTTATTTCTCAGGGAGTATACTGGAATGTGGGTTTGGTTCCATTTGATTATTCATTGTTTCATTTGTTTTCTTTTTGCAACCAAAAGAGTATATGGTTGTTTGTTCTTATGGGTTCTTTGTTTTTTCCTAATGTGGAAGTACAGATGAGAGAAAAGGTAAGAGGCATAGACCTGTAGAAGATGAGGAAAGGAAGAGCAGAAGGAGTGATAAGAAGGAGAAGTCAAAGGACAAGAAAAGGTCACATAAGCACTCGAAACACCATTCTGATAAAGGTATATCAATTCCATATGAGCGTGAGGCTCTTACTTCATCATTTGAAATTCTATGACTTTTTGGGTTTAGATTTTGTTATCAGTTTGAACAATGTGAAAAATGTTGTATCAGTTTATATTCTTCACTAGTTTAGGATGGATTTTCAATTGGTTACTGGTCTAACATAATATCACTTTGTGATACTTATTGAATCAAACTTATCGGATCTAAGAGTAAATTCATTTTGATTTGACCTCAAGCTGTCATCATATACCTACTGGTTGAATAATGATAAATTATATATCAATAACCAGTCCAAGTAGGGTAATGGCATATTTGCATCAGTATGGTTTTATCAGACATGTACAGGCTTACTAGTTGAATAATGATAGAAATTAAGCTTCAAGTTGCTATGCAATTAGACTAGTGGCATGGGTTTATTAGGCGCATCCTTTGTTTGGAGTATGGAAAAACTTTGTTTGATCGAGTTGTTTTGACACTGAAAAAGTAAACAAAAAACTAGGAGGTTAACTAGAAAAAATTATATTATTTGACTTACCATTTAGTAATGTCTTCTATTGGATTATGATCCAAGAAACTTCCGTGGTTACTAATTTGCCTATCGAGGATGAGGCTCTTTATAGGAAATTACTTATCATATTGACATACTTTTGTGCCTCAGAAAAGAAGACAAAGGATAAGCACAAAAGTAAACATCACAAAGGTGATCGCCACTTGGTAAGCTTTCTTATTTCTAATTATGAAATAAATATTTCATGTTTTATGTTGTCCCAACTGTGTATAATCTGGATTTTCTCTGTGCCTTTTAAGCCTTGGGGAAGCAACATACTTCTTACAAAATTACATTTTATGTTAAATAATCCAAAATGCTTGAATATGTTAGCAGAATCTTTGATACTTTTAGTATAATTCAACTGATCTGAGTTACTGAAGAAGTGAGATAGTCAGGTAAAGTTTGCATAGGTTCTCTAAAGTTGGCAAGGCTTTGATTTCGACTGTTTAGACATTCTTATTGCATAGATCTCTAAAGGGCATCAAAATTTTAGATTATATGAGGGAATGTATAGTAAAATCGGGGAGCAGGGAGAGCAGCAACACATAGTTGCCATTGGGTATCTAATTGTGATATTCAATTTTAGAAACCAGAAAACAACTTACAAGATATTGCTCCAATATGCAGTCTTTATTATACGTTCTCTTTTCATGCAAGCAAGCTATATTTCTCATGAAGTAGTGTTTCTTTAGTTATGTTTGGAAATGTTTCTTGTTGCAATTTAGAGCGTATGGTGCTCAACCTATGGAAAGGTGCCACTGATGCTCAGAGAAGACCTAGACAGAGTATATTTGTAAACGGACAAATGTTTGCTCCATAGTTTTATTGCATTAAGACCATCTCTAGGGAAGATGAAGTTTATCCAACATTATAAGCTCCTGTTCAATGAATAATGATGAATTCGTACAAAATTGTGAACTCGTAAGAAATTTAGATGCACCTTGGTTTAAGTAGATGCTATTGTGGGTGTAGAAAGTAGAATTAGGTTTCAGAAAGTTTGACTAGTTGGCAAGGGACTCTTTGCGTTTCTAATATTGATTACTTGATGATGCTGATATGCCTTGTTGATTATGGTGTTTGAAGGTATCTTTTTCTTGAGCATGAGTTTTCTGATGGTTAGGACTTAGGAAATTATAATTTTTCTTTCAGAAAATTGAGTTCCAAGAGCTGTCCACTGATGACTATTTTTCCAAGAACAATGAGTTTTCTACATGGCTGAAAGAAGAGAAAGATGTGTTCTTCTCCGATCTTTCTTCAGAGTCTGCACGCCAACTATTTTCAGACTTTGTGAAAGTTTGGAACAAGCAAAAGCTCGAATCCAAATACTACGAGGGGATTGCGAGTGGGCCCCGGTGCGCCCATATGTGGAAAATTAATGGCTGACATGCAACAGCACAGATGATCCCTGCTTTGCTCCTTTTGATTTGTTTTTGGGCTTTGTATAATTAGGTTTTCTGTCTACCTAGGAAATGGTTTATGTGTTTTAGCACTAAACATTACCATATGTAGCTTAATTCCCTTTGTAATTTTCTTATTTGTAGCTGGTAAAAGAAAGGGAATATCAAGATGAAGCAGTTGACACATATGTAGTTTAATCTTCACTTTCCTACATTGGATCTTTATAGCATTTGTTATTAAGCATATCAAGCTCAAGCTTATTACACAAATGAGCTGAGACACCCATGCAGCTCCAGCTCGCTCTACAAACGACATGAGTTGAGCCAATTTCGAGGAAATTTATAATCGAAATTTTTTTTGGTCACCCATCTAGTTAATTTTAAATTCAGTTTTTCTGATGAATCATAATGTGAGATTCTACGATAAAAATAATTATTTAATTTATTATTATTATTTTGTTACTGATATTATTGCACACAATTCACCTTCAGAACAAAATTCTACAAGGGACCAAAAAATAAAAAAAGTTGTTCGGTTTAGACTCTAAACAAGGAAGAAAAGGACCTGCAAGAGCAGAAAAAATTCCCCGCTAAACAGGGCTTGGGACAACTATAGACGAGAAAATACCAACAAATACGACGTCGTTTCTAGTTTCTTCTTGAATCACACCAGACGCACTCTTCAAGAAAACTCTCCCTCGCAGGCGATTGTGAGATTGATCGACTGAGGTAAGCCTCAAAAGATCGCAGTCGCCGTTTGGTATCCAAAGAAACCAAATTTCCTACTTCTGGTGCTCAAGGAACAATGAAATTATGAAATTTATTTGTTTGTCTAATTTTGAGCTATCAAATTAAGTGATATTTATGTGTAAATTAGGTATTTACATGCGTTTATGATCTTAAAAATTGATGGGTTCTTTCTGATTTCTGTTTCCGCAGGTTCTTTTGGGCTGTAACACATTATGGGGGATAGTCAGTACTCATTTTCTCTTACCACTTTCAGGTATGAACTTGTGAACTCAATTTAGACTAAAAAAAGGATAGAAATGGGGTTATTTTAGCATAATTTTCCATATTTATTTTGATACAGCCCCTCTGGGAAGCTTGTTCAGATTGAACATGCTCTAACAGCAGTTGGGTCTGGCCAGACATCTTTAGGGATTAAAGGTATGCAAATTCTCATGCCTTTTTCTAAATTCTTTTCAGATACATTTGAATTTACACATCAAGTATTCATCTTGAATAAAAGGAGACGGATTAAATTGGCCTGAACTGATAATCCAGTATAAAGATGAATAATCTGTTCATATTTGCTGAATTTGGCATGAACAAATATTAGAGAACTCTGTGGTTGCATCAAATATTTAAAATTTTAATTCACGTTGGTAAGTATGAAGAACTTAATGTCGTTGGTAGGGAATGAGTTTCCAGCACATTATTTGGAACTGCAGATCTTTTTCCTTTTGATACAGCTTATTGATTTTATAGGTTCTATGTCAGATAAGTTTAGAAACTTATCAAATGTTTAGTGTTTTTGGTGTTGGTGTTTAGAAAATTCTATCTGGTTGTCGCAGCTGCTAATGGAGTTGTCATTGCAACAGAGAAGAAACTCCCATCTATATTAGTTGACGAAACATCTGTAAGTGAACAGCTACTCTTCTTTATAGACTGGAAACTTTCTTGTGCATTTATTTATAGCGTGGGTATCTCATAAACATTTTGTGTTGAAATGTTATGAGTTTGTTTTCTTTCCACCACTATGGCATGTCCTCTCGGATAATCAAATGGTATACTGGAGACTTCTTGTAACCTTTCAAGTTTTTGGTTTGCAGATTCAGAAAATTCAGTTATTGACGCCAAACATTGGAGTTGTTTACAGGTTTGTCTGTACTACATGCTTGAGTTTTTCAAGTTGTGGTATTTGATACTATCTATTGTGTTGTTGGTGTTATACTGCTTCTACAATATCTGATGATCTTTGGGAAAGTCTCAGCTATGATGGTTGTACTCATCATTTTAACATGGTACAACAAACCAACATTAAATTGAAAACTAATACTGTTGGTGGGATCCATTTTTTTCTAAATTCAATTTTAGAGGACTCACTTGGCATAAATGATGTTGTCCCACCTAAAAATTTTATAAGTTCCACCAATAATGGCTACAAAGACTTTCTCAAGATGTACCATGGGTTTTAATTGACGGGTTTTTTTTGACAGTAGACTCCCCTTCTGCATATCATTGTTCATATTCTATTGAGATAAAATACATGTGGCCATTGACATGATTTTTCTTGTTCCATGTTAGATGGCCCATGTGTTTGAGTTTTTAAATTTCCCTGCTTTGACTCGTGGAATTATACATGATCTGATTTACTTGTTTCCATTAGATCTCGTGAACTGACAATTGTAGTGAAGTTTAACTATGATGAGTTATTGACGTTGAATCATTGTTGTCATATTATATGCCGCCTACTTGGATGTGTACATGTAATCAAATCGATGCTTGTTTCTTTGTTTGACCTTCTCCCAATGACATATTAGTTTCAAGATACTAATACATATTTGTATGGAAGACACTAGGACAGTTAAAATTCCAAAAAGGTGGGATTGTCCTTTTAATTATGTATCAAGAAGTATTTTTCTAGAAAGACGAGGCGCCCATGTTTTTTTTCTTTTGACGTTGTAGTTGTCATTGAATTGACAATTTAAGTTAGCTTTTCTTTTTTTCCTTTTTATTATTTGCCAGTTCTTCTTTTCCATGTTCCCCCAGCCAAATCTTGTGGTTAACTGAAATTTACTGTTCTCTCATGCAGTGGAATGGGTCCAGATTTCAGAGTTCTGGTTCGTAAAAGCAGGAAACAGGCAGAGCAATATCATCGGTTGTACAAAGTATAACTTCAATTCTCTGTGTTTTCATATTTTATTCCCTTGGTTTATGTCCATAGTATTAAGTATTGTTCACTGATCATATGGTAAGGATTGGAAGTTCAGTTCAGATTCATTAGAAGAATTCTGCTGAATCCAATTTCTCTTCAATGTGCAACACCAACACACCATTTAAGCATTTTCTTTTTGGATTGTTTATTTCAATGTTCATATGTGGGTTGTTGGAGCTTGTTGGTGTGTAGTAAATGATCTTTGTTCTTCGGATGGGCTACAAATTGATTGAAGTCATAATATTTTCAGATTATGATGGTAGCTTGTTTTTAAGAGATTGCTCCTACTCCCCAGTTTGTTATATGGAGTCTCCACTTGAAACAAGTTTCCTTGATACTTTCTACATTCACCTAGTCAATTACTATATTTGAGCATGATAACTTACAATGTGATGCGGTGGGTATTTTTCAGGAACCAATCCCTGTTACCCAACTTGTGAGGGAAATTGCTGCTGTTATGCAGGAGTTCACACAGTCGGGGTAATTATTGTTTCTCCCATGGCCTGATTTCCATTTCTCAACTATGTTCTTGCTCATATTTTAACATTCTTCTTGGTCCATAGAAAGTAAAAGGTTTACTGCTCGAGTTGCTTTATATAGAAAATCAGTGAAGGGTAATTTAGTATCATTTGCAAAATTTAGTATTTTAAATGATTTTATTGTTGGAATTAAGTGTACCTGGCGAACTTGGAATTTGGAAGATTTTGAACTCAATAAATAAGGTTGTGTAGGATGTTTCTCGTTTAAAAATTCGTATAGAGGCAGATGCATGTTATGAGTGTTCAACTTGAGTCTGCAATTAGCTTCAGGTCCTGTTCTACACTAGAAACTCATTTGTCTTTGTTGTTCTGCTAGTGGTGTAAGGCCTTTTGGAGTTTCACTGCTGGTTGCTGGCTTTGATGACAAAGGTCCACAACTATATCAGGTGTGTAATTCTGTCATCTGCTGGTTTAAACTATTTTTTTGGTGCCGTTGTGCTCGAGTCCTTGGGAACAAGCTATAGAGGTTTCCCAGTACTATAGTTGCAGTTGAAAGATTTTTGCTGCAAAACATTGTACTTCGACTTTTCATCATGTGCAGTGAGATCTGAGTATGGAAAAACTTTATTAATTTACAACGAAATATGTAAGCTTTTAAGATTGCTTTTGGTTAGGGAGTATACTTACATATGGACTTCCTCCATTGTGCATACATGCCATTTATGTTGGCCAACTATGTCGTATAATTTCTTGAACCTAGCTAAGTAGCAATTATTTCACATCATCTATGTCAAAATCTAGTTGGAAAGCTACACACACACACACACACACACATAACCCACCACAATCTTGTAAAAGCTTATTTATTTTTTTCGATTTTATTTTCCACCGGATTTGTGTATTACCCTGATTTTTGTTATCCTGTAGGTGGACCCATCAGGTTCATACTTTTCATGGAAAGCTTCTGCTATGGGGAAAAATGTTTCTAATGCAAAAACATTTCTTGAGAAAAGGCAAGTTGCGGTCGGCAATTTTAAGAAACTTTTTTTCTGGTTGATGTTTCCATTTGTATACATTTCTGAACTAAAATAAATTGCTTGAGGTTGAGACTAATAAATAAGCAACAACGTGCTTACAATCTTGTTACCTACATTATACTTTTAATTCTGAACCAAAGTTGGAATTTGGGGGACGATATCATTTAAACAGATTGGATAATCTTTGATTCTCAAGAATGGTCTTCATTCTATTTTATAAATCTCCATTATTCCTATATTGGCAAGTGTAATAATCAGAATGCACAAATCAGTTATTTTATTAGTTCCGTTTTCTTTCTTTATCCTGGACTTCAGTTAATTGTTTGCTTTGAATTTACGTTTAGATTCATGTGATTATTTACTCTAGGTACACTGAGGACATGGAACTTGATGATGCTGTCCACACTGCAATATTGACCCTGAAAGAAGGGTAGGAATTTTATCTCTCAGTTCATATAATATTTTTGTTTTTCTTCCTAAATGAAACAACTTGGATAATTACGAAGGTTCTCATTTCTCATCTGCAACCAAATGGGTTTACGCTACTCAATTATGACTCATTATTATACATTTAAGGTCTATTCAATTGTTCCGTACCATACTTGTGTCACCTATCAAAGGCGGTGGTTGTAATATTAAAAGGACAAAACAGCTGTAGCTTGTCTCTTGTTTGACAACTCTCAAGCTTATTGGCCTCTGACATAGTGTTCAGCACAGCTATACTCTCTTGTTCTATTATGCAAATATGAGTTAGTTTTTTGTTGAGCTTTCGTTGTGCATGTGGTTTTAGGTTTGAAGGACAAATTTCTGGCAAAAACATTGAGATTGGCATAATTGGTACTGACAAAAAATTCAGGCAAGTTTCTTGTACAACCTGATTATGTCTATATGATATTGCCGTTATTATGTACACTATTTCTATATTTCTCGGTTTGTTGTCGTTCTTGTTTTTCCTACTAAAATTTGGCAGAGTGAAAAGTAACTTGATGTAAGCAAAGCTGAGCTGATCTTTACCGGCTTTGTATTAAGCGGAGTGCATTTTAACTTAGTTTCGGCTGTGGGATGAAATGAGGGTTAAATTAAATCGGGCTCACTTAGCAACATCCAAGTGGCAGTCAAGCCCAGACCCAGGATCTATCTACCGACTTACATGCATAGATGCAGAGATGTTTTAAACTTTTTATGTAAATGCACAACTGAAAACTGCATAACGTAAGTTATAGCATTCCGATTCTGACATATCTAAGAATACATGAAATGCACAAAATATTTTCAACAAGCAGATTTTGACTAACAAAAACAAAAAAGAAAAGAAATGCGAAAGTAACTGTACTAGTTTCTTTAGATTTATTCTTTTTAATTGTTGATAGGATAGTTTTACAATTATAACTACTAGGTTTTATTTGCTTTGATTGTGAAGTAGCTGTTTCATCCTTTGGCTGGCATGCGTGAGCTTCTGTTATTTATTTATTTTTATATTTATTTAAAAAAATTGTGATCGTCTTGTTGCAGAGTTCTTACACCAGCTGAAATTGAAGATTACTTGGCCGAAGTGGAGTAGTTTGAGAAAGAAAAAGAAAAGTTGAGCAACCAGACTCACGCTTTTGTAGTTTGGGGGTTTTGTAGCCCCCTGCTTTGTTGTGCTACCAAGAAACGCTTTGGAGTTCTCTTTGTTTTATGAATGCTGTTCAACCTAATTAGTCACTCGCTTCTAATGATAATACCTGCTTGTGGGGCTCGGGCTTTTGTTCTATAACTGCAAGCTTCCAATAGGCATCAACATCACTTGCTGGATGAGACCCCTTTAATGAGAGTGCATAGTGTTAACTGAGCATTTGTTCTTTTGTGAAACTTTCTTATCAATCCAGTACCCAGGAATTTGTTGCAGTTTAATGTCAAAAACTTAAAAAGGACCCAAAATCCAATAGTCACACCGGAATGAAGTATGTGCAAGTTTAATTTCTCGATGAAAAGAATTGGCCTGAATTGAAATCTGTATCGCGTCAAATTGAAGAGCACAAAACTGTTAGGGCGCGGATTAGCTTGATGAAATTGTATATTACTTTCTACTATCAAAAAGTTACTTGAGATTTCAGAGAAGAGTACAGAGATACAGCACAACAAAATTCAAATCATTCATGCTATACCCTAAACCCTAACCAGTAATCCCAATGGAAGTTAGATCATTGTGGTTTCAAACCCATCCTATGCTCCGTACCAAAGCAACAATGATCCGTTGACTCAGTACTGCGTTTTTTAGCTTCTTAAATATCTTCCTCACCAGTAATCAGAACAAGAACACTTGCCATCACTGAAATGGTGAAACCGGTAAGGATCTCTCAGTATGATTTTCCGCCCAACTGCTGCACTAACGTGCTTGTAGACAGAATGACAATCACCACATACACGAAGATTCTTGAAAACCTTAACAGGTGAACCTTCTGGAGTATTGATCAATCCGAAAGCAAGGGCAATTCTCTCACTGTGGTTCCAAAGATTATGCTCCTTCTGTTCTTCATCTGTATCCTGCAGTGCATAGCTTGTATCAGGAACATAACCTGCTTCTCTAATCATCTTCATAAGCTCTCCCAACTTGGCATAAATCTGCCCTGTCTGTGGATGGGATTGCTCTCCCATCCCAAATTTATTCACCTCAGTTTTCAACTTGACCCAACTGCATGCAGGCTTCTTCGTTATGTTTCTCGATCCCATCTGCCTCCTTACATTCTCTACTTCCTCCCATCTACCGGTAGTTGCACAGACATTTGACAAAAGAACGTAAGCCGAATCATCTGATGGATCTAACTCCAGAAGATGTTCTGCAGCTTTCCTCCCTAGCTCTACATTACGATGGATTTTACATGCAGCCAACAAGCTCCGCCACACAAGGTCATTTGGCTGGACAACCATTCCTTTTATGAAATTTTCAGCTTCAGCAAGCCTTCCTGATCGTCCAAGAAGATCAATTATGCACACACAATGCTCTATTCCTGGTGGGACACCAAACTCTGTGGTCATTGCATAATAGTATGCAAGACCGTCATCCACCAGACCCCCATGACTGCAAGCAGACAGAAGTGAAACAAAGGTGACATGGTCAGGTTTTGTACCAAGATTTAGCATTTCATGAAAAGCTTCCTTAGCCTTCTGGAAACACCCATGTTTGGCAAAAGATGATATCAAAATGTTCCATGATAATCGTGATCTGTTGGTTGGTGAGGGAAGTAATTTCAAAACATCCTCCATCTCCCCACATTTTCCATACATATCCATGGCAGCATTTGTAACATAATGGTCCGAGTCAAAACCAAGCTTAACTACCAGGCCATGAAGCTGTTGGCCTTCCTCCAACATAGCCAGGTCAGCACTAACAGAAAGTGCCACTGAAAAGCTGAACTGATCTAAGTCTACTCCAGCTTTCTTCATCATCACAACAAGTTTCAAAGCTTTCTCTAAGCCATGATTAGCATTTGCAGCAATGATTGCATTCCATGAAATGGAGTTCTTAAAATCTAATCCATTGAATATGGAATTACTTGAATTCAAATCACCACACTTAGCATACATTGTTATAAGGGTACTCTGAACATACTTGTCTGACTCAAATCCTGTTAGAACTATATGTGCATGGAAGGGCATTCCATGTTTTAGTAAATCACCAGGAGTCATAAAACCACCAAGAACATTGATTATTGTGATGTAGTTTGCTGGAGTTCCTTCTTCTCTCATTAATTTAAAAGCTTTTATCACCTCATTTGGATCTTTGCTCTCGGTATAACCACCAATAAGGGCATTCCAAGTAACTTCATCTCGCTTGGGCATTATTTGCAATACCTTTTCAGCTTCAACAATCATACTAAACTTTCCGTACATGGTAACTAGTGCATTGCCAATTATCACATTGTCTTGTAGGCCTGTAAGGACTGCAATAGCATGAAGAATTTTGCCTTGAATGAGAAATTCAGGGTTCGGACAGGCAGATAGTACACTTGTTAAAGTCACATAATTTACTGGTTTTCTCATCCGAAGCATTTTAGCAAAAAGTTTCAAGGCTTTTTGGCACTCCTCATTCTGAACATAGCATGCTAACATAGAGTTCCATGAGATTATATCCTTCTCTGTCATTCTTTGGAAAACTAACTCAGCATCTTCTGATCTTCCAGTTTCAGAATACATACTTATAAGAGTATTGCCAACACAAACATTTGATTCCAGCCCAAATTTTACTACTAGTCCATGAATTCCACTGCCCCACTTCAGTTTATAAGTGGAACCACAGACTGTCAACAATGATGAAAGTGTTGTGGAATTCACTTCTTTATTAACATGCCGCATATAGTGAAAACACCTTAATGATTCTTCACAAAGCCCATTTTGTGCACTTGCAGAAATAATCGAATTCCATGAGATTATGTCACGTTCATCCATGTGATCCAAGACATAGAAGGCCTCGTCCACATTACCACAGCCACCATACATGGATATGAGGGAGTTTGCCACAGAGACACTATTCTCTAGTCCAAGTTTCATAACATGTCCAAGAACTTGGCGACCCAATAGCTCATCCTCCAGCATCCCACAAGTACTAATGACTATAGCAAATGTGTTATCATTGCAACATACTCCTTCAAGTCTCATACGCTTATATATATTCATAACTTCTCCCAAATCTCCATTATTTGAATGTCCAACAATCAAAGAAGTCCAAGTAACCACATTCTTATCCGGCATCTCCTCAAAGAGCTTCCGGGATTTAGACACAAGACCATAGGTACCATAAAAGTGCAAAAGAGAAGTACCAACAAAGACATCACATAACAAACCAATTTTAACTACAAAAGCATGAACTTGCAATCCTTCATTAAACATACAAGCCGACTTATCACACGCAGTTATCAAACTAGCAATGACAAACCCACTTGGCCTAAACCCGCGGCCAATCATTCCAGAGAAGAATCCAATCGATTCGGGGTACAAACCTACTCGTACATAACACGACATCATCGTGTTCCAAGAAGCTTCATTTCTCTCCGGAATATTATCAAATATATAGCGCGCATACCCTATACGACCAAACTTCGAGTACATATTTACCAAAGTATCGAACTGAATACACCGAGAGGCACGAACCCCTTTATGCATAATGCATGCAATGCTCTGCCGAATATTTCCTTGGTGATTTCCGAGAAACCCTTTCGAGCAAAGCATGAGATTTCTGGGTTGGGGTGGTTTGACAGGTGGGGCTGAATGCCACAGTTTGTGGGTTCTTCTAGGCATGGGAGAGAGATGGGTTTTGGGCTTATGTAGCTTCTGCGTGTAAAACTGGGCAAATATGCAGCTGGCTGTGGAAGCTCAAGTTTGAGAGCTGGGAATATTTTGCAGGAACTAGCCAGCTCTGCTTCTTGCTTCTTCAGGCTTCCACTCAGCAAAGTCAGAAACAAAAATTTTCTTGCATTATGGGTCCTTTTCCTGCGCGTGAGCGAGCGAGACAATTCCAGATTTCTTTTATTTTCTTGTGTGATTATTGGGCCTGAGGGTGTAATTGTTTAAGCCCATTGATGAAGCTACTATTGGCTCAGCCCCAATTGTTTTCAGCCCAACCAAATTTTAATACCAATTATAGCCATAATAAAATAACATTAATTTCACAATGAAAGACAAATTCTTGATGGGTAAAAAGGGAAGGAAAGATAAATTCATTTAGATTTCAACCAAAGAGAAATATTGCTCGTTTGAGACTGCTTTTGTATAAAATTCTTATGTTCATAATCACTTTTCGTAAATCAATCTCATTAGAAACACATGAAAATATTTATTAAAAATTAAGTGCTTTTTGAAAATAAGCACCTATGAAGCAAAACATAGAGTAGTGGTCTCAGATTTGAACCCATAAAGCACTTCAGTAGCGTGTAAAAATTCTATCCCCTTATTGTTTAGACCATCGCTCATATTAAAAAATAAAAGAGAAATGCAAGTTTTTCAGCTAAATGCTATTAAAAGCGTCTTCGGTTATCTTTGATTTTTCAAAACGAAATAACTTCTTTTTTTTTCTTTTTTTTTTGAACTATAGATTGAAATAAAATTAAAGCCAAATGACAGTGACAAAAGTGTAATTAACTCCAAAATTGATCTTCATGTTGTCTTTTACCGCCTTAAACCCTTACACAGACTGAAAAACGAAAAACAAAACAACACAAATAAACACACACAGATAAACCCTAACCGCGGAAGCCGACGACCCGAACTTCTCGCGCCACACAGACTAAGCTTCAGCTCAAGGTACTCTATCTGAAACTCAAACCCTAAACGTATCTATTCATTATCGTCATCCCTTCCCAATGATGAGCAATTGAGCTTAATACGCCGCCGTTTCCTCTGCTCAGCAAAATCAGGACTTGAGAGAATGGCCACCGACGAAGAGAAGCAGACGACGACGTTTAAGACTTTGGGGATATGCGACGAATTGGTGGATGCATGTCAAAAATTGGGCTGGACAGTCCCTACCCCAATTCAAGTCGAATCCATGCCTTCAGCCCTTGATGGTTCGTTCACTCTCTCATACTTTTGTATCTCTTTGCTGTCATATGTCTTATTTTTCAAATATAACTTTTTGCCCAGTTGGTTTTAGCAAATTTCTGAGCTCGATTTTCACATATAGATTTTGTATGTATATGTCCACTGATTCTAAATATGGATTTTTGTGTATAAAGGAAAAGACTTGATCGCACTTGCACAAACGGGTTCGGGTAAAACCGGAGCCTTTGCGCTACCAATATTGCAAGAGTTAATAAATTCTCCACAAGCATTTTTTGCTTGCGTTCTGTCCCCGACAAGGTTGGATACTTAAATTAAATTAAATGTTACGAGGAAGCCGTATGATACATTGGATTGTTATATATTTTGACATTTATAACTGTCTATCTTACCATTCACTTGGGTATGCTGCAGAGAGCTTGCAATTCAGATTGCTGAGCAGTTTCAAGCTTTAGGCTCAGAGATTGGTGTCAAGTGTGCAGTGGTGAGCATTTGACCTATTTAGTTTGCTAGTTTGGCATAGTGTACATTACCGATTGTATGAGATTTGCCAAACTAAATAGACAGCATAGTTGAGGAAAATGATGTGTAGTTTCTAAAGTACAAACTACTGAAATTATGTTCAAAGCTCTTTTCTGTTGTTTCATACAGGCTTGAATTATATTTAGTGGCTAATTCTTATTGGGGTGTGCAATTTTTGAACAATGTATAATTTCTCTCTTGGTGCTTTGTATTAAGTCTATAAAGTAAACAGGAGTTAATCATTCTTTAGAGCTTTTAAGATGAGATTCTGAAGTTGTTGGATTGAAGCTTCTTATTGATTAACTTTTCTTAAACATTTTTTGTGCTACTTAATTTTGATTAGCTAGTTGGAGGAGTTGACATGGTGCAACAATCTATCAATCTTGCAAAGCGGCCACATGTTGTTGTAAGTTTTTATTTTACTGGCACGGCAGCCTTCGTGATTTATGTGAATCTTTGTGTAAATATTCAAAAATTGACAACTTATGTTTTGATTTGTTATCTTTTTTTCCCCTCTTGCAGGTTGCAACACCTGGACGCCTCATGGATCATCTATCGAACACAAAAGGATTTTCTCTTCGCTCATTGAAATATTTGGTATGATCTGATTATTTTAATATGTTATCTTTTCAATTTTTCCTGTGTATAAAAACTTACAAATGAATTAGATGGTATGGTCATATACAATGTAGACGACTACATGAACTTGTAAGCAGAGGTCAATCAAGACTAACAGAGGATGAAATAATGAAAAGATCTTTAAAGAATAATTAGATTTAATAAAAGACACATCATGCAGGTATTTCTATTTAGTATTAGTGGCTACTTCAATTGTTTAATTTATAACAAGCATTGTCTGTCTTGCATTTTGTCAGACTTTTTCTTGTATCTTCTTTCTTGTTCAGTTAGACTAGCGACATTAGCTTACCTTAAAAGAATTTGTATTTGCTTGTGATATGATCTCAAATGTCTCATGTCTGAGACCTGGCTAGATATACTAAGAGGCCTCTTATATCATATGGGGCAGGTTTTAGATGAGGCTGACAGGTTGCTTAACGGGACTTTGAGAAATCATTGATGAAATCCTGAATGTCATCCCTCGTGATCGGAGAACATACTTATTTTCTGCTACCATGACTAAAAAGGTATATGTTCAATTATTTCAATGCATCTACATTTTTTTTCTTCGTATTTGTGCTTTTATTTTCGTCTTGTACCATGGTTTGGTGCATATTAAATACCATAAAGTGGCATGCTGATTGGACATGTGCGGCTTGGTTTCTATTTTTTTTTTTACCAAAAAGCTGTCGATTTTAGAAGTGTTTGTATAGTTGAAATATGCTACCAAAATTTTAAATTATGGGACACTGTTGAATTGATGTTTTCATTAAAAAAAACAGAGATTGAAGTAAGCCTGCATGTCATGAAACTATTAGGTCCCAAGCCAGCTACAAAAAACAAAAACAAAAAAAAAAAACTAAAAAAAAAAAAAAAAAAAAAAAAAAAAAAAAAAAAAAAAAAAAACTTTTTTTTTTTGCCATCCCTTGCCATAGTTATTTAGGTTTCCTACCTGCTCCCAAGCAGAGAAGATATGTGCCTTAGAGAACAGATTATGCTGGCAGGTGCCAAATGCTTGTAGTAGTAGGTTTTGGAGTTGAGCAGCATTAGCAAAAACAGCTAAGAATCTATCCAGTTTCACTCTTCAAAATGCCACCAATTTAATTGTCCTGGTGCTTGGTGATGGTGTTGGACTGTGACACCTAAGAAAATTATACTGTATATGCACAGCTGGATCCTATATAAGAGAGGCTTTCCAAATCTAAAACACACACGCACACACACGCGCACACGCACACACACACCACACACACACACATATACAGAAATTCTCCTATGCGGACATCCGGATAAGAGAATAACCATATATATATATATATACAGAGAGCTTCCATTGAGGGATCCCTCAAATAAGCTTATTTGAGGCACACCCTTATAGGGCATACTCCACATTGTATTTCACTATTCCAAACCATCTATTTTGTAGATATTCATTCAAAGATCATCTCTATAAAAAAATCAATTGAATCCGATATCAAAAGACCACTCAATTAAATTATTGAAATTTTAGTACTTTCTTGAAGCACCGTGTGCATTGATTTTGTAGGACACAATTAGATGTCTAAACAGTTTCCGATTTGTTTAATTTTTTGCAAGGATGATCTACGAATGAAGTCCTAAAAAATAGATGGTTTGGATCGTTGAAAAAAATTTCGTACAGTACCCTAAAGGGTGTCCCTCATATAAAATTATTTGAGGGATCCCTCAATAGAAGGGGTATGATAATTTTTCATCAGTTAACAGAGTTGTGGTTGTAATGTTGCAGGTCAAAAAGCTGCAACGGGCTTGTTTAAGGAACCCTGTGAAGGTATGATGAAGGAGTTTGCTGCACAATGTTCATTCTCCACAATTCTTTCCTAAATTTTAACGTCTTTTTTTTTTTTTTTATCTCAGATTGAAGTAGCATCAAAATATTCTACTGTTGACACACTAAATCAGCAGTATCGTTTTCTGCCGGCTAAGTACAAGGTTTCTCCCTGTCTTGCTATTTTTTCTGCTCATATAATTTTAACCTTTTGGTTATGCCTCTACTCATCTTGATATTAAGTACATGTTCTGTTGTTTATGAATCATATGTCAAAGTATATTATGGTTAAGACTGCTGCTAATATTTGCCAATAAAATACACAAAGATGAACTATCACTCTTAACAGGAGATTAGGAAAAAAGCATCGTTATATTATACTTTGAGGCCATAGAGCAGCTTCGAAAACATCTTTTTTAATTTCTTTTAGCTTTAATTTTGGTGGTTGGTGAACCCAGATCCAAGAACTTTTGTTTTCCATTGTCTAGTGTGTACTTGAAAAGAAATGCCTAAAAGACTGATTCATGATTTCTTTACACATTTATTTATGGCTCGTAAAGCACCTGATGTTGTGCCTTTGCCTCTTAAAAGATTTGTCTATGTTAGAATAGGATTATAGAAAAAAAAAAATGTCAAAGACCAATGAATTTACCTCTGATGATAAGAGCTCCTGAATTGTTTTATTTATTTCGTGGACATCCTGGAGTGAAGGTAAGATAAAGTTTGTGTGTTTAGAGAGTTGGAAGGCATGGGTGACATAGTACAACTACACATGAAATGACGGATGTAGCAGTGATGCCAAAATAGTTGGCAAGAGTCTTTTAAATATTTTAATATATAAAATGCAATATAAGTGAGATGTAGCAATATTCTGGACACAGTGTGAAGATATAATCATGGCATGCATGCATTCCTTCCCTGATGTTCCTGTCATTTTATGGCTCAATTTGTCTCCCTTGGATATATTTTCACAATGATTGTCCTTGCAGGATTGCTATCTTGTATATATTCTGACCGAGAAGTGTCAGTGTACAACAATGGTATTTACTCGTACATGTGATGCAACACAGCTTTTGGCTTTGATGCTTCGAAATCTTGGCATAAGGGCCATCCCAATTAGTGGTCATATGACCCAGGTATATAACATATAATAACATTAATTTTTAGGGCTTTTTTTCAAGTTTGCTTTATTCGTTGCAACCATGTTATTCATTGATATTCCAGAATTTCTCTAACTTTGTTCGTGGATTGTTTCTGGCAGTCAAAAAGGCTTGGCGCCTTAAATATGTTTAAAGCTGGAGAGTGTAATGTACTTATTTGCACTGATGTGGCCAGTAGAGGATTGGATATTCCATCAGTGGATATGGTTATTAATTATGACATCCCCACAAATTCAAAGGTTAGGCTTGCTATTGTTTAACCTAGTGTGGGGCTTGCTGTTCGCAGTTTACATCAAAGTTAGCCATTCATCTTGTTTTCAGATGTTAATATATCTTTTATTATTTAGTTGAGTTGATGCTATTTAGTCCCTAGTATTATTATTGAGCTACATCTTGCAACGTTTTACCTGTATGACTAAGGAAAAATATGGATTCTCCTATAATACCAAGCCACTAAATTTGTCCTTAAATTGGTAAGGGTAACACCTTTTTATTGCACTCAAATGAAGAACTTCACTAGTTCATTACTACAGCTGATCATTTTGGATATTGAATGGGTGCCATTGCCCCCACCCAACGCTCTACTCTATGTATGTAATGCTTTTAGTGTGTTGGGGAAATCATGTGTACTCGAAAACCTGCAAGCTTATCTAATTCAAAGGGAATAAGAAGAAAAATAATGTATTAATAATATATAGACAATATACTGTTGTGCAACTGTATTTTTCTTGTTTCTGTATGCCCTTCTTTGCTAACTACAAGTGAATCACAGGATTATATCCATCGAGTAGGAAGAACTGCTCGTGCTGGACGATATGGGGTTGCAATCTCTCTTGTGAATCAGTACGAGTTGGAGTGGTATATACAGATAGAGAAGCTTATTGGTAGGCTATAGTAGTTTCCCATGTTTGTCTGTTTGAGATACTAAAATAGTGTTTTGGATGCTTACAAATTTGTCAATGTCCAGACAAAAAGTTACCCGAATTCCCTGCTGAAGAAGATGAAGTCCTGCTATTGTTCGAACGTGTCAAAGAGGCCAAAAGACTGGCCCTGAAGGTAATGTTCTTCTTAAGTTGGTGTTGTTTTCTATCTTTTGTTTACTTGCCAGTGTATCAAGAAGTTTGGTTCCATTATGGTTAACGTGATCTACATTTCGACTTTACCAGAAAATTAAAGACGGTGGAGGCAAGAAGAGGAAGGGTGAAAACTACGGTGAGGAGGAGGATATTGAGAAGTATTTTGGTCACAAGGGTGGAAAGTCCAAGAAGTTTAAATCAAGATGAGATTGGCTTCACTCCTCTGCTAACTTTTGTTAATGGAATTCTCATTTCTGTAATATATACTGAGCGAAGAACTTGTTCTATCTTCCCTGTTGTTCGGAAGAGTGGAAAACATTTTTGAAATAGTGTTTTTTTTCCTTACTATTTATAAAATTATCAATTTTTTAAATGTTTGATATTCTTTTCTAATTCGGTCTGGTCTATGCTCAGCCCCTCTTCTAAACTTTCCACCTGTTGAGAGAAATTAACTATGGGTCAAGGACATGTGCTTAATCAAGTTGGCAAAGCGGATGTGCTCCACACTCTCCACTTGAGTTTGAATTTCGCTCCCCGTAGTTTAGATTAGATTAAAGTAGAATTTAACTTGTATATTTAAAAAAAAAAAAAAAAAAAAAAAAAAAAAAAAAAAAAAAAAAAAAAAAAAAAATAAAACCGTGGGTTATCTAATTTCATTTATACAATTTATAAATAAACCCAATTCTAGACCATGTATTTATAAAAAAACCCAAGCACTATTTAAACATAGAAACACACCCAAAATCAACCCCAAAGTCAACTTTTTGGGTGTGTTTATAAATGAGTTTTGAGTAGGGGTGGCATTTTAAAACCGAAAAAACCGCAAAAACCAACCGATAATTTACCGCAATCGCGGTAAACCGAACCGCATTTGCGGTATTAAGAACCGAACTGCATTTGCGGTTGCGGTTGCGGTATTTGATTTTCAAAACTTGCGGTTACCGCAAACCGCAAAGTATAGCCGCAAGGATGATGAGGTTGAACTCTATAAGGAAATGGAACATATGACAACTTGTAAGTAATTAGTTTATTTATGCTAATGTTATTTATGCTTCTTCTTATAATAAAATGTACTAAACTATGTTGTTTTATTTGTAAATAACATTGGTGCTCAAACAACACAACGAGGTTCTTCAAATCCACTCACCACAAACACTTGAGTTTGTAACATTGGTGCATTGTATTTTCCTTTTAGTTTGTAACTTTAATTAACTTTGAATTGGATTTTTCTTTTTGGTTGTAACTTTAATTCATTTTGCTTTGCATTTTCCTTTTAGTTTGTAACTTTAAAGAATTTGAAATTGGAATGCTTGAGAAGTTTAACCTTAATTGGAATGCTTGGAATTGTAACTTTAATTTTCTTAGGTTGTGAATGCTTGAGAAGTTGAGGAGATTGTGAATTTATATATATTTGAGAAATTGAGGTTGTGAATTTATATTTTTGTGAATGCTTGAGAACTTGTGGTTTTAAACTGCTAATTCGCGGTAACCGACCGCATTTTGCGGTTTCAAAAATCACCAAACCGCAAATAGTCGGTCGGTTTGCGGTTTGAGTAAAAATTCGCGGTTACCGAACCACAACCACCCCTAGTTTTGAGTGTGTGTAATGATGGGTTTTGGGTGTGTTTATATGTTTAAATAGTGCTTGGGTTTTTTTTATAATTTCAACCCCCATTTTGGGTGTTTTAGTGAAACTCCCAAGAAATTTATTTTCCACATTTTCGACGGTGCAGCCACCCATCTTGTTATCTATATAATTGATACTGGGACTACTGATCTTTGATTCTTAAGAATGATTTCATTCTATTTAATATATCTCCTTAATTATTCACGTATTAGCATGTGTAATCAACTTTTTGGGTGTGTTTATAAATGGGTTTTGAGTGTGTGTAATGATGGGTTTTGGGTGTGTTTATATGTTTAAATAGTGCTTGGATTTTTTTATAATTTCAACCCCCATTTTGGGTGTTTTAGTGAAACTCCTTTTAGTTCCATTTTATTTCTTCACCCTTTACTTCAGCTCATTGTTTGCTTTGAATTTATGTTAAAATTCATGTGATTATTTCTTCTAGGTACACTGAGGACGTGAAACTTGATGATGTTGTCGACAGCAATATTGATGCTGAAAGAAGGGGATAAAATTAGATTGGCAAAAGGTAGGGGAACAAAAGTTTGTGACCATAACCATACAAATTCGAAACCTATGACCTAGCACGAACTTCCCCATCCTTTTTCCCTCATTATTATTATTATTTTTAGACTAAACGCACTTCGTGCTTGCCTAATTGCTAAAGGTCCGAGTAGGTTTTGGACTCACAAAGGTCTAGGTTGATTTTGGGACAGATCAGATTGGAACAAGGGGATTCCAATACGAATCCAAAAAAAATTTGGAATAAAAATTCTTTTTTAATTCTGTCCAAAAATTTCGAAATTTTAACATCCATTTCAATTCAAAAAACTCTGAATGTTTGGAAAATTTCAAAACTTATATATATTTTGGAAAATAGTTGAAAACAACAATTTAAAAAGTTAAAAATTGTTAAAAATTGAAAACTCATTCGAAAAACTATCATATGCTATTATTTATGTTATCATTTATTTAATAAGTCGTCTGTGTCTATTTAGTCATCAAATCATAATTAGTTTAGTGTGGAATTACACGTGTAGTCTAAACATTAAAATCCCAATATATTTTGGAACTTGGAATTTTCGGAATCTTGAGATACATTCCAATTCCAATTCAATTTTTTTTCGACATTTTCAGATATCGAATTAATTTGGACTAACCAATTTTATTTTATTTTATTTTGGGTAAGAATCGGATTGTCCAATCCTACTTGCAATCCCACAAAGGTCTTTTGTAGGCTGAGAAAATGAAATGGGTTGATCATGAGAGAAGAAAAAGGAATGCCTAATAGATAAGCACACTTCTCAATCTCAAATTCTGTTTTGGTTTTGGGAGTTTGCAAAGGCCCATGAAATTACACGTGAGTCGTGAAATGACGAGGTTGTGTTTGGCGAGCTACTTATCATTTAAAGACACAACAAGAGGAAAAACATGGCTGAGACAAACAGAGCCTAAACTAATAAATGTGAAGATCGTCCAACTTGGAGCGATTAAAGAGCACAAAACAAAGAATATAATGATGTGTTTACTAATTAGAAATTAGAATTCTCATCAAGAATTGAATTCCATCTATGGAGGATTCATGCGTTTATTTAACATCAAGAAATTGAAAAATAAGTTGGGCCCATACAAAATTAGGAATTGAATTCCTGATTTAGGAGAAATTCAATTTTTGAGTGGGATGTGCTATTCTAATTCATGAAAAATTAACCTATTAGAAATTCATCTTTTTTACCCTTTATATTCTCACACAATTTTTAAAATTAAATTTGTCATATACTTTAATTCAACAACGATGACATTTTAATAATTAGCATCACTCATATCCTAATTTCATATGATTTAGTAAACAACTAGGTCGAAATCTAAATCCCCTCAACCCATATGGTTTAGTAAACAACTTCAATAGAAATCCGGAATCTAATTCTCCTCAATCCAACTCCTATTCAATTCAATTCATCTTCAATTTAATTCATCGTAATTCAATTACAAATTAGTGAACATGCCATATATGAAACGCCAATTCTGACCTTGCAGTCTTCGGAATCCTGTAGGTTAGAAACGACATTATATATTGTACACTATTCACGAATTGACCCCAACGTCTATTGTCTTGTTCGAAAATATTTGCCAACTGGTGCTTTTGCAATTAAACTTTAGACGCTCCATGCCACGTGTGCTACTCTTACTCTTGTAAATAATACAAGTTTGGAGGATACAAGGAAACTACGGTGAGGAGGCGGATATTGACAGTATTTAAGGGGAGAGAGAGAAGAGAGGGAGAAAAAGAAGAGAGGGCAGTGGTGGCATTTACATCTAATATAAACTAATTCAATTTTAAATCAGAAACTTCGCATTAACCCAAATTAATAGTTGACAACATGCACATGCCTAATAATAATTTTTTTCATTTTTTTGAAAAATGACTAGTAAGCTAATTTCATTCACTACTTCTCATGGAGTAAATGTGCCCATACAGACGTCTCAATGGAAGCCCTAAACAAATTCAACCATCTCTCCACCCAGTGAGATTAACTACAAAAAATTTATGTTACAATTAGAGTTCCCTAAATCCTGGCTCCTTTGCAGTCCCGCACAGATTCTTCACGCAGAAAAGAAAGTCAATTTCAGCGTGTGACGGGAAGATGTGCCAAAAAACTGCCCCTGCATCTGAGAAGGGCAAAGTCCAATCTCCCAATTCCAATACCGTCTGCTTCGTAATCCACGTGTGATGGGAGTAAAAAGTTGATAATCCCAAATTTGAAGACTAGTATTCCACCAATCGTAACTTCTTTAAAGAGGGAGCTCGGCTTGGACACAAAACTTGTGGTTCCAGCTCTCAGATTTAGTTACCCAATGTCAATATATTCTGGCAATAGTTCATCATCAAGGCCTCCAATCAAGCCAGGAACATATTCATGTGGGAGAACTCCAAAGTCCTCCGTTTCCAACAAAGACTTGTCAATGTAAGAATAAGAATTGTCTCCCAAATCATCAATTCCAACATCCTCGTTGACAGGCATATTCAGGTCAAACCTTGGAATGGGATTCATGGGTGCAGCCATTGGCAAAGGTTGAAATACCTGCTCAGTAATAAAGCTACGCATCTCACCATGCTCTACTGAACTTTTTCTGATCTTCGATTTGGAAGGTCTAACTGAATCAGAGAAGACAAGTTTGTGCTTTCCCGTGGTTGGTGGCTTTGACACTGACCGAGACCTGATATCATTTGTTGGGAATGCAGATGCAGCCCACCCCATGGTATCTTCAATGCAAGTTCTTGTTGCAGTCCTGAAAGTAGACAGAACTCTTATTAGCAACCTTCCAATACCCAAATCCCCATACTAGGAATTTGTTCAGACATCTACATAATAAATGTTTATTTTTCATATACCAATTGTTCTGGATTCATGTTGCAAGAGACCTTACCTGAAACGGTTCTCAGCCAAATTTACATCACAGGAATCTTCGCACTGATCATTGCTGGAGTTTCGAAGATGATGATCTTCTGTAGCTTGACTTAACAAGGGCAAAGGGTCTGAATCGGATACTGATAAATTTATAACAGATGGCAATGCATCCATGGAGTCATCTTTCCCTCCCTGAAATTCCAAAGTTATATCCAACCGCTCTGCATCCGTTGCTGAATCTTTCCCCAGGTTGGGACGAAAGACTCTGCCATCCTCCTGCCTGCTGCTGGCATCATTAAGTGCAGCGGCTATCAACTTGGTACCGTGCCCAAAAGTGCTCAACTTCATTCTTTCTGTACGTTCCTTCATGGAAGTCTGAGAAATTTGGTTAGAGGAACTAAAAAAGCTTCCACCAGAATATAGACCATTCCAGGATGATGGGAGATTTTTTCGGCGATCTTTGCGAGATGTCACCTTCCAGACAGATGAAAGCAGGGCAGTGAAGTGTTTCTGAATGACAAACTCTCTATTGGGCTGCTCAGCAGCAACATTTAATAACATTCGAATATTATCCTGGCATATAGGAAAGATGATGAGTCGTTTAATAAATGTTAACCGCACCAACTACAATTCACAATAGCTAAGTGATAAAAGTGTTTACGAGATTGACAAAACATATGCAGTTCTGAAAAAATAAAACACCATTTGTACCTCTGTTACTCTTAGAAGAGCCTTTCCAGATCCTATATTATTAACTTTTTCATAATTAGGATTGTCTGGTGTAGACAAAACATATCTTTGGATGAGTTCTCTAAATCTCTCACAGCAATGGACAGGATGGCGATATCTTCCCCTATAAAACCCACCAGCAGTCATTCCATAAAGTATGTCACTAACCAAGCTCCAATAAGGACCATACTCATGTACAACAGCACACAATATCGCATCCTCTTGTGACAACCAAAAATCTGGTGGTGGAATACAATCTCTAGACCAAATGTTGCCCTTCTTTAACTTCTCTGGTTTTATCATGAGAACACGCTTTACAGGCATGGAAGTGATAGATATTTTCCCTCCCATCTTGCTTCTACTAACTGGTTTATGCTCAAAATCAACCACACTCTCACTTGGTTTTGACTCTGTAACTTCATCATGCTCCATTGTAGAGAGGTTAGTATCAAACTCCGAAGGACAAATTTCAAGAGTAGACTTCTTGAGTTTCTTTGATTTTTTCTTTGAAGTCTTCTCTTCACCAAATGGTCTAGATTCAGCCTTCTTACGTTTTCTCTTGACAATTGAACGAGGTGATTCCATATCGGAATAGGTAACCATCTCATAAGAGATGGAGTCTTCATCTATGGACATAGGTTCCACTTGAAGATCTCCTTTCACAGGTTTCAGTTCAGAAGCTAGAGATCGTTTCTTCAGAGATTTAAATTTGGCTTTCTTCGATTTCTTCTTAGGCTTGGGTTTAGGATCACTTGGCATCTCATTCCTGCTATAGCATACAACTGATTAATTACAGAGTCTTCAATATAAAAGCAAAAAAGTGTCAACAGCTACATTAAGAAATTTCTAAATTAAGTACGGTATTTCAGAACTAAAGTGCTCTCTATTTTCTTCATTTGACAGTTGGATCATTGTAAAACTCGTATCTCTGGAATGCTATTCTATACTACAGAACAGATGCAGCCATCTTGTTTTGTGTGTGTGGGTGGGGGGGAAGAATTCTTGTAGTATATAAATTCAGTGCCGGTTATAAGACTTCCTTTGTCTCAGAGAGAGAGAGAGAGAGATTAATGGGAGGGATTAAATTGCACCAATTACTATCAGGACAAGGGTTTAGATTATCAGCTTACTTCATAGGATCACAATTTTCGTCTGCTTCATCTTCCTTCACCTTGGCTTCATATTCCAGTTCCTCCATCAACTGAAAAAAAAGAAGTTTATCACACATTATTTTTAAATAACAGAAAAATATGCAACTCAAAGAGTATCCACTGACCTGATGCTGAGTCAAAGCCTCAACCTGCTGACGATATGCCTCAGTTGCAAAATCAGCGTCCCATGCTAAGTAGGAAACAACGAGTTTAGTCTAGAGTTGCAACATGTACACATGGCAATAATAACAAATTATAAGTTTGAATCTTTCACATCACATCATTGACCATCATGCCCCACATGATTAAAGAACTGATTTACAGATACCAGATACCATATCATGACACTATGTGACACAGTGAAGGGGCAAATTGCAAACAAGAGCTTTACCAAGTGCCATGTGGGTAAAGATTATATTGGGCAGGAAGATTATGAACTTAAAAAAGCAATGAAGAGATTAAGAGGTACTTACTTTCATATACAAGAGGTTCCTCATCTTCATCAATCTCAGCTTCCATTTCCTCCTTGTATTTTTCAATGCGGTCTAGTTCCCATTCCGTCTCCTCAAATCTAACCTGAGATTCCACTGCTGTTTTGTCTATAATTGGGTCCCACAATTCCAGAAAACGAATTGCATACCTATCTATTGGACGTAATTGATTGCCAAATGATGAGATTTCTTGTCCTGCTGCTGCAGCCATCTGTTTGACATCATCCAGCATGTCCACATCATCTTCTCTACAAGCAACAGTAAGAGCTCTTTCATCATTAGAATCACTCCCATTCAACGTTATTCCATTTTCTTTGTTTGAAGAGGTCGTCCAGCCACCCTGCTCAACAGTTTCATCAACCTTCATGTCGTCCTCATTTACTAATTCATCATCTTCCAATCTCACAATGGCTTCTTCTGTAAATTCTTGATTGTCAACAGCTTCCTCCTGCTCAACTTTCTTTAATGCCATGTAATCGGCTTCATCTTCTGCATGCTTTAGAGCAGCTTCGAGATCAGCATTGGATAGAGAAACCTCAGTTGTGTTGTGATTTTTCTCCTTTTGCATATTCTTAACAGGAAGTGCCCTATGACCAGAGAAAAGCTCCATAGGATCAAGCTTTTTGAAGAATTCAGTGTTGTATCCCCCACTTTGTATAACTAGATCATCAAGCGCACGCTTCTGATTTGCTTTCTTCAGGATATTTTCTTCAATGGTGCTCTGACTGATCAACCGATAAATATGAACTTCACGTGTCTGTCCAATACGGTGGCATCGATCTTGAGCTTGTTGGTCCATAGCAGGATTCCAATCACTATCATAAAAGATAACAGTATCTGCCCCAACTAGGTTTATTCCAACACCCCCACTACGGGTTGACAATATGAAAAGAAAAATTTTGGGATTTGTGTTAAATCGCTGCATTAAAGTCTGCCTCTCCTCAGGCTGAGTGGACCCATCTAAACGCATGTATGTGTAACCATACAGATTGATGAAAGCCTCCAAGATATCAAGCATCTTCGTCATCTGAGTGAATATTAATGCTCTGTGACCTTCTGACTTCAGTTTTCTAAGCAAACCTGCAAGCTCTTGCAACTTACCACAGTCAAACTGTATAAGTCGCCTGTCAGGAAAATATACTTGCCTTCGGACAATTGCAGGTCTGAGTGGTGATAGAAGTGGTGACAAGGTTTCAGTGCATTTCTGCTTATAAACTGGATTCTGAAACACAGAACTTCCAGACTTACTGCACCAACATACAGGTGGGGGCGCCCGAGCAGCAGGGATTGCAAACAGAAAACTTTCAACCAGGTCAATCATTTTCTGAAAGCGTTCCACTGGTGAAAGGACTATATCAGCCAGCTTTGAGGAGTACATGTAGGACAAAGGATTAGCCTTGTGAGAGTGAATGTCAAAAACAGGATGTCTTATTGTAACAAGATCCCTTAGGCTTGTTGAGTATATGGGCTTTCTGTTGCACCTCAAGTTATTCCACCATGCAGTAGCTGCAGCATGTTCCTTCACTTGTCTTAGTCTCTCCTCCATAATTGCCTTATGAACCTCTTCAAAAATATTTGTTCCATGCAACTTCTTGCGATGTTTAAATCCACCAATATATTCAAGGTTAGTCAGTTCAACACGCTCCTTGATTAAACTTGATGGAGTAGCAAGAGCTTTCGCTTCATCACTCTCCCAAGAAGTCATGGTAAAATCTAGATGAGTAAATAAAAACCCCAAACCCCTAAGGTCTACTGCAGAAAAGGGTCCAGGTGAAAGAATTGAACATACAGAAGAACTCAATTGTGTGTAAATACCAGCCATATCATAGGAACTGACAATCGGACGACCTTCAAATAAGTCGGGATGATTGCAGACTTTACGAAGTTGCATTATAATACTTATCATTCCAAAAAAATTTGCACTTGCAAGAGTTGCTTGTGTTTCGGAGCTAGCAATGAAGTCTTCATACAAGTTACGCTGCCTCCTGGAGAGTCTACAGTTTATCACATGCTCATGTTTCATAGGGAGCTGCTTCTCCACGTCTCGTTTTAAACGACGGAGAATGAATGGCCGAAGGACATTATGTAGACGATCAAGAACTTCCTTATTCACTTTTTCTTGCCCCTCAACCATCCCTGATATAGGATTACAGAACCAATCCTTGAATTCCTGATGGGACTGAAATACATGGGGCATCAAGAAATGCATTAGAGACCAAAGTTCCATGAGATCATTCTGCAGAGGAGTACCAGTTAACAAAATGCGGCGTTTGGAATTGAAGTTTAAAAGAGTTTGCCATCTCTGTGACTTCCAATTTTTAATCAGATGGGCTTCATCTAAAATCAAGTATTTCCACTTCTTACGCTTGAAGACTTTTGAATCTTGAATAACCAGTCTGTATGTTGTTATGCATACATGAAATGAGTTTGGTTTCAACCAGCCTTGCCTTTTCAATTTGCGCTCTTTTGCACTTCCGAAATAAGTTAAGATTTTGAAAGCTGGACACCATTTGAGAAACTCAGTCTCCCAATTAAGCATAACACTAGTTGGGACCACAATAAGATGAGGACCCCATATTCCCTTTTCACATGCTAGGTGTGCAAGCAAAGCAATTGTCATGATTGTCTTCCCAAGCCCCATCTCGTCGGCTAAAATCCCATTCAGTCTTTTCTCATACATCGTTACAAGCCAATCCAAGCCAATATGCTGATATTCACGTAGAGGGAACTTAAGAAGAAAAGGGAACTTTGTGCGAACTTGGGTTGTGGAGAAGGTGTTTCCAGTTGGTTGTGCAGATCTCGCAGCAGCGGCTGCATCCTCAAGTCTGTTCTCACTGTCCTTTCCTCCTTCTGATATCTTATCTATCCTAGCACTCTGTTCTTCAGTAGGAGAATCAAGAGCCGGCTGGTGCTCACCAGAGTCATAATCTTCATCCATACAAACACCATGTTGCTTTGGTTCAACATCTTCAAGAGATGGAGAATCCACAAATCCCTCTGATAAAGCAGAGGCATATTCAGATTCACCATCTGCAACTTCATCACTGTTTGAATCCTGAAAACAGGTTGATATTTGAACAAAAATCATAAGTGATGTGAAGCACTCAACTTATGAGCAGAAGCATACAATAAACCCTACCTTTTTATACCTTGCAAGCAGTTCCTCTAAAGGAACTTCACTCTCCTTCTGTAGTAAGGCAATCTGAAAGATAGCAAAAAACCATAGAAACAACCGACAAACTTTAGACCGAATCTTTTAAAAGTATCTAATCTGGATGTTTCTACCAATATGCCTAAAGTATAAGGGTGCGATAAAAGGCATGTAGAATGGCTTCTCACCTCATCCATGGGATCACTGGTATCTGCTCTTGCCAGTTCCTCCTCCTCTGATAAAGTTGTCTCATCATCCTGCACATCAAATTCAAATCAGTACAACAAAGGCTATTGGAAATTAGCAACATGAATAAAACCTATTGGGGCAACCAAATTCAACCAATTCAAAACCTATTCCCCACTCAACTAAAACTCAAGACTGTATTTATCACAATTTGGCTAGAATAATAATGAACCAACATATACCTAGATGTTGCAAGCAACCCAAGATTATAAAAACAGTATGAAAAGGCCTCTACTATGGTTGAGTCGACGAATAACAAACAATAGCTACCTAATTCCTAACAAAGGAAAGAAAAAAAAATCCCAAGACAGAACAGAAATAAAGTCAGAAATGAAACATAAAAAGCATTCCCACCTTTTCCTCTCCAGCAGCAAGAATGAAGTCACCATCTTCCTGCATAATTCAAGAAAGAGTGAGCAATAACCTTACACCCAGATTAGTTTTTTTCAAAGAAAAATAAAATAGAAAGCCCAAATATTAAATGGAAAGGAAAGGAGAACTAAAGGATTGTTGTAAAGTATATCTAAGACTCTGAAACTAGGAATACAGAAATATGGATAATTCAGAATACATGTATCTCTCTCTCTCTCTCTCTCTCTCTCTCTCTCTCTCTCTCTCTCTCTATATATATATATATATATGTATAATATGTACAATATATACATATAAGTTTGAAGTCTCATAATTTCAAAATAATTGGAGTTTGCGATACCATTCCAAGATATAAATCAGAGGGTACATGAGGTCACCAGACATCAATGTCCAATAAATAAAAACCCATGAACAAAAACAATGTTGCTAAACATATGCTACCAGTGCAAATAGACAAATAACAAAATCAAAATTAAAATAATTGCACTCACATGTTCATCATTAAAATCATATCGCACATGTCCCTTGGCAAGCTGTGCAGAAGCTTCTGAAATATTTTTGGCTCCATTTATCTCAATATCTGATAAATGGGTTTCTGAAGTGGACAAGCCACCATTACTTTCCACCTGTAATTAGAAAATAACTATCATGCTAAACCATTCATATACTGCACACTTCAGCACTGGAATCTATAAACACATACAACTTACACAACGACGACCGGTGAAAATGTCTGAGCTGATTTTTTCAGTCTTACTGGCTACAAAAATATCGCTTTGTCCACCTGCAGCATAATTAACCCATCACCTTCTCAGACATAATCATAAGTTTCACTAAGTAACACAATACATTAACCACATTAACTGGTACACATACCATGGTCTTTCCCCACTGAGGTCATTTCTGTGCCATCTTCAACCTTTTCAGGAAGCATACCGGGATCCTTTCCCACTGAGGTCATTTCTGCGCCATCTTCAACCTTTTCAGGACGCATACCAGGATCTTCCCCAACTGAGGTCATTTCTGCATCATCTTCAACCTTTTCAGAACACGTACCAGGATCTTGCCCCACAGAAGTCATTTCTGCGCTATCATCACCCTTTTCTGGACAAATACCATGATCTTCCCCTGCTGAGGCCATTTCTGTGACGTCTTCACCCTTTTCTGGACTACTTTCTGGGCTAACTGAGAGTCCATGTGTCAGATAAGATTTATGAAGATGCTACTAGTACGAAATAAAGGAGCTCACTTGGAATAGGAGCAACAGGGGAAGAGATCCAACCAATAATTTTCCAAATCTAGTATCTATTTATCACAACTCTGATTTCTAGCATGGGACACAAATAAAATTCATAGAGATAAAGCTGAAAGAGTAGTGGAAAAAGCCATCCCGACTGGCTCATTCATAGCTCTCTCAGAACCCAAAAGTTGGTCTATTAGAGATGAGTCTGGACAATCTGGAAACAAATACACTGAGGTACATGCTTAAGCAGGTATGGACATTGTGAGTGATTGAAATCTAGGTGTCATCTAGTAGATCTACATGGGGGGTAAATTGTTTGAAAAGTTCCAGACCCATATTTATGGCACCCAAACTGCCCCTCATAAATTAAACAAAGTATAATTGTGCAAAACATTATAACCATTCACCTTTCTCCATAGGATATTGTTTGAGTAACTCCTCAAGTGGAAGATCTACTTCATTTTGTAAAGCAGCCAATTCTTCCTGTCTTTCTTGTTCAGTAAAAAGAGCCTCATCTTCCTCAATAGTGCATTCATCATCTTCCTAAAACAGCATCATCATGCAGGAAAACATCTGTTAAGAATAGAAATTATATATAAAGAGCAGTATCAAAAGATCGTTTAAATCCACAAGGCGGGACAGTCTGACCTCAAAATACAATAGAGGACACAGGGCAGCCTTTGCAAACATGCTAAGGAAACTAATACATTTTGGCAGTAGACATTCAGGTAATATAACAGTTTACAGATAGAAACGTACTCTAACTAGCATATATATGTATAAAACTCACAATAATAGAACATGAGGGTGCATATTCAAGTTGCAAATTTAGAAAACATAGGTCGTATGTCTTTTATTACCAACCTTATTGTGGTCAGATCTCATTTCCAAAAATTCATGAAAAAAAAATTCCACAAGATTGTTTAGGGTTCATTTGATTCTATAGAAGTTTCCCAACCAGAAAACAGTTGCGCTGTTAGGCAGAAAAACGGGTCAGTTTAACTATAGACTTCATCTCTGGATTACCTAAAGTTCTGGTCAACTACTTTACCAACTACGCTTCTTTCATGCTCGCTAGACATCCCTGAGTGAGGGATGGCAGGCACGGATCTAGTTCAAAATACTGAGTATTGAAGAGTGTTAGCTGATATGACATGATTGATCATATGGCCAATAAATATCGTGAGCTACCATTCATGCAGCAGCAACAGCAACCTCCTATAAATGACAGCTGAGTTTTATTATTTTTATTCTCAAGGATTACTTTTCTTTCTATTTATTCTAACATGCGAAAAATTATGTCTGTATATTATTCCTAGTGTGAAGAAATAAGAGTACTAGAAAAGGCTACCAGCCCACCACAATTTTCTACAGCCAACCCTACATCTTCATACAACAGTTTTCTTGAGCAATAATCAAAGAAAAGGAAAAACAAAGAGAAGGCGTCAGCTGATGCCTGCTGGAAACTAGCACCTGAGTGCTCTGAATTCTTCTACTTGATATTTTCTAATATGCATAGAGTTCCTTGGCTGATTGACATTATTATCATGTACTTGCATACCAACAAATTGAGTTCGAAAGAGATATCATATAATTACAGAATATACAACGAAAGGAAAGACTCACTGTTCCATCATCTGATTGTACATCATAATCATCATCACCGTCTACTGTATCTGACTGAGGATCTGCTTAAAACGTGTAAGAGTGAATTATTTTGGTTATTAAAGAAAAGTAAAATAAAATTCCTAGGTAAGCGAATAACAGCAATGAAATTACAACCTTCAACTTACCAGCATTAAATTCAGTTGATTTGTTAATATCATTTTCATCCATCTCTTTGCATTGAATACTCAGTTGATTTTGTATGGGATATTGCTGCACAGGCTTGTAACTGTCCCCAAGATTTTCTGCCAACATTGTTGAGTACCTGGAAATTTCATGCACAACATACTTTTATTCAGTTCACCGGGAAAATAGCCAGAAATCAAAGGTAGTATACAGCAAATAATGAAAATTCAGATTATATCAATTAACCAAGAAAACGTATTTACCTCTCAGTTTGCCCTAGAAGGAACTCAAGCTGCTTATCAAGTGCCCTTTTCTTTTTCTCATCAAGTTCCATCTGATGCTTGTAAAGCACCTAGATTACATATTGTGTATATACAGTCAGGGACCTAACTATAAAGAAATTAATTGATTAAATTATTAAAGAGAAACCAAATAAGTTGGAAACTTGATTGACAAAGCAAATATAAACTTACCAGCTTCTCTATTTTCAGCCAGAACTTCTTCACATCTTTTGAAATACTGAGGGCAACCTTCTTTAACCGCAGCTCTTCTTCCTGATCAAAATTGAAATTCACATTGTTGCAAGAAAAATAAGCATGCCAGTGTTATATGAACCAATTTTGTGTAACATGAGAATTGAGATAAATTTGTTCTAAATGTGAGCATGACAAATGTACATTCACTTCAGTTAGGGAAAAACAGAACCTTCATTCTTTTTTCTCCCCTCGTAGCTTGATCTAGCATGCCTTTGCTGGCTCTTAAAGCAACCTTCTTCGCCTGAGCTAATTTCCATTTTCTCTCTGACTCAAAGTCCTGGTAACAACTAGTTTCATAAGCAAGGAATATAAAACCTTTTGTCTCACATTTCTCAACATAATTGAAAGATATCACACTTTTTCAACATAATACTTGATCTGAAGATAATAAAGCACAATCATACAAGCAGATGACTATAGTCCAGAATTTCCAACAACATAAATTGCCAGATCTTCAAGGCATATATTAGTAAATTACCTTTGAAAGCCATATCATCTCCTCTAAAACATGATCCCAATGAGCCTTTGGCCGACGAGGTTCATTCGGAGCTTCAAGGGCCTATCATAGTTAAGTTAGTCAAAATGAGTAGAATAAGAAAAGGATTGCAGCAATGCATTCAAATTACTAACTGTTTTCAATATGTAGAATGTTATCATCACCAAGGAACATGGAGTCCGAAGACCATTACAAGCATGTGCATGTGATAAAAAATATTCGGAAAGCTCCAAATAGTTTTATTGAAACTTGAAGGCATACAACATTCAAACCATTATACTCAAGATCCCTTGTTGCAACATGTCAATCCAGAGAGCAGTTTAATCCTAAGTCCTAATATAAAAACCAATTATTGTATCAATGATTAAAGTTATCTGACCACCCTCTGTAGTAATGATACTTCAAGAAGAGTACAGATATCTGTTTTGAAAACCAGTAATTCCCATTAAAGCTGAAAAAAACCCACAGAAAGAAGAATTTGTCCTAGCACGACTCATCCACAGGAAAATTCTTTATCACTTTGCAAAAACAGTAATCTGTCAAATCCCCACAATCAGAAACATTGTAAAACACAAAGATTTGGAAGGGTTTCCTCTCAAGCAAAGACACCCAACCAACCTTTTCTGGACGTCATTGCTCTACTTTATCTGTCTTGAAATTCTCAATAAAATCATCCCTAGATTTAAAAAAAAATAGAAACATCTCCACGCTCTTCACCATTGAAGATATAAGTGCTGATGTTTCACTTAGTTCAAGATGCACCGTAAGCCAAGACTTTTACGAAACCCAGCCCACACAATGGGTGTCAATGCACTTTGCTAGGACTTGAGCCCGATACATCATTGCCTACTTGCAATCTTGTTGCGCAGTTCTAGTGAAGGAAACATTTCAACTTACAAATCTGAAAGGAAATGACTAAAATAGAAGCATGCTTCGGCTAATAGAGTAGCATGCATTCCTGAAGCTTAATCTTCATCACCTAGCTAACTTGACTCTCAATAGCCCAAATAGAAGCTTGCTGCAACTAATAAGCAGTAAATCCTCAAACATCTTCATTATATCATCAAAATCTTAACACACATTGGCCTAATGCAAAAAAGAATTCTTCAGTACAGGGTAAGATATTACTAGTATGTTGGATATTTGTACGATAACATAGTGAAAAGAAAAGTATAAAAGGTCTCCCCAGCTCGTAGTTGGAATATCATAAAAAATCATATAACTATAGGAAAAAACATGAGAACCCAATATTCTGTTATTGGTTTGCATGCTTAATCTCCACTATGGAAAGGTGTCTTCAATTTCTCTTCATTTTTGCATAGAACTAACGTTCTTTTTTCGTCTTTCTACACTTGGTTAAGAGTCAAAGGACATTTTAACTTTATTTCTAAACAAGGGTTATGTTATGACTTTTGCGGCCAAACCCATTCCAAAGAAACACTGTTTTACTTCATTTATTCGTCCTCTTCAACTTTTGCGTCCCATATACGAGGAAAAAAAAACTACAGTACATATTTTGGTTTAACAAAAAGAAATAAAAAAGTGGCATTTTAAGAATTCATAAGAAAAACAACTAGTTATTCACTTCTAGCTCATCAAAAATTCAGATTTCAACAAAAATGCAAAAGTATTATATAGGGAAGCCAACCTTGTGGCGTTTAGCTCTGGTCTCATGATCAAGCTTCGACCTTGGACCTTTGGAAGCCATGGTTTTGGGTCGTCCGATCCACAAAACCGGTGGATCTAGACCGTCTGGTCGACGCCACTACGCTCTCCTTCTCCGATTGCTCTCTTCCTTCCTATACTCTTGCTCTTCTTTTTCTCTTCTTTTTCTCTTTTTGTTTTGTTTTGTTATCTCTCTGGAGCTTTCTTCTTCTTCTTCTTTTCTTCGCTTTGAGGACACCCGCCTCTGATGAAATTCCACGATGCGGCGCTGCGTTGGGTGGCGGCTTTGTTTACGTGGTTGGATTCTGCTTTGGGCTTTATTTATTATAGGTTTGGTTCATGGGCCGAGATAAATAGCTCCAACGGCCCAAACTTAAACCCCCAACCGTTGAAATAAAACAACGGTCTGGATGTTATGTAGATTCTGTTGCAAAACTTTGATCGGACAATCAATTAGATTTGGCTTGATTGATGAGCAATTAATGTCAACCTTCATTCTTATTTTTCCCTATTGTTATCTCTCTCTGACACTTGGTTCAAGTCATTAGGAGTTGTTTTCATGTGTACGAAATATCATAAGAGTGGATAACCGAACACATATGATTTCGAGTACTTAGATAGAAGATTTTTAACCACTTGAGTTAGAATGAAATGAGTTAAAACGACATGTATTGCATACGACTCCATTTCATTATAATTGACCATAATACGTCCTTGAAGTTTACACATAGTGCATACATCAATAACTAGTTGTTATACATAATGCCAATTGTATAAATTACAATAACTTAATCCACAAGAAATATGTGTAAATAACATAATAATCTTTTTAATATAGGGAACTCAAGCGAGCACCACATGAAGATCAAACTTTTTCAACGTGCATCAAAATCGGAATTCGACAAGTCATTCACTGATGCAATTTCAGGTTGCTTTCCACCTACACCAGCCTCCACCAATTTCCTTCCAACAAAAAATGCTGGCTTTGTAGGTAAGGCTAATGGTGTGCTTTCATTATCTCAAATAGATACTACAGCTGACATGGTGGGGCGATCTGCTGCATCTTCCTCTACACATAACAGACCAACATGGATGCATCTTAACACTTGATCGTTAATACATGAATCACCTACCGTTGGATCCATTAATTCTAGTCCTGCACCTTCTTTCCATAACTCCCATGCCTGAAATAACATTTTTCAGATTAAGAAAAAGAAAATGTAGAGTATTATAAATGCAGAGAGTTGTTTGACATACGTATCCTACTAAACTGAGAGCGCGATCATCGTTGTAGAAGCTGTTGTTTCTCCTCCCACTTATGATTTCAAGCATCAACACCCCGAAACCGTAGACATCAGATTTTACGGAAACAATTCCTTCCATGGACTCAGGAGGCATGTAACCACTGCACCAAATGAAATGAAAAAGGCTTTGATTAGCACATATCTTCAAAAATTCATGTTTAACCAACAGCAGAATAAGAGTGTGTATGCAGAAATTTGTTTACTTACCGTGTTCCGACAATTTTACTAGTGTTTGCTTCCAATTCATTATTGGTGAAAATCCTTGCCATACCGAAATCGGAGATTTTGGGGTTCAAATTTTCATCAAGTAGTATGTTACTTGTTTTTAAATCTCTGTGAATTACTTTCTTTCTTGAGTATTTGTGCAGGTACAGCAACCCTTGAGCGATTCCTTCAAGTATACCAAAACGCTTCTTCCAATCTAGAAGTAGACGTCTGTTTGGATCTGTCCAATATGTAGAGTTAAGTAAGATTAAAATTAATAGTAAAAATCTTTGAATTTTGACAGTAGAATAAAAATCAGATAACAAATATAACAAATCAAAATCAAGTATCTTTAATTCCTTACCAAATAAAAAGTTGTCCAAACTTTTGTTTGGCAGGTACTCATATATCAACATCCTATCTTCTTCATGAATGCAAAACCCAAAAAGCTGAACAAGGTTTGTATGTTGGAGTTCATATATGAGTATCAACTCATTCTTGAACTCTGAGGTTCCTTGCCCTGAACATTTCGAAGCCTCTTCACAGCGATTTCTTGTCCCGTTGCCAATTTTCCCTGAATTAATAATCCATAATATTTCTCAGCCATTTCAAAAAGGGAAAAGCTACATGTTCATCTGCTTTTGAATTACAAATAGAAAATACTTTTGTAATTTAAAGTTTTACCTTATAAACAGGTCCAAAGCCTCCTTGTCCAAGCTTGTTTTCTTCTGAGAAGTTTGAAGTGGCAGCCAAGACAGATGCATAGCTAAATACACTTAGATCCTGATGTCCCATCTTTCCATCATTTTGAAGTCCAACATGATCAGTAGGTCTATTAGATTTCATGAAGTTAAGCATTTCGTTCTCAATGTTTGTCCTGCTTTCGCCTATTTAGATTGATAGTGTAGAAAGTTATGATTTCAATTTGTGGACAACAAAAGTCAAAGATGTAAAACTAGAGGACATAACCTTATAAAGAAATATACCAGTTGGAAGTGTCAATCTTCTTCTTCGTAGTAGCTGGCACAAGACTAAGAGCATTAGAGCAGCACCAGCAGAAGAAGTGCCAATCCATATCCACTTTTGTCCTGCATCAAAAATATATCAGTTGAAATTGGACTTGTGTTCTAAGTTCAATGTATTAAAAGATACATAGTTAGACTTACCAGTATTTTTGCGAGGTGTTGATTTTGGTGACGATATTAAACTTGAAAAAACAAAGCCACTAGTTGCAGTACTTGATCCAGTGTTTTCTTCGACAAACTCACTGTCTACACTCCAAAATTGACATCCTGTACTGCTAGTAGTCTGATTATCTGATATTGGAAAGTTGAATCCAAGGCAGGTACAATTTTTCCAACAAGTAGCCTTGCAGGCATTTCTAGTACCACTGTGTCTTATATTTGAATCAAACCAGTAAGGGGATCTTGAGCTCAAATTCTTGGGTTTAAAGACACCATTTTTGAGCTCAAAGTCATCACCAACTTTGGCCACGCAATCATTTGGCCGGTCCCTTCTCACGCACCCTCCATCGGTGTTATAGCCATCACAGTTTCGTGCTAGTACAATATCAACTGGTCCCCCATAGTCATGAAGTCTCCCCTCGCTGTATAGCACCAATTCTGGTTCAGGTTCACTTTGATCATCTACAGCACTGTATTTGAGGCACTCTTCACTCTCATTTGAAACAATGCTAAAATTGTACCTCTGCTTGGACTCATTTGGCAAAATAAATTCAAATCTCCCATCTGATCTTAAGACTCCACTTGTCCAATAAACCACCCCACTTTTCCTGATTTTCAACTGGCGCTCATTGGGATCCCAATCAAGAGTGAAAGGTCCTGGAGCTGGGTTGTAGGTATCTGCCCACGCTAAAAGTGACCATATGTGGCCATTACTACGGTTAACACCTAATTTCATACCGGGTAAAAATGTGTCTACTGGATAATCAAAACTTTGCCACAAAACCCGTTTCGTCGATCCATCCACAGGGTTCAGTTCTTGTACTATAAGATTGCCAGAATCCAAAAGGGTAGCCACAACGGGATCACTAGTTTGTGGAGCAGAGAAAATTGGAATAGAATCTTGACCTGTTTGAGTAACTTTCAGTGTGTTGTTCAAGTCCAAGGTGAGAAGTGGGGAGGAAGGGTATGGAATAGGTGTGTTTCTGTTGCCAATCCATGCTTTGTTTGTTTTTGGTTTATTGTGCAGGATTGCTAGATAGCTGGTGTTCGAACTAGTTTGTACAACGAAACACAGGATGAACTTGCCTGATGCAGAGACTAAGGAGCTTGAGGAATTGAGAGTGTCCCCTGGCTTGAGTGTGTCACTTGCAGCATCCTGACAAGTCCACAAGCATGCAAAAATGAGGAAGATAATTGAGTTCATCATCAAAGCTGTAGCCATGGATGACCACAAGACCATGAAAACTTGGCTGAAAAAACATGATCAAGAGGTGTGGGAGTTAAAACCAGTATCACAGTGGTCAAGGGTAGGAAATTCTTTAGAAACTAATAATTTTTATTACAATTTCTGGAAGACATTTGTTTTGTTTTAAATTTAAAAATTTGGAAATTACAGGAAAACTTTTGACTCACATGTTTATGTTTTGACAATGATTTTTCTATTTGGTTTTGGTTAGAATGACCTGCATTTACAACAATGACTTTGTCTTTTCTTTCTGATCAAGTCACGTAGTTGGCTCCTCTTCTTCGAAAGAGATGGAATGCATTAATTTGTGGAAAAAGAAAAAATATGGTTTTTTTTTAAATTTAAAAATTTGGAAATTACAGGAAGACTTTTGACTCACATGTTTATGTTTTGACAATGATTTTTCTATTTGGTTTTGGTTAGAATGACCTGCATTTACAACAATGACTTTGTCTTTTCTTTCTGATCAAGTCACGTAGCAGGCTCCTCTTCTTCGAAAGAGATGGAATGCATTAATTTGTGGAAAAAGAAAACAATGGTTTCAAATGATAAGAAATAAACAAAAGAAAAGCTGTACTTAATAATGATAATTTACTTGCTAAACTTGACTTGAACATAGAACAGGTCTAAGACTCAAAGTACAACTTTTGTTTTTCTTTCCTTAAAAAAATCTTATTGAAGTATATGTAGTTGAGGCACAAAGCATGATCAGCACAACATCAAAATCGGAAATGGACAAGCCATTATAACTGATGTTATGGGCGTTTAGATTTAGATGATTGGTTATGAACATGTATGCATATATCAGTTTCTACTTTCTTGGTTGCAAATTGTGTCTAAATCATGGATATGATCACATGTGACTGAAAAATTGCTCCTTAACTTCATCTTTCCTAAGAGTTTTTCAAATTGACAAAGATTGGTTCATTTCAATATATATAGCAGATTGACTGGGTTTCACAAAAATAACAGTTCCACATAAAGTACTATCACACTTTTACAGCCACGAAAACATGATTGATTCCTTCATCGTGCACCAAAATCTGAATTGGACAAACCATTTATTGATCCATTTTGCGGTCCCTTCCTACCTATACCAGCAGTGTCTGTATTTCCTTCTGTGTAATATGCTGGTTTTGTTGGTTTAGGCAACTGCATGCTTTCATTTGTCAACATAGATATGACATCGGACATGGTAGGTCGGTCAGCTGCATTTTCCTCCACGCATAGTAGACCAACGTGGATGCATCTTAGCAATTGATTCCCGATACATGAATCGCTTAGAGTGGGATCCATTAGTTCTAACCCTGCATTTTCTTTCCATAACTCCCATGCCTGAAAACCAAGTTGATAAATATCATCATTTAGGATCATTGGAATATCTCACACCTTAAAAGGAAGAAAAACATAATAACAACTTCAGTTAGATATTTGTTTGACATACATATCCTACTAAATTGAGTATACGATCATCATTGTAAAAGCTATTGTTCTTCCTGCCACTTATGATTTCAAGCACTAACACCCCAAAGCTGTATACATCCGATTTTACAGAAACAATGCCTTCAATGGTCTCAGGAGCCATGTAACCCCTGGATTAAATGGACAAGAAAAAATTCTTTAATTAGTACAAATCTGCAAACATGCATGCTTAGCAACCGAAAGCAGAAGACATGATAAGAATGTATATATACACTCACAATATTTACTTACCGTGTCCCGACAATCCTACTGGTATTTTCTTCCAATGCATTGTGGGTGAAAATCCTTGCCATACCGAAATCGGAAATCTTCGGGTTCATATTTTCGTCAAGTAGTATGTTACTAGCTTTTAAATCTCTATGAATTACTCGAGTTCTTGAGTATTTGTGCAAGTAAAGCAATCCCTGAGTGATTCCTTCAATTATATTGAAACGCTTCTTCCAATCTAGTAGCACACCTCTGATTGAATCTGTCACACATAGAGAGTTAACGAAGAACACTATTTGTAATCTACATATTTTGACAGTGAATTTAAATCAGATAACAGAGCAAATCAAGCACTATGATTAAAGTGTTCTTAATTCCCAACCATATAAAAAGTAGTCCAAGCTTTTGTTTGGCAAGTACTCATATATCAACATCCTCTCTTCTTCATGAATGCAAAATCCAAAGAGCTGAACAAGGTTTGTATGTTGAAGTTCATGTATGAGTATCAATTCGTTCTTAAACTCTGACGTTCCTTGTCCGGAACGTTTTGAAAGTCTCTTCACCGCTATTTCTTGCCCCTTCGCCAATTTTCCCTGAACAGATTCTCAACAATATTCTTAATTTTTTAGAAAGAAAAGAAATCACGACACATTTTATTGTGCAAGGCCTTACCTTATAAACAGGTCCAAATCCGCCTTCTCCGAGCTTGTTTTCTTGAGAGAAGTTGGAAGTGGCAGCCAAAACAGATTCATAGGTAAACACGCTTAAATCATGTTTTCCCATGTTTCCATGATCTTTTTGAAGCTCATTAACAGGATCATAAGCAGATCTATTGGATTTCATGAAGCTAGGCATTTTGTTCTGTATCATTGCTCTGTTCTTGCCTATTTATTTAGATTAGTGCAGAAAGTTAAAATTTCAATTTGGGACAACAATTATGAAACATGTGAATTCTTTTCTTTCTAACAAGTTCACATGAGGCTTATATGTACCTGAGCATATTCTTCTTCTTAGCAGGTAACCCAAGATGCAGAACACCATTACAAGGACAGCAGCCGCAATAGCAATGCCAATCCACAGCCATTTATGTCCTTCATCATCTACAGAGTGACAATTAATTAGCTACATATTTAGTCATACATTAGGCCCTCTTAGATTCTAGTTAATGTTTGTTGCTCATTATTGCACATTTATTGTCTCTTGTGAAGTACAGGTATCAAATTTTGGCAGCTAGACTTACCATTTTTTTGGGCAGGCGGTGGTGGTTTCGCTGGCGTTGCTAGTCCTGACAAAACAAAGCTGCTACTTGAATTGAGGTCTTCAAAGAACTGAGACTCTACACTCCAAAATTGGCACCCAGTACTAGTCTGACTCTGATTAGCAGGTGGAAGGTCAAATCCAAGACAGTCACAATTTTGCCAACAAGTAACCTTACAGTCACTACTACTAGCATTAAACCAGTTGGGGGATCTTGAAGTATTACTAGAGTTGTTGATCTTGAAGTAACCATTTTTTTTCTCAAATTCATCACCAAATTTCGCTGTACAACCACTTGGCCGGTCCCTTCTCACACACCCTCCATCTGTGTTGTAGCCATCACAGTTCAGTGCTTTTGTAATAGCAACTTGTGTTCCATACTCAAAAAGTGTCCCTCTGCTGTATAGCACCCATTCTGGCTCAGGATCACTTGGATCACCTACAGCAGTGTAGGTGAGGTAGTCTTCATTTTCATTTGAAACAATGCTAAAATTGTACCTCTGCTTTGACACATCAGGAAAAATAAATTCAAATCTTCCATCTCCGAAGATGCCACTGGACCAATAAACCACCCCAGCTTGCTTGATTCTCAATTGGTGTCCATTGGGGTCCCAATCAAGGCTCAAAGGCCCCGGCGCTGGGTTGTAGCTTGTTGCCCAAGACAAAAGTGACCAATTGTGCCCATTTCTGTGGTCAACCCCCAATTTCATGCCTGGTAAAAATGTGTCTGTTGGATAATCAAAACTCTGCCACAAAACCCTGCTGGTCGATTTGTTGACAGAGTTCACTTCTTGTAGTACAAAGTTGCCAGAATCCAAAAGGGTAGCCACAACAACACTAGTTTGTGGAGCAGAGGAAATGACAATAGGGTCTCCACCTGGGTATGTAATTTTCAATGTGTTGTTCAAGTCCAAGATGAGAAGTGGGGAGGAAGGGTATGGAATAGGTGTGTTTCTGTTGCCAATCCATGCTTTGTTTGCTCCTGGTTTATTGCGCAGGATCGCTAGATAGCTGGTGTTCGAACCGTCGATAGTTTGTACAACGAAATGCAGGATGAACTTGCCTGATGCAGAGACTAAGGAGCTTGAGGAATTGAGAGTGTCCCCTGGCTTGAGTGTGTCGCTTGCCGCATAATGACATGCCCACAAGGAAGCAAAAATGATGAAGAAAATTGAGCTCATCATCATCAAACCAGAAGCCATGGATGTCGACAAGTCAGGCCCTACTTTCACTTTAATTTATACAGATGATCACGAAAACTTAGCTGAAATAGCTTAGAATTTACACATGAATATGATCACTATCCTTAAGGTCAACGGTCGGTCGGCAATCATTTAGACATTAAATAAAGTTCTTACAAGTAGACATGAAGACTTTTTTTCTTTTGTTGGATTTAAAAATTAGAGAGAGTTTTGACCTTTTTTTTTATAATGCCTGCACTTAGAAGACAGTCTCTTTCATTCATTCTCTTTGCCTTTCTTCCTTCACAAGGCACTTGGCTCCTGATTGGAGGCGTATTTGTGGGAAAATAATAATTTCAAATGCTAATAAAATTAATAAATAAACAAATTCATCGTACCATATCTGTGCTCAATCATGATGAAGAATAATAATTTTCTGGTTAGGAGGAGAGGATTCAAAATGTGCTTTACACTCTAATAATTTTCATATATTCTGATTGTTTATTTATCAATTTATTTTATTAATGACCAATTAATAAAAATAGTAGGTATGAATCGCAGAAACTACCTGAACCAGGCCGATTAAAAAAAAAGTGAAAACCCAAGTCAAATTTATGATAAAAAAGAAAGTAATTCTTAATTAATTTTATATATAATAGCACTACGTGTCCATCTTATATTTTAAATTCAGGTTGATATTGATAAACATCCGATCATTCTTAGTTGGAAATGGATTTTAGTCAACCCCACACCTTTTTAAACTTATAAAAACGACCTAATATCCTAAGTTAACGCAATGTGAAATATCATATACTATCTTTGAACGTATATGATGCATTTTGGTTTAACAGACTTTGAGGGGGCGACGTGTCACAAGGCCCAAAGCCCCATCAGCCAACTGTGTAGTTGATGTATTTTTTATTTTTTATTTTTTATACAAGCGATAGTTGGGAAGGAAGCTTTTCCCACACACACTATCAAGGTGTCATGCAAGTGAAATTCCTTTCCATGCAATCTTAATACAACGGATCTCCACCTTGGTGTATAATTTTCAATGTATTATTCCTGTCCAACGTAAGAACTGCGGGTGACGGGTGCCGAATTGGTGTCTCTTGGTTGCCAATCCATATGCTGTTTGAAACTTTTCTATTCAGGATAGCTAGAAAGCTGGTTTAGTTGGAACCATCGACTTTACTATATACATAGAAACCTGTTTGGGCCAAAATTCTACGTGCCATCCCATTTTTTGTCAACATTTTGGGCTTTTTATCTATGGGAATTATAAATCAAACTAAGAAACTGAAATAGCCCGGGCCTTTTTTCACAAATATAGCCATGGTCTAAAAAATCAAATACTATTATTGGCAATTAAAAACTGACACACACAGTTTTGAATAAAAAAGCCCAGCTTCTGAAAAATGCACCACTGGATATCTACCCCAAAAAGGCAAGTCAGCAGATATCTTTTTTCTCAAGAGAGCCCCCACGTGACTTTCTAACTTTGGAAAAGTCAAAATTTTCAACTATCACAGAGGAAGTGATAGGGAGTTAATGAAGGCAGATCTTACAGGAGGACTTCTCCATTTTTTCTGCAGCCAGGGAAAGAAGATCAAATCCCCTTTTCACATACAGAGAAGCTCTGCACTAAAGAAGGTTTCCTTTCCAAGAGATAAGTAGAGAGCAAGAGAGTTGTTCATCAGGAAAAGCAAACTGACCATCATGGCAGATTGTCGTCCATTATTAAAGATTAAAAACGCCACTTCAGCATTTTCTATAAATATGAGAGGAGGTGAATAGATCAAAGGATAACAAAAAAATCAATCAAGACAAAAACTCTCAAAGTCACAAACTCAAAAAGATCAACTGATCTAAAAAGCCTTCGGACACTAATGCAACCAAAGCTCTTTGATCCACCAGAAACAAATCAGCTAGAATTCAAATATCTAACTTCAGTTCAGTTCAGAAAAACAATTTTACAAAGCGTGACTTCTCTCGTTACAAATTTGGTTCAGCACAAGCCAAGTCAAGCAGAGTCCCGTTTTTTTTTTACAATATGAAAACCTCAACAAATTTACAGAAAGCCTTGATTAAGCAGAACATGTACTACAGTGCAGTTCAAGCCTAGTGATCATTAATCCAGCCACTTCTGCCCTCTTCAGACCAAAGAGTCCCCAATTCTGCCCATTCAAAAAGCCTTCTAGAGCATGAAATAGATCGAAGATCTACCAAACTCAAACGTTGGTATCGATTTCTAGCTGAAACTCATCAGTTGAAGGTGTTGACTATTCAATCCAGCATAGACATATCCAATCCAGCCCAGTTCAAAGGCAGCTATCCAAACAGAAATCGAAGTCCAACGTTTTGTTGTCTTTTTCAGAGTTGCCATTTCTCTTTTGAGTCATATAATAGGCAGTTCTGCTTAGACAGTTTGTCTTATTTTCATCTATTTTGTCCAGAACTACCAGTTTTTGTACTGTAAAAAAAATTGTGAAATTCTCACTAGTTTGAGGCAAGAAAAAAAACTTACTTGGGAGGTATTCCTCACCCAAAATCACAATTGCTTGTTTAGAATTAGTAACTTGGGGCACAAGTTATCTATTTTTTATAAGTCTGCTAGGGTTTTAAACTGCTAGCAGTGACACTCTCACGCACAAAAGAAAGTTGACTTGTTGACCAACAATGGTTTTCAGGCCAATGAGAAACTTTGCCCTACCATCATAGAATTAAATCAAAACGGGTGAACAAAACCCAAACTGAACTTCCCAGATGAAGAAACTAAAGAACTTGGGGAATTGAGAGTCCCTAATTTTGCTTGCTGCAGCGTCATGACAAGTCCACAAGCTTCCAATAGTGATCAAGAAAATTAAGTTGATCATGATAGCCATGAATGAAAGCTTAGCTGAGAAACATGGAAGCAATCACAACAATCCATCTCTTTAAGGTCAAGTGGCTGACAATACTAGATAATATTTTTAAAATCAAGTTTCTAACATGTTTATAGGAAGCTGACTTTGACTCCCTTATACTCATACTAGTCTACTGCACACCATCCATCCGTGGCATGGAAGAGACGTTCATATGTTATTATCCTATTATCCGGATGGAAGACTTGCAAAGAGATGGAGGTGTTTGTGGGAAAAAAACAATAATTTGCAATGCTAATAAATAAAGAGTGATAAATTAATGAATGATTGTACTTAATTGGCTATGGAGGAACACATCCACTTGTTAGTCAAAACCTTCCTCTAGATGCAAGGCCTGCCCAATGTTAGCAATATTATTATTCCAGTGCAAGGCAGTCCAAGCTGAGCCACCAAACGAGGCCTCAACATTTGAGACAAATTTCTTTCCATAAACTTAGTGTCGTTTAGTCGTTCTGTATCTAACAAAACATAAAATGGAAATTTTAATTGAAAGAAAGTCACTCTCCAATTCTATTATAGCACTTCATCTGTCAACATCATGATCGATACATATATTCTCAATGGGCAACCGATATAAAGATTTATACATAGTAATGCACACATGAATAACTAGTGAAGTTGTTATACATAATGCCAATTTAATAAATTATAAAAACTTAATACGCAAGAAATATGTGTAAAGAGGATAATAATCTTTTTAATACAGGAACACACAAGCTAGCACCCTCTGAAGATCAAACTTAACGTGCATCAAAATTGGAAATGGACAAGTCATTCACTGATGTAATTTCATGTTGCTTTTCACCTATACCAGCTTCCACCAATTTCCTCCCAACAAAAAATGCTGGCTTTGTAGGTAAGGCTAATGGTGGGTTTTCATTTGTCAACATAGAAATCACATCTGACATGGTAGGCCGATCGGCTGCATCTTCCTCTACACATAACAGACCAATATGGATGCATCTTAACAATTGATCTTCAATACATGATGAATCACCTACCATTTGATCCATTAATTCTAGCCCTGAACCTTGTTTCCATAACTCCCATGCCTGAAATATATAAGCATTTAGGATATCAGAATGGTTGAATTCACACCTTGAGAAGAAGAAATTATAAATGCAAAGATTTGTTTGACATACATATCCTACTAAATTGAGTGCGCGGTCATCATTGTAGAAGCTGTTGTTTTTCCTCCCGCTTATGATTTCAAGCATCAACACCCCAAAGCTGTAGACATCAGATTTTACAGAAACAATTCCCTCCACAGACTCAGGAGGCATGTAACCACTGCACCAAGTGAAAAGGAAAAGGCTTTAATTAGTACATAATACATATATTTCAAACATGCATGTTTAGCAACCAAAAGTAGAACATATGATAATAATGTGAACACACAGACATTTTACTAACCGTGTCCCGACAATCCTGCTGGTGTTTTCTTCCAATTCATCGTGGGAGAAAATTCTTGCCATACCGAAATCGGAAATTTTAGGGTTCATATTTTCATCAAGTAGTATGTTACTAGCTTTTAAATCTCTATGAATTACTCGCGTTCTCGAGTACTTGTGCAAGTAAAGCAATCCCTGAGCGATTCCTTCAATTATATTGAAACGCTTCTTCCAATCTAGTAGCACACCTCTGATTGAAACTGTCACATATAGAGTTAAGGAAGAATACTATTTGTAATCTACATATTTTGACAGTGATGAAAAATCAAATAACAAATGAAATCAAGCACTATGATTAAAATGGTTTTAATTCCCAACCAAATAAAAAGTAGTCCAAGCTTTTGTTTGGCATGTACTAATATATCAACATCCTCTCTTCTTCATGAATGCAAAATCCAAAGAGCTGAACAAGGTTTCTATGTCGAAGTTCATGTATGAGTATCAATTCATTCTTAAACTCTGACGTTCCTTGTCCGGAACATTTTGAAAGCCTCTTCACGGCTATTTCTCTTCCATTCGCTAATTTTCCCTGAATAGATTCTCAACAATATCCTGAATTGTTTCAAAAAAGAAAAGAAATCACTACACAGTTTAGTACGCAAGGCCTTACCTTATAAACAGGTCCAAATCCCCCTTCTCCGAGCTTGTTTTCTTGAGAGAAGTTGCAAGTGGCAGCCAAAACAGATTCATAGGTAAATATGTTTAAATCATGCTGTCCCATATTTTCTTCATCAGTAGGTCTGTTGGAATGTTTCAAGAAGCTAAGCATTTTGTCCTGTATATTTGCTCTGTTCTTGCCTATTTATTTAGATTGGTGGAGAAAAGATTTGAATTTAGGTCAACAATGTCAAACGTGCAAATTCTGTCTAACAAATGCACGAGGCTTAAAGATTATTTATACCTGAAACTATTCTTCTTCTTAGCATATAGATGCAGAACACCACTACAAGTACTGCAGCAGCAATAGCAATGCCAACCCACAACCACTTATGTCCTGCATAATTTATAGACTAATATTTAATTAGCTGCATATATTAATTATTTATTTGGCTCATTTGTTTCCGGTTAAAGTCTGTTGCTTAATTGCACAGATATCAAAATTGGCAGCTGGACTTACCATTTTTTTTGGCAGATGGTGGTTTTACTGGTGTTGCTTGTCCTGACAAGACAAAACTGTAACTTGCAGTGAGGTCTTCAAAGAATTGACAGTCTACACTCCAGAATCGGCACCCGGTGCTAGTCCCATTAACAAGAGGAACGTCAAATCCAAGGCAATCACAATTTTGCCAACAGGTAGCCTTACAATCACTACTACTAGTGCCAAACCAGGACGGGGATCTCGAACTATTACTAGAGTTGTTGATCTTGAAGTAACCATTTTTGAGCTCAAATTCATCATCGAATTTGGCCATGCAATCACTTGGCCGATCCTCTCACACACCCTCCAACTGTGTTATAGCCATCACAGTCCTCTGCTTGTGCGAAATTAAAGGATCCGTCATGAAAGCTCCCCATAAAGGTTAGCACCCATTGTGGTTTCTGATCACTTTGATCATGATCTACAGCAGTGTAAGTGAAGTAGTCTTCATTCTCATTTGAAACTACACTAAAATTATACCTCAGCTTGGACTCCTCAGCCGAAATAAATTCAAACGTTTTACTACTGCTTGTAAAGACTCCACTAGTCCAATAAAGCACCCCCTGTCGCCTGATTTGCAATTGGTGTCCATTGGGATCCCAATCAAGAGTGAATGGCCCTGGCATTGGGTTGTTGTAAGTAGCCCATGATGACATCGACCAAAGATGGCCACTCTTATGATTAATACCTAACTTCATGCCAGGTAAAAATGTGCCAAATGGATAGTCAAAACTTTGCCACCAAACCTGCTTTGTCGATCCATCCGTAGAGTTCACTTCTTGCAGTATAAAATTGCCAGAATCCAAAAGGGTAGCCACAACACTAGTACTAATATTGCTAGTTTGTGGAGCAGAGGAAATGACAATAGGGTCTCCACCTTGGTGAGTCAGTTTCAATGTATTATTCCAGTCCAAGGTCAGAACTGCAGATGAAGGGTATACAATAGGTGTGTCTCGGTTGCCAATCCATACATTGTTTGGAGCTTCTTTGTTCAGGATAGCTAGATAGCTGTTGTTGTTGGAACCATCAATATATACATAGAAATACAAACTGAACTTTCCCGATGCAGATACTAAGGAACTTGAGGAATTGAGAGTGTCCCCTGGTTTGAGTGTGTCACTTGCAGCATCATGGTAAGTCCACAAGGAAGCAAAAATGATGAAGATAATTGAGCTGATCATCATCAAACCGGTAGCCATGGATGTCAACAGGTCTGGCAGTTAATTTCTCAAGATGATCATGAACACTTAACTGAAATAGTTTAGGCATCAAATAAAGTTCTTACAATTCGACATGAAGACTTTGTTTTCTTTTATTTGATTTTAAAATTAGGGAAATAGTTTGACTCACTCTTTTTTATACTTATGGACACACCATATCCATCATCCATCTGTGCTCTTGGAGAGAAGGTTATATCTTCCTTTCTTTTCTCTTTGCTTTTCTTTCTTCACAAGGCACTTGGCTCCTGGTTGGAGTCGTATTTGTGGGAAGACGATAATTCCAAATTGTAATAAAAAGAATAACTAAACAAATTCCTCGTACCATCGATAATTCCAAATTGTAATAAAAACAATTTTTCCTGAATCGGCAATTCATAATATTTTTCAGTTGTCCCCAAAAAAACCTAAAAACTATGATATTTCTCTGCTATTGGTATACTTTTTTTTAATCACTTTAAGCCTTACCTTATAATCAGGTCCAAAGCCCCTTTCACCAAGCTTGTTATCTTCAGAGAAGTTACAGGTGGCAGCCAGGACAGATGCAAAGCTAAATATGCTTAAAGCATGACGTCCCATGTTTTCCATGATCATTTTGAAGCCCATCAAAATCATCAGTAGGTCTATTATATATCATGAAGTTGAGCAATTCGTTCGGACTGTTTGTCCTGCCATCGCCTGTTTAGATTCATCGTGTAGACAATTAAGATTTTAAATTTGACACAATTGTTAAAGATGCGAAAATTATGTTTAACATGTACACATAAAGTTTAAAGAATATACCAGCTGAAAGTACAAACTTTTTCTTCGTTGTAGATGGAACCCGATGCAGAGCACCATTACTAGTACTAGAGCACCGGCAAAAGTAGTGCCAATCAATATCCTCTTGTATGAGCTTTTGGAGTGAGCCTTGGTTTCAGAAGGCCCCCTAAATTCATTTCATTAGACATGCAGATATAGGGGTAATACAATTTGCTGTTAATGTTCGTTTTTTGTTTGTACATTAATTGTCTTTTTGGAAAATTAATATATGTGAGGTGGTATGAAGTTGGACTTGTGGTCTAAAAGCTCAATTTTTTTAACAAACCTCTTTCATTTTAAAAAACAAAACCAGAACAGCAGGAGACATAAACCAAAACAGAGCAGCGAAAAAAAATACAGCTGACTTATGGCCCTTGTTCCGTCTTCAGTTTCTTAGAGGGCATGGTCGTCCATCCACGTGAGTTAGGACTCGTGTCAAAAATGTAGCGTCATGGATCCACCCCCTATACATATATAGTTCTATATCAATTCAAAGTGTAATAACTAGAGGCTGTATACCTATCGCCTCAAGTGAAGACTTTAAGCTGTAAATTTCACGTTTACAATTTATTGAGTTTCGCATAAACGACCATGGGATGTAACGTGTGCTTTGGGGATGCCTTCAGTTGGAAGAACACTGATCTTACTTTCAACCCAAGAGAAAAAAGACTATTGATTTTATAATCAATAATTTTTTTTTTTTTTTTTTTTTTTTTTTTTTTTTTTTTTTCTTTTTTCTTATTTCATGGCAAACATTTCATAAAATTCAAATCATCGCAGCAATGTATTTACAAAATTTGATATCTCAAGAGTATAGTCGCCAAATATATTAGAAAATTTTAAACGTATAGCCGGACGGCTATACTTTCTAAATACTTCCGAATATATTAAAAGTATAAATGTTAATATATTCGAATATTTTAAAAGTATAGCCGCGCGGCTATACGGTTGTCATATATTCAAAACGAAGCTTGCACTCGCAGAGGACGGAGGTTGCAGTCGAAGTTTCGCTTCTCTATCAACTCAAGCTTCGATTTGTTTTCTTCGGTTTCGGCTGCTTCGTCCTCTGGGTTTGGCAACGACAAAAGACCCAACCCGCCTAGGAGGCCCGCCCAGCCGTCTCGCCGCCCGCCTAACCGCCTAGCCGCCTAGCCTCCGCCTAGCCGCCTAGCGCCTAGCCTCCCGCCTATTAGAGTCTAAAGCGGGGATAGACTCGAAACGGCTGCTCTCAGTCTCAAAAGGTTATGCACTGATGTACTCAATCCATCTTTGGTCTATGGCTATGAGTGTGTGATGTTGTTAGTGTTGGAATCCCACATCGGTGAAGTGAAAGAAAACAAATGGGTTTAAATAGAATTACCACACTCTAACTAATACTGAGGCCTTTTGTGATAAAACCCCACACCTGACGGATTGGGCGGGTGGTAAAGTGGGGACAGTATCGGTGTTGTTAGAGTGGGACCCAACGGGCAGATCCAAATTTTCAACATGGTATCAGAGCCAAGGCCCGTACAAGCTAACGACGCTTGTCACCACAAAAAAAAAGAAAAAAAAGAAAAAAAGAAACAAGTCGGACTCTTAAAAATGCCAATGAAGCTTGAAAATAGCCGACCTCTGAGTTCCATTGAAAACAAGTGGGCCCAACGAGAGCCGACCTCTGAGTTTCAATTGCCGATGTGTGGATCTTCACGTGTGATTACACGTGAGGGGGAGTGTTGGAATCCCACATCGGTGAAGTGAAAGAAAACAAATGGGTTTAAATAGAATTACCACACTCTAACTAATACTGAGGCCTTTTGTGATAAAACCCCACACCTGACGGATTGGGCGGGTGGTAAAGTGGGGACAGTATCGTGTTGTTAGAGTGGGACCCAACGGGCAGATCCAAATTTTCAACAGTTAGTGTGGTGTTCATTTTGCCATTGGCTTCTTTCTCATTGCTTTCAGATGGCTGACATTGTTACAGAACAATGGATTCAAATTCAGCGGCTTGGGCAGGCTCTTCACATTACACAAGTAAGTTTTTTCGCTCGAAACTGGGCTTCAGGTTCTTTATTTGCTAAATTCATAAGTTTTGCTGATTCACTAATATTTGCTAGTTCCTTCTTGGTTGGACTGCCTTTCATTCTTTGGATATTGCATTTCTGTTATAGATTTTGACATTTGATCATGCCCTCTTGCCTCCTCCTCCTGTTGCATAGGAACCCAAAACCAACCCATCAAAGAACAGAAAAAAAATAAATTGAAATATTACACCACCTCAAGTGTAAATGAGGTAGTCTTCATTCTCATTCGAGACAATGCTAAAAATTGAAGTGTTTTTCGTCGTCGGCCTATGTCTTGGCTTGAACATATATAAAATATATGCAGGATTGAAAACTCAACTCATACGTACCTAATTAATTCACTCCAATACAAACAAAGGAAGCCAGCCACTGCTGCGGGAGGGAGGATATATCTGATAACGCAACATCTTCCTGGTAATTTATTGCGTGAATTGCCTATTTTTCTGAAAACACTATAAATTACGATAAGTTATAGTACAAAATGCCTATATATCTGAGAAAACAAAATCTTACTTGTAATTTATTGAGTAAGTAGCTTATTTTTATAAAAACACCATATCTTACCGGTAAGTTATCGTGTAAAAAGCCTATATATTTGAAAACGCAACATCTTACCCGTATATATTTTGTGTAAATAGCAAATTTTTCTAAAAACACCATATCATAAGGCTAAGTTATAGTGTTAAATGCCAATATATTTGAGAACGCAACATCTTACCCGTAATTTATTGAGTAAATTGCATATTTTTTGAAAAACATCATATCTTACCGGTAAGTTATAGTGTAAAAAGCCTATATATTTGAGAATGCAATATTTTACCCGTAATTTATTGAGTAAATAGCCAATTCTTTTTAAAACACCATATCTTATTGGTAAGTTACAGTGTAAAATGTCTATATATCTGAGAACGCAACATCTTAACCTTAATTTATCGAGTAAATAGCATATTTTTCTAAAAACATCATATCTTATAGTGTAAAAGGCCTATATATCTGATAACGCAACATCTTCCTGGTAATTTATTGCGTGAATTGCCTATTTTTCTGAAAACACTATAAATTACGATAAGTTATAGTGTAAAATGCCTATATATCTGAGAAAACAAAATCTTACTCGTAATTTATTGAGTAAGTAGCTTATTTTTATAAAAAACACCATATCTTACTGGTAAGTTATCGTGTAAAAAGCCTATATATTTGAAAACGCAACATCTTACCCGTAGTATATTTTGTGTAAATAGCAAATTTTTCTAAAAACACCATATCATAAGGCTAAGTTATAGTGTTAAATGCCAATATATTTGAGAACGCAACATCTTACCCGTAATTTATTGAGTAAATTGCATATTTTTTGAAAAACATCATATCTTACCGGTAAGTTATAGTGTAAAAAGCCTATATATTTGAGAATGCAATATTTTACCCGTAATTTATTGAGTAAATAGCCAATTCTTTTTAAAACACCATATCTTATTGGTAAGTTACAGTGTAAAATGTCTATATATCTGAGAACGCAACATCTTAACCTTAATTTATCGAGTAAATAGCATATTTTTCTAAAAACATCATATCTTATAGTGTAAAAGGCCTATATATCTGATAACGCAACATCTTCCTGGTAATTTATTGCGTGAATTGCCTATTTTTCTGAAAACACTATAAATTACGATAAGTTATAGTGTAAAATGCCTATATATCTGAGAAAACAAAATCTTACTCGTAATTTATTGAGTAAGTAGCTTATTTTTATAAAAACACCATATCTTACCGGTAAGTTATCGTGTAAAAAGCCTATATATTTGAAAACGCAACATCTTACCCGTAGTATATTTTGTGTAAATAGCAAATTTTTCTAAAAACACCATATCATAAGGCTAAGTTATAGTGTTAAATGCCAATATATTTGAGAACGCAACATCTTACCCGTAATTTATTGAGTAAATTGCATATTTTTTGAAAAACATCATATCTTACCGGTAAGTTATAGTGTAAAAAGCCTATATATTTGAGAATGCAATATTTTACCCGTAATTTATTGAGTAAATAGCCAATTCTTTTTAAAACACCATATCTTATTGGTAAGTTACAGTGTAAAATGTCTATATATCTGAGAACGCAACATCTTAACCTTAATTTATCGAGTAAATAGCATATTTTTCTAAAAACATCATATCTTATAGTGTAAAAGGCCTATATATCTGATAACGCAACATCTTCCTGGTAATTTATTGCGTGAATTGCCTATTTTTCTGAAAACACTATAAATTACGATAAGTTATAGTGTAAAATGCCTATATATCTGAGAAAACAAAATCTTACTCGTAATTTATTGAGTAAGTAGCTTATTTTTATAAAAACACCATATCTTACCGGTAAGTTATCGTGTAAAAAGCCTATATATTTGAAAACGCAACATCTTACCCGTAGTATATTTTGTGTAAATAGCAAATTTTTCTAAAAACACCATATCATAAGGCTAAGTTATAGTGTTAAATGCCAATATATTTGAGAACGCAACATCTTACCCGTAATTTATTGAGTAAATTGCATTTTTTTTGAAAAACATCATATTTTACCGGTACGTTATAGTGTAAAAGGCCTATATATTTGAGAATGCAATATTTTACCCGTAATTTATTGAGTAAATAGCCAATTCTTTTTAAAACACCATATCTTATTGGTAAGTTACAGTGTAAAATGTCTATATATCTGAGAACGCAACATCTTAACCTTAATTTATCGAGTAAATAGCATATTTTTCTAAAAACATCATATCTTATAGTGTAAAAGCCTATATATATATATCTATCTGATAATGCAAAATCTTCCTGTAATTTATTGCGTGAATTGCCTATTTTTCTAAAAACACTATAAATTACGGTAAGTTATAGTTTAAAATGCGTATTTATCGATATTTTTTTTTTTTTTTTTTTTTTTTTTTTTTTTTTTTTTTTTTTTTTTTTTTTTTTTTTTTTTTTTTTTTTTTTTTTTTTTTTTTTTTTTTTTTTTTTTTTTTTTTTTTTTTTTTTTTTTTTTTTTTTTTTTTTTTTTTTTTTTTTTTTTTTTTTTTTTTTTTTTTTTTTTTTTTTTTTTTTTTTTTTTTTTTTTTTTTTTTTTTTTTTTTTTTTTTTTTTTTTTTTTTTTTTTTTTTTTTTTTTTTTTTTTTTTTTTTTTTTTTTTTTTTTTTTTTTTTTTTTTTTTTTTTTTTTTTTTTTTTTTTTTTTTTTTTTTTTTTTTTTTTTTTTTTTTTTTTTTTTTTTTTTTTTTTTTTTTTTTTTTTTTTTTTTTTTTTTTTTTTTTTTGGGGTCACCGATAGTCATTTGTAAATTGTGTGTATTTTGTGGATTTGAGTAGCATTGTTGTATAGAGCGCGTCGATACGAGTTCGTAGACATATAGTGGGCTCAAATCGGAGTTTTAACGAAGAAGTTATGATCAACAGAAGTGCAGTGGCACAACCGTAAATTTGTTGAAATCTCTATCCCCTCTCTCTCTCTCTCAGGCGACGGCACCGCCGCTTTTGAATGCGATTCCGGCCCCGTCCGGCCACCAAACTCGAGGCTGCAACTTGTAAAATGCTCCTCTTCACCTCCTCTACACGACCCACTAAATTTCCAAACTCGATTTTGAGCCGTGAAGCGACTGAAACGAGAGGAAATCGGGTCAATTTGGGTTATGCCACTTTCTAATCCTCCCCACCCTTTTATTCACTACTACAAAACTGATGAAACGGCACGATCATAAGAGATTAAATACACAATTGTGTTGTCTTTTCTAACAAACATTAAGCACAAATAAGTTATATTTATGTTATTTTCATATAAAACACAAATAATTATGTCAAATATGTTGATATTAATACAATTTTATATTGACCACGGTTAATCGTGCTCAATTATTTGGGTAAATTGATTTGTGTGCTATCTAACAAGTTTTTTAAAAAAGTGAATGATTTTACTTTCATAGACACAAACAATTGTGTCTTGATTTGACAGATGTGACAACATGATTCACAAAACCAATATTTGTGCCCAATATATATGTTTTTGACATAAATGGTGCTGAATATATATGTATATTTATTTATTTATTTTCGTTACTTAAATCGTGCCCAATAATTTACACGTAGTAAAAAAATTTATTTTTATTCACTTAAAAACCCCACGCCCTTTAACCAAAAAACCACGATCCCTCATCTTTCCAACTCTAAAAAATATCTCACCTTATCATCTGAAAATCTTCTCAGTGGCCCACCCTTCTTCTTTTTTGAAGTCTCTCTCTCTCTCTCTCTCTCTCTCTCTCTCCCATTCGCTTGAAGCTCTCTCTCCCTCCATATTTTGAAAAGTTCTCTATTCTTCACTCCTCCGAAGATCTATCACTTGCACCAGTACCACTAGAGGTGTCAAACAAACCGGTCGGCCCAACATGGCCCGCTTAAGTAAGGCACGGCATGGCCCATATTTTTGGGTTGTGTTGGGACGAGGTAATTAAGTCCAATGGACTAAGCTAGCCCGTAGCCCGTCATGGACCGAGACTACCCTTGGCCCATCATGGGCCGAGCCACCTTGCGGCCCGTCGTGGGCTGAGTCGACCCGAAATTCAACGGCCGGGCCCGTTTAAAGCCCATATATTAAATTATACTTGTTTTAGGAAAAAATAAAACATAATATTACTACATTTATATCTTAAATTCAAGTCTATTTCTTTTCTCTAATAATATATATTAAAATTAATATTTTCTTTATATATAAAATAATGATTTTGTTTTTCAAGTTTCAATTTTTAAAACCCACACAATAATCTAGCCATTTTCTATTTAAATGTACTTTAAATTAAGTTATTGTCCTCTTTTGTTTGGCCTGGGTGATCATTATAGTTTATAATCGTTATAAACTACCATTTTCTTACAGGATAAACTACCATTTGCAAACCAGTGATCTATAACCAATATCCAAAAAGCAATTCATGCACAAGAACGAATTGATCATCATATAAAGTCCCAAAGAAGAAAAGGCTTGTAACTCACAGGTTAAGTAGCTTAGATGGTGCGGGACGTAATACAGTTAATGCCTCCTTCCAGTGCCACTGGCATTCAGATAACGAAAGAAGACGCTGCAAAATTGACAACTGCCATTCCCATTCTTCAATGAAATGTTTAGCAATTGACGCTCTCCACTCCAATGCTTGTCTTCCACCCCTACTTACGCCATCACTTAGAGCATGATCTAGTTCAGTTATAGTTGAAGGAAGACAGTGATGTAATATATCAAGTAGTTTTCCCGTGAAAGATACAACCATTTTGTTTCCCTCTTCTCGTGTTAGATCAGTTTTCTCTGAAGCACATGTGTAATGTAATTCTGATTAGCTCCATGCTAAGGCACAATGAACCAAATTGAGACAAAGATCATCCATATGTAAAAGCGAACTTTTGACATTCGCCATCATGATCTCCCACATCCCCAGCCCCAACTTCATATACCAATATCTCAACTTATGAGTTATCGCCCCCACACACAACAAGAAATAAATAAATAGGAAAACGACTAATTTTAGATATCCAAAATATGAGTAAAAAAATAAAGTAGCAAAAAAGGATGGCAGCATAATAAGTACATGGTTATTTGTAAACCCCAGCTCATAGAATCAAGAAATACTTCATATATGCAGCCATGGTTGATGCAGGAAAATTTCGTTCTTGCGTAATATGCAGGGGAAACCAAGTACACATAATCTGCAACAATCAAGCACCAATAACTGCTGGAAGGGCACATTACCAACTTAGAAAAGAAAAGCAGCCATAGCATGTTATCAGTGGACTTTTGCCGCACTTCCCATTCACAAGATGCATAATCTTCGATGCATAATTCACACACAACAAAAAAGACTCCCACAAACTTGCGAGTTACAACACAATATGGTAGTATTATTATATTAACGTATCAAAACTAACAGAAATATTATATTAGCTTCTCTTGGGGCGTGTATGTTAAAGCATTTCAAAGACTACTTTGGGGTAACTCATGCTGATTGGACAGAGTTTGGGCAGAATGTAATCTGATTTCATATGTCATGTCATGATTGTTGGTCTGATTTTGATGGTTTTCTACAAGATATCTTTGAAGACGAAAAGAAGAAAGAAATAATTTTCCTTTCTCTGTTTTCTTTCTAGCACTTCTTTCACGTAGGTTTTCTTTCTCTGTTTGGAATAAGATACAGTTTTCCTTGTAAAAACAACAAATAAATAGACCAGAACAAGATTATTTTGAGGACTTACCTGAAGTGGACTTTGATTTCCAGTACGAAATTCTCAACAAAACGGTCAAACAGGTGATCTTCGCATGCTATTTGTTCTTTAGCAGACAACATCAACGATAATTTTCAATTCCATGCTTGACCAGAACTGACGCAGGCAACAGAAGAAGAAAGATCAAGCCGACAACATAAAGAATCACAACGAAATTTTCGACAAACAGGGATAGGCGGCGCCTAGGCGCTAGGCACCCGCCTAGGCGGCCTGGGCGGCTCTGTGGAATATAAAATTAGTTTCTTTATGTTTTTTTATTTTCTTTTTTGTAATTAAACAATATCTTTGCTTTATTTTAATTACTTTTATTTGTAATTATTACTTAACAAATAGTAATTATTATGTTTTAATATTTTTAATTGAATAATATATATCTTAGTCTTATTTAATCAATATAATTACTAATTAGTTTTTAGTTATTATTTGTTTCATAACTTACTTCTCAAATAGTAATTAATTTTTATGAATTATTTTGTGCTCATAAAAACCAAGAAAGTGGTTGCAACATAGTAAGTATATATCACAAAAGAACCAATACATACATATAGTATACTTGATTTGCTTATGAACATAGTTCTTGATTGACTGGTTTGCAATGGTTACATGTCCTCAGAATATGCAATTGATGGGTTCTACTCGATAAAATCCGATGTCTATAGTAGTTTGGTGGGTTGGTGCTAGAGATAGCGAGTGGGAAGAGAAACATAGGATTTACTCATTGCTTTTTTTTTTTTGTTTCTTCTTTTAAGTATGCACAATGATTTTGAACTTTCGATAAATTCTTTTAGGCATGGATGCTATACACGGAAGGCCGGTTCATTGAAGTGCTTGATACATCAATAGGGGACTCGGGTGATCCACATAAAGTTGTGAAATTATTTCATGCATGTAGGTCTTTTATGTGTGCAACGTAACCCGGGAGATAAGCCGAGCATGCTAGTTACAGTTCTAATGCTAAGTGGTGAAGGGTGATTGCCTCAACCTCAAAAACCTTGTTCTTATAGTGAAATGGATCTCAATGAACTAGAACTTTTAAAGCATTTTCAACAAATGAACGCAAGTGCTTTAGATTTGGGACAAAGATTCATGAAGTTCCAAATTGCGTGAGGAATGATCTCCTAAAATGCCACTGCAATGTGCACGTGTTATAAGGTATGCAATTACAGTCACTTCAATCATATGCACTTAGCGAGTTAGTGATAGGGGAAACCAGTCTAGAATTTTCAGATTCTTTAGAGAGCATGTGTTTTTTGTCGTTTCTGACCATTGTGTGATATTTACTATGTGTAGTCCTAGATGGCTATTTCGACTTTAAAGGCTATTTTGAATCTCTATGTGATACTGTGGACTGTGGTAAAGACTTCTATTTGCTTTGAAAGCCATTTAGAGGTTCAGGTAATTATTTATGTTTACTTGGCGGTCCCAACCCAGAGCATATATATACAGTTTGAGTTTGGTGTTGTATAACTTACTGAGAAGACTTGGGGGAACTAAACCATGCATGTTCCCTTCTAATGGCTAGCTCACCCTTACCCTCACCATCATCCACACACTAGTAGTAACATTTTACATATTGAATCAATAGTCAATAAGCTTTACAATAACATATTTGTTCTAGCTAAGCAGCTGTGAACCAGTGGCAATGAGAGGGTACTAAAGAGATAGATACTACTACTTTTGTGTGTGTGTGTGTGTGTGTGTGTGTGTGGAAGTGTAGCCATGGCACTATATTTTTGACACAAGTTTTGACACAACAGTGCCCAATCAAAAGGGTATAGCCGACCAGCTATACTAGTTTTTTATAATATAAAAAACCATAGTATATATTTAAAAAAAATTATTAAAAAATGACCCTTCTATTTTGCATTAGTTTATACTTTATAGATATTAATTTGCTAGTTTCGATATATATACTCTATATATTTAAATTTTTTAATATATCTTATTTTTATTGAAAATTTTATAAAAATCATGTGTATTATACATGAAAAATACATACGCACGTGTAAAATACGAGTATTAAACATGAAAATGCTAAATTTTTTATAAGGCTAATAACTCTGGAAAAGTGAAAATTCAAAAGGGTACAATAGAGACTCGTGTAAAGGTCTAATTGTAATGGAAAATGCTCTAAACTATCGATAAACAAAAATCAGGGAAAAAAGATAATAGAATCCATGTAAATAGTATAGCCGCGCGGCTATACTATTTATAAGTAATAAAAAGACCCCATTATAGGTGCGCGGCTATACTCTTTATTTTTATATTAAAAAAATCCCGTGCATAGGTGCACGGCTATACTGTTTTCAGTTGAAGAGTTCAAATCTGGCTCAAAACTAAGCACCACAAGATGCTAGAGGAAAAGACCATGAGATTCTAGAGGTACATATAACATATTAATGATAAAATAGGATAATTATTTATATTTGAAGTGTCAGTGTGACCTCAAACGACATTGTTTTAGACTACTAGTTAACAATATCTTCACATTAAAAAGACCCCAAGGTCCCAACAAGGAGTTGTCCAAAAGATGCAACCCCCCACACAAAACTCTCGTCTGGGGACTTTACCTCTTGGTCGAGGTGGGCTAAAGTACAAATGACTGAGCTGAGCTTTTGATGTATGATAGAATCTCTTTACATATCCAAGACGACTTGACAGACTTCTCGGTGTGGAAGCGATGATGCCTTCACGACAATATCATGAGCGCTTCAGCTTATGGGTAACTTTATATTTATGCATAGAATACAACGCGGACTAATATATCTCATATGTAAGAATGAGATGCCTAATATCAAGTACTTAAATTTGAAGGGTGCACAAGTCAATCGGGATGGTCTTGTCACGTTGTTGCGCGGATGCAAAGATCTGGTGCTGTTGGACGCCAGAGATTGTTATGGATTCGATGAGAACGACGATGAAATATCAAAGCTTGAGTCTCATATTAGTAAATTTATGTGCGAAGGTTTGAATTTCCTGAATTTCTTCGTGGTATGGACAATTTTGTTCTTCCTGTTGACGGATACTCATTTCATCTGCATGTGGAGGAGACGTGGGATGAAATGCTCATATTTGAGCAATGCGTTCAATGATTTGGGCGACGAGGAATGAAGAACTATTTCATCGTACCTTAACTTTCCCTTCCCACCATAATTTTTCCTAGCTAAATTTCTTTGAGGTTCAGGAAAAATTTCTTGGTGAAAGAATGTTGGTTGCACCAGCTTAACAACAGGCACAACCAGAAGACAAATGAAATAATATGTTATATTTAAGAATGAGATGCTACTAATCATCTAACACATGTTGTTTGAATTCTCATTTAGAATAGTTCATATATCAATGTCATATGACCTCTGATACCTTCAATTAATTCCCCAATATTGCTTGTATAAATAAAATAATTGAAGAAATAACCCTAGCCCACCCTAAACCCTAAAATGATATGACAAAATTGTATATTTAAAAGGTTATAGCCATACGGCTGTACTTTCTAAATACATTCGGATATTTTAAAAGCATAGCCGTTCGGCTATACTCTGTAAATATTAATAAATTCGAATATTTTAAGAGTATAGCCGTCCGGCTATACCCTTTAAATATAATCCAAACGAACACGAAGCTTGCACTCGCAGAGGACGGAGGTTGCAGACGCAGTCACAGCCATTTCGCTTCTCTATCAACTCAGGCTTCGATTTTCAATTTCGACTGCTTCGTCCTCGGGGTTCAACACCGAAAAAAGACCCAACCCGCCTAGGAGGCCCGCCCAGCCGCCTAGGGCCCGCCTAGCCGCCTAGCCGCCCGCCTAGGCCGATTTTCCGAACACTGCGATTGACTGAAAGTCTGACACCCGAAATTGAAGAAGTTTAGCTGCAAATTTGAGCTTGAGATTGAGATTGGGAAGCCGAAGCAAGCACAATTCAGGTCCATAGAAGAAGAGATCATCAGACTCTTAATTCATCTAATTCCATTCCTCTCCCTGTTTCCCGCCTTATTCTCTTCTCTCTTGGCTCTCTCCCAAACGACATGCTCACCTCACCACACCAACGACAACGACGACAATTCCTCCCTTTGCCAACTCCACCTTATTATCTTCTCTCTTCGCATTGACGGCATGACGCAGAAGAAAAAAATTCAAAATTTGCTGACTTGGTGTCTGTCTTCAGTGGAAGGAAATGATGAATCTATCCTATCATGGAGTTTCTATGGTCTTGCCAATAACAAGGTTCGGTTTTTAGGCCCCACTCTCAAATTCTGACTATTTATTTCTGTTTTGGTTAAGCAATAGATTGATTGGTTTGGTTCTTCTTGCTTGAAACTTGATAAATCTTTATGCATTCAATATACATCCATTGATGGTTCTTCTTGGTTGGACTGCTTTTCATTCTTTGGATATTGCATTTCAGTTATAGATTTTTCCACTTGATCATGCCCTCTTGTTTGCTGAGAGAGAAAAAAAAAAGAAGAAGAAAGATTTGTCTCCTCCTCCTGTTGCAGAGGAACCCAAAACCAACCCACCAGAGACAAAAAAAAAAAAAAAAAAAAAAAAAAAAAAAAATACACCACCTCAAGTGAAAAATCTAATTCATTTGAGCTTTTATATTTGTTCTTGTATCAGCATCTGTGTTTCTGTTGTGTGAACTCCACCTCAACTCCAAAGAAAACAAATAAAAAAAATTAGAGGGTGCATTTGCTAACGCATGGGTTGGGAATCTCTTAATTATATTTAACTTTTCAAACTGACTTCAAAAGCACCAGATTAACACACCAACATGAAATATCATTTATCGAGCCTCCATTAGTGTCAAAGGACTGTGACTTCATTACCTGAAAATGCTTTAGAAGAAGGATCGACTTCGAGTTCATTGAGATCCCTTTCACTATAAAAACCAGGATTTTGAGGTTGAGGCAATGACCCTTCAGTTTTGAAGGATAGCAAAGATTATTCAGCAAACATCTCCAATTTTGAAGGATTCAAAAGGTGACAAATATTTTATTCTGATCTCTTAACAATTTGTGTCTAATAATGGCTAATATTCCGTTAGCGAAACAGAGATAGAGGTGTGCATATCACTGTGCTGGTTGTAACAGTTGGCTAATATGTACCTACTGGAACTATAAATATGTCTGTTTTCTAACCGTCCAGCATTCAGTCCCATATAGCATGGCTGGTCTAACAGATGTTCTATAAACTTAGCTTTCAATTCTAGCAAAATATGAGGATCACACTATATATATGCTTAACAAAACCCTCCATTTGACCTATCGTGCTTTGATTCTATGAGCCACATCATCTCCATTCTCCCCTTGTATATATGGATGATTGAGTACATGCTAGATAGTGAAAGTTATTGCATTTTGATATACTCTTAGTGGTGCAATTGGTTGCTCTTATGTCTTCGTCAGAACCAAAGGCTCCACTTGGTTAGCAGAATTCAAAGGAATATGGTTCCAGTGACCATCTTGGAGAGAGAGAGAGAGAGAGAGGCGTTTTAAGGGTGTGCGCTTGTTCGTTCGTCTCCTTTTCTCATTTAGGTGGTGAGTAGATCATCATTGCAGAGATACAGCAAGTGCCCTTCTGCCCTCCTTTGAATATCTGATTTTTGGGCTCTTCCTTTTCCCCTCTCTATCTCTCTCTAGAATCCCCCCACCTTCTTTTTTATTTCATTTCTCTTATTTATTCAGTTAATTTTAGTGACAAAAACCCAGCAACCTTTATTTAATTCGGTGCTTGATTAATTATAGTTATTAATCATGTATTATTTTGTTTTTTTTTAAAAAAATTGTAAAAGCTGCTGTGGCATGGGGAGCTGGAAAGCCTTTGGTGATAGAGGAAGTGAATGTGAATCCGCCTCAGGCAATGGAGATAAGGATCAAAGTCGCCTGCACCTCTCTCTGTCGCAGTGACATCACTGCCTGGGAGTCTCAGGTACTCTCCTCTTCTTATTTTGTCCTCCTCTTTTCTCCCTTTCTTTTCTTCTTCTTTTCAACACAAATAGAGATAAAACAATATTACTTTTCCTTCAATTCTTTTTTTCTTGTTTCCTACTTACTGAACATCTAGGAAAATAATCATTATCTGGCTAGGAAAATTCGTTTAACTATTACTTATGGTTTCTGTCTGACCAAGAAAAATTAAAACTTTGTTTGTGCCACTGCCAGATATGCTTTCTTCTTTCCGGATGCATTAATTTTCTTGCAAAACAATTGTTCAAGATTAGTCATTAAAGTAACTGAGAAGAAGAAAACCTCGGTTTAAAGTAATGAACTTATCCATGAATTAATATCCTGTTTAAATTTTTCGAAATTCAGACCTATCAGGAGCTAAGCATCAACTGACTATTCATCTAACTGAAAAAAGTTATCTATGTATGTTGATACCAAAAATATGATTATTTATGGATACCCCTTGATGGTTACTGAACATGGATTCTCCTTAAAGAGCATCTTCTACCTTCTCCCTTGCATCATCACATGAAGCAGGAGAATAATTTGGTTCGCGTATGCATGTCGGTGTTTGTCTGTGTTCATGTTGTAATAGAGGAATGAAATTTCCGTTCATGATAAGTTTCTTCACAATTAAAATGCAAAGAATAATATATAAAGGCTTCCTTTGTTTTGGAGGTGATGGGGGATAGGGAGGAGCAGAAGAAAAGGAATCTGATAGCCCTCACATGCCCCTGCACGTAGTCACATACATATGTAATTGCAATTCTTGATCAAGGAAAAACGTTGCTGACATATGTTGACATATTTTTAGGCTTCTGTGAGTGCAGAGACTTGTTAACAGTTTTCACTTTTCAAATATGACAGCGGCATGATTTAAACAGTAATGATTTCTTGTACGATAGGTTGCACAGGGTGCTAAGCTTAGGGGAGCATCTCAAATAATTGGTGTTCACACTAATTTGTATCTGGCGTTTCTTTGAAGGGATGGGGGTTGACAGTTACACTTGGTGTGCCAAAAGTGAAGCCGGAGGTAACAGCTCATTATGGAATATTTCTTACTGGAAGAACATTGAAGGGATCTCTATTTGGAGGATGGAAACCTAAATCTGATCTCCCTTCATTAGTAGATATGTACACAAAAAAGGTAAAACTAACTAAAACTTCATTGAAGCTTCAGTAAGTCCAATCTCCCTTCTAATATTAAGTGTCCTTTTCCCTCCCATTGTTGTAAAATTTGATGTGTCCTCATGTAGCTGGAAAATCTACTGACAATGTTTAGTCCTGGTTACAAGAATGCGATAGGGCATGCCCAAACAATTTATCATGTTTTAGTTTGATAAATGTCTAATGTACAAACGTATCAAATCATCTTGTTTGAAGTAGTAGGGTTATAATCTGAGTTTCGCTTAGTATCAAATTCTGAGGTTGAATTTATAAACGGGCTGACAATAAATAGACCGGACATGCCCAACACAACCCGTTTGACACCTCTAGGTACCACCCACCACCTCCACCACATCTCTCCTCTCATTCTCTCATTCTTAGGTTTTGGTTTTTGAGTGGTCAAACAATAAATAAAGAAGTCTAAGGTTTTGTTAGGCATGAACTCGTAGATCAGCTCATTTCATCTTCTCGATTGCAGCATCCCAGAAGCTTCACTATATTCCTGTGCTGAAGTTTGACAATATGTGTAACCTCATTCTTCAACTCATTGAGTCCTTGTCTAGGATGTTTTGAGAGCCTCTTCACAGCCATGTCTTGTCCATCTTTCAGTGTACCCTGAAGTCCATTAGCCCCATATGATGACCAAAATCCATACTCTGTAGTTTGCGAACGTACAATATACGACTTGTATCCCTAGTCCTGACCCAAATGACATGTGGAAACTGTCAAGCTAACTGTAGGGAGTACTATATTTGATTTTACCTTAAAAGGCTGATCCGAAATCACCCCTTCTCCAAGTCTATTGTTGTTTGAAAAGTTATTGGTTGCACAAACAACAGCGGCCAAGTCAAATAATGGTAATTCCAGATCTTCCCTTTGGCTGGGCCTCAGCTTTATCTTCCCCAATGTCATACTTTGCCCTTTGCATGCAACTGAGACATATAAGAACAATTATAATATTTACCTTCAGAAAGTAAGATGTCAGCAATTTCATATTAACTGATTATGTACTATTATCTTCAAATATCAGCATCTATTTCTATCATTTGGAATAATGAGGTCATATTTTGTTTGGCCTGGGTGATCATTATAGTTTATAATCGTTATAAACTACCATTTTCTTACAGGATAAACTACCATTTGCAAACCAGTGATCTATAACCAATATCCAAAAAGCAATTCATGCACAAGAACCAATTGATCATCATATAAAGTCCCAAAGAGGAAAAGGCTTGTAACTCACAGGTTAAGTAGCTTGGATGGTGCGGGACGTAATACAGTTAATGCCTCCTTCCACTGCCACTGGCATTCAGATAACGAGAAGACGCTGCAAAATTGACAACTGCCATTCCCATTCTTCAATGAAATGTTTAGCAATTGACGCTCTCCACTCCAATGCTTGTCTTCCACCCCTACTTACGCCATCACTTAGAGCATGATCTAGTTCAGTTATAGTTGAAGGAAGACAGTGATGTAATATATCAAGTAGTTTCCCCGTGAAAGATACAACCATTTTGTTTCCCTCTTCTCGTGTTAGATCAGTTTTCTCTGAAGCACATGTGTAATGTAATTCAGATTAGCTCCATGCTAAGGCACAATGAGCCAAATTGAGACAAAGATCATCCATATGTAAAAGCGAACTTTTGACATTCGCCATCATGATCTCCCACATCCCCAGCCCCAACTTCATATACCAATATCTCTACTTATGAGTTATCGCCCCCACACACAACAAGAAATAAATAAATAGGAAAACGACTAATTTTAGATATCCAAAATATGAGTAAACAAATAAAGTAGCAAAAAAGGATGGCAGCATAAAAGTCATGGTTATTTGTAAACCCCAGCTCATAGAATCAAGAAATACTTCATATATGCAGCCATGTTTGATGCAGGAAAATTTCGTTCTTACGTAATATGCAGGGGAAACCAAGTACACATAATCTGCAACAATCAAGCACTAATAACTGCTGGAAGGGCATATTACTAACTTAGAAAAGAAAAGCAGCCATAGCATGTTATCAGTGGACTTTTGCCGCACTTCCCATTCACAAGATGCATAATCTTCGATGCATAATGCACACACAACAAAAAGACTCCCACAAACTTGCGAGTTACAACACAATATGGTAGTATTATTATATTAACGTATCAAAACTAACAGAAATATTATATTAGCTTCTCTTGGGGCGTGTACGTTAAAGCATTTCAAAGACTACTTTGGGGTAACTCATGCTGATTGGACAGAGTTTGGGCAGAATGTAATCTGATTTCATATGTCATGTCATGATTGTTGGTCTGATTTTGATGGTTTTCTACAAGATATCTTTGAAGACGAAAAGAAGAAAGAAATAATTTTCCTTTCTCTGTTTTCTTTCTAGCCCTTCTTTCACGTAGGTTTTCTTTCTCTGTTTGGAATAAGATACAGTTTTCCTTGTAAAAACAACAAAGAAATAGACCAGAACAAGATTATTTTGAGGATTTTGAGGACTTACCCGAAGTGGACTTTGATTTCCAGTACGAAATTCTCAACAAAAGGGTCAAACAGGTGATCTTCGCATGCTATTTGTTCTTTAGCAGACAACATCAACGATAATTTTCAATTCCATGCTTGACCAGAACTGACGCAGGCAACAGAAGAAGAAAGATCAAGCCGACAACATAAAGAATCACAACGAAATTTTCGACAAACCGGGCTAGGCGGCGCCTAGGCGCTAGGCACCCGCCTAGGCGGCCTGGGCGGCTATGTGGAATATAAAATTAGTTTCTTTATGTTTTTTTGTTTTCTTTTTTGTAATTAAACAATATCTTTGCTTTATTTTAATTACTTTTATTTGTAATTATTACTTAACAAATAGTAATTATTATGTTTTAATATTTTTAATTGAATAATATATATCTTAGTCTTATTTAATCAATATAATTACTAATTAGTTTTTAGTTATTATTTGTTTCATAACTTACTTCTCAAATAGTAATTAATTTTTATGAATTATTTTGTGCTCATAAAAACCAAGAAAGTGGTTGCAACATAGTAAGTATATATCACAAAAGAACCAATACATACATATAGTATACTTGATTTGCTTATGAACATAGTTCTTGATTGACTGGTTTGCAATGGTTACATGTCCTCAGAATATGCAATTGATGGGTTCTACTCGATAAAATCCGATGTCTATAGTAGTTTGGTGGGTTGGTGCTAGAGATAGCGAGTGGGAAGAGAAACATAGGATTTACTCATTGCTTTTTTTTTGTTTCTTCTTTTAAGTATGCACAATGATTTTGAACTTTTGATAAATTCTTTTAGGCATGGATGCTATACACGGAAGGCCGGTTCATTGAAGTGCTTGATACATCAATAGGGGACTCGGGTGATCCACATAAAGTTGTGAAATTATTTCATGCATGTAGGTCTTTTATGTGTGCAACGTAACCCGGGAGATAAGTCGAGCATGCTAGTTACAGTTCTAATGCTAAGTGGTGAAGGGTGATTGCCTCAACCTCAAAAACCTTGTTCTTATAGTGAAATGGATCTCAATGAACTAGAACTTTTAAAGCATTTTCAACAAATGAACGCAAGTGCTTTAGATTTGGGACAAAGATTCATGAAGTTCCAAATTGCGTGAGGAATGATCTCCTGAAATGCCACTGCAACGTGTTATAAGGTATGCAATTACAGTCACTTCAATCATATGCACTTAGCGAGTTAGTGATAGGGGAAACCAGTCTAGAATTTTCAGATTCTTTAGAGAGCATGTGTTTTTTGTCGTTTCTGACCATTGTGTGATATTTACTATGTGTAGTCCTAGATGGCTATTTCGACTTTAAAGGCTATTTTGAATCTCTATGTGATACTGTGGACTGTGGTAAAGACTTCTATTTGCTTTGAAAGCCATTTAGAGGCTCAGGTAATTATTTATGTTTACTTGGCGGTCCCAACCCAGAGCATATATATACAGTTTGAGTTTGGTGTTGTATAACTTACTGAGAAGACTTGGGGGAACTAAACCATGCATGTTCCCTTCTAATGGCTAGCTCACCTTTACCCTCACCATCATCCACACACTAGTAGTAACATTTTACATATTGAATCAATAGTCAATAAGCTTTACAATAACATATTTGTTCTAGCTAAACAGCTGTGAGCCAGTGGCAATGAGAGGGTACTAAAGAGATAGATACTACTACTTTTGTGTGTGTGTGTGTGTGTGTGTGTGTGGAAGTGGAGCCATGGCACTATATTTTTGACACAAGTTTTGACACAACAGTGCCCAATCAAAAGGGTATAGCCGACCAGCTATACTAGTTTTTTATAATATTAAAAACCATAGTATATATTAAAAAAAAATTATTAAAAAACGACCCTTCTATTTTGCATTAGTTTATACTTTATAGATATTAATTTGCTAGTTTCGATATATATACTCTATATATTTAAATTTTTTAATATATCTTATTTTTATTGAAAATTTTATAAAAATCATGTGTATTATACATGAAAAATACATATGCACGTGTAAAATACGAGTATTAAACATGAAAATGCTAAATTTTTTATAAGGCTAATAACTCTGGAAAAGTGAAAATTCAAAAGGGTACAATAGAGACTCGTGTAAAGGCCTAATTGTAATGGAAAATGCTCTAAACTATCGATAAACAAAAATCAGGGAAAAAAGATAATAGAATCCTCTCGGCCTAATTGTAATGGAAAATGTTTTAATATGTCTTATTTTTATTGAAAATTTTATAAAAACCAAGTGTATTATACATGAAAAATACATATGCACGTGTAAAATACGAGTAAAATGCTAAATTTTTTATAAGGCTAATGTTTGTGCCTAATAAATCACGGTCATTAACTGATTGAAGGGACTTCCCTTCGGCCCTGGCGCCTACCGTTTCGTCAAGCATTTCACCTTCCTAAGAACAAAGGAAAAGCTGCAAAGACAGAATCCTCTCGGCCTCGCGACCGCAGTATTGAAGGCCGAGGCCGAAGGCCATAAAAGACACGGCCTAAAAAAGCTGTGGTTGAATCGCCATGTGGCCTCAGGGCCCCACGCTCCATTTAATGAAGCAATGCCTCTGACTTCGCAGCAAACCCACTAGTCACAAGAAGCGTGTAATGCACAAGGGAAGTGACTGAAGTCAAGATTTGGTGATGGAAATTAGGGTGGTTAGGCGCAGACATTCTCACAAGTAATCTTACGACTTAAGGTTAGATCGCCAACCACCAGACCAGGGCATTAAATGCATTCCCACGGCCAAGGGGGCAGAACCCACGATCAAGGCGGTGGCCGAGATTTACCGAGATTTATGGGGGTCACACCACCATGCTTCTCAACCCCAAACCACCATGCTTCATGATCCCAAATGCCGATTTGACTACCCTCTTGCCCCTGTCAGGCTCCACCACGCAGGTCTTGTCAGCCTCGAATGTCCCTCCAGGACTCCTATAAATACTAAGCTCAGGACTACATTCAAAGGGTTCAAACACCAAACCAGAAGCCTCCCACGGAGCAAATTATATTTTCCTGTAATGCACTTTCAATACCTTTATCTGTTTTCTTAGGAGTAGTGGTAGATTGTAAGGAAAATCCATTCATCAATATATCATACGACCCTTGATTTTCAAGACGCCGGAGCACCATCTCTGTTATCGCCTCACTCACCCCATATATCATACGACCGTCGCTCTCTGAGCAACGCGCCGGAGCACCGCCTAAAACCCGCCACCAACACCACCACTAAACGGCCTTGTAGCTCAGGCCGCGAACCTAACGGCCGAGATCAGTTCCTCTCTCGGCCACGATCATTTGATTAGGAGTCGAACGCAAAACAGGCGCACCATTTTAACCATCTTCTACCTGAACCTCATCATCATCTCGACGCACTACAGACCGTGCTGGCACCCCGCGCACAACCGCACCGCATCCAAAAGAAGGACGTCACGTGTTGACGCACATCCCCTCGCCCCGGAGCACCAGGCCGTGAGATTCGCGACAGACAACAGCTAATAACTCTGGAAAAGTGAAAATTCAAAAGGGTACAATAGAGACTCGTGTAAAGGCCTAATTGTAATGGAAAATTCTCTAAACTATCGATAAACCAAAATCAGGGAAAAAAGATAATGGTATCCATGTAAAGAGTATAGCCGCGCGGCTATACTATTTATAAATAATAAAAAGACCCCATTATAGGTGCGCGGCTATACTCCTTATTTTTTAATTAAAAAAATCCCGTGTATAGGCGCAGGGCTATACTGTTTTCAGTTGAAGAGTTCAAATATGGCTCAAAACTAAGTACCACAAGATGCTAGAGGAAAAGACCACGAGATTCTGGAGGTACATATAACATATTAATGATAAAATAGGATGCTTATTTATATTTGAAGTGTCAGTGTGACCTCAAACGACATTGTTTTAGACTATTAGTTAACAATATCTTCACATTAAAAAAAACAAAACAAAACAAAACAAAGAATCTGAACTCCATAAGTACGCGAGGAAATTTAGAAATGGCATTTACCAGGTTAGGGAAAACTTCGAAAGGGTGCTATAGTTGTCGCTTAACCTCAACTGTAGGAGTCTCCTTGGAGTCAGAAGGATCTACATATCTCCAAAAGAATGCCAGACTGCTTCCCATTATATTCATAATCACGGCAGACAATGCTGCATGCGGGTAATGCAACCATCGGCAAGGTGAAATGAGAAGTGGCCAAAACCACACCCAAAGAAGAATTTTGCATACCAACCTGCGAGTGTCGAACATGTAAATGAAGGATTAGTGTTGCAAGCCCACCAAAATTTATGAAAGTTTCGACATTTCAATCTGAGCATAAAACAATGAAGATCTTCTATGGACTTACAATAAAGTTTAAGAAGAGAATTTTTATATCTTTATTACCGATTTGATTAATACCTCAATTGATATTGCTCGACTTTGTGCTTCTCTAAACCCGCAAACAGCTGCTGATATATACCTGCAAATTAAGACTCTCCTTGATCAAAAAAGACTCCTCAAGTTGAACACATTTGCACCGCAAAAACTCCTAAACAAACTAAACAAACAGGCACAGCACCACAACCTTAAATGGATTTTGCATTATGAAATCACTAAAGTAACCACTAATAAGTAACAAATAACAAATAAATATTTTAACAATTTAAATCAAAAAAATATTATACTATTTGTTTAATATATAATTTATATATGCTTTTATTTTTCATGATTTTGGTATAAATTTATAATTTATAATACTTAGTAATTTATTTAAAAAAAGCATAGGCACTCGCATATTACTCCTCTAGGCGCTAGGCCCTTGCCTGCCGCCCCCTTACTGTATAGTGATTTTTCAAACATTGGGATTAACATGTTGGTAAATTGAGGTGTATCAGCACTTCAATTTAAAACCCTGACCGACTCCAATTCCCTTCTCTTTGTGTTCATAATTAACTAAAAATTAGTTGCATTGAATGGCGTTTAGATTTAACTTTTATGGTATAATTTTTCTCAAGACTATAAACAAAGAAGCAGTTTCGTTAGTTCTCGATTGATTGTGCTGTGGCTATATGTCTCCGGAGTATGCCATGGGCGAGATGTTTTCTGAAAAATCTGATGGCTACAGCTTCGGGTTCTTCCAATTGGAGATTATTAGTGGCAAAAAGAATACCAGCTTCTATTCCAATGACCAACATATAGGCTTCCTAGCTTATGTAAGCTCACACTCTAAATCTTAATGCAAAATCGTATCTTTCATACAGCTTAAACAACCTATATGAAGCTAAATGCAGCACAGTTTAACAATTCTGGCCAACATACATGAAATTTTGTTAGGCATGGCACCCATGGAATGGAGGGGTTTGGAGTTGGTTGATGAAGTATTGGTAGATTCATATTCACCTTCAGAATCATCATGGATTTCTATTTTTGAAACCCAAAGACGTTGCATATGCATGGGTCAAGTTTCAGATTGGCAAGCGCATGGAATTGCATACGATGATATTAGATTTTTGCCTCAGTTTAGGTGCACATTGATGTGCCCATTTTTTTCACAAACATGATCCAATTGGTATTTGGTATAACGAACACAAGCAACATATACAAGTTTTGGCATGCAGCTAGCATACCAAATTCACAAAATGTAAGTGGGGATAAGGGGAACCAAGGTCCCAAGAAGGAGTTGTCCAAAAGATGCAACCCCCCACACAAAACTCTCGTCTGGGGACTTTACCTCTTGGTCGAGCTGGGCTAAAGTACAAATGACTGAGCTGAGCTTTTGATGTATGATAGAATCTCTTTACAGATCGAAGACGACTTGACGGACTTCTCGATGTGGAAGCAATGATGCCTTCACGACAATGTCATGAGCGCTTCAGCTTATGGGTAACTTTATATTTATGCATAGAATACAACGCGGACTAATATATCTCATATGTAAGAATGAGATGCCTAATATCAAGTACTTAAATTTGAAGGGTGCACAAGTCAATCGGGATGGTCTTGTCACGTTGTTGCGCGGATGCAAAGATCTGGTGCTGTTGGACGCCAGAGATTGTTATGGATTCGATGAGAACGACGATGAAATATCAAAGCTTGAGTCTCATATTAGTAAATTTATGTGCGAAGGTTCTGAATTTCCTGAATTTCTTTGTGGTATGGACAATTTTGTTCTTCCTGTTGATGGATACTCATTTCATCTGCATGTGGAGGAGACGTGGGATGAAATGCTCAATTATTTGAGCAATGCGTTCAATGATTTGGGCGACGAGGAATGAAGAACTATTTGATCGTACTAAGCGATATCTCATCTTAACTTTCCCTTCCCACCAAAATTTTTCGTAGCTAAATTTCTTTGAGGTTCAGGAAAAAGTTCTTGCTGAAAGAATGTTGGTTGCACCAACTTAACAACAGGCACAACCAGAAGACAAATGAAATAATATGTTATATTTAAGAATGGGATGCTACTTCTCATCTAACACATGTTGTTTGAATTCTCATTTAGAATAGTTCATATATCAATGTCATATGACCTCTGATACCTTCAATTAATTTCCAAATAGAACTGCAAACTTCCGTTCGTTGTCTCTTTAGATTGTTTTATATCCAATTTTTCATCTACATAGAATACAGTGCGAACTGATATATCTCATAGCATAAGAGCAGGGTCATCAAGTGCAATGAGAAAAAAGGCTGTAATTTGGTTTAGTTCAAAATTACAACGAATACATTTTAGAAAGTAAATTGCTACACAAGCAATTTTATACTATGGAATTCCTTTGATCCACAAAATGTTGGCGGATACCGTTTATTATTGGTATTTATGGGTTTAACCTGTATTATTTGTTATAAATAAAATTCATTTTTTATTCTTGCCCAATGGGTTAATAGCTGGAAATCATTAGAATGAGAGGTATCATAAAGAATTTAAATTCTCATTCCCCAATATTGCTTGTATAAATAAAATAATTGAAGAAATAACCCTAGCCCACCCTAAACCCTAAAATGATATGACAAAATTGTATATTTAAAAGGTTATAGCCATACGGCTGTACTTTCTAAATACATTCGGATATTTTAAAAGCATAGCCGTTCGGCTATACTCTTTAAATATTAATAAATTCGAATATTTTAAGAGTATAGCCGCGCGGCTATACTTTTAAATATAATCCAAACGAACACGAAGCTTGCACTCGCAGAGGACGGAGGTTGCAGACGCAGTCACAGCCATTTCGCTTCTCTATCAACTCAGGCTTCGATTTTCAATTTCGACTGCTTCGTCCTCCGGGTTCAACACCGAAAAAAGACCCAACCCGCCTAGGAGGCCCGCCCAGCCGCCTAGCGCCCGCCTAGCCGCCTAGCCGCCCGCCTAGGCCGATTTTCCGAACACTGCGATTGACTGAAAGTCTGAAACCCGAAATTGAAGAAGTTTAGCTGCAAATTTGAGCTTGAGATTGAGATTGGGAAGCCGAAGCAAGCACAATTCAGGTCCATAGAAGAAGAGATCATCAGACTCTTAATTCATCTAATTCCATTCCTCTCCCTGTTTCCCGCCTTATTCTCTTCTCTCTTGGCTCTCTCCCAAACGACATGCTCACCTCACCACACCAACGACAACGACGACAATTCCTCCCTTTGCCAACTCCACCTTATTATCTTCTCTCTTCGCATTGACGGCATGACGCAGAAGAAAAAAATTCAAAATTTGCTGACTTGGTGTCTGTCTTCAGTGGAAGGAAATGATGAATCTATCCTATCATGGAGTTTCTATGGTCTTGCCAATAACAAGGTTCGGTTTTTAGGCCCCACTCTCAAATTCTGACTATTTATTTCTGTTTTGGTTAAGCAATAGATTGATTGGTTTGGTTCTTCTTGCTTGAAACTTGATAAATCTTTATGCATTCAATATTCATCCATTGATGGTTCTTCTTGGTTGGACTGCTTTTCATTCTTTGGATATTGCATTTCTGTTATAGATTTTTCCACTTGATCATGCCCTCTTGTTTGCTGAGAGAGAAAAAAAAAAGAAGAAGAAAGATTTGTCTCCTCCTCCTGTTGCAGAGGAACCCAAAACCAACCCACCAGAGACCAGAAAAAAAAAAAGGAAATATTACACCACCTCAAGTGAAAAATCTAATTCATTTGAGCTTTTATATTTGTTCTTGTATCAGCATCTGTGTTTCTGTTGTGTGAACTCCACCTCAACTCCAAAGAAAACAAATAAAAAAAATTAGAGGGTGCATTTGCTAACGCATGGGTTGGGAATCTCTTAATTATATTTAACTTTTCAAACTGACTTCAAAAGCACCAGATTAACACACCAACATGAAATATCATTTATCGAGCCTCCATTAGTGTCAAAGGACTGTGACTTCATTACCTGAAAATGCTTTAGAAGAAGGATCGACTTCGAGTTCATTGAGATCCCTTTCACTATAAAAACCAGGATTTTGAGGTTGAGGCAATGACCCTTCAGTTTTGAAGGATAGCAAAGATTATTCAGCAAACATCTCCAATTTTGAAGGATTCAAAAGGTGACAAATATTTTATTCTGATCTCTTAACAATTTGTGTCTAATAATGGCTAATATTCCGTTAGCGAAACAGAGATAGAGGTGTGCATATCACTGTGCTGGTTGTAACAGTTGGCTAATATGTACCTACTGGAACTATAAATATGTCTGTTTTCTAACCGTCCAGCATTCAGTCCCATATAGCATGGCTGGTCTAACAGATGTTCTATAAACTTAGCTTTCAATTCTAGCAAAATATGAGGATCACACTATATATATGCTTAACAAAACCCTCCATTTGACCTATCGTGCTTTGATTCTATGAGCCACATCATCTCCATTCTCCCCTTGTATATATGGATGATTGAGTACATGCTAGATAGTGAAAGTTATTGCATTTTGATATACTCTTAGTGGTGCAATTGGTTGCTCTTATGTCTTCGTCAGAACCAAAGGCTCCACTTGGTTAGCAGAATTCAAAGGAATATGGTTCCAGTGACCATCTTGGAGAGAGAGAGAGAGAGAGGCGTTTTAAGGGTGTGCGCTTGTTCGTTCGTCTCCTTTTCTCATTTAGGTGGTGAGTAGATCATCATTGCAGAGATACAGCAAGTGCCCTTCTGCCCTCCTTTAAATATCTGATTTTTGGGCTCTTCCTTTTCCCCTCTCTCTCTCTCTCTAGAATCCCCCCACCTTCTTTTTTATTTCATTTCTCTTATTTATTCAGTTAATTTTAGTGACAAAAACCCAGCAACCTTTATTTAATTCGGTGCTTGATTAATTATAGTTATTAATCATGTATTATTTTGTTTTTTTTTAAAAAATTGTAAAAGCTGCTGTGGCATGGGGAGCTGGAAAGCCTTTGGTGATAGAGGAAGTGAATGTGAATCCGCCTCAGGCAATGGAGATAAGGATCAAAGTCGCCTGCACCTCTCTCTGTCGCAGTGACATCACTGCCTGGGAGTCTCAGGTACTCTCCTCTTCTTATTTTGTCCTCCTCTTTTCTCCCTTTCTTTTCTTCTTCTTTTCAACACAAATAGAGATAAAACAATATTACTTTTCCTTCAATTCTTTTTTTCTTGTTTCCTACTTACTGAACATCTAGGAAAATAATCATTATCTGGCTAGGAAAATTCGTTTAACTATTACTTATGGTTTCTGTCTGACCAAGAAAAATTAAAACTTTGTTTGTGCCACTGCCAGATATGCTTTCTTCTTTCCGGATGCATTAATTTTCTTGCAAAACAATTGTTCAAGATTAGTCATTAAAGTAACTGAGAAGAAGAAAACCTCGGTTTAAAGTAATGAACTTATCCATGAATTAATATCCTGTTTAAATTTTTCGAAATTCAGACCTATCAGGAGCTAAGCATCAACTGACTATTCATCTAACTGAAAAAAGTTATCTATGTATGTTGATACCAAAAATATGATTATTTATGGATACCCCTTGATGGTTACTGAACATGGATTCTCCTTAAAGAGCATCTTCTACCTTCTCCCTTGCATCATCACATGAAGCAGGAGAATAATTTGGTTCGCGTATGCATGTCGGTGTTTGTCTGTGTTCATGTTGTAATAGAGGAATGAAATTTCCGTTCATGATAAGTTTCTTCACAATTAAAATGCAAAGAATAATATATAAAGGCTTCCTTTGTTTTGGAGGTGATGGGGGATAGGGAGGAGCAGAAGAAAAGGAATCTGATAGCCCTCACATGCCCCTGCACGTAGTCACATACATATGTAATTGCAATTCTTGATCAAGGAAAAACGTTGCTGACATATGTTGACATATTTTTAGGCTTCTGTGAGTGCAGAGACTTGTTAACAGTTTTCACTTTTCAAATATGACAGCGGCATGACTTAAACAGTAATGATTTCTTGTACGATAGGTTGCACAGGGTGCTAAGCTTAGGGGAGCATCTCAAATAATTGGTGTTCACACTAATTTGTATCTGGCGTTTCTTTGAAGGGATGGGGGTTGACAGTTACACTTGGTGTGCCAAAAGTGAAGCCGGAGGTAACAGCTCATTATGGAATATTTCTTACTGGAAGAACATTGAAGGGATCTCTATTTGGAGGATGGAAACCTAAATCTGATCTCCCTTCATTAGTAGATATGTACACAAAAAAGGTAAAACTAACTAAAACTTCATTGAAGCTTCAGTAAGTCCAATCTCCCTTCTAATATTAAGTGTCCTTTTCCCTCCCATTGTTGTAAAATTTGATGTGTCCTCATGTAGCTGGAAAATCTACTGACAATGTTTAGTCCTGGTGACAAGAATGCGATAGGGCATGCCTAAACAATTTATCATGTCTTAGTTTGATAAATGTCTAATGTACAAACGTATCAAATCATCTTGTTTGAAGTAGTAGGGTTATAATCTGAGTTTCGCTTAGTATCAAATTCTGAGGTTGAATTTATAAACCATCTAGGTGAGGATGGTGATATCAATGGACAAGCTGGGCTTGAGCCTTGGGCGGGATGTCTCCGAAGTACGAGTGCATGATAACTTCTTTAGAGTTTCAATTGTTCACATTTTTTTTAAATAAAAAAATTCAGAGAAATATTTATCACAATGAGTCTAGCATAAGGAACATGCCAGGAGATTGTATAAATTTCAATTTGTGTTTAGGTTTAAAGTATTAATAGAACAAGATGTCGAGACAATACGGAGAATTGGAGAAAATTTCAAACCACACCGTTTATAATATGATTCATATTCCTCCTCAAATAAAAATAAAATGTATCATAAAACATATAATTTTTTCTTCTTTAAAAAAAAAACATAAACTACATCTGACTGTATGTGACACCCCGACCCAATTTTAACAATTAATTTAATTTATTTATTTGAGAAGTTACAATTTTGCCCTCGGGTAAGGTCACGATAGTCATTTGTCAATTGTGTGGATTTTGTGGATTTGAGTAGCACTGTTGTATAGAGCGCGTCGATACGAGTTCGTAGACATATAGTGGGCTCAAATCGGAGTTTTAACGAAGAAGTTATGATCAACAGAAGTGCAGTGGCACAACCGTAAATTTGTTGAAATCTCTATCCCCTCTCTCTCTCTCTCCGGCGACGACACCGCCGCTTTTGAATGCGATTCCGGCCCCGTCCGGCCACCAAACTCGAGGCTGCAACTTGTAAAATGCTCCTCTCCACCTCCTCTACACGACCCACTAAATTTCCAGACTCGATTTTGAGCCGTGAAGCGACTGAAACGAGAGGAAATCGGGTCAATTTGGGTTATGCCACTTTCTAATCCTCCCCACCCTTTTATTCACTACTACAAAACTGATGAAACGGCACGATCATAAGAGATTAAATACACAATGATTCACAAAACCAATATTTGTGCCCAATATATATGTTTTTGACATAAATGGTGTTGAATATATATGTATATTTATTTATTTATTTTCGTTACTTAAATCGTGCCCAATAATTTACACGTAGTAAAAAAATTTATTTTTATTCACTTAAAAACCCCACGCCCTTTTGTTAATGTATGGTTTTTACTATTTTCTTTTGGCTTCCCTTGACAACTTTGTAATAGGATGTGTGTTGTTATTTATCAAGCTCAAGTTTAGATTAAGAAAAACCTTTCTTGGTGCTCTTCTCTAACTTCTGTTGTATGGAGGTTCAAGCAATTTGACAAAGGTATTGTGCATTGCATATCATTTCATAAAACAGTCTTCATAAAAATGATGACTAGTCATCCGTTTCTCAGATGACTAGTCATCCTTGCTCTGTAGGATTTCCAGCTGGATAACAAATTGTTTTGTCCTATTCCTCTTTCTCTCTCTCTGCTGCCCTCTGTGTTTTCTGACCTAAGGAATTTTTTGGCTGTAAAGGCTACGTTTTTGGTCATTTGGGTGTTGTCTCTTTTGGGTGGAAGTTTTGGAAAGTTTGGCTTGCCATCTTTCGCTTCTTCTTCCTCAAGAGAACCATCTTATTTCATCTATGAGTTTTTCCAATTGATTTCTTTTTGAAAAACTGCATTTGAAACACAAATCTGCATCTAGCTACTTAAATCATTCTATCATTTATATCTAGGTCAATTCAAGATTGATTTCTTCAAGAGTATGGTTTCTTGAAGAAATTGGTCATTCTCCTTTGAATCCAAATTTTGGTTTCGGTTTGTGTTGGAGCTTGCAAGCTAGTGCCATGGGATGAACGAGCTGGAGAAGGAGCTGCCATTGCCATGAAGAACTGAGCTTCAAGCTTTGCTAAGTTGGAGAAGAAGATTGCACAAAGGAGGTATAGCTCATCTTCCTAAATAGATCTAGGTTTTTCTTGAGCTTGCTTGTGTTCCTTTGTAAGAATCTTTTTCTACTTAGTGGATTGCCTGGTCGGTTGATGACCCCCAGTTTTTCCCAATGGTGGGTTTCTGGGTAAACAGTTTCTGGTTTCCAACTCTGTAAATTTTCTGGGTTTGTGTTCTTGACAGTTGACTAGTCATCTGGGTTTGTGCAGTTGACTAGTCATCTTTTTCTGCTGTTTGGTGTTTGCTTGATTCTGCTGTTTGGTCTTCACACACTTTCACCATAGTTGTTGCTAGCACATGGGATGCCTAGATTGACGGGTCCTTCTGAGTGCCTAGGTTGTCACTAGTAATTCTCTAGGCTTGCAGGTACATCTTGGTGTGCTCTGTGTATGTTTTGTTTGGTATAATTCATATATGACAGTTGACTAGTCATAAGAGTATTTGGTCAAGGTCTAGAGTGTGTGAAGTTTGCTGCTGATGTATAATTTTACTACCTGAAAATTAGATAGTTAAATTCAAGAAATAAACTTGCAAGCGCACAAGGTTAATGCAATATAGCCAAGGCAAGTACAAGGTCGTTCCCACAGAGACTGAATAAATTCTCAAGTTGTTGTGAATTATAAACTAATTTAAATCCTAAATTACTCTAGACACCCTAATTAATAAACTTAAAACTAATGACTCAACTAAAACTTAATAGAGGATTTTTGAAAGTTGGTTTTGAAAGATTTTCTTTGAAAGAACGTTGAAAACAAGAAAATTAAAAGACAAGATAACGAAGAAAAAACGTGAACTAAATAAGTTTGTGAAAGATTTTAAAGAAGCTTACCAAGACAACAATTTCACCACAATTCCTCTTATCCAAACCTTAGCATGCATACTATCAAAATTCCCAAGTTATGTTGATGATTAGTTCTCCAAAATTATGACTAATTCTTTTCACAGCAATTAACCACTTCTTCTTACATGCAATTTATCCTTGGCGTGAGGCATAAATATAAACATATAAAAAGACCTTAGGTTCAATGAGAACTTCACACAATCACACAAACCCCTAAGAGTATAGTGTTTACCTTAGGCGCATTCATGAATTTAATCACAAAAAGCAAAACTCATATTAGGCATGGCGTATACCCTAACATGCATCAAATTACTTAACCAAAAACCTAGATGGTAGCTAAGCATCAAGATCATTAGTTAGGAAAATAAGCACAGTGATTAAATTTCAACAACATGGAAATACTAATAGCATGACATAACTAAGCTTTGAATAATTAGAAAAGGGTTACATTGTGTCTTAGTAAAAGAAAATTAGTTACTCATAATCATGGTAACAAAGCAAAAATAAAACATGGAGAAAGAGATAAGGAAAACCCTTAGAGTTTAGAGGCACGGTGGCTCTTCCTTGCTCCACGGTTGAAGTCTGAAATTTTCTGGTGCCCTGAGCCTCTACGACCTCCCCTCTTAAAAGAACCTAAAACCTAGTTAGAATGGGCCTAAACAAGTGGCCTTACACAAAGACTTGATTTCCAAGTCAGTTCCTAACTAGAAAAGCTAATTAAAACTAAGTTTCCTAAAACCTCCAGGAAACTGCACGTGATCCTCATTGCGAATGCGATTTGGACACGTTTCTGACCTCCAAAAATTACGTACGACCACTCTTTGGAAAGCTCTGGATGTCTTCCTTTCAGCCATATATCATGTCCCTCAATCCGATGTCGTATGAGTGAGTTGTAGCCAAAATACCCCTGCTGACTCAGTATTCTCCGGGAATTGATTTATGCTGAATTGTCTAATTAAAAATGGGCACCTTAGCAGTCTTCAAAAATTATGAAAATATTCATGGATAAACTTCAAGATGCTGTCTCCCATCTCCAATTGGAATCATGTCGAACTCTATTACGATGAATATTTGACGAATTTATTCATTCCGTGGCTCATAAGCTGAAAAACAGGAAATAACTCAACTCAGCATCTTTAGTCCAAATTAATTCACAAAACTAAGTAAAAAGGATATAAAATCATGTGAATTTATGAACACATCAGCTGCGTTCTTGGTTGAATATCTTTTAAATTTACCCCTCGTCACCTAAGTACCATTTTCACCTTTAACCAAAAAACCACGATCCCTCATCTTTCCAACTCTAAAAAATATCTCACCTTATCATCTGAAAATCTTCTCAGTAGCCCACCCTTCTTCTTTTTTGAAGTCTCTTCCTCTCTCTCTCTCTCTCTCTCATCGCTGAAGCTCTCTCTCCTCATATTTTGAAAAGTTCTCTATCTCACTCCTCCAGATCTATCACTTGCACCAGTACCACTAGAGGCGTCAAACAAACAGGTCGGCCCAACATGGCCCGCTTAAGTAAGGCACGGCATGGCCCGTATTTTTGGGTCGTGTCGGGACGAGGTAATTAAGTCCAATGGACTAAGCTAGCCCGTAGCCCGTCATGGACCGAGACTACCCTTGGCCCATCATGGGCCGAGCCACCTTGCGGCCCGTCGTGGGCCGAGTCGACCCGAAATTCAACGGGCGGGCCCGTTTAAAGCCCATATATTAAATTATACTTGTTTTAGGAAAAAATAAAACATAATATTACTACATTTATATCTTAAATTCAAGTCTATTTCTTTTCTCTAATAATATATATTAAAATTAATATTTTCTTTATATATAAAATAATGATTTTGTTTTTCAAGTTTCAATTTTTAAAACCCACACAATAATCTAGCCATTTTCTATTTAAATGTACTTTAAATTAAGTTATTGTCCTCTTTTTTTAACAAATAATAAATCTTATTGGTATATACATAATTGCAAAAAAGATTTAAATAAAGTTGTAAAAAAATTACAACAAAAAAAGCAATACATAAGTCAAATTTGGCGTGGACCCATATCGGCCCGTTTAGTGGCCCGACACGAGCACGGCTTGAGCCCATATAGACTCGGGCCGGGATTGATGATTTTCCTAAATGGGCGGGCCCAACACAACCCGTTTATTAAATGGGCTGACAATAAATAGACCGGACCGGCCCAACACAACCCGTTTGACACCTCTTGGTACCACCCACCACCTCCACCACATCTCTCCTCTCATTCTCTCATTCTTAGGTTTTGGTTTTTGAGTGGTCAAACAATAAATAAAGAAGTCTAAGGTTTTGTTAGGCATGAACTCGTAGATCAGCTCATTTCATCTTCTCGATTGCAGCATCCCAGAAGCTTCACTATATTCCTGTGTTGAAGTTTGACAATATGTGTAACCTCATTCTTCAACTCATTGAGTCCTTGTCTAGGATGTTTTGAGAGCCTCTTCACAGCCATGTCTTGTCCATCTTTCAGTGTACCCTGAAATCCATTAGCCACATATGATGACCAAAATCCATACTCTGTAGTTTGCGAACGTACAATATACGACTTGTATCCATAGTCCTGACCCAAACGACATGTGGAAACTGTCAAGCCAACTGTAGGGAGGACTATATTTGATTTTACCTTAAAAGGATGATCCGAAATCACCCCTTCTCCAAGTTTATTCTTGTTTGAAAAGTTATTGGTTGCACAAACAACAGCGGCCAAGTCAAATAATGGTAATTCCAGATCTTCCCTTTGGCTGGGCCTCAGCTTTATCTTCCCCAATGTCATACTTTGCCCTTTGCATGCAACTGAGACATATAAGAACAATTATAATATTTACCTTCAGAAAGTAAGATGTCAGCAATTTCATATTAACTGATTATGTACTATTATCTTCAAATATCAGCATCTATTTCTATCATTTGGAATAATGAGGTCATATTTTGTTTGGCCTGGGTGATCATTATAGTTTATAATCGTTATAAACTACCATTTTCTTACAGGATAAACTACCATTTGCAAACCAGTGATCTATCACCAATATCCAAAAAGCAATTCATGCACAAGAACCAATTGATCATCATATAAAGTCCCAAAGAAGAAAAGGCTTGTAACTCACAGGTTAAGTAGCTTGGATGGTGCGGGACGTAATACAGTTAATGCCTCCTTCCAGTGCCACTGGCATTCAGATAACGAAAGAAGACGCTGCAAAATTGACAACTGCCATTCCCATTCTTCAATGAAATGTTTAGCAATTGACGCTCTCCACTCCAATGCTTGTCTTCCACCCCTACTTACGCCATCACTTAGAGCATGATCTAGTTCAGTTATAGTTGAAGGAAGACAGTGATGTAATATATCAAGTAGTTTTCCCGTGAAAGATACAACCATTTTGTTTCCCTCTTCTCGTGTTAGATCAGTTTTCTCTGAAGCACATGTGTAATGTAATTCTGATTAGCTCCATGCTAAGGCACAATGAACCAAATTGAGACAAAGATCATCCATATGTAAAAGCGAACTTGAGACGGACAACAATATTCTCAGAGAATACACTGGCCCACAAAATAAAATCTAGTATGTTTGAGAAAGAGAGCACATTTGGAAGGAACCACAGGCAAGACAATCATATTTTACATATAAGTAACAAAAAGATATTTATATGCACAACAAATGTACCTGCATGCAAGCAGTGATGTAGCTAGAACAGCAAAAAGTGGTGCAAAAGGTATCACAATTTTAACCACTGTAGGAAATGCACTCTGCATATAAGAACCTAACAAATTGGAGCAACAACGACCTACAGATGACAGAATAGAGACCATAAGCCCCAGCTGACGGATAATATAATATTACTGAAGTTTGTTATATTTAACTTAACCTGCATGGTGCTGATTGATAGTTTGGCAGCATCCACAGGGACGTAAGTCCCTGCCAATATCTTCGTTAGCCGAGGAGGCTGGGCTACTGCCCCAAGAGTTGTGCATACCGTCATTACAATAGACAGAGGAACATCCCCCTGAGCAATTAAGGTCACCTAAAGGGCTATTTCACAAAAGCATTTAATGGAGTTGAATAAATGGCCTAGGCGGGCTAGGCGGGGTCTAGGCGGGCTAGGCTGGCCAGGCGGGGGCTAGGCAGGCTAGGCGAGGGCTAGGCGGGGGCTAGGCGGTCTAGGCTGTCTAGGCGGGTGCTGGTGCCGAGAAGAAAAAAAAGGCCATTTTGGAACTCCAAGGTCTTGTACGAGATGACGATGGTGCTGAGGCGAGAGAGGGAGAGAGAGAAACGAGGATTGAAGAAGAAGAGAGGTTGCGAGTTATGTTTAGGGTTTAGAAAAAAGGGCCTGGGCTTCATAAAATACAACATTAAATGGATTTTGCATTATGAAATCACTAAAGTAACCACTAATAAGTAACAAATAACAAATAAATATTTTAACATTTTAAATCAAAAAAATATTATACTATTTGTTTAATATATAATTTATATATGCTTTTATTTTCATGATTTTGGTATAAATTTATAATTTATAATACTTAATAATTTTTTTTTAAAAAGCATAGGCACTCGAATATTACTCCTCTAGGCGCTAGGCCCTTGCCTGCCGCCCCCTTACTGTATAGTGATTTTTCAAACATTGGGATTAACATGTTGGTAAATTGAGGTGTATCAGCACTTCAATTTAAAACCCTGACCGACTCCAATTCCCTTCTCTTTGTGTTCATAATTAACTAAAAATTAGTTGCATTGAATGGCGTTTAGATTTAACTTTATGGTATAATTTTTCTCAAGACTATAAACAAAGAAGCAGTTTTTTTTTTTTTTTTTTTTTTTTTTTTTTTTTTTTTTTTTTTTTTTTTTTTTTTTTTTTTTTTTTTTTTTTTTTTTTTTTTTTTTTTTTTTTTTTTTTTTTTTTTTTTTTTTTTTTTTTTTTTTTTTTTTTTTTTTTTTTTTTTTTTTTTTTTTTTTTTTTTTTTTTTTTTTTTTTTTTTTTTTTTTTTTTTTTTTTTTTTTTTTTTTTTTTTTTTTTTTTTTTTTTTTTTTTTTTTTTTTTTTTTTTTTTTTTTTTTTTTTTTTTTTTTTTTTTTTTTTTTTTTTTTTTTTTTTTTTTTTTTTTTTTTTTTTTTTTTTTTTTTTTTTTTTTTTTTTTTTTTTTTTTTTTTTTTTTTTTTTTTTTTTTTTTTTTTTTTTTTTTTTTTTTTAAAACGCCATTCAATGCAACTAATTTTTAGTTAATTATGAACACAAAGAGAAGGGAATTGGAGTCGGTCAGGGTTTTAAATTGAAGTGCTGATACACCTCAATTTACCAACATGTTAATCCCAATGTTTGAAAAATCACTATACAGTAAGGGGGCGGCAGGCAAGGGCCTAGCGCCTAGAGGAGTAATATTCGAGTGCCTATGCTTTTTTTAAAAAAAATTATTAAGTATTATAAATTATAAATTTATACCAAAATCATGAAAAATAAAAGCATATATAAATTATATATTAAACAAATAGTATAATATTTTTTTGATTTAAAATGTTAAAATATTTATTTGTTATTTGTTACTTATTAGTGGTTACTTTAGTGATTTCATAATGCAAAATCCATTTAATGTTGTATTTTATGAAGCCCATGCCCTTTTTTCTAAACCCTAAACATAACTCGCAACCTCTCTTCTTCTTCAATCCTCGTTTCTCTCTCTCCCTCTCTCGCCTCAGCACCATCGTCATCTCGTACAAGACCTTGGAGTTCCAAAATGGCCTTTTTTTTCTTCTCGGCACCAGCACCCGCCTAGACAGCCTAGACCGCCTAGCCCCCGCCTAGCCCTCGCCTAGCCTGCCTAGCCCCCGCCTGGCCAGCCTAGCCCGCCTAGACCCCCGCCTAGCCCGCCTAGTCCATTTATTCAACTCCATTAAATGCTTTTGTGAAATAGCCCTTTAGGTGACCTTAATTGCTCAGGGGGATGTTCCTCTGTCTATTGTAAATGGTAGTTTATAACGATTATAAACTATAATGATCACCCAGGCCAAACAAAATATGACCTCATTATTCCAAATGATAGAAGTAGATGCTGATATTTGAAGATAATAGTACATAATCAGTTAATATGAAATTGCTGACATCTTACTTTCTGAAGGTAAATATTATAATTGTTCTCATTTAGGTGGTGAGTAGATCATCATTGCAGAGATACAGCAAGTGCCCTTCTGCCCTCCTTTAAATATCTGATTTTTGGGCTCTTCCTTTTCCCCTCTCTCTCTCTCTCTCTAAAATCCCCCCACCTTATTTTTTATTTCATTTCTCTTATTTATTCAGTTAATTTTAGTGACAAAAACCCAGCAACCTTTATTTAATTCGGTGCTTGATTAATTATAGTTATTAATCATGTATTATTTTGTTTTTTTTTAAAAAATTGTAAAAGCTGCTGTGGCATGGGGAGCTGGAAAGCCTTTGGTGATAGAGGAAGTGAATGTGAATCCGCCTCAGGCAATGGAGATAAGGATCAAAGTCGCCTGCACCTCTCTCTGTCGCAGTGACATCACTGCCTGGGAGTCTCAGGTACTCTCCTCTTCTTATTTTGTCCTCCTCTTTTCTCCCTTTCTTTTCTTCTTCTTTTCAACACAAATAGAGATAAAACAATATTACTTTTCCTTCAATTCTTTTTTTCTTGTTTCCTACTTACTGAACATCTAGGAAAATAATCATTATCTGGCTAGGAAAATTCGTTTAACTATTACTTATGGTTTCTGTCTGACCAAGAAAAATTAAAACTTTGTTTGTGCCACTGCCAGATATGCTTTCTTCTTTCCGGATGCATTAATTTTCTTGCAAAACAATTGTTCAAGATTAGTCATTAAAGTAACTGAGAAGAAGAAAACCTCGGTTTAAAGTAATGAACTTATCCATGAATTAATATCCTGTTTAAATTTTTCGAAATTCAGACCTATCAGGAGCTAAGCATCAACTGACTATTCATCTAACTGAAAAAAGTTATCTATGTATGTTGATACCAAAAATATGATTATTTATGGATACCCCTTGATGGTTACTGAACATGGATTCTCCTTAAAGAGCATCTTCTACCTTCTCCCTGCATCATCACATGAAGCAGGAGAATAATTTGGTTCGCGTATGCATGTCGGTGTTTGTCTGTGTTCATGTTGTAATAGAGGAATGAAATTTCCGTTCATGATAAGTTTCTTCACAATTAAAATGCAAAGAATAATATATAAAGGCTTCCTTTGTTTTGGAGGTGATGGGGGATAGGGAGGAGCAGAAGAAAAGGAATCTGATAGCCCTCACATGCCCCTGCACGTAGTCACATACATATGTAATTGCAATTCTTGATCAAGGAAAAACGTTGCTGACATATGTTGACATATTTTTAGGCTTCTGTGAGTGCAGAGACTTGTTAACAGTTTTCACTTTTCAAATATGACAGCGGCATGACTTAAACAGTAATGATTTCTTGTACGATAGGTTGCACAGGGTGCTAAGCTTAGGGGAGCATCTCAAATAATTGGTGTTCACACTAATTTGTATCTGGCGTTTCTTTGAAGGGATGGGGGTTGACAGTTACACTTGGTGTGCCAAAAGTGAAGCCGGAGGTAACAGCTCATTATGGAATATTTCTTACTGGAAGAACATTGAAGGGATCTCTATTTGGAGGATGGAAACCTAAATCTGATCTCCCTTCATTAGTAGATATGTACACAAAAAAGGTAAAACTAACTAAAACTTCATTGAAGCTTCAGTAAGTCCAATCTCCCTTCTAATATTAAGTGTCCTTTTCCCTCCCATTGTTGTAAAATTTGATGTGTCCTCATGTAGCTGGAAAATCTACTGACAATGTTTAGTCCTGGTGACAAGAATGCGATAGGGCATGCCTAAACAATTTATCATGTCTTAGTTTGATAAATGTCTAATGTACAAACGTATCAAATCATCTTGTTTGAAGTAGTAGGGTTATAATCTGAGTTTCGCTTAGTATCAAATTCTGAGGTTGAATTTATAAACCATCTAGGTGAGGATGGTGATATCAATGGACAAGCTGGGCTTGAGCCTTGGGCGGGATGTCTCCGAAGTACGAGTGCATGATAACTTCTTTAGAGTTCCAACTGTTCACATTTTTTTTAAATAAAAAAATTCAGAGAAATATTTATCACAATGAGTCTAGCATAAGGAACATGCCAGGAGATTGTATAAATTTCAATTTGTGTTTAGGTTTAAAGTATTAATAGAACAAGATGTCGAGACAATACGGAGAATTGGAGAAAATTTCAAACCACACCGTTTATAATATGATTCATATTCCTCCTCAAATAAAAATATAATGTATCATAAAACATATAATTTTTTCTTCTTTTAAAAAAAAACATGAACTACATCTGACTGTATGTGACACCCCGACCCATATTGGACTGTTTAGTGGCCCGAAACGAGCACGGCTTGAGCCCATATAGACTCGGGCCGGGATTGATGATTTTCCTAAATGGGCGGGCCCAACACAACCCGTTTATTAAAAGGGCTGACAATAAATAGACCGGACCGGCCCAACACAACCCGTTTGACACCTCTTGGTACCACCCACCACCTCCACCACATCTCTCCTCTCATTCTCTCATTCTTAGGTTTTGGTTTTTGAGTGGTCAAACAATAAATAAAGAAGTCTAAGCTTCTGTTAATAGAAACACAAAATAATGGATTGCAGTTAAGGAAAATTCAATTTGGAGGGGGGGGTAAGCCAAATTTACTATAAATAGAACATTATACAACTTGATTGCCATCCCAGTTTGTATCCATTACCATGCCATCGGCTATTAGTGAGATTAACTAAGGACTGACTAGTAGATGCATAATACACTACTACAAAAGTACCATAAGTGATAAAAAAAGAAGTGAACTAATGAAGAAGGTTTTTGAGTGGTCAAACAATAAATAAAGAAGTCTAAGGTGTTGTTAGGCATGAACTCGTAGATCAGCTCATTTCATCTTCTCGATTGCAGCATCCCAGAAGCTTCACTATATTCCTGTGTCGAAGTTTAACCTCATTCTTCAACTCATTGAGTCCTTGTCTAGGATGTTTTGAGAGCCTCTTCACAGCCATGTCTTGTCCATCTTTCAGTGTACCCTGAAATCCATTAGCCACATATGATGACCAAAATCCATACTCTGTAGTTTGCGAACGTACAATATACGACTTGTATCCATAGTCCTGACCCAAACGACATGTGGAAACTGTCAAGCCAACTGTAGGGAGTACTATATTTGATTTTACCTTAAAAGGCTGATCCGAAATCACCCCTTCTCCAAGTTTATTCTTGTTTGAAAAGTTATTGGTTGCACAAACAACAGCGGCCAAGTCAAATAATGGTAATTCCAGATCTTCCCTTTGGCTGGGCCTCAGCTTTATCTTCCCCAATGTCATACTTTGCACTGGAACCGCATGCAGAATTATTTTTTTTTTTTTTTTTTTTTTTTTTTTTTTTTTTTTTTTTTTTTTTTTTTTTTTTTTTTTTTTTTTTTTTTTTTTTTTTTTTTTTTTTTTTTTTTTTTTTTTTTTTTTTTTTTTTTTTTTTTTTTTTTTTTTTTTTTTTTTTTTTTTTTTTTTTTTTTTTTTTTTTTTTTTTTTTTTTTTTTTTTTTTTTTTTTTTTTTTTTTTTTTTTTTTTTTTTTTTTTTTTTTTTTTTTTTTTTTTTTTTTTTTTTTTTTTTTTTTTTTTTTTTTTTTTTTTTTTTTTTTTTTTTTTTTTTTTTTTTTTTTTTTTTTTTTTTTTTTTTTTTTTTTTTTTTTTTTTTTTTTTTTTTTTTTTTTTTTTTTTTTTTTTTTTTTTTTTTTTTTTTTTTTTTTCCAGTGACCATCTTGGAGAGAGAGAGAGAGAGAGAGGCGTTTTAAGGGTGTGCGCTTGTTCGTTCGTCTCCTTTTCTCATTTAGGTGGTGAGTAGATCATCATTGCAGAGATACAGCAAGTGCCCTTCTGCCCTCCTTTAAATATCTGATTTTTGGGCTCTTCCTTTTCCCCTCTCTCTCTCTCTCTAGAAATCCCCCCACCTTCTTTTTTATTTCATTTCTCTTATTTATTCAGTTAATTTTAGTGACAAAAACCCAGCAACCTTTATTTAATTCGGTGCTTGATTAATTATAGTTATTAATCATGTATTATTTTGTTTTTTTTTAAATTGTAAAAGCTGCTGTGGCATGGGGAGCTGGAAAGCCTTTGGTGATAGAGGAAGTGAATGTGAATCCGCCTCAGGCAATGGAGATAAGGATCAAAGTCGCCTGCACCTCTCTCTGTCGCAGTGACATCACTGCCTGGGAGTCTCAGGTACTCTCCTCTTCTTATTTTGTCCTCCTCTTCTCCCTTTCTTTTCTTCTTCTTTTCAACACAAATAGAGATAAAACAATATTACTTTTCCTTCAATTCTTTTTTTCTTGTTTCCTACTTACTGAACATCTAGGAAAATAATCATTATCTGGCTAGGAAAATTCGTTTAACTATTACTTATGGTTTCTGTCTGACCAAGAAAAATTAAAACTTTGTTTGTGCCACTGCCAGATATGCTTTCTTCTTTCCGGATGCATTAATTTTCTTGCAAAACAATTGTTCAAGATTAGTCATTAAAGTAACTGAGAAGAAGAAAACCTCGGTTTAAAGTAATGAACTTATCCATGAATTAATATCCTGTTTAAATTTTTCGAAATTCAGACCTATCAGGAGCAAAGCATCAACTGACTATTCATCTAACTCAAAAAAGTTATCTATGTATGTTGATACCAAAAATGTGATTATTTATGGATACCCCTTGATGGTTACTGAACATGGATTCTCCTTAAAGAGCATCTTCTACCTTCTCCCTCGCATCATCACATGAAGCAGGAGAATAATTTGGTTCGCGTATGCATGTCGGTGTTTGTCTGTGTTCATGTTGTAATAGAGGAATGAAATTTCCGTTCATGATAAGTTTCTTCACAATTAAAATGCAAAGAATAATATATAAAGGCTTCCTTTGTTTTGGAGGTGATGGGGGATAGGGAGGAGCAGAAGAAAAGGAATCTGATAGCCCTCACATGCCCCTGCACGTAGTCACATACATATGTAATTGCAATTCTTGATCAAGGAAAAACGTTGCTGACATATGTTGACATATTTTTAGGCTTCTGTAAGTGCAGAGACTTGTTAACAGTTTTCACTTTTCAAATATGACAGCGGCATGACTTAAACAGTAATGATTTCTTGTACGATAGGTTGCACAGGGTGCTAAGCTTAGGGGAGCATCTCAAATAATTGGTGTTCACACTAATTTGTATCTGGCGTTTCTTTGAAGGGATGGGGGTTGACAGTTACACTTGGTGTGCCAAAAGTGAAGCCGGAGGTAACAGCTCATTATGGAATATTTCTTACTGGAAGAACATTGAAGGGATCTCTATTTGGAGGATGGAAACCTAAATCTGATCTCCCTTCATTAGTAGATATGTACACAAAAAAGGTAAAACTAACTAAAACTTCATTGAAGCTTCAGTAAGTCCAATCTCCCTTCTAATATTAAGTGTCCTTTTCCCTCCCATTGTTGTAAAATTTGATGTGTCCTCATGTAGCTGGAAAATCTACTGACAATGTTTAGTCCTGGTTACAAGAATGCGATAGGGCATGCCCAAACAATTTATCATGTCTTAGTTTGATAAATGTCTAATGTACAAACGTATCAAATCATCTTGTTTGAAGTAGTAGGGTTATAATCTGAGTTTCGCTTAGTATCAAATTCTGAGGTTGAATTTATAAACCATCTAGGTGAGGATGGTGATATCAATGGACAAGCTGGGCTTGAGCCTTGGGCGGGATGTCTCCGAAGTACGAGTTCCAACTGTTCACATTTTTTTTAAATAAAAAAATTCAGAGAAATATTTATCACAATGAGTCTAGCATAAGGAACATGCTAGGAGATTGTATAAATTTAAATTTGTGTTTAGGTTTAAAGTATTAATAGGACAAGATGTCGAGACAATATGGAGAATTGGAGAAAATTTCAAACCACACCGTTTATAATATGATTCATATTCCTCCTCAAATAAAAATATAATGTATCATAAAACATATAATTTTTTCTTCTTTTAAAAAAAAAACAAGAACTACATCTGACTGTATGTGACACCCCGACCCATATTGGACTGTTTAGTGGCCCGAAACGAGCACGGCTTGAGCCCATATAGACTCGGGCCGGGATTGATGATTTTCCTAAATGGGCGGGCCCAACACAACCCGTTTATTAAAAGGGCTGACAATAAATAGACCGGACCGGCCCAACACAACCCGTTTGACACCTCTTGGTACCACCCACCACCTCCACCACATCTCTCCTCTCATTCTCTCATTCTTAGGTTTTGGTTTTTGAGTGGTCAAACAATAAATAAAGAAGTCTAAGCTTCTGTTAATAGAAACACAAAATAATGGATTGCAGTTAAGGAAAATTCAATTTGGAGGGGGGTAAGCCAAATTTACTATAAATAGAACATTATACAACTTGATTGCCATCCCAGTTTGTATCCATTACCATGCCATCGGCTATTAGTGAGATTAACTAAGGACTGACTAGTAGATGCATAATACACTACTACAAAAGTACCATAAGTGATAAAAAAAGAAGTGAACTAATGAAGAAGGTTTTTGAGTGGTCAAACAATAAATAAAGAAGTCTAAGGTGTTGTTAGGCATGAACTCGTAGATCAGCTCATTTCATCTTCTCGATTGCAGCATCCCAGAAGCTTCACTATATTCCTGTGTCGAAGTTTGAGAATATGTGTAACCTCATTCTTCAACTCATTGAGTCCTTGTCTAGGATGTTTTGAGAGCCTCTTCACAGCCATGTCTTGTCCATCTTTCAGTGTACCCTGAAATCCATTAGCCACATATGATGACCAAAATCCATACTCTGTAGTTTGCGAACGTACAATATACGACTTGTATCCATAGTCCTGACCCAAACGACATGTGGAAACTGTCAAGCCAACTGTAGGGAGTACTATATTTGATTTTACCTTAAAAGGCTGATCCGAAATCACCCCTTCTCCAAGTTTATTCTTGTTTGAAAAGTTATTGGTTGCACAAACAACAGCGGCCAAGTCAAATAATGGTAATTCCAGATCTTCCCTTTGGCTGGGCCTCAGCTTTATCTTCCCCAATGTCATACTTTGCCCTTTGCATGCAACTGAGACCAGGGGCGGAGCTAGAATTGTAGGTTGGGGGGGGGGGGGGGGGGGGGCGGGGAGGGAGTTAAAAATACAAGTATATAACACACCTAAGTATCCAATAATTACATATTTATAACTAAATATTTCTAATTGAGTCATGTCTAATTTGTTTTAGAGAAAATTTTAACTTAATTAATAAATTGTTTATTACAAATTCTACATATTATATATAATATACTAGAGAAGGGATAAAAATATGGGGGGGCTAGGGCCACTTCAGGTCTAGGAGTGGCTCCGCCACTGACTGAGACATATAAGAACAATTATAATATTTACCTTCAGAAAGTAAGATGTCAGCAATTTCATATTAACTGATTATGTACTATTATCTTCAAATATCAGCATCTACTTCTATCATTTGGAATAATGAGGTCATATTTTGTTTGGCCTGGGTGATCATTATAGTTTATAATCGTTATAAACTACCATTTACAATAGACAGAGGAACATCCCCCTGAGCAATTAAGGTCACCTAAAGGGCTATTTCACAAAAGCATTTAATGGAGTTGAATAAATGGACTAGGCGGGCTAGGCGGGGTCTAGGCGGGCTAGGCTGGCCAGGCGGGGGCTAGGCAGGCTAGGCGAGGGCTAGGCGGGGGCTAGGCGGTCTAGGCTGTCTAGGCGGGTGCTGGTGCCGAGAAGAAAAAAAAGGCCATTTTGGAACTCCAAGGTCTTGTACGAGATGACGATGGTGCTGAGGCGAGAGAGGGAGAGAGAGAAACGAGGATTGAAGAAGAAGAGAGGTTGCGAGTTATGTTTAGGGTTTAGAAAAAAGGGCCTGGGCTTCATAAAATACAACATTAAATGGATTTTGCATTATGAAATCACTAAAGTAACCACTAATAAGTAACAAATAACAAATAAATATTTTAACATTTTAAATCAAAAAAATATTATACTATTTGTTTAATATATAATTTATATATGCTTTTATTTTTCATGATTTTGGTATAAATTTATAATTTATAATACTTAATAATTTTTTTTTAAAAAAGCATAGGCACTCGAATATTACTCCTCTAGGCGCTAGGCCCTTGCCTGCCGCCCCCTTACTGTATAGTGATTTTTCAAACATTGGGATTAACATGTTGGTAAATTGAGGTGTATCAGCACTTCAATTTAAAACCCTGACCGACTCCAATTCCCTTCTCTTTGTGTTCATAATTAACTAAAAATTAGTTGCATTGAATGGCGTTTAGATTTAACTTTTATGGTATAATTTTTCTCAAGACTATAAACAAAGAAGCAGTTTCGTTAGTTCTCGATTGATTGTGCTGTGGCTATATGTCTCCGGAGTATGCCATGGGCGAGATGTTTTCTGAAAAATCTGATGGCTACAGCTTTTTTTTTTTTTTTTTTTTTTTTTTTTTTTTTTTTTTTTTTTTTTTTTTTTTTTTTTTTTTTTTTTTTTTTTTTTTTTTTTTTTTTTTTTTTTTTTTTTTTTTTTTTTTTTTTTTTTTTTTTTTTTTTTTTTTTTTTTTTTTTTTTTTTTTTTTTTTTTTTTTTTTTTTTTTTTTTTTTTTTTTTTTTTTTTTTTTTTTTTTTTTTTTTTTTTTTTTTTTTTTTTTTTTTTTTTTTTTTTTTTTTTTTTTTTTTTTTTTTTTTTTTTTTTTTTTTTTTTTTTTTTTTTTTTTTTTTTTTTTTTTTTTTTTTTTTTTTTTTTTTTTTTTTTTTTTTTTTTTTTTTTTTTTTTTTTTTTTTTTTTTTTTTTTTTTTTTTTTTTTTTTTTTCCCCAAGCACCACCAAATTGCTCTTTGCTTCGCATCTCATCTCCAAACCAACCCCACGCACAAGCAACAATGAAAGATTTAAAACAAAGTCCATTTATATTTCAAACATCACAGTCAGAAAACACTATAACTACTACAAGTCCCAAATATTTTAAGGGAAGAGAATAATCACATAGTATTTTATTGTTGTATTTGTCTTCTTCCAGTCCCAAATGTTGTGCACCAATGCTATATTCATTATTAAAAAAAATAAATATTAAGGAAGGGGGAAGAAAACTCTACTTCAGGGGTCATCTAAGAATTGAAAGTTTCAAAATCTTCCATTACCCACACCCACCTATACTTGCATTCTTTTATTTGTTTTAAGCAGGCCTGCACATAGTATCAGAAAATTATAGATCACACATGGGCTAGAGATCAGAAACCACAACTAAAAACAAAGTTTCAAGAAACCAAATACTTAAATCTGAAATGTATAACGATGACAATCAAAATACCTACACTCATAGACATGGGCTACATGAGTAAGCACTGTGAATAACACAAGACGAAATTTTACAGTCCTGTTCTTATTCATTTGTTTTGACTGCCTTTCCCAAATTCAGAGTTCTTCTCTCGATTCCCAAACACCTATTTACAGCAAATGTCAAACCAAAGAAAATTTAATTTTCAACCAACCTGTTCCTAAGTCGCTTCAAAAAAATCCAAGCCAATGTAAAACTTTATTGCACAGCAAAACTAGGTCATTAATAGGAAAATAAACGAAAACTTCAAAAATTCGTAAATCAACATAAATCCAAGACCCAGAAGTGAAATCGGAATTAAAAAAAAACAAATGAAATTGCATAAATGGCATGAGCCGTGTTCTTGTAAGTTGGAAGATTGGAGACTTGACCATCGTGGAATTGAAATCTCGTACTTACGTCCAGAGAATGCATCGCGGTGTTGGTGGCAAACCCAACGACGGCGCCGACGATGGCGGTCTCCCACTGCCACTACGACGCCGACGACATTTGAATTGCACGGCAGATTGAAAAGCTTGATCTTCGGACTACAGCGGCAGCCGCCAAGTCTGAAACAACCACTGTTACCTTGTGCTGTGATTTTTCTCTGCAGTCGCTCATATAACGCCGTCGTTTCAGGATTTCAAATCGAAACCACTAGGTCTTGTACCAATAACGAACGACTACCGAGGGAAGAGAGATGTGACGACGAAGTTGGGTTATCGATTTCGACGGAGGAGTCTCTCTTGGAGGTCTGGTCGAGGGCAAGAGTTGAGGGAGGGAGAGAGACGAGGAAAATTAGGAAGATTTGAGAGTTGAAAGGGCACCACGAGAGTTCAGGAGTGAATGTTTTCGAGCTAGCGTGTTTCGACAAAAGAAAAAAGAGCTAGCGTGTTTTAAAAGATGACGTTTGTAATTTACAAGCGTCGTGTTTTAAAACCCAAATTGATTTTAGTGGTGTATAAGATGGTATACTACGACAGTTTTGTAAAACCGTCGTCTTTTAAAATACAACGACGGTTTTTAAGCTTAACCGTCGTCTATTTAGTGTCGTGGTTTTACAATTTTGTAGTAGTGTTCACTCTATAATTTATATATCAAACTTGACTGAAGCTAAATCAAACAGTAATAATACACTAATACAAGGCTAAAACGTAATTTTTTAAAGAATTTTTGGGCTTAATTTTTTTTTTTTTTTTTTTTTTTTTTTTTTTTTTTTTTTTTTTTTTTTTTTTTTTTTTTTTTTTTTTTTTTTTTTTTTTTTTTTTTTTTTTTTTTTTTTTTTTTTTTTTTTTTTTTTTTTTTTTTTTTTTTTTTTTTTTTTTTTTTTTTTTTTTTTTTTTTTTTTTTTTTTTTTTTTTTTTTTTTTTTTTTTTTTTTTTTTTTTTTTTTTTTTTTTTTTTTTTTTTTTTTTTTTTTTTTTTTTTTTTTTTTTTTTTTTTTTTTTTTTTTTTTTTTTTTTTTTTTTTTTTTTTTTTTTTTTTTTTTTTTTTTTTTTTTTTTTTTTTTTTTTTTTTTTTTTTTTTTTTTTTTTTTTTTTTTTTTTTTTTTTTTTTTTTTTTTTTTTTTTTTTTTTTAACAAATAATAAATCTTATTGGTATATACATAATTGCAAAAAAGATTTAAATAAAGTTGTAAAAAAATTACAACAAAAAAAGCAATACATAAGTCAAATTTGGCGTGGACCCATATCGGCCCGTTTAGTGGCCCGACACGAGCACGGCTTGAGCCCATATAGACTCGGGCCGGGATTGATGATTTTCCTAAATGGGCGGGCCCAACACAACCCGTTTATTAAATGGGCTGACAATAAATAGACCGGACCGGCCCAACACAACCCGTTTGACACCTCTTGGTACCACCCACCACCTCCACCACATCTCTCCTCTCATTCTCTCATTCTTAGGTTTTGGTTTTTGAGTGGTCAAACCAAAAATAAAGAAGTCTAAGCTTCTGTTAGGCATGAACTCGTAGATCAACATTTGAATATTAATGACATTGAATTGCAACAAATATGTTCAAAGTATATTCAGTATAATCAATGGACAAAACAACAATTTCAAATATATAGGGGTATTTTGGGAATCTAAAAATTACAATAAATCAATATTGAGCTTGATAAGGTAACTTGATGAGGTGGATTCTAGTCATGGGTTTTTACATATAAAAAATGAGTTTTATTAATAGAAACACAAAATAATGGATTGCAGTTAAGGAAAATTAAATTTGGAGGGGGGGTAAGCCAAATTTACTATAAATAGAACATTATACAACTTGATTGCCATCCCAGTTTGTATCCATTACCATGCCATCGGCTATTAGTGAGATTAACTAAGGACTGACTAGTAGATGCATAATACACTACTACAAAAGTACCATAAGTGATAAAAAAAGAAGTGAACTAATGAAGAAGGTTTTTGAGTGGTCAAACAATAAATAAAGAAGTCTAAGGTGTTGTTAGGCATGAACTCGTAGATCAGCTCATTTCATCTTCTCGATTGCAGCATCCCAGAAGCTTCACTATATTCCTGTGTGTTGAAGTTTAACCTCATTCTTCAACTCATTGAGTCCTTGTCTATTTTTTTTTTTTTTTTTTTTTTTTTTTTTTTTTTTTTTTTTTTTTTTTTTTTTTTTTTTTTTTTTTTTTTTTTTTTTTTTTTTTTTTTTTTTTTTTTTTTTTTTTTTTTTTTTTTTTTTTTTTTTTTTTTTTTTTTTTTTTTTTTTTTTTTTTTTTTTTTTTTTTTTTTTTTTTTTTTTTTTTTTTTTTTTTTTTTTTTTTTTTTTTTTTTTTTTTTTTTTTTTTTTTTTTTTTTTTTTTTTTTTTTTTTTTTTTTTTTTTTTTTTTTTTTTTTTTTTTTTTTTTTTTTTTTTTTTTTTTTTTTTTTTTTTTTTTTTTTTTTTTTTTTTTTTTTTTTTTTTTTTTTTTTTTTTTTTTTTTTTTTTTTTTTTTTTTTTTTTTTTTTTTTTTTTTCCCTGTACGAAAACTTCCTCGGGCCAGTTCCCTTTTCAAATTCATCGTCAATTAAACAGTTGACAACAGGATTCTCACCACTTTCCCCTACTGCTTTTCTCTTCCGAAAGATGAACATGAAGCAAACCAAAGCCAATCCACCAGCCAAGATAATACATCCACCAACACCCAACCCAATGGGGGAGTCGTATGTTGGAAGTTCCTGACTTGGTATTAGCACTGGGACTTGGCGGAGGAAATACTTGTGTGTTGTTCGTTGTAGTCTCATCAACCAGAGCTGTTGATGTGAAATTCCATGAGACGATCCTATGCACAGCAATGTCATTACCCGTTGCAGCAGAGAATCCAACAATGACCCAATCCGGCAAGTATTGTTTCAAAACCATGTAAGAAAGATATCTGATTATCTCCACTTGGGTGCCATTTGTACCATTTAGAAAACTGGTAAAGGCAACACTGAGATTTTTTGAGCTAGAGTTATAACTAATCCAAGCGCTGTTTAGTTTTGCTTTGTCAATACCACCATTCCAAGTCATGGTACTATTAGACTTGAGAGAGTTGATGTCGATTGCTACATGATCGTTCGGGGGATCCTGGATGCTTGGCTGTGTATTCTGGAAGATATCAAACTCCACTGCCACAAATGGATACTGAGTTCTAGACATGCCTCCTGGCAAGTCTTCAACGGGGAGGCCAAGTTTGCCACCACCCCCTATTGCAATGTTGACTAAGGATCCATTTGGGGCTAGGAAGAACACCAACCCGTCACCGTGGCCGGAATCAATGATGAAAGTAAAATGTGTGGTGAAATCGGCCAGTTTTCCGGTGGCTTTTTCCTGGAGAAGGAACGGTTTGTGGTAGGTTGCTCGACCGATGTTCTCAGCCACTTTAAGCTCTTCGGGTTTTTTGGTGAGTTTGATGAATTTGCCATCAATATATGCATCTCCCTCTAGGGATATGTTGGTGGTGCCATTGGAAAAGCTGGGGAAGTTGAAGGTTAAAGGAGTTGCAGAAGGGTTTAACAGAAACAAGAGCAGAAGGAAGGATAGAAGCTTTGGCGAGTGGAGTTGGATGATCCCGTCCCCGAAGTTATTAGCAACCATTTCGAACTTTTTGTACGTGCAGAATTGTCATCTAATGGTTGTGCAGATCGTATGCAAGGTTTCCTAGGCGCTTAAAACAGTGGTGGTGTTTACCAATTCAAACCAGAACCAGCAGCCATTGTATTTTTAGTCTGAGTTATGGCATATATTTATCTATGTTCAGTTGCCGGGAAGCATCCTCTTATATATGTTAATGGTTCAATTTCAAGTCAATTAATTTCCACTTGGGTAATGGCAGACCTTGGTGCACTCACTGTTCTTACAGGCTCATTTGGTGTGGGAATCTTCATTTTTATTATTTTGGGTGCCAATGCATTGACATTGAGAAGGCTCTTGGAAATGATTAAAATTCAGATTTGAGAGTCGCAATATCTTGCTGACGATGGCTAATCACCCGATTCAAATGTTTCTACGTGTACCTCTAGGTTTTATGTAACAAATTATAGAACTGAACAAGTGACTAAAATTATATGGGCAAATGCTGTACAACTGTATACTTTTACCATTTTGTTTTTTATTAATGGTGTGCTGGTTTACTTGGATAATTAAGGTTGCAAGAAATCTCTTCCATTTTATTTTAATTTTGATTTTTATATAGCCTTTTTAATGTGGGTCTTCCCAATCAGTACCTTAGTTAGTGGTACTTTGATAGTTTGAATATTTTGTATAATGTGGAATTATTCCACAATCACCGACTAATTAATCTAGTCATTAGCGATTTGGACTCAATGTACCACTCAATTTGGGCCTAGGAGAGTGCTATTCTTGCTTTCGACGCTTAAATTGAATTGAAATCACCTCTTCTTACAAGGAATGAGAGAAGTTATGAACCGGGGAACTTAAAAATTTGGGAATAAGGAATTGGAATAAGATCAACTACTACCCCTACTAGTTGATTTAAATTCCTGATTTTGGGACAGACATGAACTTAACCAAGTTTGTTTAAATGGATAAAAGAGATATGTTGAGAGAGAAATTTCGTATGCGACCGTAACGTCTAAATTAAATGGCTTGATACTCATCATATGTCCATGTCAATATATTAAAAAAAAGACGTTGAAGGGTTGGCCCTAATGTTGGATCCCTTCACACGTGAAATATATTTTATCTAATAAGAATTAAAAATAAATAAAAATTATATGCACTAACAACTAGACAAGACAGAGTTTGCTGAAGCATGGACAAATTTATACCACCGCGCAGCTCACAATTTTTTTAATTAAATTTTTTATCATATGGTATGGTGTTTTTCTTACTCCTTTCTAGAAGTGATAATGTGATGTAATCAAGATTTGTGGTATTTTTAAGTGAATTTCATGGTCCTTTCCTCTCCATCTTATTTAAGGTTTGAGTGTTAATGTGGGTTTTCCTAATTTTCAATTGACTAATTCTGCTTTAGGTGTGGGTTAAACTTTAAACTAAAAAAAAATGAAAGGAAACGGATCAACACTATTGAAATTTTAATTATCTGACATGGACCTTGTAGGGGGGTTCGTTATGTTAGTTAAGTCAGTTAGTTTGGACAGCAACCCTATTATTTCCTTCTTCGGCAATGTGACAATATCAGCATTATCACAAAAATTAACTTAGGTCTGCTGTGCGCACTGAAGTATTGTTGATGGTCACAAATATTGTTGTAGAAGATGGGGTGATTGAGAGGACTTGGTGATTTCCTGAGGACTCGGTTTGACCTCTTTCAGAACTAATAGTTTCACTGAGCAATGTTGAAAGTAATCTAGGAGGAGCAAAATATGTGGCCACCGGCATCTTTGATGGGAGAATGGCCATGGAACTTCCAAGTTAAGCACTTGAATCGTTTGTTGTATTGAAGGTCTGAATTTATAATCCGGGTGTGCACACCACAATCCAACAATCATCAAGCACTCCATTGATTTCTCATCAAACTCTCCATTGAGTTTTGGATCGGCTGCTGGAATAACTTTTCCTTCTCCATAAAGCTCCCAAACCCACTTCACCAGTTCGATTTGGCTACTTTCTAAGTTGAAATCGATCGGTTTTCTCCCGCAGGCTATTTCCAAAGCAACAACTCCAAAGCTGTAGACATCTGATTCTTTGCTAGCTTTTCCTGTAGTAACATATTCTAGAGCCATGTAGCCTCTCGTTCCAGCTATAATTGTTGTTTGTGACTTTTCTCCATGGTCCACGAGTCGAGCTAACCCGAAATCCCCGAGTTTCACATTGAAAATTTGAATCCAACATAACATTGCTAGACTTGATATCCCTGTGCAGCACACACTGTTCCCATTCTTCATGTAGATAAAATAAGGCAGAGGCCAAACCTTGATCAATATTGTATCTTACCTGCCAAGTTAACAACCTTTTTTCTTTCAAATATGGGAATCTAAACTACCATTGGGCATGAAGTCATAGACGAGCTTTTTTCGTGGCACCAACCAGTGAGTTGCACCAAATTTCGATGCCTAAGTAACTGATAATCCTCACTTCTGATGCATACTCCTTCAAACCTTGCTTAGATCCGCTGGATATCCTCTTAACCGCAACATATGAGTTTAAGTCTTTTATGAAGCCTCTATAAACCCCACCAAATCCACCCTCTCCCAGCTTCTCTCCCTCCTCAAAATTACTCGTTCCTCGAACCAACTCACGGTATGAAAACTTCCTAGGGCCAGTCCCCTTTTCAAGTTTCTCATGAATCAGTTTATTAACAAAAGTGTTCTCATCACGTTCCCCTGCTGCTCTCCTTCTCTTCCAAAAGGTGAACCAAGCCAAACACAAGCCACCAACCAAGATTAGAAAACCACCGCCACCCAACCAATGAAGAGTCTGATATTGGCACTTCCTGATGACTTAGGTTTAACAGCGGGGATTGACGCAGGAAATACTGGTTTGTTGCCCTCATCAACCAGAGCAGTTGAAGTAAAATTCCATGAGAGGATCTTATGCACAGCAAGCTCATTACTGGTTGCAGCAGAGAACCCAACAATGACCCAATCCGGCAAGTATTGTTTTAGATCAACAATGTAAGAAAGATAACTGGTTATCTCCACTTGGATACCATTTGTATCATTTAGAAAACTCGTGAAGGCAACGCTAAGATTTTTTGAGCTAGAGTTGTAACTAATCCATACATTGTTTTGTTTTCCTTGTGCAATATCGTCATTCCAAGGCATGGTAATATTTGACTTGAGAGAGTTGATGTCGATTCCCACATGGATCCCTGCTGGTTGGCACTGTGTTCTTGAAGATATCAAACTCCACAGCCACAAACGGATACTCTGCCTTTGTGGTGTCTCCCGGCAGATCGTCGACAGGTAGGCCAAGCTTGCCACCACTTCCTGCTGCGCTGTTGAGTAAGGTTCCATTTGGCGCTACGAAGAACACCATCCCATCCGCACGACCATTATCAATCCTGAATGTGAAATTTGTGGTGAAGTCCTCAAATTTTCCGGTTGCATTTTCTCGGAGGAGAAAGGGTTCATGGTAGGTGGCTCTACCGACGTTCCCAGTTTCTCCGGGGTTTCTGGTGAGTCTGATGAGGTTGCTATCAATATCAGCAACGCCCTTGAGGGATTGGTGGTGACATTGGAAAAGCTTGGGAAGTTGAAGGTTAAAGGAGTTGCAGAAGGGTTGAACAGAAAAAAGAGAAGAAGCAGGAACATAAGCTTTGGTGAGTGTAGTGGGATGATCCCTTTCCCATGATTATTGAAAACCATGTCTAACTTTTTTTGGAGACTGTTTGCAGAATAATCATATCTTATTATATAGTGCAGAATGCAGATCACTTTAGAGTTAAAGCTACCAAGGTGCTGTTCTTGTTTTTATTTTTATTATTATTTTTATTTAATCTTTCTTTGCTTGTTGGGAAGGACGTTAAGGTTCCACTCCAAAACCAATTGGGATGAGGGGAGTAGCCCAACTCCTTATAAACTCAGGCTAAGTCCCTTAACTTTTAAACACTCTCAACACGCCCTGGCACGTGTGGTGAACTTTCAAGCTTAACATGTGGACAACATATATTGGGTGACGTGGGAGCACGTGTGGCTATTGGGCCCAACACGTGAATCCTTACTCTGATACCATGTTAAATTCAGAGAGATGGGTCAGTGACCCACTATTAACAACACTGATATTGTCCCCAACTTTACCACCTACAAAGCCCAATACGTGTGAGTTTTTATCACAAAAGGCCTCGATGTTATTAGTAGTAGAACCATTCATTATATTTTGTATTTTATTTAGTCAAGTTTCCGACGTGGCACTCATATTCTTAAACACGCCCTCTCATGTGAGACCGCCATATAGTAGGCCACACGTGGAGCCAAGTCCACATAGGAGTCAAACATTCAAGCCTAACACGTGATCACCACATATTAGGTAAGGGTAAACATTCAAGTCCAACATGTGAATACCACATGTTGGGTAAGGGGTAAGGATAAAGGCCCAGTAATTTAGGCCCAATCAATTAACTCGCTTTGATACCTAACTTTTCAATGTGGGACAAACACTCTCAACATGCTAGGCTTTTGCACCCTTGTAAACTAGAAAAAATATCCTTGGACGACCCCAGTCTTATAATTCATTGTTGCTCTACTGAAATATGTAATTCTCGATGAGGAAGGTGTCACGTCGAAAATCACTGCTGCATATAAAGACTGGTTAAAGGTTGACAAAGCATTGCTGAGCTTGTTGATTGCAACACTTTCTGATGAGGCGATTGAATACATGATCAGATCTAAGACTACCTTTGAGGCGTGGATGAATTTGACGGATCGATATGCTACTGTGTCTAGTGCTTGTGTGAATCTCTTGAAGACAAAGCTTCAAACTGCTAAAAAAGGCACTGATTCTATCGAGAAGTTCTTACTTCACCTCAAACATGTCCGTGATCAGCTTGCTGTTGTTGGTATTTCTATCTCTAATGATGATTTGATGATTGTGGTGTTGAATGGCCTTTCTTCTAAGTATGACATGATCAAGACTGTGCTTATTGCTCGTGATGCTACAATTTCTTTCAAAGATTTCCGTAATCATTTGCTTGCAGCTAAATAAGCTGCTGATTCTCGTGTGATCTTGCCCTATTCTCCTATGGTTGGTGTGTTCAACCATTCTTCTACCTCTACTAGATCTACCTCTTCAACATCATCTCCTAAACTCTCTGGTGCTGGTATTCTCCCTACTCATTCAGTGACTTCCTTTTCTCATACTGGTTATATGAGTTCACATACACATGGTTGATCGTTTGGTTCCTTTGGTAGCTAAGGCAAATTCTGGTTCTAGGCCATTTGGTCGTGTTTTTCCGAATAATTTTTAGGGTCCTCCTAAGTCTGGTATTGTTCTAGAATGCCAAATTTTCAGTAAGAGAGGTCACATAGCCACAAATTGCTTTTTTCGCAATTTTACCCCATCTCAAGGCTCCTCTGTTACTGAGTGTCAAATTTGTGGCAAGAAGGGCCATGGTGCATTGGTTGCTATCATTGTTCCAACTATGCCTATCAGGGATCTCCTCCACCATCCTCTCTCATTGCTATGGCTGCTCAAGCTTCTTTCTCTCCTGATGCAGTGTGGATTACTGATAGTGGAGCGAGTCACCATATGGTGCCACACATGACTACAATGCATAATGTTACACCTTGTAATTCAGCTGAGAATGTTGTAGTGGGCAGTGGGGAAGGTTTGCACATTGCTCATATTGGCAAATCTCATATTCCCACTGTCTCTTCTTCTCTTAATCTCTTTAAAGTTTTATATGTGCCTCAGCTTACAGCAAATCTCTTATTTGTGTATAAGCTATGTCATGATAATAATTGTCGCATGATCTTTGATCAATCTGGATTTTTAATACATGACAAGGTCACCAACAAGATGCTTCTCCAGGGCAAGAGTGATCATGGCTTGTATCTTATTCCTACCTCTTTATCCTCAGTTGGTTCAAGTAGTAGTAGTTCAGTTGGTGCTAGCAGTCGAGCCTCTCAGTCATAGACAAGTGCTCAGCAAGTTCGTTCATCTCTTTGGCATAGTAGGTTTGGACATCCTACAAATGAAGTTGTTCAACTCATGCTTACAGCCGCTCAAATCCCAGTGGTATCTGATTCAATTTCTAAGTTGTGTTCTTTTTGTCTAGGTGGTAAAATGCATTGGTTACCATTTTCTAGTCATCACAACAAGGCATCTTCTCCATTTTATCGACTCCACAGTGATGTTTGGGGTCCTTCTCCATGTAAATCAATTTCTGGCTATCGATATGTAGTGTCTTTCATTGATGAATACACTAGTTTTATGTGGTTATATCCTCTCTATGCCAAGTCCGAGGTGTTTACAATGTTTACCAGATTGGTTGCTTTTCTTGCAACTCATTTTAATGCCTCTATTAAGTTTTTTCAAAGTGATGGTGGTGGTGAATATATGAGTACTCAATTCAATGAGTTTCTCGCATCTCATGGGATTGTCCATCAAGTTTCCTGCCCTTACACACCTCGACAGAATGGACTCATTGAGCGAAAGAATCGCCACTTATTAGAAACCTCTCTAACCCTTTTACAAGAAGCTTCTATGCATGATCAGTTTTGGTTTCATGCTATATGGCTTATTCTGCCTATTTTATTAATCGCATGCCTAGTAAAGTGGTTTCCAATCAATCTCCATATTATAGGCTTCTTCCTAAGCATCCTGATATAAGACACCTCCGTGTCTTTGGTACTGCTGTCTATCCATGTTTGAGAGCCACTAATACTACTAAGCTTCAACCTCGCACTGTTATGTGTGTTTTCATGGGATATCTACTGGGCTATAAAGGAGTGTTATGTTACAATTGTTCTAATGGCAAATTCTTGGTGTCTTGAAATGTTATTCATGATGAAACTATTTTTCCTTTCCAGCACCGCATATCTTTTACTACCTCACCTTGTTATACTTCAACAGTTCTATCACCTATTCCTGTGATGTTAACTACATCTGCTACATCACCTTCAGTGCCCTTCTCATAGTTCCTCTAGTGCTCCTAGTATTACACCTCCAGAATTGTTAGCCTCTCTTGAGCTGTTTCAGCCTGAGCCTTATATAGTAGTTCTGTCTGAGCAGCAATTACAAGTTCTTCTACCTTCTATTGATTCTATTAGTTCTTTTTCTACTGCTTCTGTGCAACCAAGTGTTCCTGTTGAATCTGCTCCGGCAGGCCCTTCTCATTCTATGCTTACTTCGTCCAAAACTGGGGTTGTTAAAAGAAGGATTTTTCTGACTACAAGTGTTACACTAGTATCCATGATACTACTTTTATGGATGAACCTTCTAGCTACCGTGTTGCTTATTTTTCGGCTGATTGGACCAAGGCCATAGACGAAGAGATTTCAGCATTATAGATGCAAGGTACCTGGGTGTTGGTACCTCCTCCTACTAATACAAACATTGTTGGTTCAAAATGGATTTATAAGTTAAAAAGGCACTCCGATGGTTCCATTTCTAGATATAAAGCACGCCTAGTAGCTCAGGGTTTTAGTCAAGAGGCTGGTTTTGATTATGAAGAGACATTTAGCCCAGTTGTTCGTCATGCTACAATTTGTATCATTCTCAGTTTGGCAGCTTACAATCATTGGTCTCTTTGCCAATTGGATGTAAAGAACACCTTCTTACATGGGGAACTTGAGGAGGAAATATACATGAAGCAACCTCAGTGGTTCGAAGATCCTCACCATCCTGACTATGTTTGTAAACTTCAGAAGTCATTGTATGGTTTAAAACAGGTTCCAAGAGCCTGGAATGCTAAGTTCACTGGTTTTCTTCCATCGCTTGGGTTCAAGATGTCTCACAGTGATTCCACTTTATTCTTGAAGTATTCAGACTCCTGCTATTGTGGTTTTGTTACTCTATGTCGACGATATTATTCTCACTGGATCAAATCCACATATCGTTCAGGAGGTAATCACAGTGCTTGGATCAGTGTTTGAGAGCTTAAGGATATGGGCACACTTACTTATTTCCTTGGTCTTCAGATTTCCTATAAGTTTAATGGAGACATCTTTGTCCGTCAACAAAAATATGCTACTGATTTGCTAGGAAAGTCTGGGATGAGTTCTTGTAAACCCTGTCCTACACCTCTGAAACCTCACACAGAGATTTTACTCACTGATGGTATCCCTTTGAAGGATCCAAAACAGTATTGTAGCATTGACATTGCCCATTTTGTTAATATGGTCGGTCAATTCATGAATAATCCTACCAAGCATCATTTCTTCTTGGTGAAATGCATTATGCGTTATCTACCGGGCACACTCAGCTATGGTTTTACTTATTCTGCTTCAGGTCCCTTACTCTTATCTGCTTATAGCGATTCTGACTGGGCGGGTGATATTAACACTTGCAGATTAACACTTGCATACAATTGAAAGATAAATTCCAAAAGATTTTAATATAGTTTATCACAATTATTAACTTAGAATTATCGTGGAGACTGAAATGTTGTTGATGGAGACGAATTTTGTTGTAGAAGATGAGGTGAATTGTGAGGAATCGGTGTTATAACCGTGTCGTGAGACTCAGTTTGACCTCTTTCAGAACTAGTAGTGTCAGTGGTCACCGTGGAGAGTGATGTTGGAGGAGCAAAATAGGTGGCCACCGGCATCTTGGATGGGAGAATGGGCAATGGAACTTCAAAGTTAAGCACTTGGATCGCTTGTTGTATTGAAGGTCTGAATTTATAATCCGGATGAGCACACCACAACCCAACAATCATCAAGCACTCCATTTGTTTCTCATCAAAATGTCCACAAAGTTTTGGATCGGCTGCTTGAATAAGTGTGCCTTCTCCATAAAGCTCCCACACCCACTCCACCATCTCGATTTGGCTACTTTCTAAACTGAGATCGATGGGTTTCCTCCCGCAAGCAATTTCCAAAGCAACAACTCCAAAGCTGTAGATATCGGATTCCTTGCTAGCCTTTCCTGTGGTGACGTATTCCAGAGCCATATAACCCCTGGTTCCAGCCACATTTGTTGTTGGTGACTGTTTTCCATGGTCCACAAGTCGAGCTAACCCAAAATCACCAAGTTTCACATTGAAATGTGAATCCAACATAACGTTACTGGACTTGATATCCCTGTGGAGAACACACTGTTCCCATTCTTCATGTAGATAAAATAACCCAGAGGCCAATCCTTGAGCAATACTGTATCTTATCTGCCAAGTTAACAAGCCATTTTCTTTGAAAAGATGAGAATCTAAACTGCCATTGGGCATGAACTCATAGACAAGCATGAGTTCTTTTTTTTCATGGCACCAACCAATGAGTTGCACCAAATTCCGATGCCTTAGTCTACTAATGATCCTCACTTCTGATGCATACTCTTTCAATCCTTGTTTAGATCCGCTGGATATCCTCTTAACAGCAACATGTGTGTTTAAGTCTTTTATGAAGCCTTTATACACGCCTCCAAATCCTCCCTCTCCAAGCTTCTCTCCCTCCTCAAAATTTTTCGTTGCTCGAGCCAACTCTCGGTAGGAAAACTTCCTTGGGCCGGTGCCCTTTTCAAGTTCCTCATGAATAAAGCTATTAGCGAAAGGATTCTCATCATGTTCCCCTGCTGCTTTCCCCTTCTTCCAAAAATGAGCCAAACCAAACCCAACCCAGCAACCAAGATTAGGCACCCACCCACACCCAAACCAATTGGGAGTCCTATATTGGCATTCGCATTTCCTGACTTGGGTTCATCAACCAAAGCAGTTGAAGTAAAATTCCATGAGACAATCTTAAACACAGCAACTTTATCACCCGTTGCAGCAGAGAACCCAACGATGGCCCAATCCGGCAAGTATTGTTTCAGATCAACCACGTAAGAAAGATGATTGATTACCTCAACTTGGGTACCATTTGTACCATTTTGGAAACTTGTGAAGGCAACACTGATATTTTTTGAGCTAGAGTTATAACTAATCCGAGCACTGTTTTGTTTTCCTTCCTCAATACCACCATTCCAAGGCCTGGTAATATTAGACTTGAGAGAGTTGACGTCGATACCAACATGATCGCCGTCAGGATCCTTGATGGTTGGCACTGGATTTTTGAAGATATCAAACTCCACTGCCATAAATGGATACTGAGTCCTTGAGATGTCGCCAGGGAGGTCTTCGACAGGGAGGCCGAGCTTGCCACCACCTCCTGCTGCGCTGTTGACTAAGGATCCGTTTGGCGCAACAAAGAACACCATCCCATCTGCGTGGCCTGAATCTATTATGAATGCGAAAGTTGTGGTAAAATCAGCTAGTTTTCCAGTGGCATTTTCCCGGAGGAGGAAGGGCTCAGGATAGGTGGCTCGACCGACGTTCCCATTTTCTCCAGAGATTCTGGTGAGTCTGATGAGGTTGCTATCAATATCAGCAACACCCTCGAGGGATATGTTGGTGGTGGCATTGGAAAAGCTTGGGAAGTTGAAGGTTAAAGGAGTTGCAAGAGGGCTGAACAGAAAGAAGAGGAGGGATAGAAGAAGGTTTAGTGATTGGAGTGCCATATCTAACCTTTTTGCAGAGACTTTAGCAAACAAGTAATTGAGGTTTTAGCTTGACATGGTATGTTTAGTTGCATTGAGTTTTCAGTTTGACGTGGTATGCAATAAAAATATACACATGAAATTTAGACTCTTTGAATCTTGTATTTTGTTGTGTCATAGGTTTTGTTGTCTGCAAAGGTGACTTTTCTTAATTCATTGTTATATTCAAGTAGTGGTTGGTCAATATTTAAGAGAGTGGTGATGGTGGGAGACCAATGACCATGGTGGTGACGGTCTAAAATTTCTTTGTCTAATTTAAAGAATGGCCAGCTCATGTGGTGTGGCAGGTGAAATTTTTTTGTCCAAATTCAGTGACATTTGACATTGAGAAGGCTCGAGTCAGATTTTTTGGAGTGTTGATAATCAATGAGATTTCTTGTAGAGGAAGTATTTGAGAAAATGCAACAAAGAAAAAACAGATTGTGTGTGAGTGTGAGAGAGAGAGAGTGTGACTCAGCACCAAATAGCAATCAATTGCAACGTACACACTAATTTCATTTCTAACAGATTGTACAGCTGAGAATATGATCTCAGCCTTACAATTTAGTGTCAGCAATCTGAGCTGCACACTTGGCATGAGCTAGGACCTATGAGACCTACACTCTAGAATAAAATCTAAGCCTTACATCTGTCAACTAACAAACTTAAACGAGTAACAGATTTACATTTCAACATTCCCTTTTAAATTGTTAACTGGTTTAACACCAAGCAATCCTCTCAAGTAGTTGAATCAATCTAGGCAGAGCTTTAGTGAAGATGTCAGCCACTTGTTCTTCAGACTTGCAATATTTTTGATAGGACCTGCCCCGAATTTCCCGGAACTAGAGGCGAATCCTGTGGAATTCCCGACATCACCCGATGTCGGGCCTACTCACTAAAACTACATCCCCTTTTGCCAAATGGGAATAAGGGCACGAGACTTTCTACCAAAAATTCGGCAGAGTCTCCCCTGTAAATGGAACATTTCTCAAAATTTCAACCTGCATAAAACACATTTAATATCACCAACTGGCAGCACGCATAATGTAATAACATGCAATTCACATAAATGGCCTCCAGCCTTCCGATAATTCAAAGCAAACTACCAACACATTCCTTAAGCCAAATAATAAATTCAAACGCACTAAAGAAAGCCAAAAGTAATTTATATCATTTAACTTTCCCAATTATCCAAAATGTGAGGTTTTAACCTCCTATCACAAGCACAAGTAGTTTAAGGCCCCAGCCTAAATCATACAACAATCCAAAATGAGTTTTCACATCTAACTCAATCCAGTCTCAAAATTTAGCCCGCGGCTGCATCTAGGCGCTATCCTAGACTGCCTACGTACCCTTACTAAGGGATCAAGCCACACGTAGTTCTTTCACTAAAACCCTTTTACTTTAAATCACAACTCACCAAATACTCACAAAATCTCCCCATACGCCGGAACATCCAAAGTCACGTATGGGGCCTGTCCGCACGCCGGATAATCCTACGACACGTGGGACCTCATCATCATATCACAATATCTCCCCATATGCCGGTACTACCATCGCCACATATGGGGTATGTCAACACGCCGGCTACTCCTACGACACGTGCGACCTCACAAGCATATCATAATATCTCCCATATGTCGGTACTACCAGCGCCACATATGGGGTCTGTCAACACGCCGGCTACTCCTACGACACGTGCGACCTCAACACAATATCACAATATCCCCCATATGCCAGCACTACCAGTGCCATATATGGGGTTTGTCAACACGCCGGCTACTCCTACGACACGTGCGACCTCACAAGAATATCAATATCTCCCCATATGCCGGTACTACCAATGCCACATATGGGGTCTGTCAACACGCCTGCTACTCCAACAACACGTGCGACCTCACAAGCATATCACATAATCTCCCAATATGCCGGTACTACCAACGCCACATATGGGGTCTGTCAACACTATTCCTACGACACGTGCGACCTCACAAGCACAGGACGGTACTTATACGGGGTAATCAAACACAATTTATATATAGCATCCGATAATCCCCCCAATTTAGAACCATAAACTAATATCCTAATCCCACATAACCAACATACAATCAAGGCCTGTCACTACGGTCATTTTAAATCTTCCTAGGACGGTAACACTACCTAGGAAGTCTCACGGTCAACCCATGGTCAAACTACCCAACCTTGGTCAAACGGGCCCACGGAGTCCACGACCTCCAAATTCTGATATGAAAGTTCCTATAGGTTCTACGAGGTCTAGGACACATGTCCTGCAAGTTTGGTCCAGATTGGACAGTCGGATCGCTCACGATCGCAAGATCGGACGGTTACTGAAACCCTAGCCCTAGGGTTGGCATTTCCGGAGTATCCGGGACTCCGTTTTACGATTCGTCAAATCCTACACGATTCTAAGGATGTCTAGATTAACATATAATAAATTCAAGCCCATCCAACGGCTCAAACCTATCGAACCCGGATAACGAGTAATAGGCGATATCCGTTCGAGACTCAAACGGTATCCATATTGAAATCCGAGCACACCTACGCGCTCGTGTGGACCAGGAGATCACTTTAGGACCTAATGCCCTTTTTCTACAGTGCCCACGCGCCGCCACACGTAGGTGTCCAAAGCGATAACTCGTCGCCGGAAAAACCTAAAATCACGGCTCAAGACTCCTACCCTAGGTATAACACCCTATTTGGAGTCACTTTTGTTCTTAGGCATACCCCAAAAACTGACTGGAAGTGGCCGGAATCTCATCCCGAAATCAGGCTGAAATCCAATTCGAAAATCAGACATCCTAGGCGAAAAATTGATGCAATCCTAACCAACCATCAGCTAGAACATGAAGAATGGATGAATTTCCATACCTGGATTGCCAAAATTGGCGGCCGGAGGAGAGAGATTGAGCCAGCGAAGTTTCGAGCGAAAACCGGTCTGAAACTAGCGTTTTCCGACAGCTGAAGCGGCGGCCGATGTCGGGGAAGGGCCAGGTCTTGACGGCGGGGCTGAGTCGGTCTTTTTGGCACAGGTCCCGTTCGCTGCCATGGACGGTGGCCGGAGTTTCGAAGAGAGAGAGGGAGAGGCTGCCGTCGGGGTGAGAGAGAGAGCACGCGGAGGAGAGAGAGAAACGCGAGGGCTTTTCTAACATTTATCAAAAACTCATTTCGAAATATTTACGATTTTGCCACTGGTGATGTTTTGCTCGTAACTTCTTCGTTATAGCTCCGATTTAAGCCCACTACGTGTCTATGGACTCATCTCACCGTGCTCTACGCAACGGTATGTTCGAAATCCCAAATTGCTTCCCGGTCAAAAAGTCAATTAAAACTAATATAATATTCTAGGGGCAAAATGGTCTTTTATCATGTTTAATTAATAATTAAACATTTATTTAGGACTGGGTCGTTACAATTTTAAATCCACTACTCTATCTTGCAAAGCATCTCGAATGAAATGATACCTTCTGTTGATGTGCTTGGTTTTCTGATGAAAAACAAGATTTCTTGTCATTGCAATGGCAGAGGTATTATCTACCATTAATGGAGTTGCCTCAGTCTGCAATTCTCCAAAGTCTTTAAGAACAAACCTCAACCATATAGCTTGTGTAGTAGCTTCACTTGCACTTACATACTCAGCTTCAGTTGTGGAGAGAGCAACATTATGTTGCTTGACTGATGCCCAAGAGAATACTCCACTGCCAAAAGAGAAAGCATAACCTGAAGTGCTTCTCATATCATCTTGACTTCCACTCCAGTCACTATCACAATACCCAATTAGGACAACTTCTTTTCCTTTATGATATTCTATACCAAAATCAATTGTGCCTTGGATATACCTCAGCACCCTCTTAGCCGTTCCATAGTGTTTCTTAGTTGGGCAATGCATGAACCTAGCTAATAAGCTAGCTGCAAACATAATGTCAGGTCTTGTAGCTGTCAAATACAACAGACTACCTACAATTTGTCTGTACTCACTCTCATTTGCAAGATCACTTCCATCTTCCTTGCACAATTTTTCACTGGCCACAAGAGGAGTACTAACTGGCTTACATTGTTTCAGACCAAACTTGTTCAGCAATGTCAGAGCATACTTCTTTTGATTTATGAAAATGCAGGATTCAGTTTGAATCACTGCCATACCAAGGAAATGATATAAAAGACCCAAGTCAGTCATTTCATACCTTCTCATCATTTCAGTTTGAACTCTGCAATCAATTCCCCACTGCTTCCTGTATACACAATGTCATCAACATAAATTGAGACAATTAGAGTTTCTGAGTCTTCCTTAGTCTTGCAGTACAATGTGGCTTCACTCGTGCTTCTGACATATCCACAGCTAATAAGATAGGCATTGATTTCCTCATACAAGGCTCTTGGAGCCTGTTTTAAACCATACAAGGCTTTCTTCAATTTGTACATCTTATCTTCATAGTTTGTAGTCACAAATCCATCCAGTTGATCTACATAAACTTCCTCCTTGAGCACACCATTTAGGAATGCAGACTTGACATCTAGCTGGTATAGTTTCCACCCCTTTTGAGCTGCCAAGGCTATATGAGTTCTAATTGTGTCAAGTCTGGCCACAGGAGCAAAAGTCTCATTGAAGTCAATTCCTGGCTTTTGTGCATAGCCTTTGACCACCAGCCTAGCTTTATGCTTCTGTATTGAGCCATCAAGGTTCAATTTGGTCTTATAAACCCATTTCACACCAATTACAGGTTTATCACTTGGTCTATCAACTAGTTCCCAAGTCTCATTCTTCTCAATCATCTCCATTTCTATCTCCATCGCCTTTTGCCAAGCTTTATCCTTTGAAGCTTCTGCAAAATTCTTTGGCTCAATGATGCTCATATTGCATCTAGCATAGATCTCAGTGATGTCTCTAAGCTTCACATGTGTAGAACTTGGAGAATCACTTGGTGAATCAGCATTAGCAGCTGCTGTAGTCACCTGAATGGGGCTGGAGATGTTGTCAATCATTGGTTCTTCATATTCCTCTTCAAAGCCTTTGAGAGTGTCTTCAAACTCCATTGAAACTGTGATAGAATCAACAGTTTGCTTGTCCCAATCCCATAATGAGTTCTCATCAAAGATCACACTTCTAGATGTAGTGACCTTGTTGGTTTGCAAATTGTACACTCTATACCCCTTTTCACGTTTGTCATAGCCAACAACAATGCACTGGACAGCTGCATCCTCCAAACTGCTGTTGGGCATGAACTCGTAGACGAGTAGTAGTTCTCTTTTTTCATGGCACCAACCAATGAGTTGCACCAAATTCCGATGCCTAAGTCTACTGATAATTCTTACTTCTGATGCATACTCCTTCAAACCTTGCTTAGATCCATTGGATATCCTCTTAATTGCAACATATGAGTTCAAGTCTTTTATAAAGCCTCTGTAAACCCCTCCAAATCCTCCCTCTCCCAGCTTCTCCCCCTCATGAAAATTACTCGTTGCTCGAGCTAACTCCCTGTACGAAAACTTCCTCGGGCCAGTTCCCTTTTCAAATTCATCGTCAATTAAACAGTTGACAACAGGATTCTCACCACTTTCCCCTACTGCTTTTCTCTTCCGAAAGATGAACATGAACCAAACCAAAGCCAATCCACCAGCCAAGATAATACATCCACCAACACCCAACCCAATGGGGGAGTCGTATGTTGGAAGTTCCTGACTTGGGATTAGCACTGGGACTTGGCGGAGGAAATACTTGTGTGTTGTTCGTCAACCAGAGCTGTTGATGTGAAATTCCATGAGACGATCCTATGCACAGCAATGTCATCACCCGTTGCAGCAGAGAATCCAACAATGACCCAATCCGGCAAGTATTGTTTCAGATCAACCATGTAAGAAAGATATCTGATTATCTCCACTTGGGTGCCATTTGTACCATTTAGAAAACTGGTAAAGGCAACACTGAGATTTTTTGAGCTAGAGTTATAACTAATCCAAGCGCTGTTTAGTTTTGCTTTGTCAATACCACCATTCCAAGTCATGGTACTATTAGACTTGAGAGAGTTGATGTCGATTGCTACATGATCGTTCGGGGGATCCTGGATGCTTGGCCGTGTATTCTGGAAGATATCAAACTCCACTGCCACAAATGGATACTGAGTTCTAGACATGCCTCCTGGCAAGTCTTCAACGGGGAGGCCAAGTTTGCCACCACCCCCTATTGCAATGTTGACTAAGGATCCATTTGGGGCTAGGAAGAACACCAACCCGTCACCGTGGCCGGAATCAATGATGAAAGTAAAATGTGTGGTGAAATCGGCCAGTTTTCCGGTGGCTTTTTCCTGGAGAAGGAACGGTTTGTGGTAGGTTGCTCGACCGATGTTCTCAGCCACTTTAAGCTCTTCGGGTTTTTTGGTGAGTTTGATGAATTTGCCATCAATATATGCATCTCCCTCTAGGGATATGTTGGTGGTGCCATTGGAAAAGCTGGGGAAGTTGAAGGTTAAAGGAGTTGCAGAAGGGTTTAACAGAAACAAGAGCAGAAGGAAGGATAGAAGCTTTGGCGAGTGGAGTTGGATGATCCCGTCCCCGAAGTTATTAGCAACCATTTCGAACTTTTTGTACGTGCAGAATTGTCATCTAATGGTTGTGCAGATCGTATGCAAGGTTTCCTAGGCGCTTAAAACAGTGGTGGTGTTTACCAATTCAAACCAGAACCAGCAGCCATTGTATTTTTAGTCTGAGTTATGGCATATATTTATCTATGTTCAGTTGCCGGGAAGCATCCTCTTATATATGTTAATGGTTCAATTTCAAGTCAATTAATTTCCACTTGGGTAATGGCAGACCTTGGTGCACTCACTGTTCTTACAGGCTCATTTGGTGTGGGAATCTTCATTTTTATTATTTTGGGTGCCAATGCATTGACATTGAGAAGGCTCTTGGAAATGATTAAAATTCAGATTTGAGAGTCGCAATATCTTGCTGACGATGGCTAATCACCCGATTCAAATGTTTCTACGTGTACCTCTAGGTTTTATGTAACAAATTATAGAACTGAACAAGTGACTAAAATTATATGGGCAAATGCTGTACAACTGTATACTTTTACCATTTTGTTTTTTATTAATGGTGTGCTGGTTTACTTGGATAATTAAGGTTGCAAGAAATCTCTTCCATTTTATTTTAATTTTGATTTTTATATAGCCTTTTTAATGTGGGTCTTCCCAATCAGTACCTTAGTTAGTGGTACTTTGATAGTTTGAATATTTTGTATAATGTGGAATTATTCCACAATCACCGACTAATTAATCTAGTCATTAGCGATTTGGACTCAATGTACCACTCAATTTGGGCCTAGGAGAGTGCTATTCTTGCTTTCGACGCTTAAATTGAATTGAAATCACCTCTTCTTACAAGGAATGAGAGAAGTTATGAACCGGGGAACTTAAAAATTTGGGAATAAGGAATTGGAATAAGATCAACTACTACCCCTACTAGTTGATTTAAATTCCTGATTTTGGGACAGACATGAACTTAACCAAGTTTGTTTAAATGGATAAAAGAGATATGTTGAGAGAGAAATTTCGTATGCGACCGTAACGTCTAAATTAAATGGCTTGATACTCATCATATGTCCATGTCAATATATTAAAAAAAAGACGTTGAAGGGTTGGCCCTAATGTTGGATCCCTTCACACGTGAAATATATTTTATCTAATAAGAATTAAAAATAAATAAAAATTATATGCACTAACAACTAGACAAGACAGAGTTTGCTGAAGCATGGACAAATTTATACCACCGCGCAGCTCACAATTTTTTTAATTAAATTTTTTATCATATGGTATGGTGTTTTTCTTACTCCTTTCTAGAAGTGATAATGTGATGTAATCAAGATTTGTGGTATTTTTAAGTGAATTTCATGGTCCTTTCCTCTCCATCTTATTTAAGGTTTGAGTGTTAATGTGGGTTTTCCTAATTTTCAATTGACTAATTCTGCTTTAGGTGTGGGTTAAACTTTAAACTAAAAAAAAATGAAAGGAAACGGATCAACACTATTGAAATTTTAATTATCTGACATGGACCTTGTAGGGGGTTCGTTATGTTAGTTAAGTCAGTTAGTTTGGACAGCAACCCTATTTCCTTCTTCGGCAATGTGACAATATCAACATTATCACAAAAATTAACTTAGGTCTGCTGTGCGCACTGAAGTATTGTTGATGGTCACAAATATTGTTGTAGAGGATGGGGTGATTGAGAGGACTTGGTGATTTCCTGAGGACTCGGTTTGACCTCTTTCAGAACTAATAGTTTCACTGAGCAATGTTGAAAGTAATCTAGGAGGAGCAAAATATGTGGCCACCGGCATCTTTGATGGGAGAATGGCCATGGAACTTCCAAGTTAAGCACTTGAATCGTTTGTTGTATTGAAGGTCTGAATTTATAATCCGGGTGTGCACACCACAATCCAACAATCATCAAGCACTCCATTGATTTCTCATCAAACTCTCCATTGAGTTTTGGATCGGCTGCTGGAATAACTTTGCCTTCTCCATAAAGCTCCCAAACCCACTTCACCAGTTCGATTTGGCTACTTTCTAAGTTGAAATCGATCGGTTTTCTCCCGCAGGCTATTTCCAAAGCAACAACTCCAAAGCTGTAGACATCTGATTCTTTGCTAGCTTTTCCTGTAGTAACATATTCTAGAGCCATGTAGCCTCTCGTTCCAGCTATAATTGTTGTTTGTGACTTTTCTCCATGGTCCACGAGCCGAGCTAACCCGAAATCCCCGAGTTCACATTGAAAATTTGAATCCAACATAACATTGCTGGACTTGATATCCCTGTGCAGCACACACTGTTCCCATTCTTCATGTAGATAAAATAAGGCAGAGGCCAAACCTTGATCAATATTGTATCTTACCTGCCAAGTTAACAACCTTTTTTCTTTTGGGAATCTAAACTACCATTGGGCATGAAGTCATAGACGAGCAGTAGCACTCGCACCAACCAGTGAGTTGCACCAAATTTCGATGCCTAAGTAACTGATGATCCTCACTTCTGATGCATACTCCTTCAAACCTTGCTTAGATGCACTGGATATCCTCTTAACCGCAACATATGAGTTTAACTCTTTTATGAAGTGAAAATACCTGTAGGATGTCTATATATGCCTAGAGAAGGTTAAACAGGCTAATTCGAATATTTTGCAATAAACAACAATTAACTTTTAAAGCAGGATTGATATGAGTTATCAATCCTAGGATGTGCAGAGCTTAAAGTAAAAGAACACGCAGAAATTATTTTACGTGGTAAAACCCCACCTCTGGGGAAAATCCACGGGACTTCTCAGTCCAACACAGATCCACTATAGAACGATGATTACAAGAAGTACTCACACACTTATCTTAGACACATTCTAGATAATGTTTACCGACTTCTTCATAACTCAACTTCTGTCACGGGATGATCTTCGACACTCCTTATGTTGAACGCAATACTGGCCACGATTGCTTCAAGCTCACCGGAGGAAAACTGCCACCACGGTCTTGGTGCCCTCAACCGTATGAGTCACCGACATGCATATGAATGCAATATGAATGATTAAAGTGTTTGATAAATCACCAAGTAAACTTTGAACACTTGATGATTTATCTCAAATATATGCACAACAGCTTTTCTTAGAATTCTATATGCTCAAAACAAATATCTCAAAGCTGTACACCATAAAAGAATGGCACATGATCTTTTATACAAGGCTTGTTCTCTCTAGTTAGAGAGACGCACAATAGGCCACCAATCTTAATATTCCTGTTGCACCACAACCTATCATCAATAAGAGATTTGATTCACCTTGGACTCAAAGTAATGACGCCTCTCTTCAAACCAAATTAACTAAGAGGTAAGCAACGTGCAAAGTCACAATAGGAAAAGATAATATTTTAACTTCAATTAAAATAGAGTTGAACTAGGAAAGTAATCTCAAGAGATAAAATCTAATCTTATTAAAAATAAGATTAACATAAAAATACTTGAGTGAAAATAACTCCAACTAGGAATCCTATAATGAATGCGTGATTATGTCATGATTTACCTGAGGTCAAGATTCTCATATGGTCAGGGCATGCCTCGGAAGTGTGGGGTTGAAAGAGTAGTGACAAAGTATTCAATAACAATTCCTCACAAACTAATTTTCACCATATACTAAAGTCTAGGAAATGCCAATACGAATTTCGTACTAACAATCTCCCCCTTTGGCATTTCCTAGACAAAACACCTATTACAACTCAAAAGAAATTGCATGGGATTTTACAAATGAAATCCTACTCTAAGTTCGAAGCTCTGAATCCCTGCACATTATGAAACAACAAAACCAGTGAAGCATGTGGGAGAAGAAATGTAATTCAAAGCAAAATTACAATACAACTCCCCCTTCATTCTACAACACAACCTCTCCCCCTTTTTATCATAATTTCACACAGTCATCTCTCCCCCTTTTTGTCAGGAAATCCAAAGGGCAAGGAAGGAACATAAGGGAGTATAATATAAAGTTATAAAAGAAATTCACTACCGAAAAGAAAACAAACAAAAAGAGCAACAAGATGTCGGAAGAGACAGTCAGCACAAAAACCAAAAAAAAAAAAAAAAAAAAAAAAGGATAAAACATTAAAATGGCAAACAGAGGAGAGAATGATTATCACCAAAAAACCAACAATATGAGGGATAACACTTGTTTGAAAACAAAAGCTGTTTCGTTTTTTATTTTTTATTTTTTTATTTTTATTTTAAAATTTTAATGAGAGAAAAAAAAGGGAATCAAAGGAATCAAAAACAAAAACACAAGCAACACACTTAAGACAGAAGGCTCAACACAACCAAGATAAAGAACACAATGTAGATGCAAACCCAAAGCTCTCTTGAAGATGTAATTATTTTCCATTCATAAACATGCCAAGCATGTGTGCAAGAAGAGATAGTAGCAGCAAACCCATCGATGTCTAAAACGCAAAAGAAGCAAAGCATGGCAGGGACAAAAGCAAAACAACCACATGAAATGCACAAACTCACAGATAATCAAGGAGGCATACCACATGCATGATGAAAAATAAACATCACCAAATGAGTCTACCATCAGGAAGCAAAAGTGTGAAGTGAACTCCTTTCAATTAAGCATAAAAAATATGTCCACCAAAGACTGATCCCACCAAAGATGACACATACACTAAGTGCATTGTAAGTATAAGAGGATCAGGTTATTTGAGACGTGATTTTTTTTTTTTTTTTTTTTTTTTTTTTTTTTTCCCTGATTTCTTGCCCTTCCTTCACCTTTGTTGATTCTCCATTCTGATTCTGTCTTCGATTTCTTGCGATTTCTTGCGATTTCTGCAATTTCTGCAATTTCTTCTTCGTGTATGACCTAAATTTCTGCATTTTCTTCGGTTTCTTCGTTCCTTCAATTTCTTCGATCTTCAATTTCAGTGCTTCCTCTCTCTTCTGCTTTCATCATCTCAAAATTGACGGTATTCTCGGTCTTATCACAATCCGGTTGAAAGATGATAACTTCTTGAAGTGGCGATATCAACTTGAGTCTGTTCTGGACGGCTACGATCTCTTTGGCCATTTTGATGGCTCAAACATTGCACCTCCAAAATTCGCAATTTTGGATGAGGAAGGTGTCACCTCTGAACTCACTGCAGCCTACAAGGACTGGATGCAGGTCGACAAAGCACTTCTTAGCGTGTTGATCGCCACGCTTTCTGATGATGCGCTCGAATATGTCATCGGTTGCAAGACGGTGCATGATGCGTGGATGAATTTGACGGATCATTATGCCACCGTCTCTCGTGCTCGTATCAATCATCTCAAAACCGAGCTTCAGACTGCGTAGAAAGGCTCTGACTCAATTGAGAAGTTCTTGCTTCGCCTCAAACATATTCGCGATCACCTTGCTATTGCCGGTGTTTCGGTCTCCGATGATGATATGATGATTGCAGCGTTGAATGGCCTTCCTTCTGAGTTTGATATGATTCGGACAGTCCTGGTTGCTCGTGACACTTCGCTTTCCTTCAAAGACTTTCGCAATCAATTGCTGGCGGCTGAACAAGCCACAGAGGCACGCGTGCTGTCTTCTCATGCACCTATGGTTGGCATGCTAAGTCATTCCTCTTCTTCTGGTTCTTCCCATGCCTTCTCTGGTTTTGGCCATGGTGATGGTCTCCTTCCAACACCTCTAATGCCTCCTACTGCTTATATGTGTTCGCAGCCTTTTGGTCGTTCTTCTTCTCATGCTTCTGGTGGCCGAGGCAAATTCTCTGGTTCTAGACCTTTTGGTCGTGGTTTTCAAGGCAGGTTTCACGGTCCTCCTAAGTCTAGTGGTGGAGTTGTTCCTAAGTGTCAAATCTGCAGCAAGCGAGGTCACACTGCGGTCAATTGCTATTTTCGCAATTCGAATCCCTCTTCTCACGGGTCCTCTTCTACAATTGAATATCAGATTTGTGGCAAAAAGGGCCATGGGGCTCTGGATTGTTACCATCGCTCCAACTATGTTTATCAAGGTTCTCCACCTCCTGCCTCCATTACTGCGATGGCGGCTCAGACTTCTTTCTCTCTTGATGCAGTCTGGATTGCAGATAGTGGGGCCAGTCATCACATGGTTCCTCATATGACAACATGGATTCTGCTTCTCCTTGCACCTCTTTTGATTAAGTCAGAGTGGGAAATGGGGAAGGTTTACGCATTGATCATATTGGCTCAGCTCATATTCCCACTACAACTTCTTCTCTATCTTTATCTTCAGTTTTTCATGTGCCTCAACTTACGGCCAATCTTTTGTCTGTGTATCACTTGTGCCGGGATAATAATTGCCGTATGATTTTTGATCAATTTGGATTTTCTATACAGGACAAAATCACCAACAGGGTTCTGTTCCACGGCAAGAGTGATCATGGCTTGTATCCCATCCCATGCTTGGTTCCTTCTTCAATATGTGTAGACAATAAGCAGCCAAAGATGGCTTTTCTTGGACAACAAATTCATTCCTCGTTGTGGCATAGGCGATTGGGTCATCCTACTAATGAGGTTATTCAACTCATGCTTAAGGAAGCACAACTCCCAGTGGTTTCAGATTCCATATCTCAGATATGTTCTTACTGCTTAAATGGTAAAATGCATCATTTACCTTTTTTTGCAAGGCATGATAAGGCACTTCTTCCTTTCTATAGGATTCATAGTGATGTATGAGGGCCTGCACATTGTAAATCAGTTGATGGTTATCGATATGTTGTAAGCTTCATTGATGAATATACTGGTTTTCTGTGGCTATACCTGTTTTGTGTCAAATCTGAGGTGTTCTCTGTGTTTCGCAAGTTTTTTGCCTTTATTACCAATCACTTTCATGCCTCAGTAAAGTATTTTCAAAGTGATGGAGGGGGAGAATATATGAGTCATCAGTTTCAGGATTTTTTATCTACTCATGGCATTGTGCATCAAGTCTCATGTCCTTATACACCTCAGCAAAATGGACTTGCTGAAAGGAAAAATAGGCATTTTGTAGAGACTGCCATTACTCTCTTGACTGAAGCTTCTATGCCTGACATATTTTGGTTTCATGCAATGGCACATTCAGCTTACCTCATTAATCGGATGCCTAGTAAGGTTCTTGCCAATCAGTCTCCTTATTTTCGGCTTATGCAAAAACTACCTGATATAAGATATTTGCGTGTGTTTGGGACTGCTGTTTATCCATGCTTAAGAGAGACCAATTCCCATAAATTGCAACCTCGTATTGCGTCTTGTGTGTTCATGGGATATCTTATGGGCTATAAGGGTGTTTTGTGCTATAATTGTACTACTCACAGATTTGTCATCTCTCGTCATGTCATCCATGATGAGTTAGTTTATCCTTTCAAGCATCCTAGCACTCTACACTCCAATATTATGTCCTCTTTGTCTCCGTCTCTGTCCATTAATCTCCCTTCCACTCGTGTCATTTTATCTGAGAACCTTGATTCACATGTCAATCATCCCTCTTCCTCTCCCTGTCGAGGCAAGTTCTCTCCTGCTGTACCATTGCCTCTCATTGTTACAGAGGCATCTTCTTCTTCCATTCAACCTCTGGAGGGTTCTTTTCCTGTTTCGTCAGATCACCATGTGTCTCCTATTGAACATGTCAATTTTGGTTCTTCTTCTAGTCTCCCTTCTTCTTGGAACATCCATCCAATGACTACCAGGTCCAAATCTGGTCTGTGTCAGAAGAAGTCTTTCGAGGATTATCAGTGTTTTACTTCTATGCATGACTCTACTACTCTTGATGAGCCTTCTACATTTCGTGTGGCTTCTTTCTCTCTTGCCTGGATTAAGGCTGTGGAGGAAGAGATCTCTGCCTTAACAATGCAGGGTACATGGTGTTTGGTCCCTCGCCCTGCTAATACAAATATTGTTGGCTCCAAGTGGATTTACAAGATCAAAAGAAATTCAGATGGGATACTTTCTCGCTATAAAGCTCGACTGGTGGCACAGGGGTTTAGTCAAGAGGCTGGCTTTGACTACGATGAAACCTTCAGCCCAGTGGTACGTCATACCACAGTTCATCTTATTCTCAGTTTAGCCGCTATTAATGGCTGGTCTTTGCGGCAGCTTGATGTCAAGAACGCCTTTCTCCATGGCGATCTTGACGAGGAGGTTTACATGAAACAACCACAGGGGTTTGAAGACTCTTCTCATCCTGACTATGTGTGCAAATTACAGAAGTCTTTATATGGTTTAAAACAAGCTCCAAGGGCCTGGAATGCAAAGTTCACGGGCTACTTACCTTCTCTTGGTTTCAAAATGTCACATAGTGATCCAAGTCTGTTTGTGAAGATTTCAGATTCAGCTATCGTTGTATTGTTGCTCTATGTCGATGATATTATTCTCACAGGTTCAAACTCTCAAGTTATTGAAGAGGTTATTACAGATCTTGGTTCAGTGTTTGATCTCAAGGACTTGGGTCCTCTTACCTTCTTTCTTGGCTTACAGATTTCGTATAAGTCGAATGGTGACCTTTTTATCAGTCAACAGAAGTATGCCAAAGATCTTTTAGTCAAGGCTGGGATGAAATCATGTCGGCCCTGTCTAACTCCATCTAAACCTCATACACAGGTTCTTCCCACAGATGGTGAACCTTTAAAGGAGCCATCAGTATACCGAAGTATAGTGGGTGCTCTTCAGTACCTAACGTTTACAAGACCAGATCTCGCCTATTCTGTTAACACTGTCTGCCAATTTATGAACAATCCCACATAGGTTCATTTTCAGTTGGTTAAAAGGATTTTGCGCTACATTCAAGGCACTTTGCACTATGGTCTTACTTACTCTTCGTCTGTTCCAGTTTCTGTGTTTGCATATAGTGATGCAGATTGGGCTGGGGATATTACCACTCGACGATCAACCACAGGATTTGTTGTCTTCTTGGGTTCCAATCCAATTTCATGGCAGTCTAAGAAGCAGGGGTCTGTCTCCCGTAGCTCCACTGAAGCTGAATACCGTGCTCTTGCTAATGCTTCAGCAAAGGTCGCTTGGATTCGTCAGATACTTGCAGATCTTCATGTCTTTCTCCCAGATCCTCCTCTGTTGTTTTGTGATAACATGTCTGCGTTAGCTCTCAGCTCTAATCCCGTGTTCCATTCTCGCATCAAACATTTGGATGTCGACTTCCATTTTGTTCGAGAATGTGTACAACGCAAAGACTTCTTAGTGCACTACATTCCTACTGATGAGCAGGTGGCAGATGTTCTTACTAAGGGGCTTCATAGTCCAGTATTTGTTAAGCATTGTACCAATCTCAGTTTAGGCACCCTGACTGAGATTGAGAGGGGGTGTTTACCCAATGGTTAGAGTTGGTTAGAGCTGTTAACATTGTTAGGAGGTTGGTTAGCTTAGCTGTCAACGGTTAGCAGGTTGGTTAGCTTAGCTGTCAGCTGTTAGCATGGTTATGAATATATATATATATATACGCTGTACTGTAACAAAAGGATTTTTTAGTAAGAAATATATCATTCAGTTTTCTCATCTGCTCTCAGAAACTTCTAAACAAACACTTTCCTCTCTATCTCTTTTACCATAGTTATCAGTGTTCTCATCACGTTCCCCTGCTGTTCTCCTTCTCTTCCAAAAGGTGAACCAAGCCAAATACAAGCCACCAACCAAGATTAGAAAACCACCGCCACCCAACCAATGAAGAGTCTGATATTGGCACTTCCTGATGACTTAGGTTTAACAGCGAGGATTGACGCAGGAAATACTGGTTTGTTGCCCTCATCAACCAGAGCAGTTGAAGTAAAATTCCATGAGTGGATCTTATGCACAGCAAGCTCATTACTGGTTGCAGCAGAGAAACCCAACAATGACCCAATCCGGCAAGTATTGTTTTAGATCAACAATGTAAGAAAGATAACTGGTTATCTCCACTTGGATACCATTTGTATCATTTAGAAAACTCGTGAAGGCACGCTAAGATTTTTTGAGCTAGAGTTGTAACTAATCCATACATTGTTTTGTTTTCCTTGTGCAATATCGTCATTCCAAGGCATGGTAATATTTGACTTGAGAGAGTTGATGTCGATCCCCACATGGATCCCTGCTGGTTGGCACTGTGTTCTTGAAGATATCAAACTCCACAGCCACAAACGGATACTCTGCCTTTGTGGTGTCTCCCGGCAGATCGTCGACAGGTAGGCCAAGCTTGCCACCACCTCCTGCTGCGCTGTTGAGTAAGGTTCCATTTGGCGCTACAAAGAACACCATCCCATGACCATTATCAATCCTGAATGTGAAATTTGTGGTGAAGTCCTCAAATTTTCCGGTTGCATTTTCTCGGAGGAGGAAGGGTTCATGGTAGGTGGTTCTACCGACGTTCCCAGTTTCTCCGGGGTTTCTGGGGAGTCTGATGAGGTTGCTATCAATATCAGCAACGCCCTCGAGGGATATGTTGGTGGTGACATTGGAAAAGCTTGGGAAGTTGAAGGTTAAAGGAGTTGCAGAAGGGTTGAACAGAAAAAAGAGAAGAAGCAGGAACATAAGCTTTGGTGAGTGTAGTGGGATGATCCCTTTCCCATGATTATTGAAAACCATGTCTAACTTTTTTTGGAGACTGTTTGCAAAATAATCATATATTATTATATAGTGCAGAATGCAGATCACTTTAGAGTTAAAGCTACCAAGGTGCTGTTCTTGTTTTTATTTATTATTATTATTATTTTATTTAATCTTTCTTTGCTTGTTGGGAAGGAAGTTAAGGTTCCACTCCAAAACCAATTGGGATGAGGGGAAGTAGCCCAACTCCTTATAAACTCAGGCTAAGTCCCTTAACTTTTAAACAGTCTCAACATGCCCTTGCACGTGTGGTGAACTTTCAAGCCTAAAATGTGGACAACATATATTGGGTGACGTGGGAGCACGTGTGGCTATTGGGCCCAACACGTGAATCCTTACTCTGATACCATGTTAAATTCAGAGAGACGGGTCAGTGGCCCTCTATTAACAACACTGATATTGTCCCCAACATTACCACATACAAAGCCCAGTACGTGTGGGTTTTTATCACAAAAGGCCTCGATGTTAGTAGTAGAACCATTCATTATATTTTGTATTTTATTTAGTCAAGTTTCTGATGTGGCACTCATATTCTTAAACACGCCCTCTCATGTGAGACCGCCATATAGTAAGCCACACGTGGAGCCAAGTCCACATAGGAGTCAAACATTCAAGTCTAACACGTGAGCACCACATATTAGGTAAGGGTAAACATTCAAGTCCAACATGTGAATACCACATATTGGTTAAGGGGTAAGGGTAAAGGCCCAGTAATTTAGGCCCAATCAATTAACTCGCTTTGATACCTAACTTTTAAATGTGGGACAAACACTCTCAACATGCTGGGCTCTTGCACCTTTGTAAACCAGAAAAAATATCCTTGGACGACCCGAGTCTTATAATTCATTGTTGCTCTACTGAAATATGCAATTCTCGATGTGGAAGGTGTCACGTCGAAAATCACTGCTGCATATAAAGACTGGTTAAAGGTTGACAAAGCATTGCTGAGCTTGTTGATTGCAACACTTTCCAATGAGGCGATTGAATACGTGATCAGATCTAAGACTACCTTTGAGGCGTGGATGAATTTGACGGATTGATATGCTACCGTGTATAGTGCTCGTGTGAATCTCTTGAAGACAAAGCTTCAAACTGCTCAAAAAGGCACTGATTCTATCGAGAAGTTCTTACTTCACCTCAAACATGTCCGTGATCAGCTTGCTGTCGTTGGTATTTCTATCTCTAATGATGATTTGATGATTGTGGTGTTGAATGGCCTTTCTTCTAAGTATGACATGATCAAGACTGTGCTTATTGCTCGTGATGCTACAATTTCTTTCAAAGATTTCTGTAATCATTTGCTTGCAACTGAATAAGCTGCTGATTCTCGTGTGATCTTGCCCTATTCTCCTATGGTTGGTGTGTTCAACCATTCTTCTACCTCTACTGGATCTACCTCTTCTACATCATCTCCTAACCTCTCTGGTGCTGGTATTCTCCCTACTCATTCAGTGACTTCCTTTTCTCTTACTGGTTATATGAGTTCAGATACACATGGTTGATCGTCTGGTTCCTTTGGTAGCCGAGGCAAATTTTCTGGTTCTAGGCCATTTGGTCGTGTTTTTCCGAATAATTTTTAGGGTCCTCATAAGTCTGGTATTGTTCCAGAATGCCAAATTTTCAGTAAGAGAGGTCACATAGCCACAAATTGCTTTTTTCGCAATTTTACCCCATCTCAAGGCTCCTCTGTTACTGAGTGTCAAATTTGTGGCAAGAAGGGCCATGGTGCATTGGATTGCTATCATCGTTCCAACTATGCCTATCAGGGATCTCCTCTACCATCCTCTCTCACTGCTATGGCTGCTCAAGCTTCTTTCTCTCCTGATGCAGTGTGGATTGCTGATAGTGGAGCGAGTCATCATATGGTGCCACACATGACTACAATGCATAATGTTACACCTTGTAATTCAGCTGAGAATGTTGTAGTGGGTAGTGGGGAAGGTTTGCACATTGCTTATATTGGCAAATCTCATATTCCCACTGTCTCTTCTTCTCTTAATCTCTTTAAAGTTTTATATGTGCCTCAGCTTACAGCAAATCTCTTATCTGTGTATCAACTATGTCATGATAATAATTGTCGCATGATCTTTGATCAATTTGGATTTTTAATACATGACAAGGTCACCAACAAGATGCTTCTCCAGGGCAAGAGTGATCATGGCTTGTATCCTATTCCTACCTCTTTATCCTCAGTTGGTTCAAGTAGTAGTAGTTCAGTTGGTGCTAGAAGTCGAGCCTCTCAGTCGCAGACAAGTGCTTTTCTTGGTCAGCAAGTTCGTTCATCTCTTTGGCATAGTAGGCTTGGACATCCTACAAATGAAGTTGTTCAACTCATGCTTACAGCCGCTCAAATCCCAGTGGTATATGATTCAATTTCTAAGTTGTGTTCTTTTTGTCTAGGTGGTAAAATGCATTGGTTACCATTTTCTAGTCATCACAATAAGGCATCTTCTCCATTTTATCGACTCCACAGTGATGTTTGGGGTCCTTCTCTGTGTAAATCAATTTCTGGCTATCGATATGTAGTGTCTTTCATTGATGAATACACTGATTTTCTATGGTTATATCCTCTCTATGCCAAGTCTGAGGTGTTTACAATGTTTACCAGATTGGTTGCTTTTCTTGCAACTCATTTTAATGCCTCTATTAAGTTTTTCCAAAGTGATGGTGGTGGTGAATATATGAGTACTCAATTCAATGAGTTTCTCACATCTCATGGGATTGTCCATCAAGTTTCCTGCCCTTACACACCCTGAAAAAATGGACTCATTGAGCGAAAGAATCGCCACTTATTAGAAACCTCTCTAACCCTTTTACAAGAAGCTTCTATGCATGATCAGTTTTGGTTTCATGCTATGGCTCATTCTGCATATTTTATTAATCGCATGCCTAGTAAAGTGGTTTCCAATCAATCTCCATATTATAGGCTTCTTCCTAAGCATCCTGATATAAGACACCTCCGTGTCTTTGGTATTGCTGTCTATCCATGTTTGAGAGCCACTAATACTACTAAGCTTCAACCTCGCACTGTTATGTGTGTTTTCATGGGATATCTACTGGGCTATAAAGGAGTGTTATGTTACAATTGTTCTAATGGCAAATTCTTGGTGTCTTGAAATGTTATTCATGATGAAACTATTTTTCCTTTCAAGCACCGCATATCTTTGACTACCTCACCTTGTTATACTTCAACAGTTCTATCACCTATTCCTGTGATGTTAACATCTGCTACATCACCTTCAGTGCCTGCTTCTCATAGTTCCTCTAGTGCTCCTAGTATTACACCTCCAGAATTGTTAGCCTCTCTTGAGCTGTTTCAGCCTGAGCCTTATATACTAGTTCTGTCTGAGCAGCAATTACAAGTTCTTCTACCTTCTATTGATTCTATTAGTTCTTTTTCTACTGCTTATGTGCAACCAAATGTTCCTGTTGAATCTGCTCCGGCAGGCCCTTCTCATTCTATGCTTACTCGGTCCAAAACTGGGGTTGTTAAAAAGGATTTTTCCTGACTACAAGTGTTACACTAGTATCCATCTACTTTTATGGATGAACCTTCTAGCTATCGTGTTGCTTCTTTTTCGGCTGATTGGACCAAGGCCATGGACGAAGAGATTTCAGCATTATAGATGCAAGTTACCTGGGTGTTGGTAGCTCCTCTTACTAATACAAACATTGTTGGTTCAAAATGGATTTATAAGTTAAAAAGGCACTCCGATGGTTCCATTTCTAGATATAAAGCACGCCTAGTTGCTCAGGGTTTTAGTCAAGAGGCTGGTTTTGATTATGAAGAGACATTTAGCCCAGTTGTTCGTCATGCTACAATTTGTATCATTTTCAGTTTGGCAGCTTACAATCATTGGTCTCTTCGCCAATTGGATGTAAAGAACACCTTCTTACATGGGGAACTTGAGGAGGAAATATACATGAAGCAACCTCAGGGGTTCGAAGATCCTCACCATCCTGACTATGTTTGTAAACTTCAGAAGTCATTGTATGGTTTAAAGCAGGTTCCAAGAGCCTGGAATGCTAAGTTCACTGGTTTTCTTCCATCGCTTGGGTTCAAGATGTCTCACAGTGATTCCACTTTATTCTTGAAGTATTCAGACTCCTGCTATTGTGGTTCTATTACTCTATGTCGACGATATTATTCTCACTGGATCAAATCCACATATCGTTCAGGAGGTAATCACAGTGCTTGGATCAGTGTTTGAGCTTAAGGATATGGGCACACTTACTTATTTCCTTGGTCTTCAGATTTCCTATAAGTTTAATGGAGACATCTTTGTCCGTCAACAAAAATATGCTACTGATTTGTTAGGAAAGTCTGGGATGAGTTCTTGTAAACCCTGTCCTACACCTCTGAAACCTTACACAGAGATTTTACTCACTGATGGTATCCCTTTGAAGGATCCAAAACAGTATTGTAGCATTGTTGGTGCTTTACAGTACCTTGCCTTTACAAGGCCCTGACATTGCCCATTTTGTTAATATGGTCGGTCAATTCATGAATAATCCTACCAAGCATCATTTCTTCTTGGTGAAATGCATTCTGCGTTATCTACCGGGCACACTCAGGTATGGTTTTACTTATTCTGCTTCAGGTCCCTTACTCTTATCTGCTTATAGCGATTCTGACTGGGCGGGTGATATTAACACTTGCAGATTAACACTTGCATACAATTGAATGATAAATTCCAAAAGATTTTAATACAGTTTATCACAATTATTAACTTAGACTTATTGTGGAGATTGAAATGTTGTTGATGGAGACGAATTTTGTTGTAGAAGATGAGGTGAATTGTGAGGAATCGGTGTTATAACCGTGTCGTGAGACTCAGTTTGACCTCTTTCAGAACTAGTAGTGTCAGTGGTCACCGTAGAGAGTGATGTTGGAGGAGCAAAATAGGTGGCCACCGGCATCTTGGATGGGAGAATGGGCAATGGAACTTCGAACTTAAGCACTTGGATTGCTTGTTGTATTGAAGGTCTGAATTTATAATCCGGATGAGCACACCACAACCCAACAATCATCAAGCACTCCATTTGTTTCTCATCAAAATGTCCACAAAGTTTCGGATCGGCTGCTTGAATAAGTGTGCCTTCTCCATAAAGCTCCCACACCCACTCCACCATTTCGATTTGGCCACTTTCTAAACTGAGATCGATGGGTTTCCTCCCGCAAGCAATTTCCAAAGCAACAACTCCAAAGCTGTAGATATCGGATTCCTTGCTAGCCTTTCCTGTGGTAACGTATTCCAGAGCCATGTAACCCCTGGTTCCAGCCACAATTGTTGTTTGTGACTGTTTTCCGTGGTCCACAAGTCGAGCTAACCCGAAATCCCCAAGTTTTGCATTGAAATTTGAATCCAACATAACGTTGCTGGACTTGATATCCCTGTGCAGCACACACTGTTCCCATTCTTCATGTAGATAAAATAACCCAGAGGCCAAACCTTGAGCAATACTGTATCTTATCTGCCAAGTTAACAAGCCTTTTTCTTTGAAAAGATGAGAATCTAAACTGCCGTTGGGCATGAAATCATAGACAAGCATGAGTTCTTGTTTTTCATGGCACCAACCAATGAGTTGCACCAGATTTCGATGCCTAAGTCTACTAATGATCCTCACTTCTGATGCATACTCCTTCAAACCTTGCTTAGATCCGCTGGATATCCTCTTAACCGCAACATATGAGTTTAACTCTTTTATGAAGCCTCTATAAACGCCACCAAATCCTCCCTCTCCCAGCTTCTCTCCCTCCTCAAAATTACTCGTTGCTCGAAACAACTCATGGTATGAAAACTTCCTAGGGCCGGTCCCCTTTTCAAGTTCCTCATGAATCAGTTTATTAACAAAAGGGTTCTCATCACGTTCCTCTGCTACTCTCCTTCTCTTCCAAAAGGTGAACCAAGCGAAACACAAGCCACCAACCAAGATTAGAAAACCACCGCTACCCAACCCAATCAAGAGTCTGATATTAGCACTTCCTGATGACTTGGGTTCAACAATGGGGGTTGGCTCAGGAGCTACTGGTGTGTTGTCATTTGCATTCTCATCAATCAGCGATGTCGAATTGAAACTCCATGAGTTGATCTTGTGCAGAGCAGTATAAGAACCTGTTGCAGCAGAGAACCCAACAATCACCCAACCCTGCAAAATCTCATTCAGATCAACCTTGTAATCAATGGAGGGAATGATTTTCCCCACGAGAATATTCGTCAAAGATTCCTTCGTCTTCTCCGCTTCTCTTTCTCTCTGCAAAACAGATCGGAGTAAAAGGACCACACCCGGGGGGTGTTGGCCAAAGGCCCTCCGATGCCTAAGTTAGGTAAGGTATTTCAAGGAAAACCGGGTGGCCGGAGCCGTGTGTGGTGGCCGGAGCCTTGTGTAAGGGAGAGAAAGAAAGTGGTGGCTAGGGTTTGTGAGAAATGATTTCTGCAGAGTTTCAGTAGGAATTTAGACGTACCTCCACCATTGTGTGTGGCTATGCTTTTATAATGGTCTTGGAGGCTAGGGTTTCAGAGGAATAATTCCGTAGATGGAAGGGAATTATTCCTCCCCTTTATGGAATTGATTTGATTAATTAGGGATTTGATTTATTAGGGTAAATCAAATCCCTAATTGTGGTAGGTATCAAATCAAATCCTATTTCAATTAGGTAACTCCTCATTTAATTGAGAATCGGGGTAGGAATTAGGAATCAATTCTCAACCCAATTAGGTAGTCTTCAATTTAATTGGGTAACCCCCAATTAAATTGAGTAACTCCCAATTAGGTTGATTAATTCCCAATTAGGTCAAATAATCCCCAAATGGAATGAATTATTTGACCTAGGGTTTTGACTTAATTTGGTTACCACAAATGCCCCCCAGCTTCTGCATGGCGCGCGGTGGCATGTAGGAGATGTGAATTATCTGTTGGGCTGTCCAACTGTAACTGGGCTTCCTTCTTGGATTTGGACTCCTTTTGCAGATTGGGTTCCCAATTGGAGTGAGCCTTTGACTGTTCTTGGAGTTGGGTTCCTAGTAGGAATAGGCTTGCGATTCCTTCTTGACCTAGGATGCCCAACGTGTGTAAATGCATGGCTTCTCTTCACTCTTCTTCACATCGCAAACTTAACTTCTCTACTTTCTAGCTTGAGAGAGATCTTGGAGAATTTGTACTGCTTGTCGAAGAGAGGAGTCGCCGTGCATCCCAAAGTAAGTCGAGCACGTATATTTCTTTTTCTTCGTCTTTTCTTATTTTTTTTGGCGAAGGTTAGTTGGGAGAAGTCCGGCTAGTTGTCATCGTGACATGTGACGGTTAGCAGTAGGCGGCAGCTGTTGTGGGGCATGTTTGCGCAGATGGACCAGCTGCTGCCTATCATCGCAGGCCTGGGCTGGAGCATGTTGGGCCTCGTGCGTTGCAGGCCTCGTCAGCTAAGTGGGTATCCAGAGAAAGTTGGTGGTCTGCCCCCTGCCCAGGATATTGAGAGATGGAAGCATAATGGTCCAGACTTGGATGATCTGCTGGCTGGGCAAGATGAGTATTCTGTCGGACTCCCGCTGAGAAGACTCAAGTGAGAGCTGTTTCATCATCATCCGCCAGGGTTAAACATCTTGCTTGTGTAGATAGTAGGAGGGTTGGTGAGTGCCAGGGTTCCCCTTGAGGGACTCCGGGCGTGTTTTGCACATCCCTCATGATGGTTTTCCTTAGGAAGTTGGCGAGTGCCAGGATCCCTCTTGAGGGACTCCGGGCGTGTTCTGCACATCCCTTAGGATGGTTTTCCTCAGGAAGTTGGCGAGTGCCAGGGCCCCCCTTAAGAGGCTCCGGGCGTGTCCTGGACATCCCTTAGGATGGTTTTCCTCAGGAAGTTGGCGAGTGCCAGGGCCCCCCTTAAGAGGCTCCGGGCGTGTTCTGCACATCCCTTAGGATGGTTTCCCTTAGGAAGTTGGCGAGTGCCAGGGCCCCCCCTTAAGAGGCTCCGGGCGTGTTCTGCACATCCCTTAGGATGGTTTTCCTCAGGAAGTTGGCGAGTGCCAGGGCCCCCCTTAAGAGGCTCCGGGCGTGTCCTGCACATCCCTTAGAATGGTTTCCCTTAGGAAGTTGGCGAGTGCCAGGGCCCCCCTTAAGAGGCTCCGGGCGTGTCCTGCACATCCCTTAGAATGGTTTCCCTTAGGAAGTTGGCGAGTGCCAGGGCCCCCCTTAAGAGGCTCCGGGCGTGTCCTGCACATCCCTTAGGATGGTTTCCCTTAGGAAGTTCGCGAGTGCCAGGGCCCCCCTTAAGAGGCTCCGGGCGTATGCTGCACATCCCTTAGGATGACTTGGTCGTCGCCCTGCGTCTCCCGAAGGACGCTGCTTATGGGCAACTGCGTGTCTATCCTGCCTCCCTTAGGAAACGGATAGGAACCTGGATACTTCCCGCAGAAGGCATGGAGACCTTCTTTTAAGAAATTCCTGGCGCACCCTGCGTCTCCCTTAGGACGCTTTTTACGGGCTGCGTCTCCCGAAGGACGCTTTGGTCGTCGCCCTGCGTCTCCCTTAGGACGCTGCTTATGGGCAACTGCGTGTCTATCCTGCCTCCCTTAGGAAACGGATAGGAACCTGGATACTTCCCGCAGAAGGCATGGAGACCTTCTTTTAAGAAATTCCTGGCGCACCCTGCGTCTCCCTTAGGACGCTTCTTACGGGCTGCGTCTCCCGAAGGACGCTTTGGGTCGTCGCCCTGCGTCTCCCTTAGGGCGCTGCTTATGGGCGACTGATTTGTGGTGATCTGCCTGCCAATGGATTGTGAGCTGTTGTCAGTGGCCAGCGATTGTGGGCAGCCAAACCGGCAGATGATGTTTCTCCAGATGAATCGCTCCACATCGGCTTCTTTAATAGAGGATAGAGCTTCTGCCTCGATCCATTTAGTAAAGTAGTCGGTGGCGACGATCATCCATGTCCTTCTTGTCGGGCACGGGTGGCAAAAGACCCACTAAGTCAATGACCCATTGCATGAATGGCCATGGACTATTTTGCGGATGGTCAACTTCGGCAGGCAGGTTAAGGATCGGCTTGTATCGCTGGGAGCGATCACATTTCTTGACATATTCCGTAGAGTCGTGGCGCATGGTAGGCCATAAGTAGCCTATGTTTAGAGCCTTCTAGGCGAGTGATTTGCCCTAGAGTGGTTGCCACACTCGCCGCCGTGAATTTTGCAAAGGACCTCAAGTGTTTGAGGGTATTTTATGCAGGCGAGATGAGGACCGGAATATGATATGCGGATGAGCTTGTTGCCGTGCATATAGTATCTCGTGGCCTTCTACTGGACCTTCCTAGCTTCGGACTTGTCCGTTGGTAGGTTCCCACTCGCTAAGTAGTCGATGACAGGGTCTTGCCAGTTGGGGTCCTCGTCAATTTGCATTATGTCGATTGGCTATATTTCTTCAATGCTTGGTCGGTCAAGGTGTTCGACCAGGATGGAGCATCTGAACTAGGCATCCAGTGCTGACCCTAGGCTGGCTAGTGCGTCTGCATACGCGTTCTCTGCCCGGGGTACTTGTTGGATGGTGAAGGTAGGAAACGCCTTCAACAACTCCTGGACTTTGTCAAGGTACAAGATCATCCTTGGGTGCTTCGCCATGTATTCACCTGATGCTTGATTTGTGATCAGCTGGGAATCTGAGTAGATGGCTAGCTTCTTGATTGCGAGTTCCTTTGCCAAGCGCAGGTCGGCGAGCAGTGCCTCGTATTCTGCCTCGTTGTTCGAGGCCGGGAAGCCAAGCGTGATAGCTTGCTCCAACAAGGTTCCATCCGGGGTGATGATGACGACACCCGCTCCAGCTCCTTTTTGGTTTGACGCTCCGTCTACCCGCAACTGCCACATGTCTCTAGGTTGGCTAGGTTCAGCGGAGGTCCCGTCTGCTTTTGAACTTTCCTTCTTTTCGTTGACCATTTTCTCTTCTTCGGCCGATGGGGTGAACTCTGCTACGAAGTCAGCTAAAGCCTGGGCTTTTATTGCAGCTTTTGGCCGGTAGAGGAGGTCATATTGGCTTAGCTCTATAGCCCACTTCATGAGTCGCTGAGAAGCATCAGGGCTATGAAGAATTGATCTCAAAGAAAGTCGGTCATGACGATGACTCGATGAGCTTGGTAGTAGGGTCGTAACTTTCTCGCGGAAACTACAAGAGCCAAAATGAGTTTCTCCAATTTTGGGTAACAAGTCTCTGCATCGAGGAGAGCTTTTGACGTGTAGAATACCGGATGTTGGGCCCCCAGCTCTTCTCTGATGAGAGCTGAGCTGACAGCTGAGTTGGACACTGCCAGGTACATGAACAAGTCCTCACCAGGGACTGGCTTTGAAAGCAGGGGAGGTGAAGTGAGATAAGCCTTCAGACTCTGGGAAAGCTACTTCGCACTCCTCATCCCATTTGTCTCTTTGTCCTTTCTTCAAAGCTTTGAAGAATGGTTTGCACTTGTCGGTTGATCTTGAGAGGAACAGTTGAGGGCCGTTGCTCTGCCCGTCAGACTTTGTATTTCCTTCACTGTGGAAGGCGACTTCATCTCGAGAATAGCTTTGATCTGACGTGGGTGTGCCTCGATACCTCGTTGTGTGACTAAGTATCCCAAGAATCGGCCGGAGGATACACCAAATGTGCATTTACTTGGGTTCAACTTCATGCAATACTGGCGGAGCAGGCTGAATGCCTCAGCGAGGTTTTTGAGGTGATCTGCACGTTTTGGGGCCTTGACCAGCATGTCGTTCACGTACACCTCCATAGTTTTGCCGATCTGCTCCTTGAAGATTTTGTTCACCAGTCTTTGGTAGGTTGCTCCGGCGTTCTTCAGCCCAAAAGGCATGACCTTGTAGCAGTAGGTCCCTCTCTCGATGATGAAAGAAGTTTTCGCCTTGTCATCCTCGTGCATCAAGATTTGGTTGTAGCCGGAGTAGGCGTCCATGAAGCTGAGTAGCTGATTGCCAGAAGTGGAATCCACTAATTGGTCGATTCTTGGCAATGGAAAGTTGTCTTTTGGGCACGCTTTGTTGAGGTCGGTGTAATCGACGCAGACTCTCCACTTTCCCTTCTCTTGTTTTGCCACTAGAACAACATTAGCGAGCCACTCCGAGTAGGAGACCTCTTCAATGAAGCCGGCGGCTAGGAGTTTATCAATCTCGGCTTCGATGATGGCGACCCGCTCGGGTGCGAAGTTGCGCCTCTTCTGCGCCACTGGTTTGCAGGCAGGGTTGACGTGGAGTCGGTGACATATGATGTTCGGGTCGATACCAGGCATGTCTGACGGCGACCATGCGAACATATCTTTGTTGTTCTGGAGGAAAGTGGTAAGTTCCACCTTCTCGTCTGGGCTTAGGCGCGAGCCGATCCGCGCTTTTTTGTCTGGCTGGTCAGGATCCAAGGGTATTAACTCGATGTCCTCCTCGGGCTTCCATCCTTCTTCAGGAAAGACCTCTGGACGGATTTCCTCGGCTTGGTCCTGACGCTTTGATTGCTATAAGATAGCAAGGTTCGATTGTTCCACCTCCTTCAAATCTGCCTGGCTTACTGGGAGGAACTGCGCTTGCTTGCTTTTCTTCAGCCCTTTGGGCGGAGCATTTCCTCGCCATTGCCTGATCGCTGTTGATTTGTCCAACACCGCCCCCAGGGATTGGGTACCGAATTTTCTGATGTGTGGCAGAGGTGATGGCGTTGATCATGCCGATCCATGGCCTGCCCAGAATGCCGTTGTAGGGTGAGACCTCATTAATGACCATGAACGTTTGCAAGCAGACTACAGGTGGGGAGTAGACGTCAAGGTCTATTGTGCCCACGGTAACCGTTGTTGCGCCATTGAAGCCGGTCAGCGATCTGGCTGATTTGTTGATCTTTGCCTCCAAGCCCATCTGCTGGATGACAGCCAGTTGCAGGATATTGGCTGCGCTGCCCTCGTCTGCATGGATTCGGTCGACCATGGCCTGAGCGATTTGTATGCTGATGACAAGGGCATCGTTATGTGGCATGTCGAGGCCGATCAGATCTTTCTTTTGGAAGCCGATTATAGGATCGTCTTCTGTTGGTGGAAGGTCAGTCGAGACTTGGGAGATCATAGTGGCCTGTTTGATCTTCCTCTTCTTTTCCTTGCTGGTCAGTCCTGACTCCTTGGCGTCGGCTAGGATTGTGTTAATCCTTATGACCTTCTGGGGCGGTTCCTTGGCGGTGTCTCGATCTTCAATCCGCTGGATGGCCTGCTTCACGATGAACTCCGTGCAGTGACCCTCTTTCACGAGTTCTTCAAGGTGTGCTTTCCAAGCGAGGCAGTTATTGGTAGTGTGCCCGTGTGTCCCATGGAAGGCACAGTATTTGCTTGTATCCCTCTTGTCTGGATCTCCTTTCAAGGGTGGCGGTCTTCTTACCCAAGGTTTGTTTTTCACTTGGGCTAAGATTTGATGTATGGGGATGGTGAACTTGGTGTAGTTCTCTCCTGCTGTACCGTCTCCTTGTGGGTGTGACCTGCGCTTATCCTTGTTCTTGTTGCTAAATCCATCGCTTCTTTGACCTGCCCGCTTAGTCGGTTGATCTTCCTGTTTAGTAGACTTTTTTTGCGGCGATTCGATCGTCATCCCAGAGCGCGTAGCGTTCCGCGGTCGCGTAGACCTCTGCCAGAGTCTGGCTGGGAGTGATAGTCAGCTCGCGGTACAAGTCGTGTTCAACTGGGAGGCCTTTCTTGAAAGCAGATGATGCGATCCGGTCGTCACATCCTACAATGTTGGCCTTTTCTGCTTTGAATCTCTTGATGTAATCTCGAAGGGATTCGTCGGACTTCTTGCGCAGGTTGTACAGGTGGTCAGGGTTCTTCTTGATCGTCCGGTAGGAGGTGTACTCTTTGGTGAAGACGTAAGCCAACTCCTTGAAGCTGTTGATCGACCCAGATGGCAGGGTGTGGAACCAATCTTGGGCTGCTCCTCGCAAGGTCACTACGAATACCTTGCACATCAACGCGTCGTCGGCCTTGTGGAGGATCATGACACTTTTGAAGTGTTTTAGGTGACTCTCGGGATCGGAGTCCCCTTTGAAGTGTGTAAACGAAGGCGTGGAGAATCGCTTCGGGGGAGCAGCCTGCTCGATTTCGGCAGTGAAAGGTGTGGAGTTTGCCTGGTCGATCTCCTTGCGTAGTGCATCGTCGAGGTTCCCACCAGTCTTCAGATCTCGAAGTCGGTCATTCATAAGCTTCTCAACGTCCTCCATGCACATTGTTGGTCGATCACGTTGGCGACCTTCGCGATTCGGACGACGTTGACTGACCTCCTCCTGGGTCTGCGAGTGTCGACCTTCTCGTCTGCGCTGCCTAGGCGGAGTGTTGGTGGACTGCGCTTGCGAGAGATTCTCCGTAGTTGTCGACGAGAGCCGTCTCTTCGTGAGTGAGCAGCGGAGCGTCTTTCTTCGCGGTCCTCATTGTGAGGATTATCCGGTTGACCACCCTGGGGACGTAGCCTCTCGTGAATGTTCGTCTGCGAGTGGACAGCCGAGCGTCTTTCTTCACGATCCTCGTTGCGATGGTTGTCTGATTGTCCTCCTGGGGGCCTAGCCTTTGAAGTACATTTCCCTGCGGTCCCAAGCGGGCGTGGACGTCAAGTCGTGGGCCTAGCCTCTCGCGCATGTTGTTCCTCGAACTTAATCTGCTCCGAGTGGGGCTCGCGGATGCTTGTGACATGTCGGTAGGCCGATCAAGTTGTTGTCCCTCGCCTTGTCTGCCTACTCCTGCTTGACCTGCTGGGTACCCGTTGAGTTGCCTGCCGGTGCGTTCGTCCATCCTTCTCTCTTCGCCTAGTTGTCCAAGGCCAAGGTTTTGAGCCAAGCTGATTTGGTGGAGGAGTTGCCTCATCAGATCGCTTTGGTCGTCCATTCTCTGAGCTAGCTGGTCAACTCTCAGACTAAGGTCTGCTTGACTTCGTGGATCAGGAGGAGAGAAGTGTGTGGAGCCCAATTGCACACGGGCTAGGGTTTCATTGGAGGTGTGCGCGGGAGCATGTGTCGAGCGTGGAGGCAATGGAGGGATCGCTTGAAGTTGCTCCAAGATCGGGCCTAAGTCACGGTGGTAACAAGCCCACCTTGATAGGAGGTTCCACCATGTTCGGCGGCGGTGGCCGGTGCGGTGGTGAGAGGTGGTGGGGCCACCATGTCGATCGCGGGATCGTGGGCGGAGTGGCTTTGGGCCGTCGCGGATTTAGCCATCGCGGCGGTTTTGCCTCTCGTCTTCATGCTTCCAACCATGGTTGTTTGGAAGGCTTCGGTGGATTGGAAAATAGGAGGAACGGATTCCTTGAGCACGCGTTGAGTATAACTCGTGCTCTCAATGAAAGCACCAATTTGGAGGGAATGATTTTCCCCACGAGAATATTCGTCAAAGATTCCTTCGTCTTCTCCGCTTCTCTTTCTCTCTGCAAAACAGATCGGAGTAAAAGGACCACACCCGGGGGGTGTTGGCCAAAGGCCCTCCGATGCCTAAGTTAGGTAAGGTATTTCAAGGAAAACCGGGTGGCCGGAGCCGTGTGTGGTGGCCGGAGCCTTGTGTAAGGGAGAGAAAGAAAGTGGTGGCTAGGGTTTGTGAGAAATGATTTCTGCAGAGTTTCAGTAGGAATTTAGACGTACCTCCACCATTGTGTGTGGCTATGCTTTTATAATGGTCTTGGAGGCTAGGGTTTCAGAGGAATAATTCCGTAGATGGAAGGGAATTATTCCTCCCCTTTATGGAATTGATTTGATTAATTAGGGATTTGATTTATTAGGGTAAATCAAATCCCTAATTGTGGTAGGTATCAAATCAAATCCTATTTCAATTAGGTAACTCCTCATTTAATTGAGAATCGGGGTAGGAATTAGGAATCAATTCTCAACCCAATTAGGTAGTCTTCAATTTAATTGGGTAACCCCCAATTAAATTGAGTAACTCCCAATTAGGTTGATTAATTCCCAATTAGGTCAAATAATCCCCAAATGGAATGAATTATTTGACCTAGGGTTTTGACTTAATTTTTTTTTTTTTTTTTTTTTTTTTTTTTTTTTTTTTTTTTTTTTTTTTTTTTTTTTTTTTTTTTTTTTTTTTTTTTTTTTTTTTTTTTTTTTTTTTTTTTTTTTTTTTTTTTTTTTTTTTTTTTTTTTTTTTTTTTTTTTTTTTTTTTTTTTTTTTTTTTTTTTTTTTTTTTTTTTTTTTTTTTTTTTTTTTTTTTTTTTTTTTTTTTTTTTTTTTTTTTTTTTTTTTTTTTTTTTTTTTTTTTTTTTTTTTTTTTTTTTTTTTTTTTTTTTTTTTTTTTTTTTTTTTTTTTTTTTTTTTTTTTTTTTTTTTTTTTTTTTTTTTTTTTTTTTTTTTTTTTTTTTTTTTTTTTTTTTTTTTTTTTTTTTTTTTTTTTTTTTTTTTTTTTTAGAAGGACTCTAAAAGTTTATCCAAGTTTTTTACACAACCATTTTGTTATAATTTTTCTCTGCTGAGGAGTGAAGATTAAAGAAACCAAAAGAGTAATATTCGAGTCATATGAAATAAAAAACCTGCACATTCTTTTGCTACTTTGCCTTCTATTTTGCATTAAAACAGAATACTCTGCAGTTTAAAGTACTCTAAGGTTACATCCAATTTCTTTTTCTTTTTCTCTTCTACTTGTTATTAGTTGTTAACATTCATTGGTTGTTTTCCATGTAATGTTTCAGGAAGAAATGACTTGCACCTTAACTGGCCTACACGCTTCAATATATTGTTGGGAACAGCAAGAGGACTTGCTTACCTTCATGAGGAGTCAACGCCCAGAATTATACATCGAGATGTCAAAGCAAGTAATATTTTTCTGGATGCAGAACTCTCCCCAAGAATATCGGATTTTGGATGGGCAAAGCTTTGTGATGACGAGAAAACACACATGAGCACCCGGGTTGCAGGCACAATGTAAGCCCTCATTTAAGTTATACAATGTAATCATGACTAGGGAGAGTGTAATCCAAGCAGCATTTTTAGTAAACATTTGATAATCTTGTAGAGGCTATTTGACGCCGGAGTATGCAATGCGCGGACATCTGACAGAAAAGGCTGATGTTTTTGGTTTCGGGGTTGTTGCTTTGGAGATCCTCAGCGGGAGACCAAATTCTAACAAGAACTTGGATCCTAAGAAGATTTATCTTCTTGAATGGGTAGGAAAACTTAGCCTAGCTACTTTTGTATTAATATTTTGGTCCTTAGAAGTCCTTATAAGTCATTTTACAAATGAGTGAATAGTACCAACCCTTGCCTCCTCTTACCTTTTGCCATGGCAAATGGGTGGAAATGCTCTTAGCACCCGAACTAATTTATATTGCGAATTTTAGACCAACCGTTAGATTTAAGTCAATTTAACCAAATTGCTGTTAAAAATCAGACATGAGGTGCACGTGTAACCTAATTTGAGGGCAATTTGGTCCTAACCTTTTCCCTCTCGAAGCCCATCGTCCCCATTTCCCTGAAAACTTGAAAAGCAAACTAGAAAAAGAAAATGAAGTTTGCAGCCCACCTCGAGAAAATATGCAGAGTAATCAAGTTCCTCATTTGGTAACTCTATCTGTGCCAAAATACTCCAACTATTTGTGATTTGTGATTATTTTGTATATCAAAACCAGCTACGCTTGGTTGCTGTGAAAATGGAAGAACACTAATCCCCAATTAAACAAAACAAAGTGCAGTTTTGTGCCCTTTGATTTATGATTTTTTTTGCTTTATGAAAAATGTAAAACACCCATCTCAGTAATACCAAATTGTTGTTTTAAAATCTAATAATGTTTAAAACTACAACTTTCTCGGCAGCCAAATAGATCCTTAACTTTATTTCGATGCTAATTGTGAAAAGTTTTGTTCTTGGTTTATGGTAATTTGGATGAAATTGCCTCAAATATAACGAGTATAGCCGCAGTAAAGCCATGCGGCTATACTATTTTTTAAAAATTTCTAAAAATGAGTATAGCCGTTCGGCCGAACTATTTTTTGAAAAAAAAAGATAAAAAAGAAGGGGTATGGCTGCACGGCTATACTATTTATATATTAAAAAAAGGACCCGCTTAGCGCTAGGCGCCATCTGTCAAAACAGTAAAGCCGAGCAATTGCAATAGGGTGACGACAAATTATGCTAGCGACAGACAGAGTGAAGATGATGAGGGACGACGACGGCTAGACGTGGAATTAGAAAAACTTAGAGAGAGCAAGGCTCTCCTTGATAACGAGAGAACGACCACCGAAAAAAGACACATTGCCTTGAATGGCTAAAAGAGGTAAAACCATATCCATAGGGAACCATCAAAAGACAGTTTGTTGAAATATAGACAAATTTATACAACCGTACATTTCACAAAAAAAAAAAAAAAAAAAAAAAAAAAAAATAAAGAAGGTCGTGATGATATGTGAAGTCAAGATTTGTAGCATCTTTACAAGAAATTTTTCTATGCGAACATAATGCCATCATATGGTGTTATTAATGCACCTATTACAATATAAGCAAACGATAAGTGCACAATGTAGTTTTGAGAGGCTCACTAAAAAACAACCCTCATTTTTACAGGAAATGTTGACGTGAGCCTTCCTAATTAATCAATGAGATTTATTTCCTTGATTAATTAAGGGATTTACTTTGTTATTTTATATAGTTGACAAATCATTGTATAATTAGGAGATACTATCATAATTGATTACTGTATCTATTTCCTTGTAAAGCACTCATGTAAAGTCTTATATATACCTACTTATGAAGAAGAATACAACTTAAGGCCAGTTTGGCATTGCTGTGCTGTGAAAATAATCGATGTCAAATTTGCTGTGAGAGAAATCAGCTGTGAAATAAAGCAGTTTGGCGTTTGGTAAAATTTTTGTTAAAAGTGTTGTTGGTATTGATTTTACGCATAATTAGAAAATGATTGCTGCATAATCATTAAACCCAGCGCCTCTTCGAAACTGATTCCTGCATAATCAAAAAATGAAAGCACTTCATTAGTTGCTTTTCCCTTATAGCTTTCTCTCACATCAATTTTTAACAATAACTGATTCTCACAATTTACCAAACGGGTTGGGCTTCTCAAATTTTTTAAAAATCACTTATCACCCCAAATAAGCAATGCCAAACTAGCACTTAACCTAAAGTATTCAAACCATATTCATATTTTAACAGGAAACTCATGTTCTCTTCCAATTTAATTAAGATTTAATTTTTTGTTTTCAAATGCGGGTTAAGTCCACGTGGACCTTTGTGAATCTAGAAGGTCAGTTATATTAGTTAAGAAATGCTTTGCCCGCTAGTTTTTCTTACTTTTGGCTAGATTGGGCTTTTGTACCTACCTTGAATGACGATGATCCATTAAGTTGGGCTTGGAACACCTAAGTTAGGAGTGGGCCTTTAAACCGGTAAATTGGTGAATCGAACCGAGCTGGAAAAACTGCAAAAATCGATTTTGGCTTGGATCGTTTTGAGTTCTTGATTTTTGCCATTTCTAATTTCTTTTGGGAGAGTGAATATTTCCGAGAGAGTAGGTAAGCTTTACAGATCAAATTGTGATCTAAAATAGACGCGCAGCAGCCCTTGTTTACCAATTCAAACCACAACTTTTCATGGAGAGGACTTTCATGATCTGACATACCCTTCAGAAAAGTGCAATGAAACGAGCATCATTGAGAAGGGTTGGAATTGTAAACTAATCTGGAAGTCCCCTTATATATAATATATAATTGATAAATTATAGACCTCAATAGTAGAAACTGATATGCGTCCAACACAATTGTTAAGTGCATATCGTCTCTTCATTATACTATATATATTTGATAAATTATGTGCATATCTACTTAAAGAATTCAAATATAAATATAAATAAAAAAATAAATTTGAATAACACAATTATTAAGTTTAAATTTAATTTGTGTACAAAAGTGAAGCTGATGGAGTAGAATTGGAAGCGGAAGATGAGGTGAATTGTGATGAATTGGTGTTGTAACCATAACTTAAAGACTCTGTTTGACCCCTTTCAGAACCAGTAACATCACCGGACAAGATTGAAAATGATACCGGAGGAGAAAAGTAGCTGGCTACTGGCATCTTTGATGGAAGAATAGGCGGCGCAACTTCTAAGCTAAGAACTTGAATGATTTGTTGTGTCGAAGGCCTGATCTTGTAATCTGGATGAGCACACCACAACCCAACAATCAACAAGCACTCTATTTGTTTCTCATCAAAATCCCCACACAATTTTGGGTCAGCTGCTTCAATGACTTTCCCTTGTCCATAAAGCTCCCAAACCCACTCTACCATGTTGATTTTACTTGCTCCCAACTTGGGATCAATGGGTTTTCTCCCACAAGCTATCTCCAAAGCAACAACTCCAAAACTGTAAACATCTGTTTCCTTGCTAGCCTTTCCTGTGGTGACACATTCAGGAGCCATGTAGCCCATGGTTCCAGCCAGAACAGTGGTTTGTGATTGTTTCCCATGGTCAACAAGTCGAGCCAACCCGAAATCTCCCAGTTTGGCGTTGAAATTCGAATCCAACATAATGTTGCTGGATTTGATATCTCTGTGCAACACACATTGTTCCCATTCTTGTGTAGATAGAACAATCCGGACGCCAAGCCTTGAGCAATTCTGTACCTTGCCTCCCAAGCTAACAAGCTTTTTCCTTTGAACAAATGGGAATCTAAACTTCCATTGGACAAGAACTCGTAAACAAGTAGGAGTTCTCTCTTTTCGTGGCACCAACCAATGAGTTGCACCAGATTTCGATGCCTAAGTCGACTGATGATTCTTACTTCTGCTGCATACTCTTTCAGCCCCTGTCTAGACCCACTTGATACCCTCTTAACAGCAACAAATGAGTTCAAATCTTTACAAAGCCTCTGTAAACCCCACCAAACCCTCCCTCTCCAAGCTTCTCTCCCTCGTCAAAATCATTTGTCGATCGAGCCAATGCCTTGTATGAAAACTTCTTCGGGCCTGTCCCCTTTTCGAATTCCTCATCAATTGGGTCGTTGACCATAGGATCTTCGTCATCACTACTTTCCCCTGCTCCCCCCTTCTTCCAGAAAATGAACCGAACCAAACAAAACCCACCAACCAAAAGAACACACCCACCAACAACTAGACCAACCACTAGTCCAATATTGATGCCATTTCCTGACTTGGGTTCAACATGGGGGTTGGCTCAGGAGCTACTGGTGTGTTGTCAATCAGCGATGTCGAATTGAAACTCCATGAGTTGATCTTGTGCAGAGCAGTGATATGACCTGTTGCAGCAGAGAACCCAACAATCACCCAACCCTGCAAAATCTCATTCAGATCAACCTTGTAATCAAGATACCTCTCAACCCAGACACCATTTTCATAAGTAGTGAAGGTAATGCTAAGATTTTTCGATCCAGAATCATAACGAATCGAAGCACTATTGACTCGTCCCTGTGTAATGCTACCATTCCACGCCTTGGTAACTCTAGACTTGACAGAGTTGACATCAATACCAACATGATCGCCCCTGGGATCTTTGATAGCAGCCTCTACATTGTAAAAGATGTCAAACTCCACTGCCACAAACGGGTACAGATTCGTGGACTCGTTTGTTCCTGAGTGTTTGACGGGGAGGCCAAGAGAGCCGCCTCCGCCTATTGTTGTGTTGAGTGCAGACCCGTTTGGCGCCAAAAAGAAGGCGAGCCCGTCTGCATAGGTTGTGTTGCCTAGCGAGTCGATGGCGAATGTGAAATTTGTGGTGAAGTCGGCGAGTTTTCTGGTGGCATTGTCGCGGAGGAGGAAGGGTTGGCTGTAGGTGGCTCGGCCGACGCTTTGGTATCGCACCTGGTCAGCAGCGCTTTTGGTGAGTCGGAGGAATTCGCCGTCTACGGAAGCATTTCCCTCGAGAGATAGGTTGTTGATGTCATAATTTGTGAAGGTGGGGAAACTGAAGCTTAATGAGGATGCACAAGGGGCTAATAGAAACAAGAGAAGAAGAATGACAACCATTTCTAATTTGCTGGTAAGGTTACAGATCAAATTGTTGCGTCTAAAATAGAACAGAGAGTGTATAGAGAGTTTAATATTTGAAAGTGCTTTAATCAGCAGTTGGTTTCTTACCAATTCAAATCAAAATAATTTTCCTTGAACTTGATCACGCTTGACATGCACTTATTTAATTACTTATGCAGGATTGCCGTCCTGGTAGAATATATTAAGTTTAAGTGATCCAATTTCAAGCCAAGTAGTTGTTTTCACAATATTGGCCTCATCATTCAGCATCTGTTCCTAATAATTAATCTGGTGGCTTAAGATTAAAGAAAGATCATGGTCTAAATTTTCTTGTTTATTACTCTGTGTCTTTTGTGTGGAGTTCTATTGGTTGGCGTGGGCTGAGAGTCTGACACATGTTTTGTGGGAACTAAAATGTCTTAGAGTGTCGATGCGAGCTACTCGGTTCAGATAAGGGTTCACACATCCCTCCCTGTCAGAACTCTTACCTATCTGGGTTCGAGCTTCAATGCGAGCGATGCGTTCTGTAAGTTGCCATAGCATCCTCCTAATTTCCTCCATGTCGTTGTAGTTGTCAACACGACCCTCCATCCAAAAACCTCCCCGATAAAGCAGATCTTGAGCCATAGCTCTGATACCAATTGATGGGGATCGGGATCAGGACACAGGTCACCAACCACATACACGAGCGCCAAAATCTAGGGCTAGTGCAAACTCACATATATCGTAGCAAATCCGTGCCACAAATAAACTGTTTCATTAATCATCAATATTACATTTTCTACAACTATTACAATAGCCTTATTTATAGGCTTTACAAGACTTGGGCACCAAGACTGCTTGGTCCAAAAGTAAACTAATTAATAATAAAATCACACATAAATAATAAAAGATATCCTAAAACTACATAAATAAGAAAATAACAATATATCATGAAATAACTAATTAAATGATAAATATCTATCTTGATCCACCCCTATGCTCCTGCATCAGTTGGTGTTTATATTTTGTTGAGATATATATATATATATATATAATCATTTTTTTATTAGTCACAGATTGTTATTTTTTCCAACACATGGTAGGTGCCGACGTTCTCAGTTTCTCCGGGATTTCTGGTGAGTGATGAGGTTGCTATCAATATCAGCAACACCCTCGAGGGATATGTTGGTGGTGGCATTGGAAAAGCTTGGGAAGTTGAAGATTAAAGGAGATGCAGAAGAGAACAGAAAGAAGAGAAACAGCAGGAACATAAGCTTTGGTGGTGAGTGTAGTGGGATGATCCCTTTCCCATAATTATTGAAAACCATATCTAACTTTTTGTGGAGACTGTTTGCAGAATAATCATATCTTATATAGTGCAGAATGCAGATCACTGCAGAGTTAAAGCTACCAAAGGTGCTGTTCTTGTTTCTTTTTTTTAATCTTTCTTTGCTTGCTGGGTTTTGCCCCCTTGTAAAACAGAAAAAAAAGTTTCCAGCGCAGCCATTGTTTTTACCAATTCATATCAGAACAAATATCCTCGGAACGACCCGAGTCTTATAGTTCATTCTTTATGGAAGTGTTCGAAAGCAAACAATTGACCTTTCAGTTTGACATGGTAATTGTTTATGTTTGGTTGCTGGCACGCCGTCCTCGTACATAAGCAAACGATTCCATTTGAAGTCAATCAATTTTCAGTTGGGCAATGGCAGAGAGACTCTCTGTTTGAGTTCGTGTATCTTGTTGTATTTTAGATTTTTATTGTTTGCAAGTGGTGAAGTTAAAATATAATATTGTTGACGGTCCGAATTTCTTGTCTATGTGTATTTGGATTGTGCTTTGTTTCTTTCGTAAATTAACAAATGGACGGCAGCAGAAGACTTGGAAACCGTCGTTGGAAGTTTTAGAAGTATAGTGATCAACTTTGTTTTCTTCTTAATCAAAATCCAGACATTGCTATTTTTTATTTATTTATAGAAAGAGATTTTGTTCATAAAACCAAAGGCATACGAAGAGAGACACGGTATAGTGACCTCTTTAAAACCTTCGTAGGACAACCTCACGGGACAAACCCTAGGGGAGGAAAGAGTCCTAATACCCTTAGCCCAAGCCCTTTGCAAACCTCTAAGGAGACTCCATAACTCAGCCTCTGGAGGGAACATGCATTTAAATTTAAACTCATGGATTTTAAGCTACAACATACATGAATCAAACATTCAAAGAGGGGGAAGTGACTTTTAGATCTTATTAAGCCTAATGCTACCAAATTCCAAGTATCTTTCTATGCTAATCTCACTTATGCATAATCTCACTTATGCACAAAAGAAAAGGGAGGAAAAGGATGAGACTTTCTTATCCTTGAAGCTCTCTTGGATGGTCTCTGAGTTTTCACCTTTGGAAAGACCTGCTTCCTTGTTGCTTGCTTCATAGAGTCTTCACAAGGTACCAAAGTAGATACCCTCTAGTTCATACACACAAAAGTAGTGTAAGAGATGAAGAAGATGACCAAGAGGAAGTAAGGTGCTAGCCCTCTCCTCTTGGTGGCCGTTCTAGCATGGTAGAGTGGAGATTTCTCTCCTCTCAAACCCACTCCAAAGTTGGATTCTTCAAACCCTAGAAAGAAAACGGTCTAAGTGTGGCTTATATAAGCCAATACAAAAGATGAAGCAAAACCCCACCCTTGTATTTTAGCCATAGTGTTTCTTGGGCTCATTTAACTTTTCAGACAACACCTGTTCTGTTGGGCTCGTTTAATTCCAATTTTTTTAGATCTTGAAAATAGTTTGGAGTTCAATACCAAACAAGTTTTTGATCTTAAAATCACTCTTTGAAAACTCATGTTTTTAACAAGAATCATAGTTTTTGAATTTACTTTTTTAAGTAGGGTACAAAATCGGGCTTAAAGCTCCCAAAATATTAAGGCTTATTTTATGATATGCCTCCTCAAAGTGTATTTGAGTCTCACTTTGCCCCTTGAAACTCATTTGGTCTCACTTTACTCCCTTTTTCATACATATTTGTCTCACTTTGTCTAGATTTCGGCGAGGCCAACAATTTCCGTTCAAAATATTAATTTAAAATTAAAAACTCAATTAATATACATTATGTTTTAAATATCTAATCTTATATATACAAATTAATATATATATATATATATACATACTCATGTGTATGCTAATTAGTTTTTTATTTTTTAATTTTATTCAAAATTAAGAAAGAGAATCCAACAAAAAAAAGAAAAAAAAAGAGAGGTTGTGTTCCACAAAAATAAGACTCATTTTCTTATTTTTGTTTTATTTTAAAATTTTTTAATATAAAAAAGTATTGATTGACTATATTATCCTTATTTAATGCATGCAATGCATACATAAAAATATTACCTTCACTGAGCTTGATTGCATTTTTAATTATGAAGTTGATCTTAGTTGCAGTAGCCAACCTAGCACTAACTTGAACTAGCATAAATTCTTTGAACTTCATAATACATATGAGATTACATGTTTATCAAGGAAAACAAAAAACATTAGCTAAACAAAACCTAATACCTTGAATTAAAAATGTTTTTTCATGAGGACTTGCCAAATTTGCTTTGGTTGGGGACGAGAAGTCAAGATCTAGTCCTCGATGCTAGTTTTAACATATATTTTATTAAATCCCGTAGAATTAAAAATGTTTTTCATGAGCCAAAATTAAATTTGCTTTGTTTTGGGAGACGAACGAATCTAGTCAACAAGACTTGACCAGATTCTATTCTCAATGCTAACATAACTTTTTTTTTCAGTCTAGAATTATATGTTTTTTTATGACAAACTAACTGGCTATGTTGCACGGACATGAGTACGAGGACACGGGAACGCTACACGGGGACACGGCGACACGGAAAATCTCAAAAAATTAGGGCACGGGTACGGCTAGGACACAATAATTAAAATAATAATTTATTCTCAATACTTCAATGTTACATAATTCCATAAAACAAAACAAATAACTGATGTTCATTATCCATACATAATAATTAATAGACCAAAAAATAAAACATAAATGATCTAACTCTCAATCTTCTTCAAGCATCTATGTCTTCATTGTTGTTGTTGTTATTATTTATTGTGTTTCTCTTAAAAAAAACAGAAGAAAGAATTGTCACCTCACCACCAAGTCCAACTCTTCCACTGCTATGGAAGGAGATAAGAAAAGAAAATAGAGAACATAAATAAATGCATTTGAAAATAGAGAAAAACCAGCAGAAGGGGAGGAGAAGAGCTGTGACGGAGGAAATGAACTTCGGCAGCAGAAAAAGTGAGATTTAGGTTTAAAAAAGTCTTTTTTCACTTTTAGCCCCTATTTTTAAAAATATTTTAAATCAGTCCACCAAAGATTCAAAAATCCGTTTAGACCCCAGATTTTATTTTGAAAATTTCAAACTGGTCCCTACCGTGTCTTGACCGTGTCAGAGCTGTGTCTTAACCGTGTCGGAGCCGTGTATTGACCATTTCCCAACCGTTGACCATGTCCAATGCGTGTCGGGGGCGTGTCGGAGCTGTGTCGCCGTGTCAGCGTGTCCGACACTCCGACACTCCAGCAGTTTGGAGTGTCCGTGCAACATAGCTAACTGGCACTGGAATTTATAAAACCAAACCACCTACCAAAAAGAAATTTTATTTATTTATTTATATTAAGAAGGGCAATTTAAACAATTTAGTAAATTTAGATTTTAGCTACAAAAAAACTTTCACTTTTGGAAAAAGCCAAATTTTTTTCGAAAAAGACAGAAAAACCCCTCAACTTTCAAACCAAAGACATGCAAATGTAAATGATTCTTTAGAAAATTCAAAAATAATAAGGGCATTTTTGTCCCTTTAAACTTTATACATATTTCAACAATAGAACGAGAAATACTACTAAATTAATAATTAGTTGGCAAAATAAAATTTACTTTTGTTTAACGAGGTTTAGTGGACAGTAAAAATTGGTACGGGTTACGGATATAGTGAAATATTAAAATACATTTTAAATCCTAATCACCCTCCCTCAATATCGCTTATATCAAAATATTTTAAACTCTTACCCACCTCTCCTATTAGTTAAAAAACATAGCTCTAAGATTCACATTATAACAACAATAAAGTATTCTGACATACTTTTATTTAACGAGGTACCCACTTAAATTGAAACAAAATACAGCTAATTACATCGTTAGGAACAAACCAATTAGCAACAAGATGCCTCTCGCGCTAATTGGACAGAAATCAGTGAAAACCGCACTAGGTGTTGGTGTAAACAAGAACTCTAGAAGCTAATTTTAACATTTTTTTATTATTACTTATCCAAGGCTTAGGCTTGAATTCAATATGCTTTTCATGAACCTTGCCAAAATGGAAATTCTCATTACATCACTAGCTAGCTAGCAACAAGACAATCAATTATATCGGCCATCGTCCAAAATATCCAATAAGGTCTTGCTTCTTTATTGCCGATTCAAAGACATTGGAATATTTTAAAAGTATAGCCGATCGGCTATACTCTTGAAATATATCCCAGATGAACACCAAGCTTGCACTCGCGGTCAAGCCATTTCGCTTCTCTATCAACTCAAGCTTCGATTGTTTTCTTTGGTTTCGGCTGCTTCGTCCTTTGGTTTCGGCAACGAAAAAAGACCCAACCTGCCTAGGCGCCCGCCTAGCTACCGCCTAGCCGCCTAGCGACCGCCTAGCATCCTCGCGCCCGCCTAGCGACCGCCTAGCCGCCTTGCGCCTGCCTAGCGACCACCTAGCCTCCTCGCGCCTTCCTAGGGACAGCCTAGCCGCCTCGAGCCCGCCTAGCGACCGCCTAGCCACCTAGCCGCCCGCCTAGGCCGAATTTTCGAACACTGCGATTGACTGAAAGTCTGAAACAACAATGGCCTCTTTCAGCGTCCTTTGGCTTCTTTTGCAGTCTATGCTTTCTCAGCTGCTTCTGGTTTCATGTGTCCATGGCATAAATACGTTATGTGATGTGTACGCAATGATTGAATTGAGAATGCAGTGACGACGTTGATCTCAATATTCAAACAATGGGACATGCAAGCCCTGCCTATCAGTGGAGGAGAGCAATGCATTGGATTTGCCATCAATGGAAGCGAGTTTGAAAAGCCAGAGAATAATCCAGCCATCACTTGTTCCTTTCCAGTCGAGTTCATGCTCTGAACAAACGAGGGGTGTTTCCAAAAGAATTTGAGGCTTTAAGATATCTGGCCGTTTTGTATGAAGGTTTTCCAACCCCCTTCTCTGTTGTTTGGTTTATCGCAGTCAACATTTTCATATAAAAGACACAGGTTTCTTACAGTTCAAAATTGTCACGAATATTTTTATACTCAGAGATTAATCGCTGGTCATTGCATTTTGTTTCAATTCTTGTAGGAAACTTGATCTGAACTATTTCACCGGTCCCCTACCAGCATTCATCGGCAATATGTCTGCGTTGACAGTATTGTAAGTAGTGAAACATAGACTCCCAAGTGAGTTATACCATATGGCCAAAGAAGCACATAGTACTATACCTGAATTATAAACGGGTGCTAATATCTTTAATTGATATTTCCATTCAGGTCAATTGCCCACAATTCATTCTCTGGGCCCATCCCCAAGGAACTTGGAAACCTTAAGGACATTCTCGGTAAGCAAAGACAACTGAGAAATGCTCTATTGGGACATGTTAAATATAGAACCCCCTATCATTTAATTCTATACCCCTTCAACATGACTTGTTGCAGGTCCTTTGGATCAAATAATTTCTCCGGAACACTCCCTCCAGAACTTGGTAACTTAGTCAATCTCGGGCTATTGTGAGTGCTTCATTTAACTCATCGAATTTGAATCACATGTTGCAATGTGTAATTATTTTCTCTTAAAGGAGTGGTTTTTATGATTAATTCATTATCGATGAGCAAGGAATGCGTTTATCGTATGAAATTGATAGCAATCAGTTTATTATTTTCACAGTTACATGGACAGCTGTGGACTCGGTGGAGAAATTCCTTCAACATTTGCTAAGCTCATCAACATGAAAATCCTGTAAGTTTTTTGTTTATTCGGTACTTTGAGATTTCTATTCTGGGATGAGCTTACTATGAGTCAACTTTTTGAATTTTAGCTATGCATCAGACAATCCTTTCTCAGGAAAGATACCTTCATTCATTGGGAATTGGAGAAAACTGACTTCTTTGTATGGCAAACTTTTAACCTTCTGCAGTTTATGAAAGCAGATCTGCATGGCTGAGATCGGTCTTTTATTCACAAGCATCTCAAGGGAACTCTTTTGAAGGCCCAATTTTTCTGACTTCATTGGAATCTCTGTGAGGGCAAATGCTCAATAAATTTTAAACTCTCTCTCTCTCTCTCTCTCCCCTCCATTTACTGGGCATCATTTATGTTTGTGTATGATAATGAAGGCGAATTAGTGATATATATTATATGAGCTCGTCTCTGGATTTCATAAGAAATTTGAAGAACTTAACTGATTCGTAAGTTATCACCTCATTCATTCACGCACTGTGATCAAACTTCGTTTTCCTTTTCAAATTGAAAATCTTACTCCATTCACTTGTCCACTAATTGTTTTTTGGTAGTGTAACAGAGTTCTACGGAATACATCAATCAATGGTAGCATCCCTATTGATTTTGGAGAATATGAACGTTTACATATACTGTACATTCCGGCAGATATATAAGCTTGAATCCCAGAGATACCAATTAATTTTCTTATCATTCTAATTGTTCGTCTAAATTATCACTCATGTTGCAGGGATCTGGGTTTCAACAATTTAACAGGCGAACTCCCAAGTTCTTTGTTCAACATGAGTTCTCTTACATATTTGTAATAAGGCCCGCCTTCATTATTCCCCTTTTCTGTACTTATGCCATTGAATTTCCTGCTCAGAAACTTAGTCGTTCATCTGACCTTTTTCTTGTTTCTTTGTTTGTTTGTTTTTTTGTTTTTTTTTCTGGGGGCCTCCTATAATTGATATGGCCAGATTTCTTGGAAACAATAGTCTGTCTGGACCTCTTCCAAGCCAAAAGAGCAATCAACTTCAGAGTATGTAAGTCCTAAAGTCATAAAAGTATACTATATGTTGAGCGCACATTCTGGCAGCCTTTTTCTTACTTAAATTCCTTTGAACTTTCATGCATTTTTGTGCCTTCTCATTCTGTATTGCTATGTGCAGAGATTTGTCTTACAACTATTTCTCAGGAAGCTTTCCCCCATGGGTAACCACAATATTGCAACTGTATGTCTCCTTTTTATCTTTCACCTTCATTTTTATGGTCCAAATCACCTTCATTGTGCATATATAATACCACATGAATGAAATTCAATAAATTAGAAGGGATGGATTTAAAGTACTGATATGTTGAGATCTTGAACACGAAATTTTCATCTTCATATGTGGATTGATTAATGATTTTATGCAGGAATTTAGTGGTCAACAACTTCACATTTGACAGTTCAAACATAACTGAGTTGAATCGAAATACCCTTTTTTTAGACAGATAGTTCAAACATAAAGTGATTGCAATTACACTTTTGCAGCTTAATGGATTCTTCCACTACAGTTTAATTATTATAAATAATAATTGTTCTCTGTGTTTACAGTCTTCCTGGATTGAATTGCCTCCTGAGGAATTTTCCATGCCATCGAAATACCCCACGATGTAATCTTCTTCTATGTTTTACTAGCATTTATTTCTTTAATGCAAGATCATGTTACAGCAATAGGCGTTGCTTATCTCATTATGTATACAAACTGTAGGAATGTCTTGATAAATCTATTAAGCATATCTTGTGCTATTACATCTGTTTGAAGTTTTTTGACTAATCATATCTTGTGCTATTACATTGAATTGTACAGATACAAACTTCTCAATCAAGTGTGGAGGACCACAAATGAGAGGAAATGATGGCATATTGTAGGAGGCTGAAGACTCTTGGCCCAGCAACATTTAATGTAACCAGTACACAGAAATGGGCTGTTAGCAATGCAGGTTTTTCTCAGAATTTGAATCAATCATTTGTGGAAACCACCCTTACGCAAGTCTCCGGTGCAGATTTGACACCAGAGCTTTTCGAGACTTCAAGAGTGTCCCTAGGTTCACTGAGATGCTATGGCCTGGGTCTTCAGAATGGACCTTATACTGTAACATTGCAATTTGCAGAAACGGATTTTGCTAGCCGCGATACACAAACTTCACAAAAGTCTAGGAAGGCGTGTATTTGATATCTATATTCAAGTAAGGCTGTTAATAAAGAAAAAAAAACTTAAGCTATTTAAAGTTAAGGCAACCTCATTAGGCAGAATTATTTAACTATCTCTTCATTTGTTTCCTAGGGGAACCTCAGAAGGAAGGACTTCGAAGGAGGTAGGTGGGGTTAACAGAGCAGTTCCAAGACCCTTCAAGGTTAATGTGACCGAGAATTACCTAGATATTCATCTGTTCTGGGCTGGTAAGGGAACATGTTGCATACATGAACAAGGTAATTACGGCCCGCTAATATCAGCTGTCCACGCTGCTTCAGTTATATAATATAATGTCAAGTTATGAATATTTCCTATGAATGGTTTAAATGCATTTATCTGCTGTCAATTGATTGACACACTGAACAATTATTCTGTTTCATTGCTCAGATCTTACACCATCTACTCCAGGAAAGAAGAGCAGGACTGGGTTGATAGTTAGTATTGCAGTCCCTGTCGGAGTAGTGATCTTGCTATTATTATTTGCAATTTTATATATGCGGAGAAAAACATCAGAAAAAGATGACGATGAAGGTAAAAGGACAATGAGCATATTATTAAGGGTTAATTCTGCATGCGGTTCTAGGTTCTTTCTAGTGTTGATAAGCATATTTGAGAGAAAATACTTCCGATGTGTTGTTTCGAAATTTAAACCTATGTCATACTCTCTTTTGAATATGCAGATCTTCTAGGATTAGGTCCCCGACCAAATACTTTCAGTTATGCTGAGTTGAGCGCTGCAACAGAAGATTTTAATCCTTCAAATAGGCTAGGAGAGGGAGGATATTGACCTGTTTATAAGGTGAAATCTATTTTACATCAATATCTGCTACTTCAAAGTAATGACTTTGACTTCTTACAAAAATAAATTGAGAGAGAATCAAAATAGATTCTTTCTACTTCCCTTTCATGTCACTGAATTGTATTTCTGTTTATAGGGCACACTTTCTGATGGGAGGGTAGTGGCTGTGAAGCAACTTTCTCACCAAGGGAAGAGTCAATTTGTTTACCAAGATTGCTACGATATCTGCAGTCCAACATCGCAATGTAGTGAAATTGTATGGATGCTGCATTGAAGGAAGCCACCACATTTTGGTTTATGAGTATCTTGAAAACAAGAGCCTTGATCTTTTTTTTTTTTTTTTTTTTTTTTTTTTTTTTTTTTTTTTTTTTTTTTTTTTTTTTTTTTTTTTTTTTTTTTTTTTTTTTTTTTTTTTTTTTTTTTTTTTTTTTTTTTTTTTTTTTTTTTTTTTTTTTTTTTTTTTTTTTTTTTTTTTTTTTTTTTTTTTTTTTTTTTTTTTTTTTTTTTTTTTTTTTTTTTTTTTTTTTTTTTTTTTTTTTTTTTTTTTTTTTTTTTTTTTTTTTTTTTTTTTTTTTTTTTTTTTTTTTTTTTTTTTTTTTTTTTTTTTTTTTTTTTTTTTTTTTTTTTTTTTTTTTTTTTTTTTTTTTTTTTTTTTGGAAAAAATTTTGGTTTTTTTTTTTTTTTAAGGGAATGGGTGAAAATGGTACTTAGGTGACGAGGGGTAAACTTAATCACACAAACAAGACACAACAACACAGCAAGCTTCACACACTTTAAACCTTGACCAAATACACATATGACTAGTCAACTACTAGTCAAGAAACAATCACAACCAATAGAATACACAGAGCATGCCACAATGTACCTGCAATCCTAGAAGATTACTAGTGACAACCTAGGCACTCAGAAGGACCCGTCAATCTAGGCATCCCCTGTGCTAGCAACAACTATGGTGAAAGTGTGTGAAATCATCATTATCATGTAAACATCAAACAGCAGATACAGATGACTAGTCAACCACCAAGAACACAAACCCAGAAAAATTACAGATATGCAAAACAGATTTTGTTCACCCAGAAACCCACCATTGGGAAAAACTGGGAGTCATCAACTGACCAGGCAATCCACTAAGTAGAAAAAGATTCTTACAAAGGAAACACAACCAAGCTCAAGAAGCACCTAGGTCTATTTAGGAATATGAGCAATACCTCCTTTGTGCAATCTTCTTCTCCAACTTAGCAAAGCTTGAAGCTCAGTCCTTCATGGCAATGGCAGCTCCTTCTCCAGCTCGTTCATCCCATGGCACTAGCTTGCAAGCTCCAACACAAACCGAAACCAATTTGGATTCAAAGGAGAAAGACCAATTTCTTCAAGAAACCATACTCTTGAAGAAATCAATCTTGAATCTGACCTAGATATAAATGATAGAATGATTTAAATAGCTAGATGCAGATTTGTGTTTCAAATGCAGTTTTTCAAAAAGAAATCAATTGGAAAAACTCATAGATGAAATAAGATGGTTCTCTCGTGGAAGAAGAAGCGAAAGATGGCAAGCCAAACTTTCCAAAACTTCCACCCGAAAAGAGACAACTGCCAAATGAGAAATATCGTGGGCTATACAGACCAACAAATTCGTTAGGTCAGAAAACCCACTTGGCAGCAGAGAGAGAGAAAGAAGAATAGGACAAAACAGTTTGTTATCCAGCTGGAGGCAAGGATGACTAGTCATATGAGAAACGGTTGACTAGTCATCTTTTTATGAAGACTGTTTTATGTAATGATATGCAATGCTCAATACCTTTGTCAACTTGCTTGAGCCACCATAGAGCAGAGATTAGAGAAGAGCACCAATAAAAGTTTTCCCTAATCTAGACTTGAGCTTGATAAATTACATTACACATCCTATTACAAAGTTGTCAAGGGAAGCCAAAAGAAAATAGTAAAAACCATACATTTTTTTTTTTTTTTTTTTTTTTTTTTTTTTTTTTTTTTTTTTTTTTTTTTTTTTTTTTTTTTTTTTTTTTTTTTTTTTTTTTTTTTTTTTTTTTTTTTTTTTTTTTTTTTTTTTTTTTTTTTTTTTTTTTTTTTTTTTTTTTTTTTTTTTTTTTTTTTTTTTTTTTTTTTTTTTTTTTTTTTTTTTTTTTTTTTTTTTTTTTTTTTTTTTTTTTTTTTTTTTTTTTTTTTTTTTTTTTTTTTTTTTTTTTTTTTTTTTTTTTTTTTTTTTTTTTTTTTTTTTTTTTTTTTTTTTTTTTTTTTTTTTTTTTTTTTTTTTTTTTTTTTTTTTTTTTTTTTTTTTTTTTTTTTTTTTTTTTTTTTTTTTTTTTTTTTTTTTTTTTTTTTTTTTTCTTCGTTCGCGAGTATTTGTGCAAGTAAAGCATTCCTTGAGTGATTCCTTCAATCATACCGAAACGCTTCTTCCAATCTAGTTGCAGACATCTAATGGAATCTGTCCAACATAGAGATTCAAGTGAGAGTCTTATTCGTAATTTTTGTATTTTCAAAGGTTAGAGAATAATGTAAACACAATTAATTGAGAAAATGAAATGTGCTAAGATTAAAGTAGCTTGAGTTCCCAACCAAACAAAAAAGTAGTCCAAGCTTTTGTTCTGCATGTACTCATATATCAACATCTTCTCTTCTTCATGAATGCAAAATCCAAATAGCTGAACAAGGTTCGTATGTTGGAGTTCATATATGAGTATCAATTCATTCTTAAACTCCACCGTGCCTTGTCCTGAACATTTTGAAAGCCTCTTCACAGCTACTTCTCGTCCTGTTGCCAATTTCCCCTGAATTTATAACCCATAAAATATTTCTCAGTTATTCCAAAAAAGAAAAAAACTATTTTATATATCCCTTTTGGCTATTGATGTAAGCAGAAAACATGTACACTTTCTATTATTTAGAGACTTACCTTATAAACAGGACCAAAGCCCCCTTGGCCGAGCTTGTTTGCTTCAGAGAAGTTGCTTGTGGCAGCCAAGACAGATTCATAGGTAAATACGCTTAAATCAGGGTGTCTAATATTTCCATGATCATTTTCAATCGCAATAACATGATCAGTAGGTCTTTCAGATTTCATGAACTTAAGCAATATTTTCTGAATCTTTGTCCCGTTCTTGCCTATTTAAATTGGTATTGAAAGGTTAGAACTGCTCTCATTATGGCACAATAATAATCGAAGAAGTGAAATTTTGGCTAACAACTGCTCTCATTATGCTTAAGGAATTTACCTGCTGAAAGCATAAATTTTGTTCCTCTTAGTCGATAGCACAATATGCAAAACCCAATTACCAGTAGAGCGGCAATAGAAGTGCCAATCCATAACCCCTTATGCGTTGCATCTAGGAAAACATTTAATTAATTTTCTATATAGTAAGTTAAGCTTGTATTAGCCTATTGATGTGATAGTTAAACAAGTCTAGCTGATTAATTAATAAGATTAATAAGATTAGTAAATAGCTTGACTCACTAATCTTTCCGCGAGGTGGTGAATCTGGTGATTTTGGTGGCAGCGTTACTGAGTTTGGCACAACAAAACTATGAGTTGCAGTACTGAGGTCTTCAATGAATGCACAGTCCACACTCCAAAATCGGCATCCTGCACCAGTAGTCTGATTTCCAAATGGAAAGTCGAATCCAAGGCAGTCACAGTTTTGCCAACAAGTAACTTTACAATCTTCGCTACCAGTACCAATCCAGTTCGCAGGTCTCGAAGCATTAGCAGAATTGATGATCGTGAAGTTACCTTTTTTAATCTCAAAATCATCACCTAATTTCCCAACACAATCGCTTGGGCGGTCCCTTCTCACACACCCTCCGACAGTGTTATAGCCATCACAGTTTTGTGCTCGTATAATATCAACTTGGGCACCATACTCATAAAGTGCACCTCTGGTGTATAGCACCCATTCTGGCTCAGGATCATTTGGATCATCTAGACTAGTATAAGTGAGGTAGTCTTCGTTTTGATTTGAAACGATGCTAAAATTGTACCTCTGCTTAATATATTCGAATCTCCCCTCTGCAAAGACCCCGCAAGTCCAAAAAATAACCCCACTTTTCTTAATTTTCAATTGGTGTGCATTGGTATCCCAATCAAGGCTGAAAGGCCCCGACAACACAGGGTTGTCGCTAGACCCCCATGATAAAAGAGACCAAACGTGCTCATTTATATGGTCAACACCCAATTTCATGCCTGGTAAAAATGTGTCCATTGGATAATCAAAACTTTGCCACAAGATTTGGATCGTGGATCCATTGACAGGGCTCACTTCTTGAAGGACAAAATTGCCGGAATCCAAAAGGGTAGCCACAACACTAGTAATACTAGTAGTGTTTGGAGCAGAAAGGATAAAAGGGTGTCCATTTCGGTGAGTAATTTTCAATGTGTTATTGAAGTCCAAGGTAAGAAGTGGGGATGAAGAGGATAAAACAGGTGAGTGTGGGTTCGCAATCCATGCTTTGTTTGCTTCAGTTTTGATGCGCAGGATAGCAAGAAAGCTCATTTCCGAATTGCCGACAGGTTTTGTAATGAAATTCAAAGTGAACTTGCCTAATGCTGATACCAAGGAACTTGTGGAATTGAGAGTGTCCCCTGGTTTCAGTGTGTCTATTGCATCATAACAAGTCCACAAAGATGCAAGAATGATCAAGATAATTGTGTGCTTCATCATCAAGCCTGCAGTCTTGAATGATCACAAGGCCAACAGTACTTTACCTTCTCCTAGATGATCATGACAACCTGTCTTTCTTCCTCTGTATTTTGCCTCTTTAATTATGTTTACGGCTAAAAAAGTCTTCTCTTGACCCAAAATGCAAAACACCAAGAAAATCTCTTTCACTAGTTCATTAAGTACTCAAAAAATTACCCATCAGTGATATGTTTTAAAACCACAAAAAACAAAAACAAAACAAAAAGAACGAGGCAATACGAAATTTCTTGAAAGTTGGCTGAGAAAAATACCTCTCAAGTCTCAGCTTACTTCATGAAACTGCAATGATCTCACAGAATAGTTGGGGACAGAGAGCGAGAAACAGAGACAGAAGGGTTGGAGTGAATTAGTGTGAAGGATTGAAAAACTTGAGAGTTTACGATCAATTGGGTTGGTGCTAAACAGTATCATGCTTTTAAAACATGATAAAAATTGAAGTGTTTTTCGTCGTCGGCCTATGTCTTGGCTTGAACATATATAAAATATATGCAGGATTGAAAACTCAACTCATACGTACCTAATTAATTCACTCCAATACCAAGGAAAGCCAGGCCTGCTGGGAGGGAGGAGACCCTATGCATGGCCTGACGAGTCAATGACCCATCCCACGATTTCAACAACATAAAAATATATTAGGGTATTATAATTAATAAATTATAGCTTTGTCCATCAAACAACTCTTGTATATATGTCATGCAAATATATGAAAGTGATCATGAAGAAATGCCAAACACATAGTCGGAAACGAAAAGACTTCAACGATTTATTTATTTTATCATGTTTATAAATTATGATTTTGTTTAGCCCCAACTAATCCTAACTTTCAAGTTTCAACCCTTGATATTAAATTCACACCAAAGTCTCCAATCCTTCTCTTCTCTCTGTTTTCCTCAGCCTTCTGTTTCATCAAGCCTGCTGAGAGGTAACTATTTTTTTTTTCAGCCTGTTCACTTTTGATTTCCATTGTATATATGAGAATGAAGATTGTTGGGAATCATATATTTTTGTAGTATGATGAAATAATTCGCGAGTTTCGTCATGCGGTTTTTATTGTTGTCCAGATCCGGATTGTAAATTGTGTTTGTTTCAAATTAAAGGATCTTAATGCATTAAGTATGTTCACTTTATGTTCAACTCCATCAAATTTCCTTACATTACATGATGAGTCAGCAAGTTCGAGATTTTTGCATATTCCTAAAATGCCCTTTTCATATAATCTAGCCAGTAATTTTCCCATCATTTTAATGTTTTAATTATGTGTAACTATAACCATCCGTATGAACATATGTGAAATTTTTAGATTTATAATTATATATGTGCCTGTGGCGATTAATATACAAATACCGTTATTCATAACATACTTATTGTGAATATAGCGATTTTTATATAAATATTGTTGATACATTAGGTTAAAAATAAATAAATAAAGTGGTCCTAAATCCCTTGTTCCTAAAGACGTTCGTTTTCCAAATTTTGGAACCTAAACATGAATATAAGGTTTTTTCAAATAATTTGGGGGGTCCAATAGCATCACTCATCAAACGGCTCAACACACGGTACATCAAGTGTTCACTAAACTGATGGGTTTGTGGGTGTGCTGAGTGGTTAATGTTAATAGCATGACTAGACACCCGATCCAAGCAGCAGCAGCAGTTCAATTGATCAAGAAACCAAAGCATCCAGAGCTGTACCAAACCATGACAGCCGACATTCAAGAGTGGAACCACGTTTTGGGCAGAAGTGGCTCAAGCCCAGTGCTGATTTTAGAGACTAGGCTTAGTTGTAGAAGCCCAACCTACATAAATTAAATACGGCTTTTTATTAATAGGCCTATTTCAGCATGACATATTGTACAATTACTCATATAGAGCCTATTTTGAGGGAAAAACTCAAAACTAGTCACTTATCATTTGGAGGAAAAAGCTCAAAACTACTCCAATTGGTTCTTAGTCTGTTACAATTTTCTAAAACTAATTAGAAAATGACAATTGACTAGTTTTGAATTTTTCTCTCCAAATAGACTCTATACGGGTAATTGCAAGCATGGAATGGATGAGGACAACCATAGAGCATATATACTGTACATATATTATTTGATATACCAATTTTGGATTCTTCTTACATTAGCATATATACATACTTATAAATAGAATAGAATAAGGATGGCTGGATCAAGGTTTAGGAGTTTGGGTTATTAGAATACATTTCTATTGGATTCTATACGAAAGTCGTTGACATGTCGTTTCTGTACACTCGATGACGTTGTAAGTTGTAACTAATTGAAGATTGCGTCGATTAACCAATGTTCTAAAAATAGCTACGCGGTAGGCACGGGCCTAGCGCCTAGAGGAGTAATCGACTAGGCGTTTTATTTATTTATAGCTATTTTGTATTATAAATTATAAATTTATACATAAGTAATGGAAAAATAAAAGGACATATCAATGATAAAGTACCATAATCAAAATATATAAAGCAAAATGTAGAGAATGGTACAACATTCAAAATACCAGAAAATACTCTTGGTTATTGAGTAAATAGCCAATTCTTTTTAAAACACCATATCTTATTGGTAAGTTACAGTGTAAAATGTCTATATATCTGAGAACGCAACATCTTAACCTTAATTTATCGAGTAAATAGCATATTTTTCTAAAAACATCATATCTTATAGTGTAAAAGGCCTATATATCTGATAACGCAACATCTTCCTGGTAATTTATTGCGTGAATTGCCTATTTTTCTGAAAACACTATAAATTACCATAAGTTATAGTGTAAAATGCCTATATATATGAGAAAACAAAATCTTACTCGTAATTTATTGAGTAAGTAGCTTATTTATATAAAAGCACCATATCTTACCGGTAAGTTATAGTGTAAAAAGCCTATATATTTGAGAATGCAATATTTTACCCGTAATTTATTGAGTAAATAGCCAATTCTTTTTAAAACACCATATCTTATTGGTAAGTTACAGTGTAAAATGTCTATATATATCTGAGAACGCAACATCTTAACCTTAATTTATCGAGTAAATAGCATATTTTTCTAAAAACATCATATCTTATAGTGTAAAAACGCCTATATATCTGATAACGCAACATCTTCCTGGTAATTTATTGCGTGAATTGCCTATTTTTCTGAAAACACTATAAATTACCATAAGTTATAGTGTAAAATGCCTATATATATGAGAAAACAAAATCTTACTCGTAATTTATTGAGTAAGTAGCTTATTTTTATAAAAGCACCATATCTTACCGGTAAGTTATAGTGTAAAAAGCCTATATATTTGAGAATGCAATATTTTACCCGTAATTTATTGAGTAAATAGCCAATTCTTTTTAAAACACCATATCTTATTGGTAAGTTACAGTGTAAAATGTCTATATATATCTGAGAACGCAACATCTTAACCTTAATTTATCGAGTAAATAGCATATTTTTCTAAAAACATCATATCTTATAGTGTAAAAGGCCTATATATCTGATAACGCAACATCTTCCTGGTAATTTATTGCGTGAATTGCCTATTTTTCTGAAAACACTATAAATTACCATAAGTTATAGTGTAAAATGCCTATATATATGAGAAAACAAAATCTTACTCGTAATTTATTGAGTAAGTAGCTTATTTATATAAAAGCACCATATCTTACCGGTAAGTTATAGTGTAAAAAGCCTATATATTTGAGAATGCAATATTTTACCCGTAATTTATTGAGTAAATAGCCAATTCTTTTTAAAACACCATATCTTATTGGTAAGTTACAGTGTAAAATGTCTATATATATCTGAGAACGCAACATCTTAACCTTAATTTATCGAGTAAATAGCATATTTTTCTAAAAACATCATATCTTATAGTGTAAAACGCCTATATATCTGATAACGCAACATCTTCCTGGTAATTTATTGCGTGAATTGCCTATTTTTCTGAAAACACTATAAATTACGATAAGTTATAGTGTAAAATGCCTATATATATGAGAAAACAAAATCTTACTCGTAATTTATTGAGTAAGTAGCTTATTTATATAAAAGCACCATATCTTACCGGTAAGTTATAGTGTAAAAAGCCTATATATTTGAGAATGCAATATTTTACCCGTAATTTATTGAGTAAATAGCCAATTCTTTTTAAAACACCATATCTTATTGGTAAGTTACAGTGTAAAATGTCTATATATATCTGAGAACGCAACATCTTAACCTTAATTTATCGAGTAAATAGCATATTTTTCTAAAAACATCATATCTTATAGTGTAAAAGGCCTATATATCTGATAACGCAACATCTTCCTGGTAATTTATTGCGTGAATTGCCTATTTTTCTGAAAACACTATAAATTACCATAAGTTATAGTGTAAAATGCCTATATATATGAGAAAACAAAATCTTACTCGTAATTTATTGAGTAAGTAGCTTATTTATATAAAAGCACCATATCTTACCGGTAAGTTATAGTGTAAAAAGCCTATATATTTGAGAATGCAATATTTTACCCGTAATTTATTGAGTAAATAGCCAATTCTTTTTAAAACACCATATCTTATTGGTAAGTTACAGTGTAAAATGTCTATATATATCTGAGAACGCAACATCTTAACCTTAATTTATCGAGTAAATAGCATATTTTTCTAAAAACATCATATCTTATAGTGTAAAACGCCTATATATCTGATAACGCAACATCTTCCTGGTAATTTATTGCGTGAATTGCCTATTTTTCTGAAAACACTATAAATTACCATAAGTTATAGTGTAAAATGCCTATATATATGAGAAAACAAAATCTTACTCGTAATTTATTGAGTAAGTAGCTTATTTATATAAAAGCACCATATCTTACCGGTAAGTTATAGTGTAAAAAGCCTATATATTTGAGAATAAAATATTTTACCCGTAATTTATTGAGTAAATAGCCAATTCTTTTTAAAACACCATATCTTATTGGT